GCACGACAGGGAACTGTTGGCCATCGTTTATTGCAGTCGGATATGGCGACATTATCTCGACAACAAGTACCCCGTTCGGATCCTCACGGATCACAAGAATTTGGAATACTTCAAGAGGGACAAGGTATTGTCTCAACGGCAGGCGCGATGGTCGCAGCTGTTGAACCAAATCTCCTACACCCTGGAGTACAAACCGGGAACGGAGAACGGGAAGGCCGACGCGTTGAGTCGGCGGGAAGAGTTGATGGAGGAGACAGAGCCGAAGCGAGCGGAGACTCTGCTCCGGCCTGTCGAAGACGCACCCCCAGAAGGGTGTAGTCCGGTCGAGCGACCGCCTTTGCGGCTAAATGGCACCATCCCCGCGCTGGGCGACTGGATGGTGAAAGCGCTGATACCGGCGGCGCAGGACGACCCGGTGACGAAAGAGCTCGTAGCGCAGCTCAAGGCGGGGACCTTGGCGAACGAGCGATACAGCTTGAGCCCCACTGGGGTTCTCCTGTACAACGGGTTGGTGTATGTTCCTAACGCAGGGAACATCAAGGTAGAGCTGATGAAGCGTCTACATGACGGGAAGGCCGCCGGCCATTGGGGTCGGGACAAGACCGTGGAGCTGACCAGTAGGGACTTCTACTGGCCTGGGATGGCGAAGTGGATCGGGGAGTACGTCGCTAGCTGCAGCATATGCCAGCGCAATCGACGGCCCCGGATGAAGCCTGTCGGCGAATTAGCGCCGCTCCCGGTACCGGCAGGACCATACGAATCGATCACTTGGGATCACATCACGGATTTGCCCGAGTCCATGGGGTCCAACTCGATCCTGGTGATCGTCGACCGATTCAGCAAGCGGGCGCACTTCGTCGCTTGTCGGAAGGACAACGACGCCTCGTTCTTGGCGCGGTTGTTCCTCGACCGGTGGGTGTGTTTGCATGGGTTCCCGAAGCAGATCATTTCGGATCGAGGTACGTTGTTCACCTCGCGCTTCTGGAAAGATCTGTGCCGCATGGCAAACGTGGAGAATAGTTACTCCACGGCGTTCCACCCGGAGACGGACGGCCAGACCGAGCGAAGTAACTCCACCTTGGAGCAATACTTGCGGTCGTACGTCAACTTTCTCCAAGACGACTGGGCGGAGTTACTCTCCATGGCGGAGTTCGCTTACAACAACGCGAAACATTCTGCCATCGGGATGTCGCCATTCATGGCGTCCGAGGGAAGGGAACACAGTTTCTCCCTACCGGTGCCCGGCACTAGGGAGGAGGCGGTAGAATCGGCGGGGGAGTATCGAGACCGACTCGACGGGATTTACAAGTCGGTGAAGGAGGCGCTGGAGCAGGCGCGACAAGACATGGCAAAGTACGCGAATCGAAGGCGTACCGCCGTCCCTGACGAGGGTTACAACGTAGGCGACTTGGTGATGTTATCCACCAAGAACTTGACATCGGTGCGCCCCAGCCAGAAGCTCTCGATGAAGACGCTGGGGCCTTTCCCGATCACGGAGATCATCGGCCAAAGCAAGATGGCGAGGAGGCTGGAACTCCCCGCGCAACTACGCCGGGTGCACCCCGTCTTCCATGTGTCGCTGCTCATCCCCTATCGGGCCAACGAACTGGAAGGAAGAGAGGTAGTTGAACCGCCTACCCCCGAAGTCCTCGACAACGGCGACTTAGGGTATGTGATGTCCGAGATCGTACATTCAAAGGCGTTGCGATCCGGGAGGTCCGGGAAGAAGACCCAGTACCTAGTGCGATTCGAAGGGTACGGGGATGAATCGAACGAGTGGGTTAGCCCCGCCGAATTCGATCACGACGACAAGGTCGTCGCAGCGTTTCACAAGCGCTACCCTCATCTACCGCAGCCTGGTCGACAAGAGTACGCCGACGCTTGATGCGTTCGGAGACCGCATCTAGGGGGGGGATCCTGTTATAGCGGTCACGTGACGCGTCGGACACGCCGTACGCGACTCCCGTATGCGACTCCCGTCGGGGGTACTTTTCGGTGTTGTTGTTTGGATGTAGAACTAGTACCTCTGTAATAGCTCTACATCCGTTATTACATCTAGATGTCTACCCGTACCTTGCCTCATTCCTGCGTCCCGTCAGCCTGTCCAGGGGGACCCCCGCCGGGGGTCGCTCCCGGGCCTTACACAAGGGGGTGCGGTCCTTGACCGTGATGTCGTTTAACCTCCGGTAATCAATACAGAGTCGCAACGATCCATCCTTCTTCGGAACAAACAGCACGGGGCTCGCCGCCGGAGATGTTGACATCCGGATAAAGCCCTTCTCCGTCTGCTCCTTAATCCACTCCGACAACGCCGCTCCTTCTTTCGCGGAGTGCACGTAGCACTTGCCAAATGGCGGGGTTGTCCCGGGGAGTAGATCGATGGCATGGTCGAAGGACCTCACCGGCGGCAGTGTATCTGCCTTTGTTTTTGAAAACGCGCCTAGCCAGGCGTGATATTTCTTCGGGACCCTCTCCCGGAGTGTCTCCATGTACTCCGGCGGGTCCAAGTCGTTCGGGAACGAGTCCATTGGTTGGACGTCCCAATCCCACAGGTCCGGCCGTTTGGCAGGGGGCGGTTGTTCCACCACCGCGTCCAGGCGTGCTGCGTACAGCGTGTAGGACCCCTCCATTGCGGCCCTGTCAATCTCCTCCGACGCTGTGCTCCGTCGGACTCGCTCTCGGGTAGACTCCTCGGGGGAGAACACCACCTCTTTCCTGTCTCGTAGACATCCGAGACCCAGGCATGTATCCCCCAACTCCACTCCATTCGACGTCCAGTCGATGATCGGGTTATGGCGCCGGAACCATGGCGCTCCCAAAACCACGTCGTACGACCCTAGGTCCGTCAACATGAACGCGACCGACTCGGTGTGTCGGCCAATCTTCAGCCTCGTGCTTGTCCGGTGGGTCACTGCACCGGAGTTGATCGGTCTCCCATCGATCACCCTAAGCATCCTCGGCTTCTCGAGCTTCTCTTCCACGAACCCATGCTCCGCGGCGAACCCCTTGTCCATGAACAGGTTCGTCGCCCCACAATCCAACAGCAGGACTGTTTCTACGGCTCTCCCCTCGGGGTACACCGTACCCAACAAGGTAAGGTGTTCCTCCGGATCCGCTGGAGAGCCCAACATCCCGATCGTACACTCACGACCTGCATCTTCCGCAGGTACCTGCCTCCTCGGGCTCACGGGTTGATCCGTTATTCTGTTACGGCGGCGAGTCCGCCGGGCTAGTGCCCCGGGTCGGTCCGCCGGACAAGTGAGCGGGAGAGAGACGAGGGTAGGAGTATACATCTATATAGTAATAACGGATGCCCAGCATCCGGTCTTTAGTGATAGTACAACGTTCGAATGTAAACAACAAATACGGCGGAGTCCGCCCTCGGGATGGCCCGCCGGAACGCGTCTCGGCGCGTCCCGCGTCTCGACTGCGTCGATCTCTAACAGGTAGAACCTCGATGCTAGTCTGCTCAATCGGATGTGTTTTCTGATCAGAGCTCTCAGGACAAGAATCATGTTTTATCTGGTGTTTGTTGATCTTTAGCCGATGCCTTAAGATCCTTGAATGATGGTTCGTCGATCGTGATCGGTCCGGTTGTTATGTGCTAATAACTACGATTTGAGAATCGTCCTTCTTGTTGGGTCTGTACGATAGCTAGTCACAATGGTCGATTCATCCTATGTCTTGACCAAATAACCAATACCACTTCGTCATACGCAAGGGTATACGAGTAGGGGAATGTACTTAACTAGTAGCCATGCACTGCGTGCTTGATAGGGGGTAAGGTGGTGGGTGTGTTGTTCTATAGTCTTTGTTTGTAACCTCTTTGTCTAGCGTATGCTAAGATTTGAATGTGATAACGAGCTTGAACTTCTAGTCAAAAGGATACAACCACAATTGTTCTGCTATCCTATCAAGCTATATGTACTGCGCTTGTTTCTCTGTTCATACATCCCCAACAATCGTCCAACAAATTGTCTTTTGTCCTTGCTAGTGTAAGTCAACAAGGATGGCACGCTGTGCTTCCAATTTCGATGTTGAGGTTGTCCTATGTCCTTCTCATCTTGGTGAATTGTCCACCAATGTTTTGGCAAGGTGGAGAATGTCAGCGGTCAATCCTCACTGTCTTTCAATCGCCAGTGTATTGTCTAAGTCGGATATCGTTCCATGTTTTTGGTTTTGACTTTTGTCGATTCGTCTATCATCCCTGTCCTGAACCTTGCAATGTTACATCTCTCCGATACTTCACTATCTTACAAGAGTAAAGGTCATTATCCTGACGGTTAGCCACCCTTATGAACCGTTCTCCACAGTAAAGTACTCTACTGCGCCTTACTTTGCCCTTTGCTTACGCAGCTAGCTCTCCTGTGACATACACCTGGTGGTAGGTATCCCCTGTTCCCATTAGCTAGTAGATAGGCTAATTGTTAGGCATCGAGAAGGCTCCAGGGAAGACCGGCTCGATGTATACCTGTGAGGACATATCCGGGAGTGATGTAGAACGTAGGACTAGGGTATATAGATGTACTAACAGATGAAAGACTATATACTACAACGAGAAGAGAAGTGATACAATATGATATGCTTCTTGAACAACTCCGGCGGAGTTGGTACGACTCGAGTCCGGCGTACGTGCGCGTCGCTATAACACTAATACTACAGCCTTCCAACCTTGAACTGGATCTTTTCGTTCACTGCCATCTGCACCGGTTATAGATGATAAGATCCGATCTCTTCACTTTAATCCGGTCGCATACCATCTGCCTCCTCTATGGGATGACCTCAGGCTTGTTACGGCAGCGACGAGAGAAGTTCAGGAAGTAAAGCTGTATAGAGCTTCACCAGAGACAAAATGGGGCGGTGTTGTTGCCCTTTTGCTGTCGAATGTGATGCCTTCAGGACACCTGGGTGACAGGCTGAAGTTGCAACGATCAGGACATATTGACTCAGCGCCGTATTCTTGACAACATATATCAACACAATTCTATAGCTAAGTAAAGTTTCCTGTGGCCAAGTGGTACGGCTTCGTGCTTATGTGGTAACCTTATGCTTCACGACGATCGTGGGTTCAACCCCCACCGGGAAAACTCATTTTTGCCGATCTTTCCGCATTCTGGCCTTTTTTTTCAAACCTGCGCGTTTCTCCTCTTTCCTGCCGGTATCGGTTTTCCCCCTAATTTGACAGGCGATTAGCTTCATTATCATGCGCTGACACTAGCGACTAGCCCTTGCGAGCGATGCGCCCGCGCGCATGATGATGCGGCCGCCATGGTCTCGTCTTCATCGCCCTTCGCTCCTGACTGTCCTATTTCGCGTTTCATCATCTCGTCTCTTTTGTTCGCGCGCGGCATTTGGATCCGCCATCATGCATCACATGGGAGGGAGTGATCAGCTTTCGACAATCCACTTTGCAACTCTCTTGCACTTCGAAACTTTCATCAATAACCCCTAATCCGATCGCCTCACCCTTTCCACTTCTTGATCGCAACGCATCAGCTCTACGTCACATTCCTGACAAACACTCGAGGGTCTAGGCCAGACCAGGCCCTGAACCCATCGACCGGGTTGAGCCGGCTGTCAGAACCCATCGTCGAATTAAAGGGGATCAACCTCTTTCGATTCGACACGACATTCCTTTCTTTCTTGCGACTAGCTACTGGCGAACGTCTTCGCCCTACACCCTACCAGACTACGTCTCACACCCTGTCACACTCGTTACGAATCTAGAACAATAGCAATCAAGGCGTCATTCGACCTTCACGACTTTGGCCCATCAACTGCCGCTACACAGCCTCCTTTGGCCGCGACCTTGATCCACCCCTGATCTTCTCCTGCACGTCTACAAACAAAGGTCCTCGAATGGAGAAACGTCACTTCTATACGGCCTGCGCGGGAGCCGGAGAGACGCTTTCATGGGAAGGAGATTGGTACACGGCGTCATGGCGAGTATTGGGTTACGTCGTAGCCCTTTCCAAGATCTGATCTCGTCATCCTTTGACCCTCTTACGCTTTCGCAGGTTCACCGAATCTCAATCCGTCTACGACCGACAAGCCTCTACCGGACCCGTCGACCCTCCCGCAAGCGTTTGGGCAACTCAGCCTGCCTGTCTAGCCCTACAACAGAGTCTCTCGTCAGCCTCCCTGCTGTCCACGTCGACCGCATCCATCCCGGTCATCACCTCGCTCTCGCAAACGGCTACCATTACCACTGGTATTCCCGTTGCCGCTACAGCCAGTGCGATATCTTTCCCCACGCCAACGGCGACCATGCCATCCAGGTTCGACTCGTCAGACCCGTCCGCGTCGGTCTCGTGTGCAGGGAAATGGGATTGGCAGACGGCGGGAACAATCAGCTCGCTGGTGCTCGGGCTGCTGTTTGGAGCGCTCATTTGGGCGTTGTGGGCGATCTTGAGGGGTAAAAAGTCGTTGGCGACGCTTTACCAGCCGAGAGCGAGCTTGGTGACAGACAAGTGAGTCCGACTATGATCCCACAGCCCACTTGTCCAAGCCGATTCGATCGTTGACGCCGGATCCTGCATCCTGTAGAACACCATCCCTCCCCGGATTCCTCTCCGTGTTCGCCCTATCCCCGATCTTCTCCTTCATGGCGACCCATCGCAAAGCCAACGATCCTTCGGCCGACAACTACCTCGCTATGGTTCCTATTGTGACCGCCATCAAGCTGACCTCGCTCGTCGGGTTAGTCGCCCTGGCTGCCGGACTCCCACTCTTCCTCGTCGGCACACCCTGCCTCGATCAGACGTCACCTAGAAGTCGATTCGGCGGCAGACTCGGTTCTCACACCGACCTATCCTTAATGCGACTCTTGAACAGCCTCGACCCCTCGCCTGACTCGCCATCCATGTCATCGAGCTCGTCTCTGGTACTCCGGGTCCTGCCATCCACCATCCGACCCGCTGTCCACAACGCCAGAGTTCGCCTGATCATCCTCTTGGTCATCACCTGCTGTTTCATGGTCGTTCCCGCCTGGCTGACCGTAGCAAAAGCCATGAACTCGTTGCTGGGATTCAGGAAACGCTGGCTAGACGAGGCCTGTGACGGGGAAGAGATCTGGTGGATCCGTTTCAAGCGCGCCGGACCGAAGCAAACGACCGTCAGCGAAAAGCAAGCCATGGCGCTGGCTGGCAAGTATGGCCTCTTGGATGGATCCAGCGATGATCCCGAGGAGAAACCCGTCCGCAATGGTCGGATCCGCGCCATCTATGCTGTACCTGACACGCTTCACCTGGACAAACTCATCGGCCAGCGTCAAGAGGTCTTGGAAAAGCTAGAAACGGCACAGACTCGATACATCCAGTCTTTCAAAGCCAACCCGATGGCCAACAGACCCGAGACCGAGACGGAGAAGGAACCTACACCCCCCACCGAGAAACGGGCGAGTTTCCTCCCCGTGAATATTATGCTCGGAATCCGATTGCTGAGGAACGATCGTACTGACTTAACGCCTTCTTTGTCGCTAGAAACGCCGCCACGCCTCGACGAAACGCGACTCGGGCGGGGTCAATGCGCCCACGCAGTATGTGGCTCCCAAAACGTTCTACAAGCTCAGGCCTCTGCCAGCAGTCCCCTCGACATCCGATGACCTGATCCCGAGGATCACCGAGGTGGGAAGAGAGGACGATCAGGAGGCCATACCGACGTTCACCGAGCAAGTCACAACTCGGGTCGTCGGAAGCCGTTTTCTCGAAGTCCAGCGATCGTCGGGCATGTTTACCGACTTGCCCGTCGGCGCAGATCTGAGGATCGGTACGACGGGACAACTGGAACCACAAGCCATGCCCGTCACTCCCGACACGGAAAGCTCGATGATGGGTCACGGTAGCAGGTCTAGGGTTGACCTCAGCGACTATCCGGTTGACCCTATTCCCCGACCCCTCTCCCAGGCCGACTCGATTCGTTTCCCTACTCCGGACGAAACAAGGCACTCCATGAGTCCCGATCGCGGAGGCAACGTAGAGGATCCTCTCCTGCCCGACCCGCCTGTTGTGCCGCCCAAGCCTCGTCAGCCGGTAGGCTATCAACCGATCAGTACCGGCGGAAGTCTTCGCCGCCCGCCTCCTCGCAAACGCACCAACCCATCGTTCGCAATGGTCTCCGAGGATCCTGAAATCTTGCAAGGACATCAACCCATCATCCGACCCAACTCGGGAGTCTCGCCACTGGACCTCGGTAGTCATTATCAAGACATCAAAAGATACAGGCCGCAGCTCATCCAACTCAACGACGATATCGCTGAAGCCCAAAGCAGGACTTACGAGAGCATGGCTCGAGGCCAAGGCGTCGTCGGACTGCTTGTCGTTGGCAGCGGTCTGCACCTGCACCACGCTACCAAGATCGTCGGAGCCAGTCGAGAATCGATCAAGTGGGCCCGGCTTCAACGCTCCAACGGCTCTGCGTTCGGCTTCTGGGTGGCCACATTCTTGTTAACTGCGGCTGCATGTGTCCTAGGTAAGTTCCCCGTCTTGAGACCGCAGACCGCTGGAAAGGCCCGAGCTAACGTTGCCTCCGCAGTGACACCCTTCGTAGGGCTAGCGGTCGCATCAGCTCCTGGGCTATTCCATTACCTCAAATTTTTCGGCCCTCTAGCTCGGGACAATGGTCTTGCTTCCGGCCTGGCCGAGGGTGTCGTTCCAGCATTGGCGATCAGCTTGATTTTGTTGGCTGCGGGATATGGTATTCAGAGTGAGTCGAATACTGTCGTCCCTAAAGAATCCTCTGATCAAACTATCCCTCCTTTCCGCTCGGTAGAAATGGCCAAGCTGTCAGGTAGCATTACATATGCTCAAGAAAGGATCATCGCCTTCAAAGGTTTGACCGTGATGCTCGTGAGTGTGTCGATCAGCAGAACCGTGCATTACCAAGCGCTAACAACGATTGAACTAACTCGTAGATCCTTGCTGGTGGTTTTTGGCCTATCCTCGCTGCCTCTTTGATCTATGCGACTGAGCATATTGACGACGGCGTTCAAACCGGACGGCATATCGCCGACGGCAGCATCTTTTTCTGTAAGCGCTAAAATGATGACGAACAGATCAATGGCACTGACCTCTACCTTTTGGACTTTAGCCTGGAACCTGTTTTGCTTGCTTTTAAACATGGCCATCATCGTACCTGGGCTTGCTTTACTGCAGCCGGCGCGATTGTTCAGCAGATTCATGAAAAAGAGAGCCATGTTGACGCCGAGACAGCGGTTCCGAGGTTCGTTACGCTCCGATGGCGAGCGTTCTTGTGCGCTGCTGATCCTTATCCGTGCGCATCGCAGCCCTGCAACCAAGAGCCATCGACCCAGCAATCTTACTGGCCACCGGATTATATGCCTTGGCTATCACCATGGTCTACCTACCCGTCTTTCCTCTGATGGCTGCGCCACTACTACTCTTCCTTCTGCTGGCGTTTGTAGCTTACCGCTACCTGTCAGCCTATATCCACGTAGATTGGCACGGCAACTCTGGTGGACTACTGGCCATCATAGCGCTTAGGATATCGGGCTGGTTGACGGGCCTCATCCCGTTCCTGTTCGGGTTGGTCCTCTTGGGTCGCCGGGAATGGACGCTCGGAGCTATCGCCTTGGTAGTCTCGGTGGTAATTCCGCTGCTGTTCGAAATGGTTTATCAGATCAGGCAGAGAAAGATTGGTGCCAAGAAGGACACCTCGTCCACTGCGCGCTTCGAACGCGAGCTCCTCGTCGCGGGATCAGAGCACGATGCGCAACCTACCGACGCCACCGAATCGCAGCCTTTGACGCATGAGGATGATCCCCGCACGAGACGTCGCTCCAACGCCTCCATCTTCGAGATGATCGCTGCATTGGCTCCCACGACTAGCGGGGAGGCGGATGTAGCTCCATCTGCAAGTAGATTGCCTCTGCCAACCGAGGCTGTGGACGACACCGTAGACACTCGCAAAGCCGCGGCACTCGGAAGTCACAACCTTCATCCGGACCAACCCCACATTTTGCCTCCTCTCAGCCTATCCACTTCCACCTCTGGCATGACCGCCTCTACATCGACCAGCACTTTCGACCCGCTGACACAAAAAGCCCTTCATACCCTATACCCGCCTTCTCTCATCGCGCCTAATCCGACCCTCTGGCTACTGGATGATGCGCACGGAATCGGACGAATGGAAGTCTCCGACCTACAACGCTGGCACCGCCTCGATGGGATCGTTGGGTAGCGCGTGACCCGTGCTATCACGGCCTTCTTTCTGGTTTTTTTTTTTGGGAATTGTGAATAATAACGACTGAGCCTCTGATGAATCTTGTGACTACGAATTTGACGAATAATGGCATGCGACCGACTATCCGAACTCGAACAAGCGCGTCGAATCGATGATGATTGCTGATTCCGCACTGTGGCGCTGTGGTGATCACTACGGACTGTCTGCTCATCGCACGTTGTATTTCCTATCCGAGAGCCTATCACAGACTCCAAAAGGGCTTGATACCTGTTGAACCGCGAATTCGTCGAACAGTCCACAACAAGGGCCCGTAATGGAAGCGCAGATAGCGTAGCGCTACAAATAAAATGACAAGGATCCAATCAGCCCATCGATCGACATCTCGCTCGTTCGCTCGACCGTATCCATAAATCCATTCGATTCGGGCTGGGAATCAAGAGATGGCGGGTTTCGAACCCCACCCAGGTCAGACCAGACTAGCCCCTCGACCTTACAGTTCACAATCAACATGGATGACTTCGACGAGACCTTCTTCGACTCCGACGAGAACCCGTTCGACCTGGCCTCGTTGTTACCTAGAAGGACCGCACTTGACAAGGACAGACAGATCGCCGACACCAAGCAGAAGCTTTGGGAACTTTCTTGCGAGTTGAGAAGACTTCTCGAGGGTTCAGGTGAACGACAAGTTCTTGAGCTATTCCTAGGTGCCTACATCCTTGCCCGGAGATCGACATCGGCGAAGGACGACGACAAACAAATCGAGCACGACGCAATTTCTCGGGTCCCCGACCACCTCAAATCGATGGCTATCAAAATGATCACAGAGCACAACTTCACGGTGCATGGAGAATTGATGGCCTATCGGGAGGCCCATACCAAGTCTGCAGAGCTACTCGGGCTAGGAATAGGACTGGGTGCTTTCGCACTGGCTATCGCCAATGACACTGTTCTCCGAGCGGTGGCGGTAATGGCCGTGATCGTAGCCACGATCGGTGTTGCATCTATTCGAAATCGATCTCCTAGTCCAATGCTAGACGAGCAAAGGTTGGCTTACATTAGCCTTCTCTCATATCTAAGCAATCATGGGGACATGCAGTATGGACAGATGGATCCACTCGAGAAACAGTCTCATGTGAACAAGTTGTTCAAGAGAGAGTTGATTGTCGCCATCCTCTGGAACGCAAGGAGCTCAACATCGGCGAAGGAGGACGATAGCAGTATCGAACAGGACGCAGTTTTACGGGTCGACATTCAGCGCACTGAAGCGACAACGGCACTCGACTTCTTGCTGAACGAAAAGGGACTACTACAGCTATTGGGTGAACTTGGGTTGTCTTGCACATGCAGCATCTTGGAGGACTCGGTTCTCACCTGTACGGATGCTTGGGACGCCATCAAATCATTTCGGGCAAAAGAGGTCATCTTTGTTGGAGAATATCAGCCAAGAACAGAGACTCGATTCTCGCCAGCTGTTCAGGAGGCTATCGAGATGCTCGTAGATAGATCGCCTGTCCCGATCCTATATGTGCAGGACCCAAAAATCGCAGACGGTGGTACGACCGACGAGGGGGTCGAATCGAGCTCCACAGCGGTCGACGAACTGAATACTGGAGGGGCCACCAACGATTTGACCGTGGCAGCAGCCGGAGACTCGGCCGGAGAGTCGGACATCGTAACATCGAACGACGGTTCCAACAATACAGCACCGATTGCAAGCTACACATGCTCCTATAGAAGTGAACTTGAAGATGTATACTTGCAAATCAAGATGAATCCAAGCAACAACCTAAGCTTTATCTCGGATTGCTGGGTGACGGCTGGCTCCAATACCGATATCACCAACCGGAACAAAGTCGATAAGTTCTCGTTCAAATACGTGCTCGCGGACAGCTTCCGAGGATCGGTCGAGGATTGGCGTAAGTCTTTTCTATTTTTATATCGCTCGGATCTCCAAGTGTATCTGATCCTGTACCCATGACTTACTGATGATACAGAGCTACAGGTTAGTCTGGTTCGAACGAAGCGCGAATCCTAGCAGAACACTAACGATGCATTTATCGACATACGGCTGCTCATACCTTGCAGCCGGCTCTTACGTCAAACCGACCCGGCACAACTTCGCGCACCATGGGAGTACATCTGGGGGCCAGTCCATCCGTGGATGCGGCTGTGAGTCAGGAAATACCTAATTCTGGAGGGATCACTTCCCATGCAGATACTCTCTACTACAAATGTGCCGAAGTTGAGACTGGCGGGAATCGACAAGGGGGAAGATTCAAACATCAGTATGAAATTCTTCTCAATACCGCTGCGGTTGCGAATGAGAACACGGATGGAGGCAACATAGAAAGAGAGGGGGCGGCAAACAGCTTTACTGCATCTCTCGTCGCCAAGTACAAGAGGACCATCACCATCGGGTTGCTACCGATCGTCTCGATCCTGACGATCAAGATGAAGATGAGTTTCATAATCCTTCCACCTGTGCCTGGAGTACACCGTGTAGAGGTAACTCATCAACAAGGGGAGAACATCAAAGTCGATAGGTTCGGTGGTGCAATCAAATACGACCTCAGAATCGACAGACTGGGTCGGCGTACGAGGAGCGCTTCGGTAATCGAAGGACGGCCGGTACCAGAGGAATTCGTGCTCGAGGAATTCGTGCTCGGTCCGGCTATCTTTGAGCGGGAATGAGAACGAAATCGATCAGCACTATTATACACGTAGATTATCTATATAAAATTGCATATACACGAATGAATTATGTGATCTGACCGAATCCATCGATTACCGCGGGCGATGTTGCGGTATGCGAGATCTAATCACAGCCGCAACCATAGACCTTCCCTACCTTTCCTATAGTGACTCGACACGTACCATGAGCGCGCATTCGTTTCCTTGGAACGTCATAGCTTCGACAAGCTAAGATATTGTACGCCATCTTATCACTTTTTCTGGAGGACGTTGTCTTCGCCCCCTTTTGCTTGGCAAATCTCATCTCTTCGAAAACCACCAGAAATATTCTAGTAAACCATGTCATTGCCGTATGCAACACCTCGTAAGGTCGAAGATCTAGCCACCCGAGTGATATGTCTCTGGGGGATAGGTTTATCGGCTTTGACGCACACTTCAGTGATTGCGCAACGCATATAGCGATTGGCGAGGTGAAAGAAACTCCCACTGTACAACATGTACCCGAATAGTATCGAGCGGACTTTGATGGTGGGCCGGGAGGGCATATGTTAGGCGTCGAGAAGGCCGTCGTTAGAACAATATATCTATAAACCGTACTGCATTGTAGACAGACGTAATGCAGGCATCAGCCATCAGGGAGAGCCGAAGCTGTGGGCAATGATCGAGATGTTACCAAGCAATTCCACACGGCCAAGCCTTTCCTTGCTCGTTTCCGACTGAAAGGGAGTAGTATTAGTGTTATCGGTTACTAGCATTATACGCCATGCTATCATCACAGCTGCTTTCCGGACAATCGTTCTGAGGCGAGGGTGCTTCTTGTCAAATTCCTGCTTGCGAACGCCAAAAGCTTTGGAGGCCGTGCTCGTAAACGAAAGCGCTTGCGCCAATCCGTTCGTCATCATGTCCGGAATAGATTAAAATTCCTGACCTAGCAATGTATCTGTATTCGAAAGCCACGTTCATCACTTGAAGCTGCGTCGGGATACGATGAACACAATTCGGCACGAACAAGCCGAACAAGCGACTTCGAGAACAAAAGAGCAAGCCGTGTCACCTGAAACGCGCGTCTGATCGGAAGCATATTCCGCGGAAACAAATGATGATGTCCCCCCGATGAGGTCGACAAAAAGACTTTGTATCGCTCATGTAGACGAAAGTTCATCGACCTTCCTTTGCCCGGTCTCGACCTCGAGTCTTTTTGCAGGATACTTTTCAGCAGCATCTATCATCATGCCCATGACCTCGACCTTGGCTACTTCTCGAAAACGCCTGCAACGGCTCGTTCGTTCCTATCGATTCTTGGTCATCCTCGTCGTCGCGGGGACTCTTCTACATCTCGGGCGCGCTCCGAATCTCTACCGTGGATCGTATCTCCCACAGAATGAGCCTGGAAGACTCGGAAACTTTCTCATAGGCCGTCATGAGGATCACAAGGACCCCAGAATAGCGGCCTCGTGGCATGCCGAGTTGTTCAAGCCGCAAGGCAGCAAGGACCTGTTTACCTGGAATGTCCGGGACGATCGGTGCGAAAACCTGAACATTCCAGAAGAGTTCGAGCTGGAAGGCAACAAAGAGCAAGCCTGTTGGAGACTGAGGTTACTGCATCAGCTGGACGCTTGGGAACCGCACAAAAGCTTCAGGTAAGAAGCGATCTATGTATGGGCAAGAAAATCCAGCTCACAGACGTCTCTTCTCTCGTTAGCACCTGGAAAGATCAAGAGGAAAAGAACACCGCCGCTCTCGATCGATTGCGAAAATGTCTGTTGAGACCGCTTTCTCCGGAACCGCAAACATACGGCGACAATTCATGCAGCTTGAAAACCACCAAGATTGTCATCGGTCACTGGTGGTTCTGGACGATGGGTTTCACCAAGGCCGGCTTGTCAGGGGAAGCTATCTGGACAGCCAGTATGGTCAGTCTACATCATAGCTCACTTATTCCTTCTGGAAAGCTGAAACGAAACTGGGAACAGATCGATGCCTTGGAAGAGCAAGGCTATACGGTACTGTCTACCTCGGAATACGAAGGCATGATTCAAGCTCACGCCGAGATCCCGGACTTGATGTGAGTTATCGTTGACCGGATCGTTGCCGAAAATGTCCTGATCTCTCACCGTAATTGCTTCGATATACTAGTTCTCACTTGTTCATCGACGAAAAGATCATGCTCACATGCATGTCGGACCCGTTCTGCCTCTCGGCTGAGGACTTCCGGCCCACTCGCTCCTTGTTCCCCGATCTCCAGATCAGCGCCAACGGGGACCCTATCCGTACCGAAGGGATGCAGGGGAATCAAGAGGGCGACCTTCAAAAATGGGTGTGGTCTCAGAAAGAGCTTGAGAAGCTGGATGAGGCGGCGGCTAGAGGTACCGGAAGAGCTCGTGGCACGATCCCGCTTCACAAGCTTTTCGTCTTGACTTGGGTGAGTGCGGGAGTGTCTTCGCGGAATGAGACGAGAAGTGACACTAAGCTGTGGAATCCAGTGGGGAACCAAGACAGGGGAAGGATACTGGCCGGTCCCAGACGGGTTTTCGTGGAACCCGCTAGGACCCGAATGGACCATCTCGTACGTTGCACTTTCATGAGGCGAATGAAGTCCCGGCTAACCACCACCTCACAGTCCGTTCAGCTACCCGAATCACACTTTCATGCCGTACTCTATCGAAAGGGAATGTTCGGCGGTCCCTCTGACTCCTCCGGCACAAAAGCTGGATCGGGTGTTCGTGCTGGCCAAACTGGCCGAATACTTTTACGACAAGCGTAAAGCGCCGCCTGAAAGCGTATGGGTAGACTTTCAACAGAAGACTGGGTTGGAGGCCGTCTCCGTTGCCACAGACAGAAAAGATGGAGCGCGAGGATGGCTCAACTATACCGTTCCTCAAGGTGTTACACCGATAGCCCCTCTGTCGCGTGATCAGTTCGAGATCGAGGTCGGCAAGAGCAAGGTGATGCTCGGAATTGGTCGGCCTTACATCTCGCCGTCGATTTATACCAGCCTGTGTCAAGGAACTCCCGTGGTCCTGCCCTACTTCGCGGACCCGGAGGAGGTGTATCAGGGGTATAACCTCTTCAACGGGTACGTATAGACCGCACAAACCTCATCACGGCCGTTTCTAACGATCCTTGCGGGTTTGCAGCGAATACGCTCAACACGGTCCGGCCTCGCTTATCGGCCCACCCTACGTCTACACATATCAACATGACGACGACCCGCAGCAGCTCCTCGATCTCGTCTCCCAAGCCGCTTCGAAGCCTATCGATCGGTATATTCCAGATGACATGACCTGGTCGGCCGTTCGAAATGATGTCGACGACCTGATGCTTTTCGATTGGCATCGTCACGCCGAACGAATCCGAACATCTCGAGGATCCGAGCTCATCCCTCAAAACCGCCTGGATGTCATCGGTCGATGCTTCGAGATCGGCCGATGCAAGCCGTTATCCCCGGAACTATAAACATGAATGTCGATACAACCTGCGCCCCACCATATATGCCAAAAGAAGGAATAGAATACGATACGATACAAGCCCTCCCAGAAGCCACGTTCTTATGCCGTGCTCCTGTTGATGTTGCCGTACCCAATCCCGACGCAGCTGACCATGACCTCGTCCGGTACCAGCCGTTTCACCTTGTCGTTCTGGCTGTCAACGACCCCCTTGACCTTGATCCCGCCGATGGTCCGCTCGTTTTCCTCATCATCCTCGTCATTGTCGCTCTCGCTGCCATCCTTGTTCTCGCCCTTGTTTTCGTTGGGACCCGTCTGCTTGATATTGCCAGCGTGATGCTGAGCGATCGGCGTGATCTTGAACCTGACTCCGAAAAAGTCGTTGATGTCGCGTAACCATTGAACGCTACCCAGTCGTCGCACAGCAATCAGCGCCTGAGGGACTTGCCGCTCCGAACTCCTCTAGAATGTGTATCACTCACGTCAATGGCGTCAACGTCCCCATCCTACACCTCGCCACATCCTCGCTCCCGAGGACCATCAACATGCAGACCAGCCACTGGTAAGACTCGTCCACGCATCCACCCCGGCTGACTTGCTCCAGCAAGGCCCTCGCCGCGTTGAGAGCCAGGTCTTCAGGGGTCTGAAAGGCTTGTTCGGAGGAGGGGGTGGAGTGGTCGGAAGGGTTTGCGCGGGAGGTGGCGGGGATGGAGATGGTCTCTGCCGTGTGGAGGGCCGAGGTGGTCGATTGGGATAAGAGCGTTAGACCGTAACCGGGTGATCTGTATCGTACGGGTTCCTCTCAGTTAATAGCTGTGACAGGGGAGTGTTACAAGATTATGATTGAGGACTCGCTTGCCGCTCTCCTCTCCCTTGTAGACGTCGGTGTATAGGTAAATGTCCGGGATATATCGGTTCAATACTGATCTAGCGGCCTCGACCATCCTGTTGGCGAATTGCGGTGAGACTCGGGTCGAGTACCTGTTTAATGCCAAAACGTCCAAAAATCAATCCTCCCGAGTCGTCCTCACAAACAAACGAGACAGAGGCACAAGGCGACTCACGCGATACCTCGTATCCGCTTGATCCTACCGGGATCCACGAAATCTAGCGTCTTGACATTCTTCACCACGGGACACTTGAAAACGACCATCCCACCTCCCAACGGGGCCGCCCCGCGTCGTTTGATCTGCAACTCCAGCCCCTCGATGACCCCAAAAAGGTGTAACGTCGGCAACCCGACCGTCCTCAACATGTCTACGCTCATATCCCTGCCTTCTTCCCCCGTTATCCCCTCTAGTCGGACTTCTAGGGGACGTTTCCCGAATGGGCCGAGCACGAGGAGGGTTTCTAGAAAGTAGCCGATGGGGCGGGTGAGGGGACAGGTGTGGGTGTAGGAACCGCCGGGGAGGAGACCGGGGTGGACGAGGACTGTTGTTCCGGTGTAGGAGATTTCGATCGTCGTGCCGTTGGTGATCTTTTCGAGGAGACGAAGGAGGGAGACCTCGTAGTCTTAGGTATCAAAATCGACGTCCCGGTATCAGCTGTTGTAACGTCACTTTCTCTTAACAAGCCTGAACTGCGCTCACCTTTTAAACCGACTTCCACCTCATCCTCTCTGATTCCATCTATCCTGACGCTCTTTCCCGATAACAGACATAGGATCAGACGTTGTCGCAAGTATTGATGCCCGCGATACCGGATGATCTTGCGTCCAGACGAGTTGAGAGAGGCGTTTTTAGGAGGAGCTCCTGATGTTGCCGCGGGCTTGCTTTTCGAGGATAGTGATGGCATGTTGCACGTTTTAAAGCGTCTAGAATGAGGTATCTGGGTGTGATAGTAGGTCGAGTTGAAGATGTGGATAACGATATAGGATTCTCAAAGATCAGTTTGAAGCCGGTGAGGTCTGATGAACCAACTTTCGTAGCAAGGTCACGTGACTCCTTGACCGTCGATCGCCGAGTCAAGTGGTCGTCGTCGTGGCAATCTCCTCTTCAACTATCATCTTGCATCTCCTCTTCTCTCGATTAGATACACATCCAGTCACACAGGTCACCCACCTGATCGTTCTATATACTGAACAAGGTATTTGATCCTGTCAGCGCCAGATTGCTGGATCCCTTATCGCACCACCTAGGATGATCAAGACCTGCGTCGCTCATCTCAACTTGATGAATCACTATCGAATACGAACGTAGAGGCACAACATTACAACAACCCATTAAGGTCACCCCTGACAGCATAAAAACAGCAAAAAGGCAAAACGAACCCCACTAAACCTAAATCCGCGACACGGAACAACCTACCATAAGTACACGTCAACTCGACCTCGATATCAATCGTAAACACAGATGCCCGGCATGATCGGCGAACGCCGGTATACCGGAGAATCGCCTCGGTATCCTTCACCATGGCAACAAGCTCTATCGGACCCTAGTATCAACATCAAGGTCTCGCCCATTCCTAGTCCGTTGTTGATGGGGACGAGTAACGCTTCCTCGAGGACCCCTTTGAGGGAACCGAAGGATGAACCTGAACAATCGGATGAAGAGCAACAAGGGGGAATGTCCCGGATGTCCCGGTCCTCCATATCCATGTCTTCTACTTCGGCCTCGAGCACATCATACATCTCTGAATCCAGCACCGAGCCACATTTACCTTCATCACCTCCCAGACTCCGTCATCCGCACTCGCAGCAATCCCTCATCCTCTCCCCATCTCGGAATGGGAGTACCACCAAGCTCGTCGCCGAGAGGGACAAGACGGGGCACATAGAGTACAAGTTGAAGTTGGACGCCAAGATCGGAGGGGCACGGTTCGAGAGGCTCGTGACGCAGCTTCGGTGGAGGTGAGTGTGGGCCTTCAACTATGATCTCCATACAATCGTGTGGCTAAACGTTTGATCATGGCGGATGTGCCTGTTGCTATTGTAGGCTCACCGAAGGAGGCGGGGAAGCGATGTACGAACTAGGCATCCTCGACGACGGTACCTTGGTCGGAATCCCACCCTCTCTAATGGAAACATCCCTGAGGACGCTGGAGCTGATGGCAGCCGAGCTGGGGGCGACGGTCATGGTACTCAGGGTCGTCAAGTTGACCAGCCCGCCGGTCATGAGCGGGAGATTAGGGATGGGTGTAGGGGTCGGAATAAGTGCACGTGATTTAAGGGAGAAGGACGAGGATAAATATGCGGACAAGGAACTCAGGAAGGACGAGGTACGAGATGGGGATGCCGAAGGATATGGAGAGCGTCCGTACAAAGCCCCAAGAAGACGTTCAGGCCTGACGCAGTTCCAGCAAGAAAAGCTGAGACGAGCCAACCTCACTGGAAATCAACGGGGCTCGGCGGTACACAAAAATAAGACCAAGAATAAGCATGGTTTGGGGCCGCGTGGGCATGATGGACAGGTCTTGACGGCCAAGCAGAGGAAACGGTTGGAGAAGCGCGAGGTCTATGACAGTGATAGTGAGAGCCAGGAGGATCAGGATGGACGAGAGGTCGAGTGCCGTGCCGATGTCGGGAGCAACGCCAACGATCCTGTCGATATGGACGCCGATGTGCGCAAAGCCGCTTTACCCGTCCGCACGCTGGAAGTCAACGGCCGCATATACGGTCCGGATGAAGACTGGCCCGTCCTTCGACCTGAACACGAACAATCCGATTCTCCCACTGCCGCGGCACCCGGCACCCAGCCAGCCTCGTGGAAAGAACGTAACCTCGCTCAATACGCCTTGGCTTCGACGGCAGATGGGAAATGGAAAGCCAAGCGCGAGTATGGGCAGGCGGAAAAGGAACTGATCAGAAGGGAGAGAAGGGAGAGGAAGCGAGCGAGGAAGACGGTAGGAAAGAGTGGGAACGGGAATGAGGGGGATGGATGGGGGATGTTTGATATGGACCCTGAGGAGGCGGAGCTGGGCAAGCGGCCCGTCAATGACGATAGTGAGGAAGAGAAGGAGGATCAGGACGAAGGTGGAGATGAGGATACTGAAGACGAGGATCCGAGCGGGTTCTTCTTTCTCGGGGAGCCTGCTTCCGCCTCGAACAACCATCAACCGCGCAAGCAGAACACGAGACCCTCCTTTAACGATCATCCGCCACCCTCTAAAGCGTCCAAGAGCGCCCGCAAGAAGAGACGAGACGATGAACGCCGGTGTCAGCGTAAAGAGTCTCGCCGGCTGGATCTCTTGCGCGGCGATGGGACAGGCGATCCATTCGATACGGACGTACGCGAATTGAGTGTCGGCGGGTTTGGATTCGGGGCGGGAAGCGTGGGAAGCAGTGATGAAGAGACGGGGTTTGACTTGAGGGGTGTCATTCGGCGGGTGACGGGGGGTGACGAGCAGGGCCAGGACGGGGACGGGCATGACGCTACAGCTACGGATCTGGCCGTCTCGCCATCAAAGACGATTGGAACGCGATCTCCTCAGACTGCATCCGTCTTCGCCTTGCCTTCACAGCCCGCCGTGGAACATGATCACGATCCGGCAGACGAACCCTTGCCCTCCCCGGCCGATACAATCACGCTGCCGATGGACAATCTCAGTCTCTCATTCTCACACGCCGAGGTGCGGGATCAGGAGCGGGATGACGATGATGACGAGGAGCATGACGACGACGATGGTGACGATCTACCGGAATCGACTCGTCTCTGCGTCGAGGCTCTGGTGGTCAAAAAGTTCGAGCTCGAGGACCGAATGTACCTGGATTTCAGTTGTCTAGGTGGTCGATAGTCATGCGTTGACGATGAATCGTCAGAGGGTTTAACATACTGTCAAATAATGACATCAATGGATCATGTTGCGTCGCTCTTCGAGTGACGATTCGTCCGGCTGTTGCTGGCCTGCCCGAGTATGCTGCCTTGTTTGGGATTAGCCATCCAGTCTATCTGATGCAAGTATTCCGCGTAGGTGTAGCACCTGGCCTGATTGCCAGACGGGAGATTCAGGAGGTTCCGCTTGGCAGAAGATGCGTGATTGGGAGACGGGAGATTCATGATGATTCACAACTTTTGTGAAGAGTAGTCAGTGTAAGTCATCAGCGCCGTAGCCATGAGTCTTACAGCAAGACGAGTTTTGGAAAGACGGGCAAGATTTTGTCCCACCAGAAAGAAGTATCGAATTTGAGGATTAAAAGGATCTCGGCAGGATAAGATGTTGCCGGTCGATCATAGAATTGGTAGAGGTTGTATTGGTTGTTCCCCATGTCTGTGTAGCTCTGGTCAGAGGTCAAGCCAGATGGAGCGTTGTTATCACCACCAGTGTAACCTCCTAGCTTGGAATTTTCAGCTTCAGTGTCAGGCCCTGGGATGAGAGAGAAGACAGCGTTGGGGTCAAGAGGTTGATGAAGCTCCCTGTGAGCTTCTTCTTGCATCTGCAGGATCAACAACCTGATCCTGGTTTGCCTGTTCATCTCCTCAAAGAGCTGAGCATGATTAGGCTCTGGCTTCTGTTGCTGCTCATCCTCCATATGGTTCTCTACATACCCATACCATGATCCCTCGTCTGGGTGATACCGTCTGGCGTGACCTTTCCCAGACAGAGCCTTGAATCGGGGTCCTGGCGAGACTCGAAGTACACGCACAACAATACCATCAAGAAGATCATGACCCGAGAAGTACATAGAAAAACAACATCGCTACTGAACCTAGGCCTTGCGCGTCGTCTTTTTCGTCGACTCAGGCAACGGTCTAGGCTTGTTCTTCAGCTTGGGCGCCTTGACCGGCTCCTCTGCCACCTTGTCCCCCTTGCCTTTTGAGACCTTGACTCCCTTGCTCTTCAGTGCCCGGCGTTTCGAATCTACAAATCCGGAGTCTCGATTAGCGGCGTGTCCTGCTCCTCGTAGTGACAAGTCAACATCGTATGTCTTACCCTTGATGATAGCCTCGTCCTCGTCATCATTGAATGTGGCGTTGGCCAAGACGTCCTCCTCTTCACCAAGCGTTACATCCATGGCATCGTCCTGGTCCTGTGCCTCGGCACTGGCGGCTTCAGTCTTTTTCGTCTTCTTCATGACCTTGAATTTGGCTACGAAGAAACCGTCCACTATAGGGTCGAAAGCGGGTCAGTTATGCTGGTCCCTACTTGATACGAGCAGACCTTTAACTAACTGTTGTGCTTGTGAGGATAGAACTGTAATTAAATTTTTAGGGGGACAAAGTCAGCTAAACGCTCCGCCCGTTGAACAAACACCGAAACAGATGACCTACCCTCCTGGTCATCGAAACACTCGGGTGGAACTGCTTCCCACCAAACGCCTTGAATCCCTCGACACCGAATTGCAACCCGGTCTCAACAAGCTTGACATTGGGTCGTTTCCTCAACGCATAGTCTACGACGCTCTCGTTCTCGTCGACCGTTACTGAACAGGTCGAGTAGACGACGTAACCTCCCGTCTTCGATGAAGGGTCGCACGAGTCCAGAGCGCAGAGGACGAGCTGTTTCTGCAGGTGGGCAAGGAGCTGGAAGTCTCGCTCGGACTGTGGTTATGTAGTATGTTATGAAATCATGTTAGCGAAAGGAGATCGACCTTCAAGCCAGACCGTCGCACTCGAAACCTACCTTGTTGACCTTGACGCTCGGGTCCTTCGATATGACACCTGTACCACTGCAAGGCGCATCCAACAACACCCTGTCGAACCCACCCATTACCTTGGGGAACTCTCTTCCATCATAACTACACACGACAACATTCTTGCATCCGAGACGGTGCACGTTGGCGGTCAAACTCTTCGTCCTCGCCTTGTTCGAGTCGTTGGCAAAGACCACCCCGGTGTTCTGGAGCAAGGCTGAAATGTACGTCGTCTTTCCTCCCGGTGCCGAGGCCATGTCCAGTACACGTTCCTCAGGTTGAGGAGCGAGCGCGATGACGGGCAAGAATGACGAAGCGGCTTGTAACATGTAATGTCCAGCCAAGTACTCGGGCGTAGCTCCGATAGGCACGCTCGACTCGAAGACTTGCAAACCGACTTTGCTCCATTTGCCGATCGGTTCGAGGTTGACTCCACGGTTGATCAGCGCCTGGGCTAGGTCTCGTCGACGCGTACGGAGGGTGTTTGTTCGGATTGTCACGGGACGGGGGGTCTCGTTGGCCTCGAAGAAAGCCAGGGCCTGCGACGTGAGCAAAGTAAAATTAGGCGGATCAGCTCAACTGCCGAAAGTATACTGTTGTTTCACAATACATGATTGCGGGGTTATGACTCACCTCGGCGGCGGAGAACAAGACCATGAGCTTGCCAACCAGATAGTTGTTGTACCCAAAGTAAGTGGCGATATCGTGCTGCAACTGCAACAAGTGGTCCGAGCGCGAGCTATAAAAGATGACATCAAACGTGGATCAGCCTCCATCTCTCACATGTCCGCATTCCGGATTTGGCGTGATTGACCGCGTGTAAACCAAAACTCACAATCCTTTGATCCCCCTAAACTCCTGCCCCGGGATGACCTCCCCGTCCTCATCCTTCTCTTTGCCCCCAAGCACGCCGACCAACCACCTCATCCTCGCCTCGACATCCCTCAAGCTGGTCCTCCCCTCGAGCTCATCGAATTGCTCTTCATCGTCATCATCTTCTCCGTTATCGACGTCCTCGGCGGTCTTGGCTCGGGATTTGGTCACGGCGGGGAGGGTGAACTCGGAAGCGGTGATGTCGCCCATCAAGTTGGTAGTGATCTGTCCGTCCAGGTCTTCGTCGTCGTCGATAGCCATGCTGGGGTTCGGACGAAGATGAGGAGGTACCTCGTCGTCCGCCTCCATATCCTCATCCTCGTTGTCATCGCCATCGGCACCGTCCTTTTCGTCCTCGCTCGTGTCGAAAGCACTATCGTGCTCCAATCCACCTGCCAGCTCGTCGTCCTCATCTTCGCTCATCTCAAACTCGTCTCCGCCAGCTCCGAACATGTCATCGCCATCTTCCTCGTCGTCTCCTTCACTGTCGCTGTCTGCCTCGCCCATGAACGCCGCCAAGTCGTTCTCTTCGCCCGAAGGAGCTTCGTCCAGGTCGAAGTTGTGTTGAACCTCGGGAGCTTCGGGGTCATCGTTGTGCAAGAACTGAAAAAGTCGCAATAACAGCATGTACATGTTGATAAGCGCTCGCGAGGCAGACTCCCAGGAAGAAAGTAATTATTGCTTACTGCCGATTCGTCGTTGATATCGGGCTCGGAATCGTCATCGAACGTCACATCGGCCGAGCTGATTGCAAGCGTAGCATAACGTGAGCAAGACCATTAGCTCGGATTCGAGCGCGACTGATACCAGTATCCGTAGAGCACTCACGACTTTTTGCTCGACTTGAGCGACTTCTTTTTAGGTTGTTGTTGCGTCTTTCGACCTGACGGCTGCTCGTCATCCGAATCCGAATATCTATACATACCCACCGAGAATATGAGAGAAAAATCACGATCAGATCCTGTTCGGACCGCGTCATACCATCGATATCGCCAGAGCCGAAACGCTGTACTCACACTGGCCTAGCAACCTGTACACCAGCTCTTCCCTTCCCCTTGGACTTGTTCTCATCCTTGCTTTTGGTCTTTTTCCCGCCGGCGGCTCGTACGGCCTCTTCCTCTGCTTTCCGCTTGTTCTGACGACGAGACTCCGGTCGGACCGCTTCCGGATCGTGCAGGGGTTTAGGAGCGGCCTGCTTGTTCTTTGCTTTGTAACCCATCGTGCGTAGTCTATGTGTACGAATCGTCTGTGGGTCTATAGGATCGAAAAGGGGCGAGGAGAGGATGTGAACCGAAGGTTATTGCAGAAGTTTCAAGTGCAAGCTCGAGGGAGGTTGCTGATTATTTATGAAGGTGCTCGGAGTCTCTGCTCAATTCGATAGTTAATACAAATCACGTGACATTAGAAAATGTTGATACCGGGGGAGGGAGGAGACATGCTAGACATGGAGATTTCAGCAAGACCTTGATCGATTGAGGTGCACAATTTGGATCTCGTTAGTAACACCACTATCGATAACCTGACTATCAACAGAAGCCAACACATAACCCGCCAAAATGCCCCGATCAAAACGTTCCAAGGTCGGTAAGTATCGCATAAACCACCTCTTCCGTCTCAACCCATCTCGCGAGATTAACCGCCTCTCACCTGTTTCCCATCGTACCCATAGTGTCCCTCACGCAAACCCAAAAGAAGGGAATGGAGCACAAGAAGAAGCTCGTCGAAGATATCCGCGCATGTTTGGACGAGTACAAGTACGTCTGGATCTTTAGCGTCGGGGACATGCGTACGGACGGGCTGCAAGAGGTCAGGAACCTGTGGAAGGGAACGGGGAGGATCATCTATGGCAAGAACAAGGTCGTCGCCAAGGCTTTGGGAGAGTCGGAGGAGACCGAGTACAAGACTGGTTTGAGCGAGATTGCCAAGGTCAGTCCTGGCGGTCACGACGATGTACACTTGTTGCAAGCCAGACCCTAATACTGTCGTCTGCACTTCACAGCGCCTCAAAGGCCCTCTCGGCCTCTTCCTCACCTCCTGGGACCCGACCGAGACCCTAGAATGGTTCCAAACATTCACCCGCCCAGCCTTTGCCCGACTAAACTTTCCCGCCACCCAGACCCTCGTCCTCCCCGCCGGTCCGATCAAGAACGCCGAAGACGAGACCTTCCCGCATTCGATGGAACCTCAGTTGAGAGGGTGTGGGTTGATGACGAGCTTGGAAAAGGGAGTACCGACTCTGAAGGTGGAGACGCAGGTCTGTAAAGAGGGGGAGAAGCTGAGTGGGGAGAAGGCTAGGTTGTTGTTGATGCTCGGATACATGCAAGCCGTGAGTACACCCGCGTTTCATAAACCACCCTCTGATCTTTTAGCAAGCATCGCTGACTCTTTTCATTCTCATCTCGCCATGCAGACCTTCAAAGTCAAGCTCGGGTCGCATTGGTCGGAAGAGGGCGGGTTCGTCGAGGGTGACGATCTCAGTGCCGACGCCCAGCTCCGCGTCCCGGCAGACGACGAGGACATGGCTTAGACACGCCTGATGACTCTAGTTGTAATTGTACTTAGACGCTTGCTTCTTTTTCTATTCGGGTCTTTGGGCGAGCTCGGTTACGCCGGAGCCTTGTCATGCTGTTACTATATTCTATGTGCCGTTTCGGGGATCGCTATTTCACAATGCGAGACAGAGCACTTCGATGAGTCATATGTTTGAGAGCGTGAGGGAGCGACTTGGGTGACAACGATCGTAGCTTGAGATATACATATATAGGTTACTGGTAATAGGAGAAAGAGATTGTCCGTATCGTATCCGGTTATAAGACTGGCTGCCACATGGATCAACGACGATCGGCCGGAATCGAGTGGTACCTGCAAATAAAGGAAATCGGACGAAGATGAGCATGTGGCTCAGCTTAGCAGAGATACGCATGCAGACTGACTGAGGTGGCAACTCCTCTTCGCCCTCGGGCACATAACGTCCCCCATCCTCGTGCACTCTCGGCATCGACGTCGAGGTCTCCCCCGAAGGACTCGCCGGGGCGGTTATCGGCGAACCCTCCTCGTTGGCATGATCGTTCTGCGCATACATGTTTCTCAACCTCTCTTGTTGAGCTTCCCTCATCTTGCGTGAAGCCGCCGTCGACGGGGTAGCCGCCGCGCCGTACGGGTTGTTATCGTGAGTCGAGCTCGACGTTCCGGTAGGTACGGGTGTGGGCATCTGGGTATCCCCTCCTTGACCGTAATAAGCGTTCCCCGTACCTCTCCCTGCGAAGCCTGCCAAGGTCAACGTCGACCCGGTGCTAGGTCCACGGTGAACTCCGGCTCCATCGCCCCCATCCGAACTCAAGTCCGTCCGAGAACTAGCCAAACCGGCACCCAAGGCGGCACCCGCTCCTGCGCCCGCCGCAGCGTAGCCTGCGCCATATGCCGCTTGTTGGGAGGATGGGAGCCCTCCAGCGGCGTATTGCGACATTTCCGGGGCGGCCTGAGGATAGCTGTAAGGATCGACCGTAGTCGGCTCAGGGTCTATTAAGTCGGTCGCGCCGGGAGCTGCACGTTGATGACCTCGAGACGGGTCGAACTACAAGAAAAGCGGAGACGGATTTCTTGGGTCAGTTGCGTGCGTTATGAAATGTATTGGTACTTGCTGCGACTTACCATCATGTCGTCAAACTCGTTGGCGTTGTTCTTTCTCTTTCGACGCAAGAACCACCAGGCCAAAGCCGCCAAAAGCGCCAGTCCGACGACTCCACCGACAACACCTCCAACAATGGCTCCCGTGTCTGTTGCAGGCAGACCACAATTGCGAGTACAGGGAAGAGAGGTATGGTTTTATCAATGTTGGCTGATCGAAAAGAGTCGCTGAAAGGCTGAGGGACGTACTGCTTCCACCGGAACTACCAGACCCGCTGTTCCCACCCTCTGCGATGGCCGTGACCTCGGTCGAACCATCGCTGAGCGTCCTAGTCACCGTCCTGCATAGATCGAAATCGAAACCAACAGATCAAGCATATTTGTCAGCCACCAACGACCCAGATTCCAGGCAATCACCCGACTGATACGCACAAAGTCCTCCCTCCCGAAACCTGAGAAGCAGGCACAGTGGTCGACCCGGTGACCAACGTCGTACTCCCCTGAGCGTCCGTACTGATATACGTCGTCCCTACCACAGCCGAACTAGGCTGTTGCGTGACCGTGGCCTGTGCGGAAGATCCTGCCGCGGTGTTGGTGACGGTCGTCCCTCCGGCCCCGGTGGTGACACTACCACCACCGCCCCCATTATTGCCCTGAGAGGTAGTAGTAGCAGGGTTGCTCGTCGCCCCCTGTTCGGTGGTCGTCACTCCGCCATTGGCCGAAGTCGTATCCCCAGCTTGACTGGTAACTTGAGCAGTCGTAGTAGGAGGTTGAGAAGTAGCTTGCTCCGAGGTTGTAGCCTGAGCGGTGGTCGTGGGCGAAGTGGTAGTGGGGGGTTCGCTAGTGGTCACCGGCGTCGAAGCAGCAGGTGAGGTGACCGCAGGGGAAGTTACACCAGAGGCTGTATAAGATTTGTAATCGATATGATATTGATGATCGAGAAGACAAGGCGGTACGAACGATGTCGTATATGGTCAGTCATGATCACCCGGACCAAGCCTGAGGTTGCACTCACACATGGTGGCAATGACTGTAAGTGTTCAGTATGTCTAATTGATATTGAAGCTGACAAAGGCAGTCGAGGTCGTTGTCGATTGTCGTTCTAGTTTGATCGCCTGAATCTAATTCCAGTTGTTTTTGTTGATCGCACGACGTAAAACGAGCGTAAAGCGGTTCGAAGTCGATGCACTCGAGCGACAAGAGCTAGATGAGATGGGGAGTGGTGATATCGCCGACGACCAGTATGAGAGTGGAGCTGTATGTGGAATGTCGAGTATGAATTTTGGGATGGTAGAGTGACGACGATGGTGATGATGGTGATGATGATGTAGCGAGGTGAAAATGTGAAGGGAAGGGAAGGTGGAGAGAGGCAGAGAGAGAGGGCAGCGTGAGGAGGAGGAGCGAAGCGTGAGCACGAGATTTGATTCCTTTGATCTCGTGGTGACCACCCCACAATGGCCTCGAGGCTGTGCTAAACTCAGACCTGGTCCCCGAATACGACGGGATCACGGAGGTAGGGGGAATTGCAACGGGGAATATACGACGATGCTGCTTTACTAGAAGTGCCAACCGTACTTGCTATTCGTCATTCAGTGAGATGAGACTCGGCCACAGGAAACAGCCGAAGTCGTCCTTGCTTGCGACGTCGATCTGTTTTTGTTTGGAATGTCACCCCCTCCTCCTCGCTCGCTCAGCCACGAGAAGGAAACGGGCCCCGGAAGAAACATCGACCGTAGACTCTTCGCGAACCACCACGAACCTATTCTATAGCAAAGCACAAACCCGTATAGCAAATCGCATCACAACCCGAACCACCTCTTGACCACCTCATTGTCACCTCCACTACCAACGCCAGTGTCACCGCCTCCGATGATCTCCCCAACGTGATCGCTGATCGGGTCATCCGGACCAATCTTCTTGCCTCCGACAGAGTACCTGTAGAGGTATGTATACGTTTTAGCTACCATCCTTGTTCTTGCCCTTTGTCGTGTAATCGAGCCGAGCAGGCAAGGGTAACAGAAAGATCTCCCAGGCCGTCGAAAGATAGAGAGCAGGCGCCGCGAGACTCACGAGAAGAACACAAACTTCATGATCAACGTCACTACGGCGTGTACGACGATGACGACGATGATGAGCGTTCTTGGCAGCTTGGCGTCCGAGATCTGGAATGGTTGTCATCCAGAATGAGTTGGTCTCAGCATGAGCCTTGGCTGAATATGTTAGGATCTGGTACTCACGGATGAGAGCACGGGGTAAACGTTCCGAACACTATCATATCATCGTATAAAGAGCGTTTCAGATGGAGCTTCAGGGGTCTGATGCATGGTATGGTAGGACGGCTTCTGGAAAGGTGCCAGGTAAAGGAGGGGGGACTTACAGGAAGTAACCCGATGACAAACCTGCTGCCCCGACGAGGATCCACCGTAAAATCGGGATTGGGATCACACACAGGACCTGCGAGCCATTCAAAACAAACCGAGTAACATCAGCCACCATACTTTCGCGCCCTAACCTCCATCACCTCGATCCGGTCAGGGTCGGAGAGCTGGATACTGAACTCACGCTAATCGGCACCCAGACCACCATCCCATATCCCCAAACCGCCCAGGCCTCGGGCAAACTCCACCCCGCAGCCCCTTCCGATCCGCCCTCGTTCCCACCCGTCTTCAAAGCCAAGTATCGGACGACCCCCCAAAAGGCCGCAGGGAAGGCTAGGCCGTAGAGGTAGATCAGGGTGGTTATGAAGGTGAGGAGGGTGAGGTCCTTGTCCGTCGGGGTGTCTGATGTGGTGTTACCGGCGGATAAGGCGGTGGAAAGGGAGGTTGAGAGGTAGATTGTGAGGATGAGGGTGGTCAGGATCCAGAACGGGCCTAGTTTCGACATCAACAATTCATCAGCTACAGGCCGTATACGTACCAGCTGCAGAACCTCGTAACAATAGACTGACCGTAAAGATCCACCCTCGAACCGCATACGTCCTCGACGAACGATTCCTTGGGAATGAACGACGATAAGCATCGTTGAAGGACCGTCTTGGTGTCGACATCAAAGTAGGATTGGTAGTAGGTCAGGTTGAACATTGAGAACGGGACCTGGGCTGTGGGCGATGAGCGCAAGAGGAAGCAGGAGCAAGCAGGAGCGTAAGCAGGATCAAAGTTGGAGTTTCAGCATCAGTCCCGTAAAATCCCAGACACGGATAGAGATGAGAGATTGGACTGACGGCTCGTGCCCGGTCGATCATCCTCGATACGGGTTGGGTTTCCGCCAGTGTTCGTATTCAGGAAAGCTGCCGAGGTTGACTGTCAGCTCGACTGCGCGACGCTGACTTTTAACCTCGGAACATATTCCTCGTACTCACTTTGAAACTCGAGCTGGTTCGAACCGGCCTGACCACCGAGATCCCCAGCGAACTGTGATATCGATGCAAGGTTCATAACGGTGCGATCTTAGCTTTCGGGTTGATACCGAGTCGGCGATGGGTAGGTACGACGGCTCACCTCGTCATCGGCGTCTACTACACCGTATCCTTGTGTTCTAGACATATTCACTGGCTACTAGCTGCTAGAGTTCGTTGGCTCGATGGAGGTTGGCAGGTTGCTCTTGTCAAGAGACGTTTGATTGCGTGTATGAATGTTGAAAGGGCATCTACGGCTGCTAGGTGCTTTCGCCGTGACCCGGGACTCTTCGCTGACGTGCATTTCGCGTTCACAGGGTGGCTACATGGCTTGTTGCCAAGTGATGTGGCCATCTACAGCTGTAAGATAACATTTCTGTTTGCCTTTTGGCTTTGATCATGTGTAGTATCTGTTCTTAATACTCTGACGAGTATTACTAGTCCACTGGACTAATTTCGTCAAGTAATCTCTTTCCGCTTTGGCTTACCCCTCTGAGCTTGCTCACGGGTTTGTCGAGTTGTTCCTGGCTCTTCACTACTGCCTGGTGACGACAGAGCAACTTTTTTGCCCTTTTTGCGTGCGAAAACGAATGTTTACAACGCGATTCTTTTTGCCTTATTTGCGCTCAAGGTCATATCATACGGTCGTTCTGGTCGGTGATTTCACTCAAGGATGTCGAGCTTCAATAATCCCGCTCGGTCGCACTCGCAACGGACGTCATGACTGTCATTATATTTCGGGTCGTTCAACTACATGGTGATCGACGATCTACACGCTCTACATCGGCACGGGTCTGCCGCTTCTAATCGTCTCTACATCGCATTCCCTGCACCACCTCTCTCGCACCCTTCGCTCGTTCTTCCCATGCCCTGATCTTGGCCTCGCCATCGACCTTGATCGCTCGATGTTTAGCTACGTACATGGCGCGAATGTACTCGACCACCGTCATCTCGGCCTGATCGTCTGTGAGCGAGAGGTCCCGTGTCGAGTTGGTACCGGCCGTCTTGGTAGGGGTCGCCTGATCCAGTGATTCGATCACCGATCTGGCTTCCTTGGCGCCCGTATCGATCATTCTCATCCGCTCCGGGTCCGGTTGGTCGACTTGCATCGGCGTGATCTTCTCCGGCTCCGGCTCCTCGTCCGCGCCTGCATCTCGGTCGGTGTCGCTTGATATTACGACCACCGGTTCGTCCTTTTTCGGCCGTGCCGTAGTCGCAGGCGTTTTGGCCTTGGAGACCGGAATAGCCCTGGCTCGACTAGTAGCGGCGGCTGGAGCAGGCTTGGACCGTATCGTCTTCTCCGCCGCGACTTTGCTCTTTGCGCTAGAGACGACCGGGACGACGTCCTCCTGCTCGGTCTCGGTCACCGGCTCCGAGCTGGGCGCAGATTCTGCCATCTTTTTACTTCGTTTCGTTGTAGCTGCCGCTGGTCTCGTCGACGCAACGGCTGCGGGTTTCTTGACCACGGTCGCTCGAGTAGCTCGTCTTGTCGGTGGCGCCTTGGCCTCGATTCCGGGTTCGGGTTGTACTGCTGGCGCAGCCGGCTCGTCTATAGGTTCAGAAACCGCTTCTGCTGCTACTGCCGCAGCTGCTTTCCGACTTCGGACGGTGGTAGCGGGTTTCGAGACCTTTGTAGCACGACCTTTGCTCTTGGTAGGACTGGTTGGAGGCTTGATCGTCTCGTCCGCTTCCTCCTCTACCGGTGTGGCAATGGGGTCGTCTGTATCGCTTGCCGCTGCTACCACCGGCTTTCTCGTCGTCCGTCTGGTTGTACTAGCAGCTGCGGTCTTGGTTGATTTCGTGGACTTTGTCGTACGCGAAGCGGGACTACGAATGAGATTTTGGGCATCAGGAGAAGGACAACGCTGAGATCACGACAATGTGACATACCGTTTTGTCGTGGTTATTGCGAGCTGTGGTAGTGGAACTAGGTTAGCTCAGGATCCGACCAGTCAGCAGGTGCCGCTGCGACGCACCTCGTCTTCCGATACTTCAGGTGCTGCTCCGATCAACTTGGCCTTGAAAAAGCTACAATTTGGTTTCTTTTTCTGATGTATATCCCTGTAAGACATGATCGCTGTCAGCGATTTGTCAATGCTCGACGACGTGGGCTCATGGACTCACCAAGGATCATCCGTAGGCTCCCAACCAACCGTACTGTAATCGCAATAGATACAGGTCACACAGTCTTTCTCTTGTTTCGTTGGCGTATAGACGAATCCGGCTTGAGCGAGCTGATGAGAACACGTAGTGGTCAGGTCGAGCCAGAGATTTAGTAACACGGACCGGTCTACTTACGCTTGTTGGGGTCGGACTCCAGCCACGAATCGGATGAGGCCACCATTTCGCAAAGGTCTTGATCCTAGCCTTGTTCATGGTGTCACATTGCGGTAAACGATCCGCATCTTCGTAAAGCAGTCTGAAGAGGGCGCAGAAAGGTTCAGTACCGGTCGTAGCAATGACAATCGGATCTACCCACCTGGCCTTGCCCGTCTGCTTCCCACTTCCGCCACCTCGCCTCTCATCGACCATCACCGAACACACCGCCATCGCCCACCCGCACTTTCCTCGCCGATAATGCTCTTCGAACGGATCATCCCCTTCGTCCCATCCACCCAACTTTGAGTCGCACAGGAAGCAACCACACTGGTCCAGGTCGTCCGCCAGGGGTGCGTAGTAGTATCCCGCATATGCCAGATTCTCTGGAGTGAGGTTGGGGTACTTTGTAGGTGATAATGGCCATGTTGTCGGGATCGGCTTGGCCTTGCTTCGACCTTTCGGCTTGATCGTTGCTGTCGTGAACGAACGTAAACGTGCCTCCTGATACTGCATTGTCGGCGTATGAGTGCGCTCTCGATCTCAATTTAACTTCGATAACTTGCGCACAGAGATCAATGGTTGTACTAGATATGAAGCGATGAGTAGGCGGTTTGGTTATTGGGTCATGTCGGCTATAACCATGACCGCATTCAGGAGTATATAGTCTAGAAGCTAGAAGCTAGAAGTCGAGGTGGTTGATCGTCAGTCAACTTGCAACTTGTTTACATTTCGCAGAGATGAGACTCGTCGCGTCCCACTCGAGGGTTCGTAACATCATCATCGACAGATCGATATCGATATCGCTTGACCGCTGGATTATGATTCAAAAGGCATGCGAGGCACCAAGAAATTACAGGATTACAGATAGGCATATTCTAGACTCCGACTATATCTCGAGATGTGGATGCTCACATTCCGATGCTTCCATAGTTACCAGACTTGTAGTACGCGCTCATTTGCTGCAATATCCGTTCTAGACCGGCTAGCCAGTCGTCCAGTTCGGCCATCCTAGCGAAGTGCAGGTGGAACGTCAGCTGGGAAACGGAAGTCAGCCTTGGGATAGGTCGGGACTCACACGACATCGGTAGGTTCGCCCAAAGACGGGTAGAATTTGGCTCGATACGGGCAGACGTTCATGGCGAGCTGCGACGTACGCGAGTCCTGTCAAGCTCTGATCTCTGATGCCATTTGTTGCAACTCGTGTAAACTGACCTTGAACAACGGCCGGATCATGAAACCATGGAAGGGTCTCAAGCTCTGATCGTATGCCCGCGACATAGAGGTAGACAACTCTTCCTTCTCGTTGTTCATGTTCTCCCGAAGCCCGAGACTTGTGAATCGGAGCCCGCTGTCGGTATCGACAATCAACGCGACCGGAAGGGTCGTTAGCGAGTCTGAGTGGTGGCAGAAAGAGCGTGTAAAGGGCTTACCGAAGCAGCCAAGTCAAAGCCCCCGTCGCAAACATGTCACCACTTTCCTTCTCGTTCCGAAGAATATCTTCCAGTGTAACCGAAGTCTCCGGGTGCATCTTCCGTCGTTCTCTAACTTTCTGTTAGAAGCATACGATTTCGTCAGCTCTCTCACCTCTCCCGGCTGGTACGATACCGCAACCTACCGCATTCTTCGTAGATAGGTCGTTCTGGACAACTTGGAAAGCCTTGTTGTTGAACAGGTCTGTGTCATATACGGGATTACCACTACTGATCAGCCGCCGATTTTAGCAATCCACCTCGGACCTGGATAAGATGCACTGCACGTACCGAAGAAGGCGACAACAGCATCAGTGGCCTCGCAGAATTCGTCCGTATTGACTCCAGGATCGAGGGAGACATCTTTGAACGACTGGAAGCAGAACGAAGTCTGTCAGTGTCATACTGAATATATTGGACAATGCGGTGGTACTGACCCGCTTGACGGTCTTGTAGAAAGGGACAGGTGCTTCCTGTGCGGCGGGTTGTACGTCGGCCATTGCTGTATAGCTGTATATCGATCTGCAGCGTCCAAAGCTGAGATATCAAAATGGTATTGCGATTGCTTTATAGATGTTCGAACCAAGGTTGTGGGAGGCCCTGAGCAAGTAGGGTGAGGTATTCACAACGAAAGCTGTCGATATCGTTGCGGTTGGTCGATGCTGATCTGAAGGTCTTGAAGAGTGACGTATGACCGGAACGATCAGCTTCCGGAAACTCCCGGGCGGCGGATGTCGTCGCCGAGGTGCTTTTGCTGAATGTGGAACGGCTGTCTGAGTTTGGGAAGTGCAAGTGGCCACTGGCCAGTGGTAGGATCAAGGCGGGACCATCGTAGTTCTTACTTTGAGCGATGGTCTTTAAACTGTGCGATCGGCATGGGTAGGCCAATTCGCAAGACAAAGGAGTTGGCAAAGGAAGCGTATCCCGCAAAAAAGGGCAAAAAGCACTTGTGCAGACCGACTCGAACCCAGAGATCTCAGTTAAAATGAATCTTCCAAGACCCCTAATCCGACCCGGCCAGTGCGACTTAGTGTGCTGCAACAGATTCAAAGACGTACATATATTGTTTTCGTGACATGTTTCAGGTCGGACGCGTAAAGCAATATAGCGCTGAAGGCAAACGGACCATCGTCCGGGATCACTCATATTTATCCACTTCGTCACCAGTACGGAAACTCTACACCACGACGACCTTGACAGCTTGACGGCCGTTATCTCGAATGTATACTGAAGTCTGGGTCGTGCTCTTCAGTCTGAACAATGTTGAACCTTGGTCTGGCGTCCAAAACGTACTACTGGGACGAGTTCGAGAAGTCAGGTTTGGAGGGCTATACATGGACTCGCAGACTTCAAGGAAGAGGTCCCGGACTGTTTGCAGCCAGATCGGAGGCTCTCAGAACATCGCGCCCGCTGCGCTTGACATCTAGAGTGGTGAGTCGATTTTTCCTTCGATTTACAGCAGTACGTTGATGTTCGACGTACAATATACTCGTCCCTGCCATAGAGGCTTAGAAGTAAATAGCCGCGCTGCGATTAATCCCTACCTCGCTCCTTGCGGCTTCTTCCCGTAGCGATGGAACACGGCGCGACACTGCCAAGGCGCTTCTCATGGTCTCGTATCTTCGATTTTCGCAGGCGCTTCAGGAACTCTTCAGGGCCTCTCGCTACATGGCAACCAATGGTTCAGACCGTTCCAGTACACAGGTTGGGACAAAATCAGTATCTGGATCTTGAGAGATGATGAATAATACTTTTCTGACTTCCCCTTGGTCAATGGCGTCATCAAATTGCCCTAGTCCTGTACAGTATGCGAAGCGAAATTGATTGCATCACTGCTCGAGAATTCCCACTCTATCACGAGATCGGGTCCGCCATCGGTGTCCGAATTGATCATCATACGGTTCTGTTTGCACTGCCGGACGATCTTCGCAGCTGGGTTAGAAAGGTTCATAAGCCGATCTAGAGTTGCAGAGAATGATGGATCACCTGGATCAATCGAAATCTGTCGTCGGCATCGTATCGATCATGATGTGGTAACACAGCGCGAATCGCGCCGTCAGCGCAATATAGTCCAAGGTTCTTGAACAAGGCAGCTGGTTGATGCTCGTGAGGTCGCGAGAAGGCTGAGTCATATCGAACGGGTATTTTCAGGTTATGAAATTTCCCGCTGAGATCTACGGATACAGAACTACAGAGCAAGGGTTACTTTGAATTTTCTAGCAGGCGGAAATAGTGAGAAATTGACCGATCTGTCAATTGATCACCTGCTGAGCTGACATCGTACAGCGGCGCGCTTCATGGCCTGACGAATTGGGTATATCTACACTTACGATGTTGTTTGGCAAAGCCGCCGCCCTTGACTACCACTAAGGCATCCGACTTGGGACAACCCACTTCTACATGACATGTGAAAGAATCTGAACGCGAGCATGCCTATCGGAACCATTGGTGAACACCACTGACAACCTTTTTCTTAGCATGCGATCCAATTTGGGAACACACATATACGTATACTCGATATTCGACATCTCGACATATTGCATATGCACGTGCATGGAACGATTGAGAAAAAGGTACAAACTGCGAAAAAACGAAAAACCAAAAGGCCACATCTGACAAGCTGAAACCCGAACACCCCCACCCGCGCACCTCCCACTGTATTATACATCTCCCGCGCCTCAAGTCTCCCCGGCGTAAGCGTTCAAGCTGTAAGCCCCGGTACCCGGTGCACCAGCACCCGCCCCACCCGTCTCGAACGATCCGGCCGTCTCGTCCATCGGTTGGGCTTGTTGTTGACTGGGCGAACCCTCCAACTTTGATCGGCCCGTTGTAGGTTGTTGCGATTGTTGTTGTTGTGACGATCCCACCTGACCTTGGTTTTGTTGAGGGTACCCGGCGTTGCCCTGTTGTTGCTGCTGTTGGTCGCCTTCGAAACGGGCTCCCATGTCCCCACCTCCCCGTCCGACCCCTTCGTTCAACCTCGACCTCAACGCCTCGTTCTCCAGCCTCAACCTGGCGACCTCTTCCTGCAAAAAGCTATTCTGATGCGTCAACTGGCGGTGCTCGGACACGGTCATATGGACCATGCCGTTGTTGCCGGGCTGGATCTGTTGTTGTTGCTGGTTCTGGGCAGGTCCGCCTGTAGCAGGGTAGAAGGGGTAGGCGGAACCCGGGGCCGAGCTCGATCCGGGGTAGGGTTCTGGGACGGCCGAACCGGGTCCTCGCATGGACAAGACTTGGCGTTGAAGGAAGGTGACCTTGTCTTCCAGCTAGAACATGTCAAAGTACGACCGATCGAATTGTCAGCTCGCGATCCACCATAAACACCACTCGAACTCTTCGTATCCTCGAGACGAGACCCCAAGACTTCGAAAAATCGATACTCACGTCCTTCATCAACGCCTTCCTCTTCTCCCTATGCCTCTTTTGCGCCTTGGCATTCCTCGTCCGGTTATCATGGTCCGAATCCACACCCTCTTGACCCGCCTTGCCCCTCCCTCCACCTCCAGTCGCAGGTCCAGGGGTCTGGCTCATCCCGGCCCCAAGACCCATCCCCATGCCCATCCCCATGTCCATACCCATCCCGAGTTGTTGTCCATGATGAGTGTTCGGACCGGGGTGGTAAGGCGGTCCATTGTAGGCAGAGTGTAACATCCCCCCCGCTCCGGCTGCAGATCCGGGTTGAGGATAACCTCCGGGGTTGGAACCTTGGCCTTGACCTTGACCCTGAGCCTGGCCCTGAGCTTGACCAGAGCCTTGACCTTGACCCTGAGTTTGAGGTTGCGATGTATTCTGGTTCAACCCCAGGGTAGGCGAGAAAGGAGGATAACCCGTCTGAGGTTGTTGTTGCTGCTGAGCCCCAGCAGCGTTTCCTGCATCGTTACCGCCACCGTTACTGCCGTTCCCTTGGCTGGTCCCGTTGTTGCTGGTAGTGGTGGTGGTACCGGCGTCATTACCGTTCCCACCCCCAGCTGCATCCCCGGCCCCACCCCCGCTCTGCTCACCCGAACCAGGCTGAGGGTATTCCTGCCGACCTTGAGCTTGAGCTTGTGGTTGAGATTGAGATTGCATGTTGGGTGGGAGTGAAGATCGTTGAGATTGAGGTTGCGATGAGGACATTACGTTTCCCGCTCTCTAGATAGTTTGACGCGTTATGTCTGTCGATGTAGGGTGTATGGGGAGTGATAAAGGGAAATGGGAAATCGAGGTTTGCGTTATGGATAAAATCGACTTTGTTGTGATGTTGTCAGGATATGTGGGCGGATAGGTCTTTGGTCGCAGAGAGTTGAACGATGTGTCGAAGTCGAAAGCTAGTCCCAGCAGTTGACGCGATCGCGATCCTTACGTGCTGGTCGTCCGCGATCGAGAAGTGAAAAAACGCAAGGTCCGGGTTGACGGGCGAGCTACGAACGAGTACGAGTGGGTTTGCGGTCGAGGGCAGCGAGTCGTACGTGGATGTTGAAGGCAATAATGCGTTGGCGATGTTCGACGTCAAGACGGAAGTCGAGGTCGGGTGTGTATGCGAGAGGTGGTAGGTAGGGTCGGGCATTGGGGGTGGATGATGGTATTTTGCGTAAGAGGTGTACGTCAAGCATTACGCGATTTCCGGATGGGGCAAGTCTCTCTCGTCAGCAAAAACGTGTGACGGGCTCGACAATGGCTTCTACTACGTACCCTGAATCTTTTGCCTCGAGGAGATGATTGCAATTTGTACTACTAGCTACTAGCCAGATTTCAGGTGATTTGTGCTTGTCGTTCGGTCAATCAATGGATTCGCAGGGTTGCAGAATTGTTGGTCTCAAGTGTGATAACGTCAACCCTGACGAGAGATGTGTGGGGAGGGGCTGGGTCGCGGGGAAGGCAGAAGTCGCGGGTTATATTCAATTGTGCAACTGCAAGCAGACGGGCAACAGCGAGCACACAGCGAGACGTGCACGGGGAACAGCTCGACTAGTTAGCTAGAGCTAGTTACCACCCTCCACCTCTCCATTCCTTTCCTCCACTCTGTTGTGAGAACGTGAGAATCGCCGGTTCACACTTCACGATCGATAGCTCCAGGTCGCGGACATCGATAGGCGTGGGAGCATGGTAGATGTACGTCATCGCTTACGTTTCGTGATACCCCTTCGGAAGCTTTTCTCAGCGGACGGGCATGAAACGACCAGTAACAGCTAGCAGCAAGTGTTCAACGAAATCAATAAACGGTCCTTGGGGGAGACGCCAGAGTGATCAAATGATCGACATGAGCTGCATAGAGGTAACGAACGATGTTCAGGTTGGTCGTCGCTTCGGTCGATCACGACCCGCAGATGCCAGCAGTCGTTAGCAATCGGGAAGACACCCGGAAGCAAGTCTCGGCGATCACCGCGCAATCCGAAACTCCTCTCTGTGCGATCTTTTTCATGGCCTTTCATGGTAAACTAGCTATCTCAAAAATAGCTATCAAATGACCGTCGCTTGAACATCGACTCCAATCTCTGACAACATGACAGACAGGACCTCTCATCATTCGATGAAACTCAGACCGAGGGCGAAGACCAAGGACAAGGCGGTGACCAAGTCATCGTCGGATCTTCCGTCCACCCTTCCTCCCTCGGCACTTCTCGACAAGGTCCTGTATAGCGACCTCATTGTCGCTCTGGAGTACGATCTCGCCTTCCCACCTCATGCACCGTTCGAATACGTTATCGATGATGTCAGCGACAACAGTGGACCTGGATCGACCGATACGACATCTGTATCTGTAACTGTCAATTCAACGTCCTTGACCCCGACCTTGAACCTGAAAGATTACGCGGTCCGAGCCATCCTGAGAGAGTTCGAGGGGGCGGTCGAGAAGAAGGATCTGCTGGCCGCTTGGATCGAGGCGGTCACGAGTTGCCCCCTGGCGAGAAGGGAAGACATTATGCAAGAGATGAGGAAGAGGTATCCACGGTGTGCTAATAGGCTGGCTGGACGAGACGTGAGTCAGAGAAAAAAGTCACAAGAATGGAAGTAGACAACAGTTGAGAGGTCGGGATCTGACGACTGTCCAGATGACAGCCATCAAAAAGAGAAGTTGAAGATCATGAAACCGAGTTGGGCAACTGGCTCGTCGCAGAGACTCCTCCATACAGACCTACCCGGATGGGCTTTTCCCGGCAACATAGATATGTCGAAACGATATACCTGGACAATCTCCTGGAATACAAGAAGAAACGACTGTTGAAGATCTTAAGCATGATGGAAGACTGGGGTACAGCTCTTCTTTGTAGCGTGTTGGTCATCAGGTAAGAGACGATCGATGTCAGGGTCAAGTGAGAGATCGGATCACAAACGCTGAGCAGCATTTCTCACCCTGCCGTTTGCAGATACCCAGTCGGATTCCCTCTACGCAAACTCGTTGAACAGCCCTCGGAACCCGTCATCGTTCCCGGTCACGGCAGACTCGCAGACTCTAGCAGAAACGCTATATATGAAATGTTCTACGATATCGCCGTCGTCTCGCTCATGAACTGTGAGCACGTCGAGACATTGGACAAAGGTAGAGATAACGAGATCTGGCTTGAGGTGGAGGTCTTGGAAACGTCGCATGCGGTCATGGACAAGGAATGGACGAGGAACGAACTTGAAAAGTATATCCAGGCACATGGTCTCGAGAAAGGGTTCGAACTCATGAAAGAGTGCATGAATGAAATGCACTGGCTCGCCCATCATGATTGTTAGATCAGTTGCGAAGAATAAATGTAGCATATCATATTATGTCCGAACCCTTAAGCGGCGTCGTAGCTACAAGAGTTTACCTAGATAACCGAATCCGACACACATGGCCGGGATGAAGACGGCCGAGCTGGCGACAGCGGCGAGTCGATTGCGCTTGACCCATTTTTCCGGTCGGTCCCGGTTCATCGGGGGCAGGGCAGCACGAATTCCTCGTTGCTTATATTGTGGGGGGCTTTGAGGGCTGAATCGTGGGTCTCGCCGATGACCCAGCCCGAGAGGGATATGTGTCGACGGTAGATACTGACCCGCAGGTGAAAGTGCCCATCCTCCGAACAGCCAGACCCCTGAATAAACAAAAGATGTTAGTCAATATGATCGACTTCGAAATGGCAACGACGTCTACTTACATGGACCGAGCAAGAAGCCGAGCATGAAAAAGAGCTTTGCCGGTAGGATCCTCCTCTCATGCTTGAGGACGATAGAACGGTCGTGGTACGCTGGCAGATTGTCCACATCGACAGCACAGCCTGCTTGACGAGTCCGAGTCTTGAGTTGGCCGTGTTCGGTCTCGCTTTCAGACGAGTTGGAGTACGCCGGCGACGACGGCCTCAATGTGGCACTAGGGGGCGGTTGCAGGTAGTCTCCGAACGGCGCTGCCGTCGACTTGGCATGGATCCCGACATCGGGCCGACGTCCTAGACCAAACGCCTTCTTGCTGCTGCCAGCCGCAGCCTGGTTCGACATTTGCACCAACGCTACAGCCTGTTCGGCAAAGTTGCGCTGCCACGTCTCCTCCTCCGCCATTGACGTCGCTTTGCCTTTGCCCTTCCATGGGGAACCAGCCTGGACCGGCCCGAGTCCGAGACCATACAACTCGCCCGTCATGTCCATCCTCGATGGTGAACCGCCAGCTCCCTCACTCTGCTGCTGATGGCGGCTCATCTGCCCGTGCGACATCCCGGGCGTGGGCAAGAGGATGTCGCCTTGTTCCATACCTTGCGCGCGGGGCGTTTGGCTGGACAAGACGATCCGCATACCTGGGGACCTGGTCAGACACTCTGGGGTCTGTGGGGAAAAGGAGGCCGCCGACAAGGGCGACGAGTCCAGTTGCCGGTTGTTCAGCGACGGGAACGCCGGAGGCGATCCTGCGGCGCAATAGGCTGGAGAAGACGGTTCCGTCGATCGACGAACGTGAGCTGCTGGTGGTGCTTGCAGCGTGGGCGTCAACAAGTCTTGCCGGAACGCCTCGGGCAGGCTGCCTCGCCTCTTGCTTTTTGCGCCGCCCAAATAACGCTTCCAGCTCTTCTTCTCCGGAGCAGGAGTCGACGGACGATCGTCCCGCGTCGACGTCAGAGTGTTTGATAGGTCCCCCCCACGCCCAGGGCTGAAAAGTTTGGGAAAAAGCGTGAGCGACTGTTTGATCCGGATGCAATCACGATACTCTGACGTACCCAAAACCCTTTTCGACTTGCGCCTCGGGGTCTGTCTTGGTCTCGCTTCGCAACCAGCCTCTTGCTGCATTGCTCCAACTCGTTTTCCGTTCTCTCCCGGGCGACGCTCCCGCCGAGTCGGAGTGGATGACGGCAGGTGATGGTGGTCGGGAGATCGGTCGAGTCGGGGTGGTCGGTACATCCGTGACATCGCCCTGAGTGCTTGGCAACCAGAATAGCTCACGAATCATCTCGCCACTCTGGGCTCGCCAAGCACTCGGATCCTGGAGACTGTTCTCTGATTCGTCTCGAGGGAAGTGGACGGGCTCGTGGCTCAGGGGTATCGGACGGATCTCGCCCGATTCCTCAACAACGCTGATGGTGATCTCTGGACTGCCCTTGGGCGGCAAGATGTCCGGGCTGACGGAATCTTCGCTTTGCGCCTCGCTGGGCTTCGAATAGAAGGGGAAGAGAGGCGTCCCTGCTCGACGCAATGTAGGAACGTCGTCTTGCTTCTCCCTCCTCATCACCGAGTATCGCTTCCTTTCCACTGGCGCCGACGCCGACATGACCTCCATGTTGTCGAGGTCGAGCTTATTCTCCACAACGACCCCGGCTCGACGATCTTTCTTGCCTTCCGAAGGTGACATTGGCCACTCGTCAGTCTCATCCTGTTCGGCGACGACCTGAGAGCTAGCGCTAGCAGCCTTGCTCTCCAGTTTCAAGCCGGCGACCAAGAACGCCCTCGCGCGTCGTCGTTGAATCCTGCTTTCACGGTCTTCGGCCTGTTCGCCGTCGGGAGTGGGACCACGCATGGTCAATCGGCTCTCCGTGCGGAAAGACCCCATGGCGTAGGTCGAATTGGTCATCCTGCTCTCCGCCCTCGGTGCAGGGGCGTTGACGCTCATTCGGAAGTTGAAGGCGTCCGAAGAGAGTACACGAGGACCTCCAATGTGTTCCCCAGACGAACAGCTGGATTCGGAGCCGCCGCCAACGACTGCACCGAGCGAACTCATCGACGAATTGGTCATGGTAGCAGATGAAGCGGAAAAGCTCCGCAGATGAGGTGGCAGGGCCTGCTGAGCCGGGGACATGGTTCGGCGGTGGCTCTTGATAGATACGGCGCGCGACAACGAGCCTTGCGAGCCGGATCCGCTCGAGTGAATGCTTCCCTGACGATGGCCTGACCAGTGCTTGGCATGGCTGATGTAAGGCTCGTTCTCGTGTCCAGCGCTCATGGAGAAGGACGTCGACGTAGACTCGGACCGGGTCATCTCGCCTACCACGTCACTCTTTTCCTCTTCCTCGAGGACGACCGAGACGGGACTGGTCACGAGAGGCGGGCCGAGGACGATACTACCGGCAGACTCTCTGGCTCGAGCGTTTTCCTGACTGATCACCAAGGATAACGGTCGGATCCCGCCCCGCAAGCTGGTCTGCCGTTGATGTGCCCTCGGGGTCATCTCCCCAAGCCTCGGAGACGCCAGACCCGCGCCAGGTGATAGGATACTGCTACTGATAGACGAAGCGTTTCTGGAATGGGTCGGTGCAGGTCCATAAAATGTCGTCGTCGGCGACATCGGCCCGTTCATCAACCCGGCCTTGCTCAACATCCAGCTTCGCCGTTTCTCTCGTCCTTCTCTACGAGCTTCTTCGATAATCCGTCGTTGCCGCTCGTCTTCGGTCTCTCGAGGGTCGAAAGGGAGCGTCGGGGAGGTCTCCGTCAACATGGACGCGGCTGAAGCTAGGCTTCTCGGCTCTGATGGCTGGAACATACTAGCCAACGCCTGACTGTGGAGATGCGCAAAGTCCTGAGAATGTCGTTGCAAGAACCTCTGCTGCATCTCTTCCGTATCTCGGATCTCCTCGATCGATTCTTCATCGCCTCGGTCGTCTTGTATCGTCTGCCGAGGTCCTTCTTCTTCTTTCTCATCGTGCCCGCTGATGACACGCTGTAAATCCCGACTTCGACGATAGACGTCCTCCTTGTTACTCTCAATCCCGAGTCCCGCCGCTCTGACAGTACTCCCCGTCCCAGGTGTCCTTCCAAAGACGTACCCCGCCTCGCTGGCCTCGCTACTCCGTCTCCTCCCCGTCCACGCCCTGGGCGTAGTCTCATCCCTCAGATCATTCCGGATGGTCGTCGTCATCGACCTTGGCGACCCCGACCCCGAAGTAGATGTAGCTCCTCCGAAAGTGGTCACCGTCTCGCTCCGTTCCCGCGAAAAGCCCTTACCCTGGCCCTTGGACGACGAAGAAAGGGAGGCGAAGTTCGAAGCGGTGCCAGTCGAGATGGAAGAATATTGCCATCCGGCTGGGTCTTTCCTGTCAGCCCCGCCACCTCGGGAAGAGATGCTCCCAAACCCGCCGTCCAATTCGGCAGAGGAAGGGAGGTACCCGAATTCGACCATGTTCGTCGATGAAGCTGAAGCTTGCGAAGTCGGGTACCGAGCGAGCGGGTGAGACTCTTCGAGGTTCATCGATTTGAGGCCGTACCGCCCGATATGAGATTCTTCGGAGAGGACTTCGCTTTCCCCCATGGTCATCTCCATCACTTTGCCCGAATCTCGCCTGTGCATATCCCTCACGTTTGCTCGTCCGCCAAACAGGTCCCGGGTACCCACATTCTCGTTATCCTTGTCCTTGTCCGTCCGAGAGTTCAATAATGGGACGCTCCTCACGCTCCTCAACCGACTGGCAAACCGACCCGTCCGTTCCTTCTCCCGTTCTTCCACCCCCGTCGACCTCTTCCTTCTCAACCCAGACTTGTCATCCTGGTTCTCTTTCCCTTCGGGTAAAGTTGAAGGGAAAGGCTCTTTAGACGACTTTTTCGTCCGGACCGTCGAACCCAACCCGGACTTTTTCCGCCTCAAGATGCGTTTCGAGGGGGAGATCTTGGGCTGCAGCACAATTCCAGGTTGAGGTTGAGGTTGATAGTGTCGAGGAAAAGTCCCAAAGGCGGCTGGAGACATTTCTGGGGAGGTCGGAGGTGTAGCGAGCGGTTTAGGTTGAGGAGGAGGGGGAAGAGAGAGGGGATGACGCGTTCGAGAGGTCATCTTGGATGTGTCGCTTGGTAGGTCGTGTCAATAATGGTGAAGAAAATGTGTTGGCTGTTCAGGCCGTGTATGCAGTTGAAGTTGAAACGAATGTAATTGTTATCAAAAGAGTGTGTAGTGTATTGAGCCGTGTGCTATTATATCGAAGTGAGGGATGCCACGGTCAGTCTCGCCTTTTGCCCACATCGTCTCAAGGTAATACTCACTCTGGTAAAGAGAGTATTGCGTATCAAGCCAAGACCATCGTCACCGTTCGTGTCGCCGACCAGTAGCGACCAAGTCTTGTGTCCTGCAGAATAGTGAGGTATCGCTGGATGGACGAGAGGAGAGGTAGGTTGAAGGTTGCTTTCAGGTAGACCTCGAGGAGGATGCTTGACAATTATAGAGAGAGTGTCTGTCCTAACGTCCTAGATCCTTGAACACCTTGAGGTTGACGCGTTTGTTGATTCGACCCAAGAACCAAGAAGGAAAACTTTCTTGATGATGATACGCGTCGGGATCGTCGCTCAGATCTCACACTCAAAGGATGGCGGGAGAGCAGAGGGAGGAGGACGGCGAGAGTGGCGAGATGGACTGATGATGCGCGGCGGTGGTGACGGCGATTATACGAAGGTGTCGCTGAAGGAGCAGTAGTTGATGTCAAAAGAGCGTAGCTAGTAGGTCGATGTTGTCAAACGAGTGTAGAGGTTTTCCGGGTCGATGAGGTCATGCAAAGAGAAAAGATAGCCACGTCGTCGTCCACAAAAAGTTTGATGAGATTTCGTTGTTGATGGAACTTTGATGGTCGTCGTCGTTCCAAATCGAATGTTTCACTTCGAAACAGAACAACGCGAGGCGGAAGGAGCAGGAGGAATGTTGGGGTCGTGAAAATAGAATCCGTGATGAGGTCGTAACCGAGAGAAAGATCGATCAAAGGAAGGTAGGGGTCCTTTGAGCTACGAGTATGATGGTGATCGTACGACTTGCATGCTGGCATCTCAATACGATGTCAAGCACCACAGCTTTGACCAGGAAAAACTGCGAACACACCCGATGCAATCGTTGCACGATGATGCTGTTCGAGACGTAGGAATCCGGGGAATAAACCTGGGGTACAAACTTTAGCCGGGAGGGTTTGTTGACAAACAAACAAACAGGGGCGTCGATCAGATCAGCCGGAATTTGGTATTTGCTTCCGGGCGGCTCGTAGGCTTGCGCGTACGTAAGCTAGAAGCGGAAATATTTTGTGGGTGGATGGGTGTTTTGTTTTTCGGTTGGGAGTGACGCGATTGATGCCCGAGGGCCGAAGTGTTTCAGCTGCGGGCCCATGATGGCTAGTTGCGGCGGATATGCCAGGCTCCCTTGCTCAAGGATAAGAAAGGGTATATTATTGTAATAGGCACCCCTTTGTCTGTCTGGTGTTAACCTAGGGACTGGTGACTATAAGGTCTACAGACGTAGCGCATGTCCCAGCTTTTTCCGGCTCGCTAGCCACAGCGTCCCTCACCAACCTGCAACATTATTATTGGGGCCTGAAAGTTCTTTCATTCCAAGATATTCCGTCACCTGCACTCCCCTGCCTGGCCTTGATGATGGCAGACGGACACGAGCCCCCCCTAGCCGGCCCTTTCGCTGTCACCACTGACGGAAATGGGGTTCCTCAGAGGGGAGACGCTGCAGATTTACTTCCTACTTTGATCGCCTTCCGTGTGACACCAGAAGGACACGTGATACTGCATGTCACACAGAGTATGAAGGTTCCAAGAACACAAGAGAGCTACTACACCCGAGTGTTTTGGGTCGGGCCAAAGGCGCTCCCGAGCAGTCTGAACGAACGGATCCGGGAATATTTCAAGGCCGAGGAAGGTCATGTCTTGTTGAAGGAGTCATTGTTGAGCGCAACATTGCTTGTGGTCAACACGATCATGGGGCAAGACATGTTCGAACGGCACTGGAAAGAGGGGGCTGGGCATGAGAAATTCGGATACAACACTGAGAGTAGTCTCTACCCAATGATCGGTCATCCCGGCGGAAAATTCTTTCCTCCTGGCGATATCGACATCGACAGAGTCCGATGGGATGAGCAGAGGCATCTCACAAAGGTGATTGAAGTCGCATCCGATCCCACACACGAAGCCTACAGTCACTGGCTTGGCACGAGCAATGTCGACGAGATTACTCTCGGATCAGTCTCCTCAAATGAAAATGAAGTCATCGAGAGCTACCAGGGTTCTGATCAGAGTGCTCATACTGGCTCGACAGCCACCTTTGACCGGTCTCTGGACCGTTTGTCACCTACACACGCGAGTTACTGCGTCCTCTGGAACCCTGGCGAGTACACGCTACTTTCAAAGTCCGACAACAGCGAGAAAAGTCAGCACAGTATGAGGTGATACATCTAGACTGCTGATCCCGCATCATTTGTCACGCAGCGGTTCTGTAGGATCTAACTATTATCGTATATAAGCGCTGTACTTATATGCTCATCATATCCACTTTATTAAGTGGGAAGAGGCGCGCGTTGCGGTCTACTGGAGATGGGCCCTCGACAAGAACGATTGAGCGGGACCGGCTGTTGACACAAAGAAGGACTAACAGCGCGATGCCGTGATCATAACACTAGGTGTTCCTATATAGCCTGTCTGACTGTTGTTCGCATAATGATGGTATTTCCTACAAAGCATGAACACAGGTACAACAGTTGGCGTCTAACGGTCTAGACACGGGTTATCACACGTCGGTCTGGTTTGGTCTCCCCCCCACAGGGTCATCCTGCTTCCGCTCCTCACGACGAACTCGCAAGAACTCGATCCGATACTGCTTTGATTGACTCTCTGATGATCTCCAAGGCCCGCTCAGCCTCCTCTTCCGACACGATTAGCGCGGGCACCAATCTGAGCACGGGGTAAATGGAGGTGGTCAATATGACAAGGTCTCGGTCGTAGCATTCGTCTTGAACCAGCTTGTTGAGGTAGGAAGGCAATTTGACGTTTTCGCCTTGAGAGTGATGTTGAGTGATCGGAGACGCGGGGTCCTTGAACTCGATGGCAATCATGAGCTGGTAGTTGCCGTAGCCGCCAGAACGATGTTAGCAATCCGATTGTTGAACGCTTGTCGAACGCTTGTATCCACGCGCTGTTTTGACTTACGCCGATCCCTCGGACCTCTGAGATCATCCAACCTCCATTCTTCTCATCCGCTGCGATCGCCCTCAGTCCGGCAAAGATCTGGTCTGACCTCGATTTCACATTGGAAAGTAGGTCGGTCTGCATCATAACGTCCGTAGTGGCTACCGCTGCCGCGCAAGAAACGGCGTTCCCAGAGTATGTGCCGCCCTGGATGTACAGTATGAAAAGACAGCCGGACGGACGTGGCGTTCGTCAGTACCATCACGAGTATCCAGTCGACTTGCGAAGATTCTGCATCACAACTCACCAACGATCCGGCCGGCATGCAATCCATGATCTCTTTCCTGGTGACGATCCCGGAGAGTGGCATTCCGTTGGCGAAACCCTTAGCGATCGTGATGAGGTCGGGGACCACGCCACTGTGCTCGATGGCGAACATCTTGCCGGTCCGACCGAACCCTGTCTGGATCTCGTCCGCGATCATGAGGATACCGTGTTGGTCGCATACTTCGCGAATCGCACGCAGGTAGGCGGGCGGGCAAGGGACGTACCCGCTGGATGTGATGAAACGAATTTGCACAACGAGAAAGGCAAGAGAATGTGACGACCACGCAGGAATTGGAGAGAACGGGTTGCGAAAAGAAAATCGGTCAGCAGACCATTTTAATCGAAATCAATGAGCTGCTCACCCTTCTCCAATAACGGGTTCGATGAAGATCGCCGCGGTGTCCTCAGGCGCGGTCTGCTGGGCCAGCACCTGGTTGAGCTGATGGACTGCTTGATCGACCAGGACCTGCTCGGGAGTATCGATCGGAAGACCCATAGCGTGCCAGTACGGGTAGGCAGTAGTATACACGCAAGGCTATAGCAGGAGGAGTGATGGGTATCGGTCTCATCAGTATTCGGTGGCTTTCGATCGGTCAATCGAGATTGGAGAATATTCCGCAACGATCCCCACCATGAGAGGCCCGGTCCCAGCGAAGAAGCTTGTTTTGGAACGAGTGAGCGCAGCGGCACCTGAGTCGTCCGCAGAATGAACAATGGTCAGACATCGAGAAACCATTCATAGCAAGACCTGAGTTGGGAAAGCGACGTACCACTCGTCCGCCCGTGATACGCTCCCTGCATGACGATGATGTTGTTCCTCTTCGTCTTCATCCTCGCGACCTTGATGGCGGCCTCGATGGCCTCGCTACCGGAGTTCCAGAAGAAGAAACTGGACAAGTCGCCCTTGCCGGCCGGTTCGAGCATCGGGACTAGGTTCTTGACGAGCTTTACGTAGGGATCGGACAGAGCGATGGCGCATTGAACGTGGATGACTTGTTGCGCTTGATGGATGATGGCGGCAGTCACGGCTGGGTGACAGTGGCCGAGCGAAGTGACGCCGATACCCTGTCGAGGTAAAAAGCAGAAGAGATGCACCGATTGAGAAACGATATGACAGGGATGAAAGAAAATCCATCCGAAAATTATTCGAGACGCGCGCCAGTGGCGAGGGGGGCGAGTCACGAACTTACAGCAGTAAAGTCTAACAACTCTCTACCATCCTGAAGGTAGAAGACGTGCATATTGACAAGAGAATCAGTTCTCTCCGATCGTGGTTCTATTCCATTTGTTGTTTCGGTAACGCGAAACCAGCACAGAGACGCTCTTCCCGATCGATCCCGTTTCATAGACTCACGCTCGTGATGACTTGCAGTCCTTGACCGGAAACAAAGACATGGTCCCTCAACCTCCCGACCGCTTTAGTGATGTGTTTATTGGCGATCTTTTGATACTCGACGGTAGGAAGAACGTCCGATTCGGCCTGGACTTTGGTATTGATGATGCTGGGCATGTTAGGATGGATCGATCTGGGTAAGAAGAGCAGAGGGGCGGACGAGGCACGAATTGGGGACACGACCAGAAGGGCAGCTGGGGAGGTCTGTACGAACTCGTCAGAGAGACCAGGTATATGGCCGGAGAGCGTATCAAATCTTTATGTACACACCAACGATAGCTCAGACCCGTCCAATCTCAACCTCATCTCATCTTGCATCTTTCTTGTTGCCGGACGCCACTTTTTGCGCTTGCCTCGATAAGGGAAGGCATCGGAGGTCGCCGATGCGGCGCGCGCATTTAAGCGATAGAAGCGAAGAAATGGCATCGAGTTGATTGCCGATAGTTAGCCGATCGGATCATACTGAAACGCCACACAACGTGGGGTCATGGCCTATCTCTCCGCTTATCGCGCCGCAATCATCGAGAGAGAGAGAGAGAGAGTGGCTACACCCACCTCACTCGTGAGCTGCTACGCAAGAAGACGGCATGCATATATCATATAGCACTGCGCTCATCGTCGACTTGGTTTCCTGTCAGCATTCGACCTGAGTCGGCCACCAGCACGCTTTTCCTCAGTAGCCCAACGAATAACATCATGCCCTCTGTCATCTGTGAGACAACCCATACGATGCGATGACTTGTTGTAGTCTCCTCGCCTGGTAGCTGACCTCGTATATCCGGTATTTTGCATTTTTATAGTCGACGTTGTCGGTACATGCTGTGAGTCGACTTGTTATTGCCTTCCTTAGCCTCCGACCGACTCTCACACGCTGAACGATGAGCTCACCTCGACGAATCTGCTTCGCTATTCAACTCAGTCTCCTACGATGCCGGCGCTGAAGCTTTGGACGCCCGCCTAGGCGACAAACTCCGATCCCACGGCGTCTCCCCCAAACTCCTCTTCTATTCCTGGGTCTGCTCCACCGAGAGGGACTACTCCTACCTGTCCCAGATCAAGCAGTACAAGCCCTTTTTCGAAATCCTCTCTCACACCTTCGTTCGAGTGCTCTTCCAAGCTGGAGTTCCGAACCCGGAGAACTTTGGAACGGAAGAGGATGTGAAGTTCGTCATGGACGAATACAAGAAGCTCAAACCGAGACCGGGGATGGGGGAGATGATGCGCATCCTGAGAGAAGGAGGGTTCGACGTCTGGTGTTGCTCCGACGCCAACGTCGACAGGGTCAAGGGGTACTTTGACGGTGCAGGGGTCGACATGCCGCTCGATCATATCCTCTCTGCAGACATGTGTGCGGCAGGGAAACCGGAACCGGAGGTGTACAAGATGGCCAGGCAGAAAGCCGGTTCGGACGAGGAAGGAGAGGTCAGCATCTTTGCTGCGGCTCACGCTTGGGATTGCGCGGCAGCCAAGAGCGCCGGGTGAGTTCGATCCGGGCATTCGGAGATGATCATCAGCTGACCCGCCAAATCTACCTCGTCTTCGTACGTCAAAAAGGTTCCTCACAGCCTACTGCACCATCTACGAGCTAGACCCTTGCGAGGCTATTTTCGGCTCGTTCGACTTGACCGCCTCTTCTTTGGTCGAGATGGGTCAGGCGATTGTGGACAAGTGGGGCAAGAAGTGAGGGCAGAGGAAAAGGAGTATTGGAGAGCCGAATGTAAAATGAGATGCTATACTATACAGTCAAGCCATTCAACCCATAGTACGAACACAATCTTGCGACGTACGTCATCAAACGTATGGCGATAGTTAATATCTGATTACGACTCGGAAGAAACGTTGTCCATGAGACACTCGTTCGATCTTGCAGCGATCAATAATCGAGAGAGACTGTTCGACTTGCATCGCGCCGCAATCGTTGCTTAGCAACCGCAGAGGCTGTATAGTCCTGATCAACGCTCTCGATCTTGAGGAGTGAAGTTGCACTATTGAATGCGAAAAAGGGTATACAAACTGCGACACATGAATGATTCGTAGCCTCTGATAGATCGACATCTTCTCGCCAGAATTACGTCCTTGCGTGCGATCCCTTAATACGACTCTTTCTCCTCCGCGATCTGCAGACCGGCCAACTCGTCGACCGCTGTCGTTACGGTTTTACTGGCGACCTGACCCATCGCTCCCAAGATCAGGTTATCCTCGCAGTCCAACCTATCCCGTGTCAACAGATACGGTTGAGGGATGATCCCCTCGAAAGCCGCTCTCGCGGAGTCTTGTATACGACCCGTCCGCACGTGACTGACGACGAGGTGCGCGATCGCTTCGGAGCAAGCTGGTATCCTGGGCATCCCTATGTCGTTTTACAAAGCCAAGGTCAGGAACAGTTGAGGACATGGTATCTCCTCCTTGGACTTACCATGGCCCGTGAAACCCGCACTTATGAAGATACCCTCTCTACCCGGCATCTCTCCAACAAAAGGAAGAAGATCGCTCGAGTACCCCAGAACTGACAGGCGCACGCCACAAGAACAACACTCATCGGTCAGCGGTCTTTCGCTCTCGCTCAGATCGGCCCGCTTGAGGCTGCCACTCACCTCCAGACCAGACTTGATCGACGTTGCCCTTGTCATTCTCCCCCTCCCAACCGACAAAGTGTTTACGCATGTAACCCTGGAAATATTCCCTCGCCCCAGGCATCTCCACATCGTCGTGGATGTTGTCGTACCAGCTCTCGGTATCTTTCAGATAACACCCTTTGGCTCCTCCGAGAATGATGCTTCGATCTCCTACTCCCGGTATCTTTCCCCTCCCCTGTCTCGGGATCATGTAATCCATCTCGCCTTGCCTGAACCGGAGTCCATACGTGTATTTCAGTGGTCCAGGAGAGCAGCCGAGCGAATGTGAGCTTGGCGGTGTGACCGAGCAAGCGGTCCCTCTGACGGGAATGATGCGGTCTTTGAATTCGGGAAGAATACCAGCGGTGTAGCCATTAGAGGCAATGATAACCGCTTTCGCGGTGATGTTACCTCGAGAGGTGACTACCATTGTGGAAGAGGAGGACAAGTGTTGCTCGAGCGATACAACCGGCGTAAAAGTGTGTAGCGTCATACCCTTATCGAGCTGTTTCTGGATCACTGCGAGACATCGAGATGCAATACCCCCGTGAGTGAGGGCCGCGGATCTCCTTCCGATCGGTTACTCACGTTGAGTCGCTAACTTATAAGGCCAGAGGTGTCCAGCTGGATAATGACAACCCCATTTCCCGCCTCTGACTCCTGACAACCGTTTCAACTCTTCGGGATCCTCGACACTGACGACATCACCCTTTCTGATGCTCTCGGGGAACGTCTCTCTTCGGGCATCGTAATCCTTCTTAGCGTTCTCCGCATCCGATGCATCGAACAAGACGTCGAAAGCACGGGTGACGACGAGGTCACAATCGAGTTCTTCCTCTTGAACAATCCGGACGTAGCGAGAGAGGTGGGAGCCTTCGAAATCGTACATGGCGTTCGCGATTTTGGCTCCACGTTTAAGACTTTCGGACCGGAACCCAAGATAGGTCAGCGGTTTACAGTGACCACCTAGTATGGCGATACGTGAGCCCCGAAAATGATAGAAAGATAGGCGTAGATAGAGAGAGTTGTCAGCGACTCTGCCTTGATCGGTCCCGTTGAGGTATCGTTGATCTCGGTCAAGGCTCTCGAGCGACTTGCCATTTCTTGCAGTCGCTCCCCCGCATGTCTCTCCTGCCTCCAGCATGACTACAGTCGGGTAAGCGAGATCATCTGCATCTTCATTTTCTCCTTGCTCTTTCCATTGAGCATAAATTTCCCTGGCGATCAACGCTCCTGAGATCCCGGAACCAACGATGACGATATCGGCCCGCGTCGGGAGCGTTTCGCTCGAGCGAACGTGAGAGAGAGATGGGTCTCTTTCGGAGAGCCAGAAGGACTCGAGCCTGTTTTGTTTGGGAAGCAAGGTGTTCATTTCTGCGCGTGTGCGTATGTCGAGGTCGTAAACGGTCAAGATACAATCTCTATGGCTCAGACCAATTTCAATAAAGTCGCTAGAAGGGTAGTCGAATGCTAGATGCGATGACGAGTACAAAGTAGTCGTGGATGCAAGGGTTCGCCTACTATATCGCATGTTCCCCGAGTCTGACAACTGAGATGGCCGAGATCTTCGGCGCTAAGCGAGGTACGCGTTTCAAGATAAGACACGTGTACCCTATCTCGAAACGCGTGACCTTTCCACGTGTCACCTGTCGCGCGCCACTGTGCTCCGTCCGTGAGGCCTCTCTCTATCTACGTTTCGGCTGATTCGCTTCACCGCTTAATGATCGCTTACTAGCTGGGCCGCGCCTGTCGCTTCTAACCTCTATCTAGATAGATGACGTGCGGCGCCCTCGGCGGGACGATACTATTACGCTATGAGCTTTACCGGTGCACTTCAACTCCGAGATTATCGATTGTCGACACCTATCTCATTGCCACAAGCAGCCGACTGCTCATCTATATAGTCTTGCAGTCCGCGAAGCAACTCAGGCTGCAGGATAAAGAGTCGAATATCAGCCTTCACAATCCCCACGCCTACACACCGATCACACCCACACCCGATCGCGAAGCGGGAACCCTCCCCTTCGACTTGTACCATCGTCAAAGGTTGCAATTCCCCATCTCTACACACCTCTCTTACTGGCCACCATCATCGCCAACAATGGATGACCGAAACAATAAGAGCGAAGATGACAAGGGCCAATTCGTCATCTCTACCGTTCAGGAGGTCGACAGCGAGGTTCATGACCAACTACCTTACACCGTCGACTGCCCCCGATCCAAATTCGCAAGGATCTACCGCTCGGCATTCTTCCAAGTCCTCGTCGTCGGTGCTTTGGCTTTCTGTGGACCTGCGATGGCGGACGCAATTTCGGGACTTGGAGGAGGCGGTCAAGCGACGCCTTACACCGTCAGTAAGTAAAATTAATCCCTTGAACATGCCCGCGTCCCGACAAAGATGCTCACTGAACATCCTCCTGGCTCATCCTATCAGACGCCGCTACCGCCGCTTCCTATTCGGCCGTTGCCACTGTCTCCCTTCTAGGTGGTCCCTTGGCCTCGCGACTCGGCGTCAAGGCCCTCCTGATTTTTGGAGCGGTCACATTCCCGATCAACGGCTCGGCATACTATGTCAATTCCAGGTACGGAATTCAGTGGTATCTCATTTTTGGGAGGTTCGTCTATGGTCTAGGATTCGGTGCTTGGTATGTTGCGGAGGCGGCGATCATCCTGAGTTATCCCGAGGAGAGGAGTCGTGGAAAGTATCTCGCGGTATGGGTCATGAGCCGAAACCTCGGGCAACTCGTAGGAGGATCCATCTCTCTCGCTAGAAAGTGAGTACCTTAAGGGCTTGTAGCGTCACTCTGGGTGTCAAAATGTCTATACATCGAAACGAGACTGACAAGAATACTTCTCTTCCTCGTCCGTTCTTGCCCGGTTCATTCTCATCAGCATCAAAATGGCTGGAGCCGGAGCGATCGCAACTTCGACCTATCTCATCTTCGTCGGCATCGAAGCCGCGGCGTTCCCTATATCCTGGTTGATCTCGCCTCCCCACAAAGTCAGGAGGAACGACGGAACTGCGATCCGTCCGGGACAGAAGCTGCCAATCGTTGACGAGCTCTGGTTGGTCTGGGCAGCGCTCAAGCACAAGCGGGTAAGTAGGGATGATTCATTGGCTTGCGAGTATATAATGGCTGACCCTTAATCTGGACTTTCTCTCGTTGACACAGACACTGCTTCTCTCGGCGTACTTTTTCTATTCCTACTTCTATGGAGGCGTTCTCGGTACCTACCTCACGCTCTATTTCAGCGTCCGAGCCAGGGCGATGTCCTCGATCATCGTCCCAGGCGGGATCATCGTGTGAGTTCCTGTCCCAGATCGGGGCATGTCGGCAGGACGAAGCTGATGGTAATTCGGCCGCCCACAATCAACAGCTTCGTCTTCCTCTATGGCCTTATACTCGATAATAAACGGTGGAACATGAAACGCAGGGCGCAGATCGGGTTCATCGTTGTCACCGTTCCCACCCTGGTCTCCTTCTGCTGGCTGGTCGCCAACCAGAAAAAGTTCATCGATAAGCCTCCTGGTAAGATGGACTGGACGGCCTCCGGGTGGGCAAACGCATATGTCCCATTTTACATGATGCAGATTCTCGGTTACATGTGTCAGACCGTGAGTTCTTGTGGAGACCGGAACAACGGACTGGTCGCGAATCGTGTCTGACGATGTCTTCTCGCCATTGACAGTACATTTACTGGCTCATCTCGTGCTTTGCGGATGACGTGAACGCTAACGCTAGGAACGGTGGAGTTTTCCGAGCGATCGAAGCCATCGGTCAGGCGGTCTCATACGGTATCAACGCGAAAGCGGGTAATCGAATGATACCTCTGTAAGTCCATTTCCCTACTCTTTTGGAGTCGGGGGCGCCAACCTTCTCTTTGTCATTGCTATGAAAGGGGGATCAACTTTGGACTCTTCATCTTGGCCATTCCCGGATTGGTCATGGTGGTCCAGTCGGTGCCCAAAGAGCGCGAAGAGACATTGCAAGAGTCTCTGCCCATAGGCGAAGAAGCCGGCATGTCTGCCACGGTCCCCGAGATCAAGAACTCTTGAATATACGGGAACATCGCCAGCACGCCCGAGATTTGCTTCGCTGATGATAATCGTAGGATAGAGTTGTAATAACAAGCCGTTGTAGATAGACTCAAATCAAGAGCACGTTCAGATCTAGCTTCTTCATCAGATCTGTCCAGCTCTGTCTCCCGCCATGATTATCAATCTGATCCCATTGCTCCAACATGAGTCTCCGCTGGGGAAGATCATTTGCAAGGTCAGTACGAGTAACATGGCTATCGCTTAAGACCAGTCCGCTACTCACAGCCGCCTTGAGGTCATCGCAATAATCCCAGGCAAAAGCGTCCAGTAGTCCGGTCACCCTTTCTCGCACCGGAGGGAGGCACAATGTCCCACAGATCAGTAACGGCCAGACCAGCATCACGGTCATCCTCATTGCAGAGGCCTCGCTACATAATTCCAAGCAATAGTCGATGGAAGCAACGACTCTCGGTGAACTGATTGGTTTATCCAAGATCTTAGCATGAGATCCCGTCAGTATACATTACAAGCGATGTTCAGAAACATGGACTAGACCCACCTCGCCAAGAATGTATGCGTTGAGCATATATCGGTAGAGAAGATCGCCGCACTGCAAGGCAGGTGGATTTCAGCTCAGACCATCTGAAATCGTCGGACTCTATGATAGACTAACCGAAACCCTCGCACCACGTGGAACGACGTTTAAGCCGTTACTCCAAACGTCCAGTTCAAGCAGTAGCGAATCCGCTTGGGCGCGCACATGCTTTTCCATCTTGGTCGCCATGACTGATCCGGACCGAAAGTCAAGGCCGAGCCGTTGTTTCTGGGCGTTGAGGGACACTACCTGAAAGGTCGCCCGCGATCAGCTAAAAAGTCAAGCTCTACGACCAAACTGAAGGTCTCCTATACTCGCCCTGGCAAGCAGGTCAATCATGCCGCGCGAGACACCAAAGCTACAAAAATACAATATGATCAGATTCGGGTACATGAGCCCACGGAGATCCTCCAATCTAATACTTACGTCCTTTCGACCGATTCCCATTCCCATCTCGTCCTGGACATCTCCTGGCATTCGAACCACCACGGATCGAACTTGACCAGCAGCGCGGGCTCTTTGTTTGTCACGAAGCAACCTGAAGCACGAGGGCAAGAAGGCTCCGTCAAGCATGTATCCATCCAGTAAAGGTCTTGGGTACACAGACTTACTGAAGATGTCGTGCACTACAAGATTCTCGACGAGAAAACGTCTCGTAAAGTTGCCTCCTTCCTCGTTGATTACTGCCATCGCTCCGCCCCGTTGAGACACGAGGCGAATGGCGTACTCCATATCTTCCTGCCACGTCGAACCGGCGGAGATTACCTTTGACAGAACAAGATTAGCCACCGACACAGGTATCAGACGACCAGGACCCAGCGCAAGTCTCGTACGTCGCGTATGATCAAAATAATGCAGGTGGCCAGAATCGAGTCGACTATACGGTCAATTTAGTGTCAGTGTCTGACCGATGTCGCACATAGCTCAACCAACGCTCACACTGATCCGTGCCGTCATTCTCGGCCAAAACGATATTTGCGACCGCCGCCTTCCTGAACATCTCTCCAAGCCCTTGTAGGCTCTTCTTGAGCGATGCCCAACCCGCGATCCAGCTCGAGTTTCCTGACGACGACGACCGCTCACCAGCTTCACTGATCAGGTGAGCGGTACTGGCGCTTAGTATGCTCATACGCAACGCTGCACTACCGGCACAAGCGGTGTCCAGCAACCTGGCGGACGCACAGATTGTGAGGAGGGGGTTAGGGCCGATGTTGCCCATGGTGATCAGTATCCTCGAAGTGTAGTTGAGAAAATGATGGAAGAGCTGTAGAGAGAACGGAGACGGGAAGGCCGAAGTGAGAGCGTGAGACGAGGTAGATGGGCGGCTGTCGTCGTGGAAAGAAACTCCAAGAGGTCCGAACTCGACCAGCTCATCTTCATAGCTAGCGGCACTAAGTACCGAATGACGTTTGTGAGCGGAGAGCTTGAGATCTAGATTCAGCTGCTAATTGCTCACTTGGCCAGCGCCTTTATGTTGATTCCATTCACTAGGACGATTTCGGTATCTGGAATGGGCCTCGATAGGCCTTCTTGTTCCGTAAGATCATCAAGCTGATGTGAACCTTGCCCAGTACCATGCTTCCGTCGGTTAGCCAGCCCCGACCGGTCCACTGAGTCAAGCACTGGCGGTAGGCGAAGGGCAGAGTCATCCCGAACGAACTGAAACAGATCCGCGAACGGGTTGTAGGGTCCGGTGGGGGAAAAGGCGGGGCTTGGGAGCATGTTCCCTGGCGGGCTGAAAGAGCCAGGAGCGAGAGGATGTTGCTGCGAAGATGAACGCTCTTCAAAAATTCGTAAGGAGGCCTCGTTTCGCGATGGCTACGAGAAAGTCAACATGCTGTCTCAGATTATCGATTTCCTCATGAGAACCGACCGACAAGTAATCGCCTACCGATAAGCTCATTGCCTGGGCCGGTCCCTCTTCATCATTTCGTGTCATGCCTATCCCACTCTGTTGCTCCTCATTCCAATGCCATTGCACAGAGTGTCCACCGGTATCCTTCTCTGTTGCGATGTTGGCTCCCGTTCGTCTACGTCTACGTGGTCTGACGAGCTGTTCCGCAGTTGGCCACTCGCATCTCCGCTCTCGGAAAGTGCACTTTTGGCAAACAGGATGGCTCTCGTCGCACTTGACCTTTTGCTGACGGCAAGTGAGGCATCCCCTGTTACTCCTTGTGAAGCGAGATCGCGGCCTGTTGAAGTTGGAGACGGCTTGATCCGTCATGATCCGGTCGCAGCTGGAGATAATTAATGATGTTGCGATAACCTTGTCAATGATCAATGTTGTGGACAGACGGTTCCAAAATGGATCAATGATCGTTTAGTCGCTCGTCGAGTGTACGCCAGCTACGAGCGACACCTACCAGTTATAGTAGTTATACAGCTGCCAAGAAGTCGCAAGTCATGCAAGTCAAGGGGTGTGTACACGTACTTGGGGCGTGTAGATAGCAGATAAGCCCAAGTCTCGGAACCAATTGACCATGTTACATATGTCCGTAATAACTCTCGTAACGGTCGGAGGATTGATGACGAATCGTCTCGGGTCATATCTCTGCTCATCTGTCTCGACGTTTCTTGTCGAGTCTTCATTCCTGCTCGATATAGCTACAGATTTGCTCGGCGACCTCGGATGTGCTCAGCTTCCCTCCCAAATCTCCCGTCGTCTGCCCTTCTTTCAAGCTTTTGCGGACCGCCCGTTCCAGCGTGAAGGCGGCTTCTTGCTCTCCCAACCACTTAAGCATCTCAACCGCCGAGAGCATCGCGGCCACCGGATTCGCCAGGTTCTTACCCATAATATCGAAGGCAGCACCATGAACGGGTTCGAATAGGGAGGGACATGTTCGGGTCGGGTCCAGCGAGGAAGAGGGAGCGATTCCGATTGATCCACACAGGCCTGCGGCGAGGTCGGACAGAATGCTATTAATCCAATTAGTTGAAGAGGTCAGAGCGTATTCTTTCGAGGAAGAGTGCCATTTCTATCGCACTCACTCTCCCTGCAAATTGGTCGTGACGATCGTGTCGAGCGTTCTGGGCTTGGCGATCATCCGAACGGTCATTGCGTCCACCTGATGGACTTAGCACCAACGATCAATATCGGTCGCACGATCGAGCATCCGTTTTCAATCGAAAATAAAAACTCACGAGCATCTTGTCCCACTTTACTTCGGGGTAGTCCGCCGAAACGATCTCCGCGACCTCGTCCCATAGGGTAAGTCCGTATCGCTATGTGCGGAAGAAGGACAAGTCGAGGTTCAAATGTATGCTGTTTCAGTTTCAGGTAGCACACACAGATAGTACTTCTGCTCGAATTTATCTCACCTGCGCATTGCTCTTGGTCACGATGGTCAAGAGCTTCTTTGGCCTCTTCGCCGCAGTTGCGAAAGCAAACCTCATGAAGCGCTCGATACCCATCCTCGTGAAGATGGCGACCTCGGTAGCGACCTCCATGGGTGTCCCAACATGGGTCCTCCCACCTTGTCCCGCATACTCGCCCTCAGTGTTTTCCCTCAAGATAACCCAATCCAGATCCTCCCCGCTCTGAGCTTTCAAAGTGGGTGCTTGCATGCCTTCGTAGATCGTACAGGGACGAACGTTGACGAACTGCTGGAACTTTTGACGCATGGGAAGGATGAGCTCCCAGAGCGAGATGTGGTCCGGAACGTCCGGGTCTCCAACCGCCCCGAACATGATGGCAGAGTATTGTCGAAGGTCTTCGAGCCAGCCGGGCGGAGCGTATGAGCCAGTAGACTTGTATCGGGCGCCTAAGAGAAACGTGCCGGAGGTGAGCATCGACATCGTTGCCTCGCCAAATTTATCTTCGCTCCGCTGGACCTCTTCTCTCGACTTACTACTGTAATCCAGTTCGACGGCGTCGATCGCAAATCCACCCAGGCGCTTTTGAACCGCAGTGATAGCTTTCATCGCCGCAGCCGTTACCTCTATGCCGATCCCTGAAGTCACGAAAACAAGACGCGGTATCAGCATAAGCGCGTTCGGGGTCAAATCGGTCGAATTGGAACATCGCAAACTGACCATCGCCCGGAATGACAGCAATTTTGTGGAACCTCATATCAGGCTTGGATGTCGCAGGTATGGGTAATGTCGAAGAAATTTCCAATTTTCGAGTATGTGCTGAACCACGATGAATATTCTATGTCATTTGGAAAGCAAAATAGATAACTTCTCGAGAAGATACGGGTGGCTTTTGAGGAGGATGGGTGAATCCCATGGATCGCAAAAGACCGACATCGGGCGAAGCGAATGACGGAGACGGCCGAGTCTGGCTGGGATCTCGAGAAGTAACCAAGCTATCTCGCATAGGATCGTATCAAGCGAGATTATCCCGAGTCAGAATGCAGTCAGCTAGTGACATCGTTGCGAGATAAGTATCGGCCGAGGACACGCAGGCGTTCGCGTCCTAAGTTTGGTTATCGACGCGCGCGCCACGCGAGAGTTAGCCGCATTAGCCGATCGCTTGTTATCGCCTGTGAGCTGATGACCAAACCCCCCCATGCCGCTACGTAACACAAAGATAAAGTCAGCATAGTATTCTCCAGGTTGATATATTGCTCTACAGTCTACGCTCGTTCACAAATATCTGAGAAGCATTTCCCACCTGAAGATTCATGCAAGTTGCCTCTCTAAGGTTGTCATCTCGACTGTTTCAGACTACCGCAGCCACGTATAATAAGTACGCGCGAACCAGTATGACGTCACGCACCTCCCGTTTCCGAGTAAGCCTCCCGCTCCCTCAGCTGAAACCCAGACTTGACGCCCCTCGCAAACGGCACGACAGCTTTCCGATCCATCCCTGTTCGTACAACAAGCCTTCGTCGATGGCTCGTGGGTGAAATCAGCGGACGGCAAGACTATGGACGTTCAAGATCCATTCACCGGAAAGTCTTTAGGCACCGTACCGGATATGACAGCGGACGATGTCGCCTCTGCTATTGTGAGTAGCTATCGGACTACGTCAAGAGCTATATGATGACACCTATCTAACAGCTGCGATGGTCTCACCCCCTCCATTCGAACAGACCGCTGCTAAAGCGGCTTTACCGACCTGGTCTGCACTGACCGCCTATCAACGCCAATCCTATCTCAACTCCCTCCTCTCCCTCATGCGTGCCAACGCTGATGATCTCGCACTGATCCTCACGGCGGAAAACGGGAAACCACTGGCAGAAGCCAAAGGCGAAATAGCATATGGAGCCGGATTCGTAGACTGGTTCGCCGGAGAGGCGGTTCGGTATGTTGTGTGCTCGGCTCTCTCTGTGCGGTTCGTTTAACACAGAGACCTTTGACTGACGTAAAATGACTCGTTGCGATTCGATCATCCATACTAGTACGTACGGCCACAACGTCCCTAGTGCTATACCGGGAACGAGGAACAACGTCATCAAGCAACCGATCGGTGTTTGCGGTCTCATCACTCCCTGGTAAGCCTGTTCCCCTTCTTGAGAATCTGTCGAAGTCACGCTCTTAAAACTTCTCTCTGGCAGGAATTTCCCAAATGCCATGATCACGCGCAAACTTGCCCCCGCCCTTGCCGCCGGATGCACGGTCGTGATCAAAGCACCAGCAGAGACGCCCTTTTCGGCCCTCGCGATGTGCGTTCTATGCGAGAGAGCAGGTATTCCCAAGGGAGTTGTCAACTGCGTTACTGTCGACAAGGGCGAGAGGGAAGCTGCTTGTGGGCTAGAATTGTGTGAGAAGTGAGTGAGCCACCTGAGGTCCAGACCCAGATCAGGTTCCAACCTTTCTCCCCGGCTTGAGGGTACTGATTTCTCCTTGCACCAGCCCGGATATCGCAAAAATCAGCTTCACCGGATCCACTCCCGTAGGAAAGCTTCTAATGAAGCAGAGCAGCTCTACGTTGAAGAAGCTGAGTTTTGAGCTAGGAGGAAATGCGCCGTAAGTGAGACATATAATAGATTCGCGCTCGATTGCACCTGCGTTTATCCATAGCGTTGCGCAGCTAAGTAAAGCTCATTTGACGACTGTCAATTTAGGTTCATCGTTTTCGACGACGCGGATCTCGACGTCGCTCTCGCCGGTGTCGTTGCGAGCAAGTTCAGAGCAAGCGGTCAGACCTGCGTTTGCGCTGTAAGTCGCGTTCAGTCCGGTTTTCTTCCGATCTGTTATCGGTCTGACCTGTTTCCAACCCTGCTCTCACAGAACCGGATATACGTCCAGCGCGGCGTCTACGAGAAATTTGCAGCCATGGTAGCTGACAAGGTCTCCACCTTCAACACTGGCGACCCCATGCTTCCTGGCACGCAGATCGGACCTCTCGTCAACTCGCGCGGGGTTGATAAAGTTCAGCGCCACGTGGAAGACGCCGTTTCAAAAGGCGCGAAAGTGCTCGCCGGAGGACGCAAGGGAGATGGATGTCTGTTCGAGCCTACGGTGCTTTCTAATGTTCCTGCCGACGCCGCGATATCTACGGAGGAGACCTTCGGACCGCTTGCGGCTCTGTTCAGCTTCGAAACCGAGGCTGAAGTGATATCTTCGGCGAACGATAGCGAGGTCGGACTGGCCGGTTACGTATTCACCCGGGACGTCTCGAGAGTCCACAGAGTGTCCGAAAAGCTCGCTGTCGGTATGGTCGCTGTCAACACCGGTATCATCAGTCAACCTTGCGTCCCATTCGGCGGAGTCAAGGGCAGTGGATTCGGTCGTGAAGGTGGAAAAGGCGGGATCGACGAGTACACGATCGAAAAGGTAGGCTCGTGGTTTGATGATTGACATTTCGAAGTTCAACATACTGAGATCAAGCTCTTACTTATTGAAGCTGATTACTATCGGCGGTTTATAAAAACATCAAATGCCGAAGTGGTTCCTGAGGCGTTTCGGTATTCGTGACTATTTTTATGGATTGATTCCTAGCTCAAGCGATCAAGAGATATTGCGAGGTCGAATGTGTCCGAAGCAAGCCCGATGAAAGGGACAGAAATAGTCTGAGACCCGCCTTCTGATGCGATGTGCCAGTCTAGTTGTAAGCTAGAACCATGAAGTTATGAAACTCTGCGCATACGATACAGTAGCAGAGTCTATCTACTGGTTGAGCATCCAACTGGATGTCCGCTTTCTTTAGACGAGCTACCCCACAAATCGCCTGACCCATTAGCATTGAACGCGGGAACAAGTTTCTCCTCATTAGGGGGGGGGTGAAATCGGCTAGATTCGTGGCGGTTCGCGGAGACTGCCGACCGATGGTCGAAGAAATCTACGAGAGGACTGGCGAATCGGGACCAGCCGGTGGTAGATCGGTAAGCGAATGACATGATAACGGAAAGACAGAGATATCCCTCTAATGACTACGATCACTTCCAAAAACATTCAAGAGCAACGGCTACTAGGCGGCCCCCTGGCATATTGTCTGTCAATCCGCCAGGTCATTGAATTGTATGAGGGAACCTTGACCTATCGGAAGTTCCATGGATGCAGGCAGCCAATGTGTTAAAGTCCCATGTAGCATATGTTTGCGGACGTACCCAGAAGCTTTGGGCGTGGACTAGTGTTGACAGTAGCATGGGGTCTTCCCCCACAGCTCGGTGCTAGGTCCTCGCAGCTAGATTCAACTTTGAAAGATTTCACGCGATCAAGGGAACCGGAGTAAGGTGTGATTGATGAGTAAGGCGCGTATGAATGATGATCCAAGGATGTTGTGATCGATGAGGCCAAGATGGTGCGATAGGATTCGAAAGGCGACCAAAGTCGGAAGGAAGATTGTACCCTGCCCTCCTTGAGCAATGCAGGCTGCACTGGTAGGTATGGTATGTACGATGCCTGTAGGAAATTCCGGTCGCTGTGGCATGATACAGGATATGAGCGATGCGATGGTCTTGGATACTCAACAGTGTTCAGATTCAAAGCGGATCGCAATAGAATGGCGCAGTGAGCAGGTTCGGATCTTATACTGATGAGTTGACCGTTTGCTCGATGTCATCTCAGAATACAAAGGAGGTGCGGTCACGTATTCTGCTCTCATCGAGCACATAATGACTGACCTCATTGATCCCCGAGGGGTGTGTCATACTTCACATCACACAAAGTTTGGCACAACCAAAGACCCAAGATACCTACCAGACCCGGGTATTTTGGGTGCTTCCCACAGCTCTCGGAAGTGTCCAAGCACAAATCCAGAGATACTTTGATCCTCTTGACTCTGGTGGATTGACCAGTAAGCGACTGCTACGCGAGACCCTGGAGAGCATCAAGGAGATTATGGCGGACTCAACATTTCAAACTCACTGGCAAGGTACTGACCATGAAAGTGGAAGGTATACACCTGATAAGAACGGTTTATACCCAATGACCCGTTGTCCCGGGGGTCAGCTTGTCTCTGTCAATGACCCTACCATTCAATATTGGCAAGAACAAAAACATCTCACTACGGCCATAGAAGTCGCATCTGACCCAGCAAACAAGAGCAAGGAAGCCTACAAACATTGGATTCGAATCTGTACTAGTGATCAGTACAACCTTGGGTCGATCATTGACGAAACCCAGGCTGGACAGAGCTACACAGGAAGCTCAAGGTCAAGTGGGAGTACTCATACTACTGGCTCACGGGATGACTTCAACTCCTCAGCGATGCGAACAACGATCACACGTGCAGGAGATGTTGTAGTCTGGAACCCAAGCGGGTTTATACCACTCTCCTTTATCAGCAGCAATGAAGAGAAGTTTTTAGTATGATGGTCCTGTAAAACGACGTGATGCACGCCATTCCTCTGTTTTGTGACCGTTTTGTAGTCCCTTTGTATCATGGTCGCTCTGTACTATGATTGTCATCCAACAGTAGCATCATCCGGCGAGACATGACTCGAATGACTACCACGTCGTCAAAGCCGAAAGTCCACATCAATCGCGAATAAGTCACCAGTGATCCGTTTGTTTCTCTCCTTTGTCCCGCTGACACGGCATGGCGCCAGGGAATCCTAATGCTTTTCACATGCGGCGACGAGGAATGTGGCCGGCCAAGCCGCATACTCCGCCGAACCCGGGCGCGGAAAATGATTGATAGCGAGTCATAAAATGATGTTCCTTTGTCGAGACTCGAGAAGCTTGACGATCGCCTCTGCCGAGAAGCGCAATGTCCACGATCCACAGCAAGGCGCGACCAATTGTCATATAGATAAGCCAATTAGATTGGTAGACGCTTTGAGCGCTTCACCTGTGCAACGCTGTTGTGTAGTCTTGGTCACAAAGCAGAGCCACTCACAACCCTCAATGGCGCGCCCGGAAAGACATTCAGCCTGCGCCATTGACATTTGGGTCACGGAGAAACTGACATTCCTCCTGCCCACCTGGATTGCCTTCCGAGTTGACCCATCAAGCAGCGATGTGCTCCTGCACATAACATGGAGTCCTAACCCGAAGTATTTGAGCTCTTATCAAACGCGGTACTACCTGCTTAGAGGGGATACACTTTTCTCCCCTGTCGCTCGGCAAATCCAGCAATATTACGATCCATCGTATCGTCCTGCTATCACGCTGACGCAAATGCTACCCGATATCTTGAGCGCGATCAACTCTGAAGTACTCTCTACATCTGTCTTCGCGCAACATTGGTTCGATACCTTGCTCGAAACAGGACGAAGCGATCCAAGACGCAACAGTTCGAGCGGTCGATACCCGATTGCTGAGTGGCCTGGAGGTGAAATCCTACGCGCAAATCAAATCGAACCACATTGGTGGGACGATCAGATCAGGCTAACCCACATAGTGAAGACCGCTTCTACAGGATATCAAGGGGATGTACCAGTCCCGATTTACTCATACAACGAGCAGATCGGTATCGCTTCAATTCCTTCCCCTAGCGCAAGTCGAGTGTCGAATTGCTCTCGCTCAGGAAGCTCGATATTTCACTCTGGTGCATCCGCCTCGAACTCTTTACCTTCGATTCATCCTACCGAAACACTCGATGAGTGGTCTTCAGTTCAACCGGGCACGCTAATCGAGATGATAGCTTCCGAATTCCAGCTATTCGCCATACGTCACTACGATTCGAGCATAAGTTACACAATTTCCGAAGATTAGCTGGCTGTTTTGATAGAACCAGAATGCATACGATAAATAGTCTTGTTCCAGCAGTAGTATCAGCATGACTAATGTAACGATTATTGGTCATTGATCATTCCTTCCGTGTAAGGGATCGATTCCCGTTGTAGAGGGTCAGCTGACCAAAGGCGCACCCGAAAACCCTCCAGAAGTTCGCCATCTGTGCTTCTCCTTTGTTCGGTTCTCCAGTCGAGCAACCCCATGTTGTCGTTACGCCCTTGCGGGCTGTGTTCATATATATATTGTGTGGTGAATCGCGATCTCTCCAAGCAGTACGTTTCTGGCCCACAGGTAAATCCTTCAAGATGCCATACCGATATCAGCACTGGCAACCATGTGTCTCGCGTGACCCAAACTCGTCGTCTCCGGCTCCTGGCTGGACGTCGTTCTTGCTTCGCCCTGACTTGAGCCTACTCATCATGGTGTCCCGTCCGAAGAAGGGAAGAACTCAGAGTACAGACTATCAAGCGAGATACTATCTACTCTCTTGCAAGCATATCTCCGATCTCCACCTCTGGAACCGTGATGAAGGCTCTGCAGCTACCTACCCGATAATGTCCAAATCGGTGCAATGCCGCATCCTGAGTAGGATACAGGACCAATTAGGCATCGGCACAGAGAAGTTCAATGATCATTGGGACAGAACATTCAGTGAGGCGGCCCACCGTCCGAATATCATCGGACGCTATCCGGTATGGTCCTGCTCCGATCGAAATTGGAAAGGCCCTGTTCAAGGAGGAGGCACATGGAGACTTCTTTCCGGCAGCCAAGTCTCTGACTCTGATCAAGCTGACTTGCGCTACAGCGTCTACCTCCATGCCAACCCCAAGTTCGCCTCAACCGTCTTCAGTTCGCAAGAACACTTCATCGGCTGCACCCGTTCGGCTAACTTCAAGGGGTCTGAAGCTTGCTCCCATAAAGATGACTACAGCACCACCACCCCCTCCTTCACGCGCTTTATATCCACAAAGGAGGATGATCCCTACGCCTTGTCATTGACGAGTTGCGTCGGTGACAATAGTCGTACCGCTGTAATCATTGGAGGTGGCGGATACCATCTGGTCGCGAGCAGCAACAATAGCGTCTTGAATTGGAACGATAGTTCTTACCAGGCGCCAGGGTCTGATTCCGCCGTTGGTCCATTGAGAAGCTTGACTGACTTCCTTTGTAATGACTAAAAAACCGATGTACAGCGAACAGCGAAAGGATTCGATGCCTCTATATGATTATCTCGACTGTTATTGTTCTGATACCTAGCAATACTTACGCCCAGACCAGATCAGCTAGATCATAGCCGCTATGGCTAATCACAACGTAATGACGCTATAGCGGTGTTTGGGTTTATATGATTTCGACTCGCACAACATGCGATCTTCTTCCAGATGGCCTTCCAGATGGCATGAACCGGGTCAGGGAAAGATCTTGCATTTTTACTTGGATCAAGATCCCCGAATCGTTGCAGTCCTACCGAGACGAATGGGGCTCACATGGTGCATCATCGTTCACAATGCTGTTTCGTATAGTGTTGATGTGCTAATGATTGTTAAGCAGAACTTAGGCGGCTCTCATCGGGTAAAACTCCGGCATAGCTGACCTGTTGTGCCATGCTTACTGGCTGCGCGACTGCATCCGCTAAATCGCAAAACAACGGCAACAAAGAATTTTCTGGTGTGCGTTTCACGTATAGCCCCTCGCACGTGAAGCAGCGAGGAAAAAGGATGCCAATACGTCAGGTATCAACTCCGTTCAGCGGCGGACTTGCCGTACTGAACCCCTTTCGTTCGATTTGTACCGACCTTTGATCGGGATTAGTAGACTGCGGATTGTCCTTTGTTGTGCGTTTTCCTTTTCTTGACTTGGATCGGCCTACACCAGGGATAGACGCGAGGTATAAAGCATGACAAGTTGTAGTCCTGGCCATGTATCGTATGTGAACCTTGCTCTCTTCAGCATCAACGACTCACGCAATCTTCACATCCCATCATTCTCAACATCGATCTGTCAAACATGAGCGACATGCAACTACCGATCCAGGATATTTCCGATCCGCAGGTTGACCTCGCCAACTTCAAGCTCCTTCCGACGGGCGAAATCCTGCTCTATGTCAAGAGAAACCACATGACCACTGACGGTTGGAAGGTCAGGTTTGATCTTTAATTCCTGATCACAAGGGCATACTCGCTCAATCATTTTGTCCCCAATGGATCAGGCGGGTGGAAGTCTCCTGTTACAGGAAACCACTTTACTCGAGATGAACTCAGAGCTTTCCTTGGGAAACTCCTCGAAGACAAGATCATGAAAAATCCGGATTTCATCGGCCTCCTTCAGTTTGCGAACGATGAGGCACAGCGTTCTGCAAACAAAGACGACTGGGATTTTCCGACGAGATCATGGCCCTTCTATGGCGCTCAGGAGGTCGATGAAGAGACCCTCTCCCATGCCAGATCCTCGATTGTGGCCGAGACGACTGAAAAGTCCAAAGACCCCAGATACGAGGGCGCCACCGACCTGTTTTTCGGATCGGCCGATGCGCAATCGAGCATCGGCACCAACGAGACGTCTGAAACATCGATTCAAACTAGTTAGACTTGATCGCCATGTCAGACCGGGTCGAATTGTACGCAGTTCTACTTTGTAATACTCGCCTGTTTCTTAGCGCGATGAAACATTTGCAAATGCTGCGGAAGTAAATCTTCGCGTGTTTGAGACCATTCCTCCGATCACTCGCTGTCCAGAATATCGAGCCACAGGCATGCTCGATGGAATGGGTATCGCCTGCCTTTGCCAGTTCCGATGTCACCTCGGGTAACAGCTGTCCTCCATCCTCTCCTTGCGCGTGATGTGCATGGCACGAGGACCTCCCTGATCGGACCCAAGCGTTGACTAAACAGTTACAGTCAATCACGCGAGTAAAAAAAAACACTCTCTTCAGTGGGACAAACATGGTTCTTGCAATGCGACCAGTGAATTTGTATCTCCGTCTGCATATGTGCGATCATTCCGCTTAACGCACATGACGTGAGGTGCACCGATCCGATCAAGGTTTCATCCGCGACGCCATTCCCCGCCCCGTTCCGCAGAGCTGCGAAGCGCAAGGCGAGGAAAACCACCAATTCTCGGATCACCTCCGTTGCACGCTGGATTCCCTGAGCTGGAATTCTTTTGTAGTGGTTGATTCCTCCTTCCCTTTGATCGGAGAACTTGCAAGACGACCATCCCTTGTCCACGTCTCCGCCTTTCACCCTCGGCTGTCGACCCTGACGACTGACGATTTGTAGAGTATAAAGCTGACTCGTTCCGGTCCGTTATCGTAGCCCCTGTGCTCTCGAATCCCTTGTCACCAGTGACTAATCTCTGTCTTGCCCTTACCACACACCCATCTGTATACGATGTCTACTTTAGAGCCTCTTACCTCAGCCCAACCTATCTCACAGGCCAACTTCAGCAACTTTCGGCTGCTTCCTACAGGGGAGATCTTGCTCTACCTCAAGAGGAATCACGTCAATGCCAATGGGTGGACTGGCAGGTATGACCTACATTTTCTCATCAACAAATCGTACATGTCAGGACTCATCGTGCCGGACGGATACGGAGGATGGAAGAATCCGACTACCGGTCTCTTCTACCTCGAGTACGAACTTCGCGAACTTGTTGGTGACGTCGTGAAGCACAGAATCATGCAAGATTCTCGGTTCTGCCGGCTCTAAGCTCAGGCGAACGAGGAAGCGCAAACAGCCGCTTTACAAGAAGACTGGCGTATTCCGGTCAAGACATGGCCCGACCAAGGTTGGGAAGCGGATGAGGGAACCTTGTCCGGGGCCATGACTGACGTTATGGAAGAGGTGACCAGGAAGTCCCAGATGCCCTCGTTCCGGGATGTTACCGACCACTTCCTTGGCTCGGTCACTACGGTGGCTAGTTCCGCCTCGAACCAGACTAGTCGAGCCTGATCATGATGCTAAGCGGGAAGGGTGGTTGTACTTTGAGATTATCTGTTACATCTTTCGGATATTGACCTCGTCATGCTTTCCTGGTCATGCGCTGAACACAACTCGTAATTCGAGCCGGAGTATGGTCTCTTTCTCCCTTCGCCCACCAGTTGCGGCGCTTCTCTTCACGTCAAACATGGTTCTGGCCGTCCTCCGTAAGGTCTGACACAATATGACCCCTTCTCCTTTCCCCTATTGTTTTCCTTGCTGGCGACTGTCAGCTGGCGCGTAGGCCGTGGACGGTCAATGATATATCCTGTGAGGTGAAGATCAGCTTTCAGCTGCATAATATTACGAAAATTCAGATCAGCCGCAAGGGCTTCTGTCTAGACCTTCTAAACCCTTTGAAAATTGAAGAAAAGATCGTAGATCCGGACGCCGCGCTATTTTTTGCAATCCCATACGTTCCACTCCTTTCGCTTGTTTCAGCCATTTTGCGTCACTCACCACGGTCACCCTCTGGCTTGCTGCCCTTGTTAAGCTGTATGCGATTTCCAATCTCAGCTGACTAGCACGTCAACGCTTCCTTTGATCATTTATCGCAAGAGGTTACGCCATTGTCTCGATGCTAACAGTCTGGGCTACCTATATAACCAGTGTAAGACCCGAGCTGTCTCTACCAGATCTGTACGACCATTTGAACTGGTCCAGCCACGGACAAATCATCAAGCTATGAGTACTTTCGAGCCCTTTCAAAAAAACAGCGACAATGTCATCCGCCATTGCAGCATCATCTTCAAACTTCGTCAGGATGGTAGCGTTTTACTGCAGCTGTCCGAACCAAAATCGGGCGCTGTAGGCTGCCCAATTCGCTATTACTTTATTCAACTGCGTTATTTCCAGGACGTCTACAATGCAAGCAGGAGCAACATTCTCTTTGATTACGGCTGGCCAGACAGCGAAAATATTCATAGCCTCGATTACGCGAACCGCCAGCTCCTGATCTTTCGTACCATCAAGTATCATCTGTTGAGAGACGAAGCGTTCCAAAAGACTTGGCGGGAAGACTCATGCGATAACTCTGGGGTGGTTGCTTCGATCAATGGGTGCTTTCCCGCGAGGGTTTGGCCAAAGTCTTCGGAAGGTGGAGAAAGCTTGAGGTATGACTGTGGAAATAAATCAGAGCAACGGTGGATGCGTTTGCTTATCGATGAGGCACGGGTTGTTGAGAATGATCCCAGCGATAAACACTACTGGTCCACAGGCTGTTTGGAGATAGTTCTAGGCTCAGCTTCGTTCCTGACGGACGAAACACAGATATCGTGCTCAATTTCGATCTCTGGGAGGACGGATGACTTTACAGACTACCCCAGCAAGCGTCCTCGAACCATGCTCACCGATGAGTGTGAGGATCAGAACCAAGCGGATATTGACACGCTTGGTTTCCAGGAATACCGCGTCATTGCCTACACGAAGGATATCCTACGAATAAATCCGAACCTCGAGAAGGAAATCCGCCGGCTGAAACTCGCCTACTCCGGGTAAGTCTGGTAGTTTCGAGCTGGTGTCACTCGGCCTGACAACATCTTCTTCTCCCCCTTAAACAAGGCCTGTGTCTAGCGAAGGAGCGGCCTCTAGCACTCAAACTGTATCGACACGGTCGCATTGAATTCACAGGCTACCATATCTTCTTCGCGCAAAAATTCACTTTACTCCGATACATTCGCTTGTATCCTTTTCTCTGTAGAGTTATTCAAGGTATGAAATGCATATACTACTATACACGCACCTACTATACACCTATATCCGTACAAACTCGTGCAAACAATGTATTCATCTATAAACGATCGCGACTTCAAGCCATGATCGAGGTCAAATCGACACCCCTGTCCATCCCGGTCAATCGCTGAGCGGGCGTCTGTTCCACAGGTGCCGAGTCGTCCGTCTTGAGTCCGTCGGCGTATTGGAACTGGTTGGAGTTTTCGTACTATCGCCAGCAATGTCACGTCAGCGCCGGAGACAAAATCGCAATACTTGCGCGTAGGGGGAAGGAGGCGGCTCACCTCGTACATATCCAGAGCGACCTGACAACTCTCCCTGACGACAGGCGGTGCGCTCTCCAGCGTACTCCACTCCCTCAAAATCCCCAAGACTCCCTTCTGCTTGTCCTCCTCGTTCTCGTACAGCTCGCCTTCGACCCCCTCGTCACCCTCGGAGGCGATCCCACCGAGCGCTTCGGCGGCTTCGTGACGGACCATGTCGTCCTCGGCAGAATCTCGCATGACGTAGAGCAGGGAGGGGATAGAGTAGGGCGAGGAGAGTTGACCGAAGATGTAGGCGATCTCGTGTCTGCAGCGGGAAATGGTCTCAATCAGCAAAACAAATCACAAATCGATCCGCGGGTTTGTGGCTTACCGGAAAAGAGCGCTTCCATCCTTGAACCCATCAGCCAAAGCCTGTACCCCAGCTCTCGCCTCGTCCTCCTTGCCTTTGACTCCGCTGGACCTGGCGACGATGTTTCGAAGAGCGAACATGGCTCGGTATCGTTTGAACAGGGGGATGGAGGTGTCGAGCAGGGTGGAACGGAGCGAGGAGGTGGATTCGTCTTCGGTAGGGAGGGAAGCTGGGGCAGGGTCAGTGGTGGGGAAGTTGGGGCTGAACGTGTAAAATGATTGTCAGCATTAGGAATCTCTGGTGCAAGATGCAGCGACTCACTCCAACTGCCTAGCCCGACCCTCCTCGGTGAAATGGTCATACTCGATCTTATCCACCGCGATCTCACAAGTCTCCCTGACGCTCCTGCTCTCGTCCGTCTTGTACTTTTTCAACAGATCCAAGCTCTGTACGCTGGACAAAGCTCCGAGAGCCTCGGCGGCTTCGTGCCTGACCATCTCTCCTTGGAAACCGTCGGCGTCGATGAGGACGGCTTCGAGGTGAGGGACGGCTTTGAGGTTCTTGATCTGCCCGAGGACGTAGGCGAGCTCGTGCTTGAGCAGGGCCGAGGGGTCAGCGAAGCCTAGCAATCACGCAATACAATACTGTTCAGCTCAGATAGCTTTTGTTATGCTCTTCTCTTGTAGACTCACCTTTGGCTACGATCTCGACGACCTCGTCTCCACCGACGGCCTTGAGCGTAAAGAGAGCCCTGAATCGCTCGTGCAGCGGGGTGTCGCCTTTGACGTTGAGCAGACAGTCGGAGAGCTTTTGCAGCTGTTCGGGAGACACTTGAATCGACATGATAGATGGCGTTTATATGATCAGTCTAGATCGATTGCTTAGAGTTGTCAACAACTTGATTTGGTCGTACATTCGTACATTCAAGATCTTTGCGATCGAGGATGGACCTCGAATCTGATAAAGGAGCAAAAGACCTTACGGATGCAAAAAAGTTGGCTCGGCGGTATTTCACCGGAAGCTAAATGTACTTCCGAAAATCAAATAGAAGCGCAAGATTTCGGAAGCGCAACCGCTAACTGATCGTAATGTTCATGTCGATGATGATGATATTAGGGGGTTTCAAAATCGCGTAAATCATCTTTCAGCTCATCTTTCAGAAAATTCCAGATTCGGTAATTTCCGGAGGTTTGTATCCGCTTTGCCTCCGATTTGCTTCCGCCGCGCGCGCGCGAGTGAGATGATTAGTTGAGTTGAAAGATGATTTGCTAGATGAATGGCCCTCCGACCCCCTTCATCTAGCACATCATCTTTCAACTCATCTAACGCATTTTCGCTATTTCTCACGCGTTCGACGCGTCGCGCGCGTATTTCCGAAAGTAGCAATTTGCTAAAAAAAGATGAGATGAAAGATGATTTCCGCGATTTTGAAACCCCCTAATATTGATGTCGATGTTGTCAGACATTCGCCTCTGCGACGTCTTCTCTCCATAGTGCCATCTAGTCAGCCGCCCGCCTCTATACGTTGGAAAGATAGCTCAAGATGTCAGCATCCGTGTCACTCGTTAGGAGCTACCGCTCAGCTCTCCGGGAGATCAACAAATCCGTAAGTCGCCGCCACGAAAACCTACTTCAAGCTTACAGCTAACCCCTTACCTGATCTCAACTACTCCAGGCCATCCAACCGCGAGGACGACGGAATCAAGCCGTCTTGGGGATGCTCAGGAGTGTTTACGAAGAAAAGCGGAGTGCGGGATCGGGCGAGGACAAGCAGTTCACGAGGGATCTGAACGAGTTGACGCAGTTTGTCAAGGCTGGGCGGTTACATACGGTGAGTCTACAGCGTCCTTGCTCGGTTTCGAGAGCATCCCGGTTGTTGTGGACGATCGGCATGCTGAATCGTCTTTTGGACCGACTTTCTCGCTTCTCCATGTCGTACAAACCCTTCGATCATCACCTCTACCTGAACATCACAACGTCCATCAACCTCGCCTCTGCCGTCCTCCTCACACAACCCTTGCACCACGAACTCCTTCGGCGCAAACAGGAACTCCTTATCCGATACAACCCTCTCCAAGGCCTATCCACCGAGGACCGAGTTACAGCGACCGCTAAACGAGTCGGGTTGTCCAGCCCGACGGGTTACGTCAAGGGGCAAGAATTTGGACGCGGCTGGGCTGTCAAGGATGAGAGCGGGAGTGAGGGTGGAAATGAGGAAGGCGGGCGATAGCTTGAAAGGAGAGGAGACATGGAAGGAGGTTCGGGTTGTATGAGGTATGAAGGGCATTTTCTGTATCGATAGATGATTACGCTGAAGAGATTTCGATCCGGAACTACAAGCAAGGACATAACTCTTTGCGTTGCGTATAGCTGCATGGGGAGGCAAGCTACTCCTCTCGACTATCGTATGAAGCACCGGTCACCTTGTCCTTGGGGCTGGGTGCTGTTGAATGATCCCGAGGTCGGGACCGAGTTGCGCAGGCTGTGATCGGTCGCAGTGGTTGCAAGGGTTCCAGGAGGACTGGGCGCCAGGAAAACACATACTGCCGCGTGCTTCACCTGCCTCCTTGTTCATCAAGGGAGAGGAGCGGTTCCCAGGAGCTGAAACGTCGATCGATCGGTCACTCGCGCGCGTGTGTGAGCTAAGATTGCGGAAAGCATGTCAAGGCATTCCCCATCAAGCTACTAGGTAGCGACACCTCAAGGATACCGACGCAATGTAAGCCCACTACCACATCTATCAATCGTAGATTCCTATACATTCGTGCATGTCGTGTAAGATCATCTGGTTAGGTCTGTACAATCGAGATTGGTCAGGTTTGGCAGTTGAGAAGATGGGGCATCAGATTGCTCTCCCTTCACGGTGACCGGAATTGTTCCAGTCCCTGTGCCGTCCGTCAGGGAAGAGGTGTGCCTTGTTGACTTCTGCGTGTCGCTTGACCAATATGAGGGAGCTTGAAGCGAGTCTGATGTAGTCTGGCGTGGGCTGAAGCTGGACTCTATAGGTTTTCCCTGGATGCTGGATTCGAGCCAGAAAAGGCCGGATACTCTTGTCCCATACCCGCCTTCTAAAGCAGCGCGAATCTTTGCACCAAGACCTCCATTCATTTCACTTTGCAACAGTAACTTCACTTCCTCGGCGTACATCTCTCGTCTTCGATGTACGTAGTAATTGTCATAGAATCCTTCTGTGAGGTTGGGGAAATGTTGGCGGGGAATCCATACGTTGAACAGATGGTGTTTCGCGAGCCAAACGGTAAGCACGATCGCGGATCCAAGCCAACGCTTTTCATCATCTCGCACAACGTGAATGTACGCTCTTGGTTTCCCTCTCGACCGCCAACTTTGCTTGTAATCCTTGTGGATTTTGACCGAGCCGATTACGGAGTCTAGCTCGAGATACGTTTGATACACCTCCACAGCTGGGCGGCGGTTCACCTCGGAGTCGAGAACGCGCTGAAACTCAAGGGGTACGAAATCGGTCATACTGGGGGTTGTAACAGTTTGTTTTTTTGCAGAAAACGGGCCGACCGCCTGCCGATTGCGAGGTATAGGAACAGCGTCGCGAGATTATATACTGGGCTTGTCGGTCGCCTATGGCTGATGTCGTCAAGATGGCGTATCTGTGATCAAAGGAGAACTAAAATTCGTGTTTCACTTGATACCTTCGAGCACGCGATGACTGGAGAGGACCGACATCCTACCCCATGGGACCAGAGTCCAAGATGTTTCATTTTTATTCATGCCAAACCTGGACCACCGCAGTCTAGATTGCTATCTTTCAGGCCGTATGACTCGCTAATTTGCCGACTCGATATCGCATACCGGAGCTGTACAATGCCGCATTCTGCTGTATGAAAGTTTGCACGGAGTAGTATACATCATGAGGCTTTTCTTAGAGCAGAGACGAGCGTACCCCTTTCATGCTGTCAAATTTGCACATACGGGGCTTGTCATAAAGTCGAAGACAGCAGCTATGCGGTAGAAACTCTCAGCCTTACATGCGTCGCATGATACCGCAATCCAGCAACGCTTTGAGGACTATCTCCAATACGCTCGTCATGCACGCTCAACATCAGGCCGCCGACACTCTTCTGTAAGAACCTCTCAAATACAGCAAGGAACATCGAAGGAATGCACGTTTCGAGCAGCACGGCTAATAAATTTGGACTTTCCAACCTAGGTCTATCCCTACAGGTCTTTCTACAAGAACATCCGGTAGCAATAAAGCTCGATGCTCAACGCTAACTTCGGCCTGTAGAAGGAGGCAGCGCTCCACTCATGGAGGAATCAGGTACAATCTCAGTATCAGAGATGTCGGAGGCTGAACCTGAGTCCTGTGTAACATGTGTACCTCCGATGGAACCCTCGACAGGCTTTGGCAAATCTTCATCTTCGAATTGCCAATCAAGCCAGCCCGTGTTGTATTCAAAGGTCGGAAGTAACTGGTTCCCCTTCCTCTTGATCCGCTTGTCTAGCTCCGATCCAAGAGCTTGGTGAAGCCGAGAGTCCTTCTCGAGACATCGTTCCAACGCGTCCAATACTCCATCATCCAGGTAAAGCCGAGAGTCCTTCTCTCCCAACGCGTTTGAGACCTCAGATGACACAGAAGACGCAGGAATCCAGAACTTGAACAGGTCGAACTGCCAAGTAGTGTTGTATCTTTCCTTTCTCTTTTCTATGACCAACTCCATGACTATAGCGATCTTCCTGTCCTTCGAGCTGTCTTTATACTCCACAGAGTAGATGTAGCAGACGAGTTCCGGTCGACCAAAGGCTTTTTCGACGCGGCGTAAATAAGAAGAATTTTTCTTCACGGCGGCGAAGTCGGTCCCGTAGGAGAAGTTTGTGTGGGTCTTCATATGATTAGAGAAAACGGTCTCAGCAAAAATGTAAGATGTTGTGAAGCTGAAGGTGTTTTCCAGTTCGAGGGGTGTGATCGTAGACCTTTCATCCCGAGCTTAAATACATGTCTGCCCGTACCACAAGCTTCTCCGGCTACTATTCCGCTATTCCGCAGAGGAATGTCGCCCGAGGAGACAAAAGGAGGGTCCCCGACTGTCGTGACCTCGTTTTCGCGCTGATGTCACCTGAACGATTCACACAATCGTGGTCCCGTGACCGTAACGGATTTTATCGAGTTGTCAGTTCAGTCAGGTGAAAGCTTTCGCTCCAATTCGCAAATGATGAAACAAGATGCCTGTGAAAGGGGAGCGCGCGCGCCTCCGCCTGCAAAGGGGGGCACATGCGCGCGTAAAGGCGTTTTGCTTGGTGTGGTCTCATGATCTAGACGGTCGCTCGAGGCGCGATCAAGTGATCGGAATGTTCCGTGAAAGCGAAAGGAGTACTGAGGGTATCTAGTCCTCCTCCCTCGGGCCTATTCAGTTGGAATGTTAACGGACTTGTGGGTAAGGCTGCCGGCTTTACCCAATTGCTCGAACAACAGAACCCTTCAATAGTATGCCTCCAGGAAACCCTGTTAGGGATTGGGGTTTTTCCTCAATGTACTGAGGGTTACAAGGTCTACACGCACGGTAGGAGTCCGGGTGTCAGTGCTTTAAGCGACTCGGCCCAGTTGTACCCTCGGTATCCCCATGGCGCCTTCGTGCTTCCGCTCTACTGGAAGGTCACGATCACAGTCTTATGATCCCTGATCCCTTATTTTGTATCTGATGAGTTACGGTATGTATGATGCTGCTTGGATCCCCCACACCACGCTGCCGGGATGATGAAAGAAAGCTACTCAGCAGTCGTCAAACATCCGACGATCGAGCCATATCACCAAGTGTCGGTAGATAGAGCGACAGACACTTGAATTTATCAAAGTCGTTTCTGCATGCATACAAGTATCTGGTCACGATCGGTCGCATCGGACGGGATGAAGAGGATCAGACGACAGTGTGGCGAAAGCCATAAATTCATACCAATACGTCTCAATACAGTATCGCCAATCATACAGCGCGAAATTTTTCATGTCTTTGAAAAGGAAAAGAGATCCCTCACAGAGCTGAGACGACTGCTGGTTCTGTGGTTCAGGATTTCGACCACATACCAGAAGTCATATCGGTCTCAGCTCCGCTAACAGATGTCTGGACAGACGTCACATAACTGCCGTTCTAAGCTTCAACGGATACATCTTGTCCTGGTGTCCAAGTGAACCAGAACCCCGGGTTTTCTCCCTCAATTGAACTATTCGCTTGCCGTCGGTCTCGACGAATGTGTTCAACCTCTTCCCCCACGGCATCTCTGATGACCTTAGCCAGGGGTGACTTTGGCGCCAGAAGTTTGCGAGTCTTCTCGACGTAACGATCGAACCTTGTTGGGAACGTCCCGAAGAAGTCAGGTTTCCGTTGTTCCAGATGTTCTCTCGCAATGTAGACTTCGCATATGTCGTAAATTTCCCAAAACCTGGGGTTCTGCTTGCATCGCTCAAACACTAAACGTAAGACTACCACTTCTTTCTCCGTAGCAAGACCGGGCCGCAGCTTGGCTGGCCATAGGTAACACTGCAGGAATTCAATATTTCCCGGCGATTGGATCAGGTAGTTGAAGGGTCTGCCGAATGGAGTGGGTCCGTCTCGCCATTTTTTGGCGTATGATGGCACTTGGATTTCATTGATGTTGACGGCCATCTGGCGAGTTTTTGATCTGTTCAAGCTGAAGAGAGCACTTTGATTTTGAAATGTTCAGCTTGACCGCTTGTCCAACGATATCTTGATAATATATACATCTCCAGCACGACGGCGAGGTCGTGGTATCTCGAGATCGCCACTCCGCGAGTGAAAGGAGCGCTTACTCTTGTTTCTCACCGGATGCTTAGCGAGAGGATAGTATCCAGGTTCGGTCAGCTTTCAAACCACCTTTAGTGATCGATGTCGGGACAAGACTACGTGCTTCACAGTGACATGACAGCCTGAATATTCTTGCTGAGGAGAACCGGACTGAAGCATACCGTCATAGCGCGACATGTCAGTCAACCTTAAGAGCCACATCTCCATAAAAGAGATCGACCATTTAGCTTTTTTCACTCAGCAACGACCCTGTCGTCCACAACCCTTCTCGAGACCAAGTTCGTAGGGGTGCCAGAGACGTCAAGGGATGGCGTTCTCATAGGAGCGTAAGAGCGCCGGTGGCTCGATAGTATCGTCGCTAACTATTTCGAAAGGTAGTAGTAGTTGCGTTAATTCATTGATAGTAGGGAGGGTGCTTTTCACAAGGAGTACAATCGATCATTTGAATACAATCAGGTGCGCTATACACGTTCAACCACGCGATGAAGCGGAGGTCGTAGGAACCGTGCCAATGGATCGAGCATTCCGGCGAGACCTCAGCCTGATGTCTGTCACCAAGCTGAGAATGCTTGACCGGCCAGAGAAGGAGCGCGCAGACGAACTCGCTTGGGATGTCCGGGTACGGTCTTGAGAGAACTGTTCCGCAGTCATCTCCGTAGCAACTGCCTCGTTGCTCTGCTGCCGTGTCAATCCAGCAGTCTTGGCAGTTGAAGCCCATTCGACCGCTTGATCTCCCGCAAAGTGACGGGGGACCGGCTTGCCGTTTTTGTACCGTGCTAACAACTTGGGGAGGGCCTGCAGGATATGCTTTTCCGCAAAGTGTATAAAGTCCTGATTGGTAAGAAGCTCTTCAACCTGGACCTTGTAGATCTCTGAGTTCGGGTGGTGCGATGGGTTCAAGAGGTTTCCATCCAGGAAGATCCTCGGCAAATCATGTCGCTCGTCCTCCCTGCCCAATCGCGTAGCGCTAAAGCGAATCCAAACGAGAACAAAGCTGTTGTAGGCGGATTTCGACGTCAATAAGCTCCCAGAAAACTTCAGGTCAGTCAGCAGATCTTTTCCAGCAAGAAGCTCCGTCAAAGGTGTGACATCGAACGGGATTTCATCGCTGGTGTGCACGGCAGAACTCATTTTCAAGGAAGAGATCGCTGCTAGGATTGAGCTTGGTGGTCGCGGAATGAGGGAATTAGGGGACTTACCCTTCGACGCACGAGGTGAATCCTGCTTATAACCATCTTCGATCAGTATCGATGTGAAGTGTACCATAAAGGGCTTTGAAGTCCCTAGTCGCTGCATTTGACAAAGGAACGCCATTGACCCCTCGAAACATTCCGCCTCAGACTGCCACAGGCGCAAGTGCAGGGAAGAGACATCCCTCCTCTCACTGCCCATAGTAAACCGCTGAGAAATGTCCGTTATGACGTTTCAAAATGCTAATAAAGGAAAACCCGGCTCTCTTTCCGAACCCATCTACATCCACCCGCCACCAGCGCGCGCGTTATCGTGTTTTGGTACAAACAACACCACCCCATTCTCCTCCGAGGGTCTTTGACGTCATCTCTCGCGACGTCTCGTTCTCCAACAAGTCCAGACGAGAAGTCTAGACCAATCGCTTGAAAACCTTGGGGGCGGCGCAGGCATCGACACAGTGCATCTAAAACGAGGTGGAGGAGGATTAGCAAATAAATTCTTGTGTTGACACCATGTCAGTATCGGTCGCACCAGGTGGAAGAGCTCCTCGACGCAGTCCTCTGTGTCAAACAGAAATAATAACGTCAGCCGATCATTCTCGCGCCAAGCTAAACACGCTGCCGAAACTCACCTCCTTGCCATCCCTTTCCACCCTCGACCTTCTCGCTACAGGCCTTGAAGTGGTGTGCGGCAGGGGCACACTCCTTGGTCTTTTCACACTCGGCTCGGATGGCAGGTGCGGGCTAGAGTCGAGTCGTTAAGAAGGGAAAAGTTAGTCAGTCGAGTTCGTTTCTGTTAGAAGCGTCTGCGGTGTGACGTGGTGTGACAGGTCAAAGGTGGTGTGACGAGATGGAGCGACGGAGTCCAGTCGTTTTGTTGTTTCCTATGTCCTCCGATAGTTCGCAAAGTGTTTTGCAAGTCCATCTGCGATATCGATTCGTAACAAATTCCGTACCAGGTTCCGAAGTCCGTGACAACTGGAAATGAGACTGATCCCTGCAATCATCCTTTTTGTCCACAAATCTTGCTCTTCGACAAATCGCGCTTCTTGATCTCGGCGTTGTTATGCTGAAGGCGAGTATCGCACCGTATTTCTGGTAGCAATCATGTCCTGTTCGATAGCGGGGTCGTGCGCTTTGCCTTGTCCTGAGGTTTTGTTTTCCAGCGTAAGCACAGGAACAACGTTTGGGTTCTCTCTTTTCGCGCTCATCATGGAGCGGGGCCTTTCCGTTGTCGTCCACCCCGACCGATGACGGACGTTCGCCTCTCAGACATCGAGGTCGAAGTCAATCGACCAACGAGTTCTGCCTCTCGGTCTCAACCGCCTAGCCTCATCTGGCTCTGTCTGGCTCTGTCCGATGAGATGGTCGCCTCCTTGAGACGGTGCCGAATATGATCCCGATATGACGCCGAGTGATCTTCGGACGACCTCTTCTGATTCACGCAGGTTTGACCTCTCATCGCCGCCATCTACGACTCCTGGTCCATCAAAATCTGATATCGACCAGGACAGTCCCGTAGTCCTTCCTGTGCCCTATAGAAGCCTCTCTCCAACCCGTAACGTCTATCGAGAAGACGCGAGCGAATCGCATGAGACGTGATCTCGGCACCACAATGGCCGAATCGAGATACCTGTTCGTCTCCATCAGAACCGTGCATGTACGTCCATCGAGCGCCGTTTGAAGGGGGCCGTGATTCCAGAGTCGATTGGATGTACAGCTCTTGCGGTATTTCACGGCGAATCCAGTTGTTTGAAACGACGACAACAGCTCCTCTGGTTGAATGAGAATATGAACGTGACGACGGCGTCCGATCGTGGAATGATCTCGTTCTCTGACTATTGCTCCGGAATGGCCCCAGCATCGTGCTTAATGTATTGATGCGATGATTCGGGTTGACTTGAACCGGACCTGACGTATTGGTCCGGCAGATATTTGATATGCCAGATTCGAAGCCAGATCATGTTCGCTCGTCTGCGCGATGAGTTCGATGAGGCCGATATCACATGGGTCATCGATGCTTGAGTTGATGATCGAGCTTGAATATCCTCTGATCAACCAGGTAAACCGCGTTTCCAGGTAGAACCAGAAGCGATGATTCGAGATGCGGTCGAGTTGAATGAGATGAGAGGGTATGTGTGGGTACGAGATGTTCCAAGTCTTCTGTAATGAAGATCCGGTAGTCCAGTTCTTGAGGTCCGAAGCTTATCCGTCCCGAATCCTTCGTCACGTCCCGGGCTCAAGCCCGAATCGAGTCCAGGTTCTCCAAATCCGCTTCGTCCACTACCTCGATTGTCACACCACGTCACACCGCCGACTCATCAAAGACAGAATCTACTCACATCCTCAGGCTCATCCTCCTCCTCTTCCTCTTCTTCCTCCTCGGCCTCCTCCTCAGCCTCGGGCTTCTCCTCCTGCTCTTCCTGCTCGGGTTCCTCCGATGGGGTAGGGGCGGGAGCCTCGGCGTGGGCGCTGGAGGTGAGATTAGGCAGTAGCATGGTTAGTTCGTTGAGATGGTACAGTCGGGGTAGGAGTAAACGATAGACGGACGATCGGGATGAGCTCTCAACTTTCCAAGTGCCAGATCGTTTGATCGACGGCGACTCACGTAGGGAAGACCATCTCTACCATGGATCCGAAAAAGGAAGTGAGATCGGACATGACGACAGAGTGTGCTTTTGGGGGGAGGAGATGAGGATAAGTCTATGTAGATGGTGTAATGACCTAGTTGTGGCAAGTGAGACGTGATGTATAGGTTTCATCGACTTGTCAACATCTAGGCTGAGCTCTGCGGGACTTGCGTCGATTCCGATTCGTTCAATCACAAAGTCGAGTCGTGAGCCAATCCGCGGTTCGTTCCGAAACAGTCGAAATGGTCCTTACGTAAGCTTGTCGATGGGTGCCGATGGTTACGTAAGTGTCGACACAATCGACAAACCATCGACAACTGTCGACACGCGACACGCTTACGTAACCCAATCGTCGACAAGTGTCGACACCATCGACACTATCGACAACCCGCGACATTACGTACGCGTCGCCCTCGACAACCATCGACAAGTGTCGACATCCTTACGTAACAACTATCGACACTCTCAGAAATTGGCAATCGCGCTTGAATCTCTCACTCAATCACGCGCGCTTCTCAGTGTTTTTCTCTTTTTTTCAAGCTCAATTCAACCTGACAACTTTCTTGGTCGACCTTGTGCGAGATCTTCGACATCGAGATCCTCGAAGTCGACATCGTCAAACGGGAAGCCTAGCCGTACGTCCGTTCTCTCCTTCTCCCTAGGCACTCCTCACCCCAGCAAGATTTCAAAGGGTGAGCTCAAGATCATTGTCGATTGTGTGTGGAGAGCGAAACGCTGACCGTCTATCCGTTCGATTGCAGACCTTTGAGTGAGTGGATCTTGGACGAGTTTACGGGATGGGTCTGGGTCTGGTCTATCGGTCATGGTCTCGGTCTCGGTCAACTGAGTTGCCTCAAGACGGATAGACATGGGGACAAGAACGAGGATCAGCCGACGACGAAGAGCGGGGGGAAGGAGATGTGGTCTAAGGGTCAAGAAGGGAAACACGGCGAGGCAAACGAAACAACGGCATCAATCACCTCAATCAACCTCATCCTCAATGCCTCTCAGTGATCTGCAAGAAAGAAACGACAACACGACAGGATAGGGCTGTCATAGAAATAGATCGACAGCTCTGCCTTCATTCGACCATCGCCCTAGATCACAACTTACCTGCGGTTAGGAAAGGATACATCCGATTTCCCTTTCGACATTTGACATAGCAAACCGCTTCCTCTCAGACATCCAATGTCGGCGACGCATTAGACGGGTCGTTCGGAAAATCTGCAGATGGGGTCGAGGATGGAGGTTCTGCGTGAACCGGAGGATATTCTTATCGATCATGCCGAGTGCCAAGGTGGATGATTATGGAGAACGAAGGGCAGACGAGACGGGAAAGGTCGGGAATGAAAGACCTTGATCGCAGAGGAGTCGAACGCAGAAAAGCGGATGAGATGATATGGAAGCGGGAATCGTCTCGCTACGTGGCATAGGACCTACCACCTCCATCGGATGAAGCCGACCACGAACATGACCCAGACCAAACCACAACCAGACCCAGACCCAAAATTCACGGACAAACACCTGTATCGGAATGCTGACTTGTCTACATCCGTGTCGTTCCCGCAGAGAATCAACAAAAATGGCCCAACGAGTCACCCTCCGCAAGCGTACCCCGTACAACACCACCTCTGCCCGAAGGAGGGTCGTCAAGACTCCCGGTGGAAAGTTGGTCGTTCACCACTTGAAGAAGTTGGCTGTGAGTCCGGGCGACGTCTTTACCTCTAATACTCGCAAGGTAGAATCCGCGAGGCTGATGCAATACGAAATGCTCGATCCTCGTTTGGCAGAACGGACCCAAGTGTGGTGACTGTGGTCTCGGACTCCCCGGTGTCCCCGCTCTCCGACCCAGGGAGTACGCCACCCTCTCCAAGAGGCAGAAGACCGTCCAGAGGGCTTACGGTGGATCGAGGTGTGCCGGATGTGTCAAGAACAGGTGAGTTTCGGGTCGCTGTCACGTCGTTTTTTGGCTAGTTGGAAGAAGCTATGGCAGGCTGACGTATAATGTGTTTTGTCGCCTCTGTAGGATCACCCGAGCCTTCTTGATCGAGGAGGCCAACATTGTCAAGCGTGTGCTCAAGGCCCAGGCTGTCGCCCCCAAGAAGAAGTAAACGGTTCCTCGTCGACTTGGTTCTTTCCCCTCCTCCCTCCTTTTCTCTTATACGACCCACCCTCGCAACACACAACAAGCACCTGATCGTCGAAGTCAAACAAAGTCGGGATAGATCGGGAGGATCGGGAGGATCGGGATGGATCTCGTATCGCCCGAGTTGTACCTTTTCGTCGACCGGATCTAGACACACGGGGATAGTTCCCTTGTGTTGATCTGCGTTCTCTCGCCTTTGATTGGATCGATGTGATGATGAGCAAACGAGAGTCGCGTGGTCCAAGAATCCAGGGCCTGAGCGGATCGGATTTGGTGTCCTTAAGCTTGATGCGGAGCGAGCGAAAGAGCTGCTCTCGCCGGGGTGAAACGTGTTTCATCATGAACAGTCCAATCACCACGCGTTTCAAGCTGAGATCAACTCGGTATCGATAAACTGCTAACCTGGCCCGATATTGGCAAGCAGCGGGCGACTTGTTCCAGAAATCCCGTATAGCTGTGACCCGGATTCCTGGTGCTCTTGTCAGTGGCAGCGTTAACAATGATATGGCGAGACGTTCGTCAAAGGATATCTAGTGAGCGTGATGTGAGAGAATCACGGGAAAGCTTGACGCCATTTCCAGACCGGTTGGAAAGTTTTTTCGACGCAATGCAAGTTCGTTTTCACCACCAGGGTGACGATATCTCAGCCACATATACCCACACTATGACAACGGTCTTCTTGCGGAAACTCTTGCGGTGCTCGAGGCAGCAAGTGTCCAACAGGCGATCGATTACTGTGAGCGCGTCGATAGCTGCGTCTCATCGAGCTCGACCTACTTCCGCGTTTCAGTCGATATCGTGGTCCTTTGTCAGATGGTGACATTCAGAACAAGGGGAAGCGAGAGGGGGGGCTGTACATTCCCCCGGTTCTCCTCGTCCTTAGGTATAAGAATGGAGACAAGGCTGATGCATCTCGAACAGGTCTATTGACTGCGGCGGTGTCGGTCTTTACCTTCAACCTCACAGTCACTCATCCTCTATATTGAGCGGAACAATGTTCCAGCATCAAACTTCCGCTGAGTTGACCGGCAAAGAGATTGACCTCGATGTGGCGCCACTCTTGCGATCCGTAAAGGCGAAAATCGAAACCGTGCCTAAAACAGGGCTGGAAGACATTATGCTTCCTGAGCTGCGTCTGTTTGGTACTTTGTCAACCTTGCAAGCCACCCATCATGAGCCCATCAGTGTGCGACTCAAATTTAGCGCAACTGCTACTGGTGCAGAAAGCCGATATCCACTGGGCGAACTCCATATGAGTTCAGACCTCTTGAATCAGCCACCTCAACTCGATCCTGCAATCTACAAGGCCCCTGTTGAGGTTCTCCTTCGTGAAAAGGCCTTGAAGACTTTCATAACGGATCTCATCTGGGACAGACTGGTCGACATGGATTTGTGGCGCGAAGACGCCGATTGGACATCAAATACTCCATGAGTTGGAACTTGGGATCCGAAATCCCAAGCTGGAACGACGAGAACAGACCCGGACGATGAAGGGGGCATGACAGGCGAAGGCGATGAGCAATCGTTCCGCCAGAGTGTTCTTACGCAATCGGCGACTCTGTTCTCCCGGGCGGCCACTGTTCTTTCGAACGCCGTCACGAGCCTTTCCACGAGAGTGAAAGAGGTGATGTCGGGAGCATCGTCTGCAAGGGATGTTCACACTGACAACCCTCATGAGGCAGGCTTGCCATCATCACGCTCCGCCAGTCTTGTAGGAGGAGGTCTGTAAAATCAGGTACTAGAGCCTTGATGCTTTCGGATTGTAAACATGCTTCATTGTGTTGTATGACCAAGTTTTTATTACCGTAGCGGAGAAGCGAGACCTTCAGGGAGACCTCTCGGACAGAAACTGACATCTTCGATTTACGCCTTGATGAGTGAAAAGGCGGCGAGCAGAGGCGCTATGGCGCCTAGAGGTAACAACCGCGGTGCCCGAATTCCGAAATATGGTTTGTAGTTTTGTGATAATTCTGTCTTTTTTGTCATTCGAGTGCACTGGTATCACAATGGGATGTGAAATGCGCGAATCGGTGGAACGAGTCGCTTCCGTTGCTACGCGCTGCCTCATCAACCGCCACGTTTCAGGCGATGTAGAGTTCCTTTGTCTCGCGGCCCCCGTAAATGGGCCAGAACCCTTGCACCATGGTCCCTCATGTATGCTTGCCAATATATAATGGTAGGTCTAAACGGAATCAAGATCTTTGCATCCTTTCGCTTTTGATCAGTAGCTTATACACATTATCCGTCACATACCACACGCATCACCCATGGCATCTCTCCCTGAACAGCCCCTTCAACTCAGCAAGCCGGTCAGTTTCGACGTGACTCCGCTTCAACGATACTTGGAGTTCCGCTTCGAAATGACCGGCGCGAGCCTGGCTGGAGAGTTTCGGACAGCAGGTTATCCTGCGGAGCAGATCATTCAGGTTCGGCTGTTCATCACCGGAACAATCGTTCTACAACATGGACAGCAATCCATGGACCTTGCCGAGATTGTAGTCAACGCTAAGGATTGCTTTCCGGATACAACTCAAGATGCAAACGGCTACAAAGACCTCGTAAAGGAACTGCTGTATAATTGGAAATTCCTTCCCTACGCTGCGGGGCATCTGAATGACAGACTATGCGAGCTCAGGAATAGGCGGAACGCCGAAAAGTCGCTGGACATGGACATCACGCCCATCACCTACCCTCCTGGGAGCGAAGTAGAGCATCCTGAGACTCTGTTGACCCCAAAGGAACCTACTCAATCATCTGACGAGAACAGTGTTCACGAAGGATCAGACAGTGGGACCATGCAGACGCGGTCTGGAAGCTTTATATCCAGCTTTTACAAAAGTCTGGCATCTGCATTTAAGCTTTCCCGCAAGACCAATTAGACTGGTTGAGGGATTCCACCGGGAACAAGGTGGTCCTCCGTTTGTACCTGATAGTGACGAGTGGTTGGTTGTACCCCCTGCCATATGGACCATCCCCCTGACCATCGGACATATGTCAATACCAATACTCGAGCATCTTTCTTGTGGAGCAGAGCATTTTGACTGCCTCACCCGGCTGCCTTGAAGACCGACATGATGGATCAGCTGCAGATATCTAGCCCCATCCTCGAGTGACGCCTCGCTCTCTAGACCAGTCCCGAATGACGAGAAATTAGACAACCGCCTATGAAAGGAAGGTTCGACTCGTCGGAACGGTCGTCAAGTACATATACCATTGGACATGAGCTTCCACAATCAACGGTGTCGCTTGCGTATGTATAGCAACCATGTAAGGTACAATGATAGCCGACGGCCATATTACGGAACTTCCTGCTCATGCGGGTTTCATCACTTTCGAATCCCTTCTCGATAAAGTAAATCCCTCCGATCAAGAGTCTATGATCGACGTAGCTCCCCTGTTCACTGGAGCAACAACTCTGCGCCAGGGCGAGTCAGTCCAGGCACAAGTTTTCGTTATCGATCGGTATCAGCCAGAGCATTACAATGTCAACATCATCGACTGGGGAAAAGGCGCACACATGGCTCAACAAAGCGGAGGGACAATGCTTCTCGCTTGGATCAAGGCAACAGGCTCGATATACACCTTATTTGGTGTCTATTTGGCTGCACGACATGCGCGAGGCCTCTTGACAAATCACGTCCGCGTGTTTGAAGAGATGGTCAAGACCGGCTCAAAGTCACACCTTTACACATTCATCAAGGATGCCCTCAATATCAGACTCCAATTAATACGTTCTGACAAAGCCCCACCCGGCCTACAGTCTTTGCCCCTCGCTTGTTGGTTTGAATGGGAACCTTCCTCTCGCTACCAAAAATGTGCCTCGAAACCTTTGCCTCCAATTCCTGCGGTTTCAACGGGATCAGACGGATCTGCGATAAGTGTTTCGGATGCATATACCGCCGGGGAAGTTATGTCTAAGTCTGGCGTAGGAGAGACGAGCGTGTCTGAGAATCGGACCGAGGGTACAGATTCCGAGGGAGGTTGTCTTGGCTGGTCAAGCTGGATTACTGATAACTGGTGGTCTTTTTTCGCACCGAGCACGGCTGAACAAAGATCTCTCAGGTAACGCCAAAGCACGAACGAAATAAGGTCCTGCTCTTTCTGCTCAATGTAACATCAATCTCGTGAACTTCCATGTTGTAACAATTCGTAATCTACATTTCATAGCCAGTATCATGTTCCCGAGAATCGATAATCGATGGCAATGGACCAGTAGTGTTAGGATCGATGAGCGCGTTGAGCGCAGAGCGATACTACCCCCAGAGGCGCTTGAACAACATGGAGATTGGAATCTGTGTTCGGTCTCATTACTGTGCGTGATGCTTTCGTGAAAATACAGTACAGGAACCGCGCTCAGTCATCGTCATCAGTCGTGCTGTCGTCCTCATCTAGCTGTTGCTGAATGGGTCGGTGTGGTGTCCTAGCGACATTGGTTTCAAGGATCTGCAAGGGCGCACTGTCAGCTCGTCTGTCAGGTAGTTTTCCAGTCGACCTGCTGAACTCACCTTCTGTTTCAAGACGTTGCCGGATTCTGCTTTATCTTCTCTCTCCTCAATCTCATCCGCCACACCGAGTTTGAACCCTTTGCGGAAGATTTCTCCCTCCTCTTCAAGCCAATCCTTGTTGACACGCTCGAGCGGCGAAGGCAGGGGATCCGCTGCCTGGTCGGTATCTGCTGCTTGTTCGCCGAAGCCCGCTTGATCACCCTGCCGCGTGGTGGCGTTGAGCGAACCCAATTGCAACCCATTCAGCGGAATCGGCTTCTTCTTGACGAAGGGCAAAGATCCAACGACGGCGGCGTTGGGAGCCGACTTGGTCTGCTGTACGACATTCGGCTCGGCGAGCTCCTCTGCATCCGAATCGTCATCGTCCGAGTTGGTGAGGGAAAAGTTGGGACTCGATAGTTCGTGCGAAGGCATCCGCATGTGTCGACGAGGCGGCATGGCGGCAGTCCGAGCGGGTGATGGAGTGCTCACTGACGACGTTGCGGGTTTGCTTTGCAGCTGAATGACCTTGCGCTTCTGTGTGCCGGCCAAAATGACCTCGGATTCGATGACAAGGGGGGTGACCACGTCATTGGCAGCCAGCAAACGTTCCAGCCGGGTGGAATCGTCCGTCTCCTGGATAAGATCGCCTACTCGCTCCAACAGAGCTTTTGCCTGCTCAACTGCACCCACGGCCCGCTGCTTTTCGGTTGCGTCAACCGGAGTCTCCTTGTGCTTCGCGTTGAAACCTTGCAGGTACTGGGCGACCTCGTCTATTGCTTTGAGTACAGCTCCAGGATTCAGCGTGTAGACCTCGCTCCTCGCCAAACCCGCCGGTGTATCGACTGTCTTGCGCACGGCCTCGAAGTTACGTTGCTCCTCATGCTCCTTTGCTTGTCGAACCAACGCCGACTCTCGAATCGACGCCCACATCGCATCCCTGACTCCCTGCGATATCTTGCCCTCCCGTGCCTCGATGGCGGCCTCAGTGTTGCGGATACAGCACTGCATCAAGGACTGAGCCAGCTCCGCCTGTGCGGGATCTGCATGGTCCATCGTCAGGTCGAGACATCGGATGGTAGCGTTGGCTCGAATCCCGACGCTAAGTGCCGAGGCGCCATCGCTGCCGATTGCCACATTGCCAGTCAAATCGATATGCAAGACATGTCGCGCCTCGTGCAATCCCTCTGCCATGACCACGGCGCCATCGGTAGTCATCCCGGTTGAGCCCAGGTACAGCCTTTTGAGGCTGGTATTGTTTGCGAGAGCGGACTTCAGAGCGATCACCTGAACAACAACTGTTAGTTCGCGTCTGTCAAGAAGCTGAAGCAACTAAAACCTACTCCGTCCAAAACCGGCCCACAACAAGGGTTTTGGCTGAGATCCAGCGTTTCCAGCGTATTATTAAGTTTCTGCGATTTTGAAACGGTCAGCAACCGTTGGATGCCAAACTTTGACAGCAGAATACTCACCAAAGCCTGTGCTAACACCTGCAGACCTGCTGCATCGATCTTGTTATCACTCAAATTCAAAACTTTGAGCGTTTTGTTTCGCTTAAGCACTTGTGCTATGTATGATACTCCTCCCTGCAACAATGATCGAAAAGCTCAGCTGATAGGTCTCGTAAACAATTTGTTGCAACTCACCCTAATCTCATTGCCCTTGATGTCCAGAGTAACCAACGGTCCAAGCTTCTCCGGCTCCGTACCCGCCGCCACCGAAGGATGTATTGGCGGGACAGGGAAATCACGGGGCGTTTCCGTTATGTCTGGCGTCCCAGCTCGCATAGAGTCCCCGTTCAGCCGAGAGAACAGAGCGTCGCCATTTGAAACACCTCCACTGTTGATGGCCGAGGTGGTTGGCCGATTATCTGGATAATCCCGAATGATCAACGCGATCGCTACCGCACCCGTCGCATTGATCCGGTTTCTCCGCATAGACAAGTTCTTCAAGTTCGATCGTCTCAGCGAATAGCCTATCGAGGGCCACGAAACGTTAAATGGGAACTCCTCTTCGATGCTAGACTCAAGCAAATACTTACTAATAGCATCGAGGCTAGTCGGCCGGAGACTACATCCATCCAGACGTAACGTCTGCAATCCAACCGATCTCTCCCGAGTCTCGCTCAACGACGACGCTCGACCGAGATTGAAACCTCTTCTTCCAAGCTGATCGGCCTCTCGCACTTCCTCCTCCTCGGTAGGCTTCGTTGAATCTGCGGCTGTGTAAGGAGATGAAGCAAAGTCCAGGAAAGCCTGGGCAAGGTAGTCGGCCGATCGTTTATCGATCAGGTTATCCGACAAGTCCAGGAACCGTAGCGATTTTGCCTGGAATTACCACATGTATAATAGGTGCATCAGCTTCGATTTTGGGTCGGAAGAGCATGATAACAACCCTTACCTTCCGAACGTAAGCGGCTACCATCCTCCAACCTGGCGCCTTGATCTTGCGGTTCCCAGCAATACTCAGATGTGGTAATGTACCAGATATCAACAACGCATGTAGTATCGGTTTCAAGGCCTGCAAAGAGTCATCATCTTAAGCCCGTCTCATTGCAACGTCGAAACCATCAGGTTCATTGCGTGTGAACTGACATCGTCATGATCGATAATCCCCCCATCGAGCGCTAATCTCGACAATCCCCATTCCAGGGCCAAGATATCGGACAGAGCTTCTGCGGAGTGTTTGTTCAGCGGAGGATCTACGAACCAATAAGCGGGCGGGGCTGGTAAGTTGGAAGTGAGGAGGAGTTGGCGGGGTGACGATCCATCATCTGTCGCTTGCTAAAAGAAGCAACGTATCATCGAACAAGCGGTCAAAAGGAGCTGCCGAGTGGATTAAGCAAGAACTAGAACTTACGTTCAAACCGTTGACCACACCCTTCCTGACCAGCTCTTCCCGTCCCTTACATGCCGTCTCATAGAGCTGTACTAATTTCCCTCTCGTCCAATACTCTTTCTCCATGACACTCGCGACTTCAGCATTCTTGGTCCTTTCGATCTCGTCCCGATCAGCGAGGATCTTGTCCGACCAAGGCGGGTTGGTAGAAGAGATGGGGTAGGTTATGGATATGAGCGGAAGGAGGAAAGAGGCTCGTTTAAGGGGTTTGTGAGTATCGGGGTCGATATTCTGGTTAAGGGGAAGAGGAGATTGGGCAGAGCCGAGGGTTATGGTTGATAGCGCTGATAGGGGTTTTGCCAAGGCAGACTCTAGACGAGCAGCGCCGTTAGGCTCGATGGCCTTTTCTTGAGCCGTGGACGAGGATGGAGACGATCCGGCGGTCTGGAGCTTCCAAGGGAGTTGTAATGACGGTCCTCCTGAATTACCCGTCGTCTGATTGGCAGACGACGAAGCCGATGCCCCAGCCACGAACCTCCCCAACTTGCCGCCCCACGTCCCTACGACCGCCGCTGCTGCACCTCCTACCGCACCTCCTATGACTCCAGCACCTTCAATGACCCCATTGGCTATGTTCCCCACGGGTCCAGCTGCTATCCCATGCGCAGCAGCCGCTACCTGTCCGTTGACGTTCCCGCCCGGTGCAGCGTAATCGAGAAACTTGGGATGAATCGATCCGAGCGCGTCTCGAAGTTTCCCACTGAATCCTGGTTTGACGGGTGGGCGTGGTGGTTTAAGGATCCCCTTCTTTGGTTTCGAACGGGTTCGGTGTGGTGAGGGTGTAGGCATCGGGGTGATCGTGTCTTCATTCGATTGTTCGTTACGCGGCGGCTGCGATTTGGCAACAATATCGTCCTTTGCAGGTGCATCTGGAGCAGAATCGGTGGGAGCTCTCACTTCCGGGCTGTCCTGCACGATGACAGGTTGGTCAACCTGCGAGATATCGCCCTCAGCACCGCTCATGGTCGAGGTGATCGCGTGGCCGATCGGGGTGTTCGTCAGATCCGGTTGCAGCTGGTATATGCGGTCGGTAATTGTGGCTCTACTTGTGGCATGTAATGGTAGCTCTAAAAGTATCTTGGGATCTTGTCTGTATCTCTACCTTGTATTCAGTCGACCCGACACAAGTATACAACCACGACATGAATGCATGGTCACCACACTAACCGGCGTGCACTGCATTCATCATCGTCGGCACACCCTGCCCTCTCGTCATCGCATATCGGAAGCAAAATCTCATTGACGGAAGCAACGGCGGGACCGGCGGTCGCCGAAGGGCATGTTTGGTCGTGCGATAGTGATGATCTCGATGGTGATGTATGAATGTGAGATGATGCGAGCTCCACTTCGGTCCTCGTGGTATATATATATTATAGTCTCTCATACGACCTGCCTTACCCTATCGTCCCGTGTCTCAATCCATGATCCAAGGCTTGGGCAGTTTCTCCGCCAGCTCGTATTGAGCGTAAACGTCTGATCCCTTGAGCTTGCCATACCGCACCGAGACTGGGTGGTCGTCATTGGCCTCCTGCGAGTTTCAAACAAAGCGGATATCGTACGAATGCTCAGCAAACACCTCAAGACTTGCATCGGGTTGCGACTCGTCGACATGACATGACCATCGCCAACTCACAGCATGATCCGCCGCAGCGATACTAGCCAAAGGCGTATGCTGGCTCAGCCCCTTGAAATCCTCCCTCATCGTATAACTCCAAGCGACCGTCCCCAGCAAGAGCGGGATCATCCCCGTAGACGCCACTACGGACTGTCGGGCGGCGAAGAGGCCGGTCATGAAGACTTGGAGGAGGACGACGCCCCAGACGAGTCGGGCGAAAGTTGTCGGCCAGGCGTCTCCGGAGGACTCGTACGGGTTGACGAAGACTACGGGTGGCAAGGGGAGAAAAGGTATCTCGTCAGCATTGGGTGAACCATTTGCACAGGTTGACTATGACTTGCCATAGATGAGCTTGTATTTGTAAACCATATCTGCGAAGACAAAAAAAAGGCATTCAGCAACCCTGAAGAAAAGCACACCTCTCACTCGCGAGAAGGGACCTACATCCAACCCCAAAGTAAATGGCACCAAAGATCAAGATCAACGGCGAGATGACCGAATAAGTCAACGTCAGGATGAACACCATGATCGCCGGGGGATAGACCATCCCGTAGTTGATCGCCGGTGGGGTGTAGACCTCGGTAAACTCTGCCGAATTGGACATTTTCCATTGTATGCATGCTATCAGCACGGAAAGCATGTGAAGATGGGATTGTTTGACCGACCTCGGGGAGTCAACCGGAAAAAGGCCCGGTACAGGCCGATGAAGAACAGTTGACCGAAGTTGATCAGTTGAAAAGGCATGATACCGATACCTAAAGCAGTGGGAGTCAGTGCTCGAAATCTCATCAAGTGAGAAGTCAAACGGGCTCACTCGACAGCATCACGTATGACGTCGAGAACGCCCTAGCTTGGTTCTGGGTCAGGGCGGCTGCCAGCTTTTTGGGAATCTGTTCAGGTATTAGGTGTTAGCGACATGTCTTTGCGAGTTCACGGCACAACTCCTTACCTTTTCCGGCGAACCCGCTAGGTTCAGGAGCAAGTCGAAGATCGTCGACACGACCAAGAACACGAAGAGGACCGAGACAATGAGGAAGAGGGTGTACCTAGACAACAAAGATAATCAGCAGATATCTTGACTGAGAGTACGTCATGCGATCAAATCACTTTTTCAAGATGGACGTCGAAATCTCAGACTTGGACCTGAACCCTTGGATATAGCACAGCCACTCGAGCAAGTACGGTAGGGTCGCGTTGAAAATGAGCAGCGCGGAAGAAGGGAGGGTAGTCTGCACCAAGGCGGCGATGAGAGGAGACCTCTCGATCAGGCGGGCCAGCCAAGGTGCGACCTTTTCGAGCTCCTTGAACGAGAGCAAGGTTGCCAACGCCGAGACCGGAGCTACGAGCGTTGATTTTCAGCTTGATGCACGATTCTGAACACTGCTGCGACAGACCACTTACCGATCCAGAATAATAACCCAGCGATGATGACCCCAGTAATCATGATGCTCCTAACGATATGTTCGCGATGCGTCATGCCCATATTGTTCCAGACGATATCGTCTGGGTCGGGCGCCAACGTGGTGCGACACTCGGAATGTTCCGGAAAGTGGACGACCTGGGACGCGAATTCCTATAAAGCGTCGGAAGGAGCGTCAGCTGTGATAGAGTGACAATCAAGAATTCTTAGACTACCTACGGCCTCACGGATGCTCTCAAACGTAACGAAACCCTCCTCGGTCGTCTCCCATTCCTTGTGCCCCTCGAGCAACAGTTCGGCGCCGTCTTGCGGAGGAGGAACAGGCGTCGAAGCCGCACCGGGTGTCGAATGTCCGCTGCGACTGTTATTCCCGTGTATCTTGCGCAGAGCCTGAACTTTGGCATCTGCCGCTTCAAACTTGTCTTGCCAGTAATCGATGGCATCGACCTTTTCGCCCAGGACAGGGATGGCCTTCTGAAGCGTGGATTTAGGTACCCGGGTGCTAGGCCGATCGCCCATTTCATTGGAAGACGAGTCTTGACCCGTTGGCGAGGTCGTTCCAGATCCGTTCTCGAGATCACGGTCGGCAAGGAAAGCCGGTGGTACGCTCGCTGGCGGCAAGTCGTGCTCCCGCCTGACCTCGCCCCAATTGGGTTCTTCGGACAGAGCCAATCCGATCTCGGGCGTCTTGGGCGGAGGTCGGACCTTGCTAGTCGATCGACTCGGCGTTGCCGCGCCCGAATGGATAGCATCGGCATCAACAGGACGCAGATTTTGCTCGTCCTCCTCGTCCTGCTCCGGTAATCGAATATGACCGAGTCCTTTCCCGCCCCTATATTTCCACCAGGCCTTTTCCAAACCTCGCATGGCCAGCTCCCTTTCGTGTAACGCCTGTCTGAGTTCCCGGCCGACGTTCTTGACCATCCTGATACTCTCCACCTTCCACCCACAGTCGTTCTCAAAGTAATCTTGCAGTTTCTTTCCGTCTCGCAGATGTTCTGGGATGGCTGTCACCAAGACCGTCCTAGCCGGTACGCTGCTCTTGCGGGCCAAGGCGAAGATGCGACGTCGTGCGAGGAAACGGTGAAAGTTCTTGTGTAACATGTAAAGTGCCAGGATCGAAAAGAAGTAGACGAAGAGGAGGTGTAGTCCGACCGTCGTTTGGGGATCGATGACTAGGTCCATCAAGGTAGGGTTTTGGCGTGTGGTATTCCGCTTCAAAGTGTGGTTGTGGCTGGTCTCGTGCAGGTGAACAGGAGTCCAGAAGGTCGAGGTATAGTTGGTATCGGTGTCATTGCCCGCGTTGGGATCTGGTAGATCGTCGTCTGTCGATCCATTCCGCTGAGCACGCGAGGGCTTAGGTTAAGCTCAAGCCTGGATTCGTATGGCTTCCGGCCGACTTACAGTCAGATTCACGGGCACCAGGATGAGCGTGGCTGCACCGGCGCATATCGAGAAGAACAAGAACGACGTCTTCATGAAATCGAGAAGCTGAAAGTCGACCATTCAATCAGCCCTGCACGGCACGGGACTCGCTCAGCTCTGAGAATTGCTGCACTCACCACGACGGCGTCCAACCCGACGGTCCGTACCATCATACTATCGCTCACACTCAATACCGGCCGGACCCAGCCGAATAGACCCGGATGATCTTCTGACGGATCGCCCATATCCTTCGCTACAAGACAAGGTAGAATGTCAATAACCAAACACACCATCGTCAATTTCCATCCCCACACAGCCGGTCGGCGTGATCAGACGGCATCATGCTACTCACATTTCAACAGAGCTCGTCCCATATACACTCTCCGCCATCTCCGCCTCAGGATCTCGAATATGAGGACCGAGAAACCTCCTAGTGTGATAGAGAGGAGTAGTTGCGTACGGAACCATGGGCCTGTCATCGTTATTGCGTTGAATGGGATTGTGAATAACGTTTAGCGTGTGTGATATGGGAACGTCAAGAATGGGAGTCGGACCTACCCGTGTAATCTCCTACGGTTGCAATGGTATTCCAGCACCTTCAGTATAACAAGCTCCTCGGGACGTAAGTAGGGGAGACGACTGACGTGTAGGACCAGTACCCGGTGGTAGAGGCGACATGATCAAGCTCGCAGCCTGTCTGTACGGGACATCCACATCCCATTCGTGCATCGTTCCTTGTGGTTGTTTCGTAACCGATCCAGCGGCTGTCGTCGGTTTCTTGAATATAGCAGCACTATTTGATCCTCGGTGACTAGAATAATACGGTCGAGCGATCAGTTGGTGGTCAGGTTGCGCATCAAAGGGTCGTTACCAGGAATAGAGCGAGGCAGTCAAGGGTGAGAGTTATGATGATGTCGTCAGACCCCCAACGCCGCCGGTCATCGATCACGCGGACATCGAGTGATAATTGCCTATGTCCACCAACAGACCCGGGGATCCCTAAGGTAGGATCTAGGTGGTGGTCGTCAATCCGGTTCGACATTGGAACATCGCTCATACTCGGACAAAGTAGTGTTCAGAGTTCTGCACCTTGCCAACTCGGAGCTGCCTTGGAAGCGGATCGCTGTGATGACTTGTAGATGAACGCTGTTGGTGTTATTTACGCACTATTAGCTAAGGTGCACATCGAGTTCCTGAACGCGAGCTCGGAAGCTTATCCGGCCATTGTCGTGCGTGAGGTTGATAGGGGGTCATGTTCATATCCCATCTTCTATATTCTCTATTGTCTTCCGAGTAGCAACCTCGCACTCTCATCTATCAGCTATCAGACAACCAATAAGATCTCGAGACGTAAACATAACGCTCGTAGCTCATTAGCAAGCAAGGCCAGACTCAGCCATGGACTGCCAATAGCCAGCTCTCGCAAACAGAACGTCGAATCCGCACTCACAGCAACCTCACACCGCGCTGTACAGCATCGCCGGAAATGTCTGTCAGCCGGTTCAACACCCCGACCAGATCTAAATCTCGGTCCGAGATGAATTTGAAGCTGGAAGAAACCCCTGCGAAGCCTAGTAGTATTGTCAACAATGATAACGATGACCACCCGTTATTATTGGAACTGGCGTCGTTACGGACCTCGTTGCGCAAGTTTCAGCACGTCTCGCATTTGAGCTCTATGCAGTTGCAGAGCAAGATGATGGAATCGTTATTGGTCAACGAACAGGCAGAGAGGTTGAAGAGGGAGTTGGAAGCCGCTAAAACCGAGCTGGAAGCGTTGCAGTGAGTTCAGGGTCTAGCTTCCTGATATCCGCTTCGGGGCTAAGCAGAGCTGTTTCGCTTCCTCGCAGCAAGTCCACCCCGGATCCATTCCCCACACCTTCTTCTCAAGCCCTCTCCGAACTCACCTTGGCCCACCGCCGCCTTTCCAGCAAACTAGACCACACTCAGAACGCCTTTGAAGCTTCTCAAAAGGTGGTCGCTGTGAAAGAAGCCGAAGCGGCCACTTGGAAGAGAGAACGAGACGCTATGGGGGTCTTGTTACAGGAATGGAGGGATCGGGTTATACAGACTGAGAGGGAGAGGGAGGAGGAGAGGGTCAGGAGGGTGGGAGCAGAGGAGGAATTGAGGGTCTTGAGGGGTGTCTCCTCGGGGGGTCAGCTTGAAGTGTCAACAGGGGGCTTGGCCGTTCAGCCTGCTACTCAACCAGAAGGACACCAGATACGGCCTTCAGAACCAACATCCGACGTCAACGTACAACAGACCGGGTCTCTTCCACCAACAAGCTCTTCAGCTCCGAGTCACAGCCCAGCCGAACTCCAAGGCCTGAAACGACTCACAGCCGACTTTACCACCTCCCTTGGAGCTTGTCACGAAAAGATCGCCCACCTGGAGACGCTCACAGACGAGCTCAAGGCGTCCAAGGATATCGCCGTACAAGAGGCAGACGAGGCTCGGAGTCTGTATGCGAAAGTTCAGGGGGAGATCGAGGTGATAAGGGCTGAGGACTTTGGGGCTGGCAAGGTCGTCGAGCGGTATATGTAAGTCTCAAGTCGGATGGGATCCCGAGTTCGGGACGTTTTGCTGACATAATGGTTGTGTGAATCACAGGGCCTTCACGCAGAAGATGACGCAACAACTTCATACTCACATGCAGACAGCCAACAACCGCCTTTCGCTTACCGTGACCAACCTCCGCTCCCAGCTCTTCGCGACCCAAACCTTGCTCTCCCGGGAAGAATCCCGGTCTAAACAGTTACGTGCTGCCATCGACGAGCTGGCCGAGGGTTACGAGAGGGAGACGTTTGGACGGAGGCGCGAAGTGGGACTGAGGATGAAGGCTCTGGAAAGGGAGGAACGGCGGGACGAACAGGGTCGACGTTGGGTCGATCGAGTTCGACGCGAACGGACCAGGCTTGACGTGTCCAGCGGGTCGAATAGTAATGGCTACAGCAACAACAAGTTGGGAGCTAGTCCGTCCCGACGGACGACCCGGTTGAATAGTTTCGGAGGTGGGGCGAATGCGGGATCAGCATCGTCTACGAGCTTGTCGTCCATGTTGGGTGCTCCTGCACCGCACGACTATGCTCACGGCGAACAACTATCGCTCCTCTGGGACCTGCTCGAATCGGGTTTACAGCTGTTTAAGGATAGCACCGAGGATTTGGTCGATCGCGTTTCGCCGGGTTTGGCAGCAACTACCGACGGAGATCTCGTAGAAAGCCCGATCGACGGGCGGAACCTCGGAATGGATAGTAGTCTAGGTCGGATCTTGCTCGCTCAAGAGATCGTCACGGGGTTGACGGCGGACCTGGAGAGGGAGGTCAAGCGAAATGTCGAGTTGGAAAGGGAGAGGTTGGGTTTCTTGTCCAGCAAATGGGATGAGCCGGTGACTGCGGAGCCGGATGAGCAGTCCAAGTCGGGCATGAGTGAACAAGCGACGGTCTCGGTAACGGAGGTAAACCCCCTTCCTGCGGTTGAAACGCCGTCAGAAGTGGCAACAATAGCCGGTATTGGGCACAACGAGGATCCAGAAGACGGAACGAAACCGGCTGCGACAAATGGCGAACCAGATGAATTCTTCGACTCGATCGAGGAGGATCCCCTCAGACCACCTCCCACCCTGACGTCGAGCGACCCCACACCCACAATCTCCCCCGAGGTTGAATCCTTGATCAACCGGTTACGCACCCGGAACCCGTCCTACCGCTCCACCCAGAAAGCTCTGCACGACTGTGCCCTATCCCTTACAAACCTCCGAGGTACTCGACAACAACTCCCAGCGGAATACCAGGCCGCCCTCCAGATTTTGCTCGACGGAATTCATGATGTGATAGAAGACGTCCGGGTGGAAGTGGAGATCGCCATCGCCGACGACGATCGGTCTGCCAAGGGCCATCAGACCGTTCTCTCGCTGCAAGGTAACGACGAGAACGACGGCATACGAATACAGGTCAGCAAGGCCGCGGAGGCATTACTCGATCCGGAAAGGACGAGGTCGAGGGAAGGGAACTTTGATAGGAGGTTGGGGGACGTCGAGCATGATCTGGTCGAGATCAAGATGGCCATCCTCGACGTTCAGTCCAGAGAGGCTCTGAGTCTAGGTCCTCATGAAGGAGACCTGCTGAACCCTCATCCGCTGGATGCTAAGCGGGAAGAGACCCTTGACCCGTTTACCAATCTGAATCTCAAGACCGTCAACGTTCGGACACCCAACGCTATTAGCGTTCCCATGAACGTCACCCGACCCGCCGTTTCGCCCGGTCTGACGGACCGACCTGGGCTGGGTAACAACATGAAACGAGGGTTCTTCCCCGCGCTCAGTCGGACGTTTTCGGGTACGACGCCCGTGGTGCCGCTTTCACGGGCCGTGAGCTCGAGTAATATTCACGTCAACGGGAATGGTAATGTCGGCACGAATGGGGTTAGGAATGGGCGCGATGAAGGGCTGGCGATCAATGGGCATTCTAATCACGAAACGGGGGCCGATGCGAGCGTGGGAATGGATGACGCTGATGATGGGGACGTAGAATAGATGCAGGTGACCGACGAGGATGTACAGAGCGCACCATGAATATGCGGATTCGGATCTATATCATACCACATCCAAGTCCAACTTGCCACTGATTCGAAGCCGTGTGTGCTATAACGTTATATCGCATCGACCTGACGGCATCAATACCAACGGTGTCAAATCTTGTCGTTGACGTACGGTTTGACCTACCGATTCGGCAACAGTGTTGGGGTCTAGCTGCCCAATTACAACAAGCGCAAGCACGGCAAAGAAGGCTGAACCCAAGCAGATGAATATGGATGGTACCAATTGATGCAGAGAAGAGTAGGATCTCGCTTACCGGCGTTTCCAAGAGCATATGTAAACTTTTCTCTGGGGTCTGTTTTGCCAACTCCCAGAACAAGCTGATGCACAGGCCACTCAACACCGTCAAGGCCACCAAACCCCCAATCCTTCAGAACAGTGAAGATCCACATGAGTCTGATGACAACCGTGATCATCCTTTTGCCTACATACCAAGCAGCAGAACGTTTTGAACCACCTTGATGATCACGGCTGCATGGAGATATGGAGAGCCACCCAACAGCCAAATGACTGGAACTCGCGATACCTGCCCGTCAGATCCGCCCGTCCTTCCCCCCTCTACTCTTTCTCGTCGTGATCATCACGCCAAGTCTCGCCGAAACCGCGCAACCGGCTCCGACCATCAGAAACATGGAGAAACCCTGTTTCATCGTCCGCCTCCACCTTTCCTCGCTGTCGTTCCCGGCCCGCGTGAAAGAAACGCCTTTTGCGTCATCGAAGGGGGAGAAAAGAAACGTTTCACCCCACAATGACGACCGGCAACGGGTTGACGCTGCAGTTTCTGCCTTGCCGTGATCAGGTGAGACCCTTCCTTTGTACCGCCCGCATCACAACAACAAAAGGTTTGCTTTCATCCCCCGCGCTCCCGCCACTTTGCGCGAGTTTCCCATCATTTTCCATCATCATCAATCACCATCGTCGTCGTCCTTTCATTTTCGAGCTCGCCCTAGAAAATTATATATACACAGCAGAACTCTAAAGTCTCTCCCCCTTTCGAATCAAAAACATTGCCCTTTCTCTTCTCCTCTTTCAATCTCACACCTTCGATAATCTCACCCTTATCCCTAGTCCTCGTCTTCGACTCTCTCAATCTCTCAACCCTTCATCTCAAAACCTCATTCTACCTATAACAACTTCGATATGCGTCTCTCTCTCATCGCCCTCTCTGCTCTCCTTTCCGTCACCTCGGTGAGTTTCGATCATGATCTCACCTTGTCTCCATCTTGACGCTGACGATACTCCGTCCGTGTCTGCTCGAAATCACCAGGCCAGGGTCGCACCCCGTCAAGCCGGATTGGAAGGCGCTCCTCAGTGTGTGCCCAACTGTCTGGCTGTGGCTCCGTACAACAAGTCAGTTCATAACCACGTTTACGCTCCTTTTACCCCCCTCTCATTTGACTGATCACTTATCATGGACCCCTTCTCTCATTCCCCTCATCTTACACTAACCCTTCATCTGCTGCTCTGCATGACCTCGATCAACGACCCTCAGCGGCCCTTGCGACCCGTCCGACCAGGCCTGTTTGTGTCAAAATGAAGGGACCCTCGCCGCTGTGAACGGTTGTCTGGCGGACCAGTGCCCTGACCAGCTCGTCGAGGCTCAAGCGTTGGCTTTGCAATACGTAGGTCCACCCCCTCCTTTCCTGTTGTCATTCGAACAATGCAGTATCGGTTGGCTCACGATGACCCACTATCTGGATTGATTGATGGACCCCGACTCGGACAGTGTGCTGCCATCGTCGCCAGCCAAAGCGCCGCTCCTACCACCACCGCCACCGCCACCGAGACCGAGACCGTTACCTCTTCTTCCACCGCGGCCGAGATCAGCGAGACCGTCTCCGCCCCTGCCCCGACCTCGACCGCCACCGCTACAGAGACCGCGACCGCTACGATCGTCTCTACCACCTCGCTCGACGCTGCGGCCGCTGCTTCTGCCAGCGTTTCGTCTGCTGCGGAGAGCGCGAGCGAGAGCGTGGGCAGTGAGGTCGAGAGCGCTACTTCGGAGGCTGTGTGAGTGGAGCAGTCCGTTGCTCTGGGGATTGAGTTCCGATAGGGAGCTGATATTGATATGTCTTTTCGTGGAAATGTACAGTGCCAGCGCCTCGTCCGCCTCGGAATCCCTCGCTGCTAGCGCTTCGTCCGTAGCCGCCTCTGCCTCCGAGGCCGCCGCGACCGGGATCTCCAGGTCAGTCCACGTCTCTTTCACATCTTTGAATGACCTCCATCTACATATATTGATCTTCGATTCGATCATGCTGCTCGACGATGACCCTTTGCAGCGCCGTCGCCGGAGTGACCCAACGTCTCTCTTCTGCCGCCTCGTCCGCCTCTTCCGCGGTCGCTTCGGCCACGTCGACCGATAACGCTGCCGTGGGTCTCGTCAACGCCGGCAAGATCTCTACCGGGATGTTGGCTGGAGTTTTGGCCGTCGTTGTCGCCCTCTAAATCGGTGGCTCACTCGGATACGAGTCGGAGGGTAGTGTGGGGTAGACTTGTTGTTTCTGCGGATATATACACGGGACGAACGCAAGGGTTTCTGCTATTTCCTCTATTTAGATTCTGTTATCGTGCTTTGTTTATGATTTTGCTCTTATATAATGAATCGATGAGTCCACATAGAGCACATAACTACCTGAAATAGGTCTAGGCGCCGACTGCCTGACCTGAAACGGGGTTATCGACTATGCTTTTCCAATCCCGCATCTTCACCCGGCCCCCGGGAGCATCGGTCGGACCCGATTCGTCCCTGAGAGAACGGATTTGCATCCGAACTGATAAGAGAGTGCACCCTCGCGCCAAGCCTCAAGAAGGGGTTTTCCAATATTCCGAGTTGGGTTTTCCAAGAATCAGTGCGCAACTCTGAGCCATGAGCCATCGCTAGCATCGTTTATATTTCAAGGGCATCGCATCGACAGCCACGGGACTAGCCGGACTAGCGGATTGGGTGAGGGGTAACTGTTGGAAAAGCAGTGGTCGATAGCGGAACGAGGGTGGGGGTATATATATATTCCTCGCATGGGTCGTAATCGTGTTCCGGATAGCCAGACGATCGTGACCCCTTCTATTCTCTTTTTCCTTTTCTGCCCGTTGTCATCGCGATCGTATCCACCCAGACTCGTACACGCAGATCGAGTGAGAACTAGAGAAAGACAAGGAGACGAAAGGGAGTCTCACTTGCATCTCGTTCTTCGTCGTCGTTATCGCAAGAGCAAGACGGATCGAAACGGAAACAGCGTAGATACGGTACAGCAGCATACCACGGCTGGACGTATAAAGAGGATCGCGAAACGTGGTAAGCCGCTCGTTGAGCTCTTATGGATCCTGGTTTGATCTTCCCATCGATCAGCAAACTGACTTGAATCAAGTTACCCTCGCAAACTCGCAGATCATACCAGTCAAGAAAAGAGAGATCGCGAAACGTAAACCGTCGAGATGAGGTCTATTATCGCTCGAACCTCTACCCTTTCGAGGACATGTCTCCTCCGACCTGCCTCCAACGTGTCGGTCCCAACCTCGTCGATTTTGGGCTTCCGATCGGTATCCACGACGTCGGCGTCGACATCAACGGCAAAGACGCCGTTGCGATCCCACTCGACCACGGCCATCTCCCCGGCTTCGACCGCTCACTGTACCCTCTTCCCCCCCACTCACTCTTCGACTTCGATCTTCAAACCCCTGGATACCTTTGCTCCGCGCCACATTGGTCCTAGGGAAAAGGACGTCGACGCCATGCTCTCTTTCCTCGGGTACAAGTCGATGGAAGAATTCGTCAGCCAGACCGTACCGGGAAACATCAGGATCAAAGAGTTGGACGATAAGGATATTCGGCCGTTGAGCGAGTTGGAGTTTATGAGGCGGGCTGAGAGGTTGGCAGCGGAGAATAAGATGGTGAAGAGTTATATCGGGATGGGGTATCATAATGCCATCGTACCGCCGGTGATTCAGAGGAATGTGAGTCCGAGTGTCGAGAGGACGTGGGTTCCGGGTCGATGAAGATGACTTTTTGAGCTGACCATCACTGACGGTACGTTTCGGTTTCTCTAGCTCTTCGAGAACCCGGCTTGGTACACCGCCTACACGCCTTACAGTCCCGAACAATCTCAGGGACGTCTAGAATCTCTCTTGAACTACCAGACGGTCATCACCTCCCTCTCCGGTCTGCCCATCGCCAACGCTTCCCTGTTGGACGAATCCACCGCAGCGGCCGAGGCCATGACCATGTGCCTGGCCACCTCGTCGAAATCGGCCGCCCCGAACGCTCAGGTTAAAGAGAAGGTCTTGATCGTCTCCTCCGGGGTCAGCCCTCAGACCTTGGCGGTACTTCGGACGAGGAGTAAAGGGTTCGGGATCACCGTCCAGGTCGTCCGTGATGAGGAACTCCCTGCGGCGATCGAAAAGGCCGGGAAGAGCTGTTTCGGACTGATGGTCCAGTACCCCGATGTGGACGGTGGGATCAAGGACCATCACGCCCTCGCGACCCAAGCCAAGAAGTTTGGGATCAAGGTCGTCGCCGCTACAGACTTGCTCGCTTTGACCATGCTCAAACCTCCGGGCGAATGGGGAGCGGATATCGTGCTCGGAAACTCGGCCCGGTTTGGGGTACCCGTCGGGTATGGAGGACCGCATGCGGCGTTCTTTGCTTGTACGGAGGCGCTGAAGAGGAAGATGCCCGGGAGGTTGGTCGGCGTCAGTAGGGATACAAGGGGCGAGAAGGCCTACAGGTTGGCCCTGCAGAGTGAGTTCAAGATTGGGTTTAAAAGTATCCGCGTAGTGGATTGCGGCTGACGTGATGTCACGTGGGATCGTCTGCAGCCCGTGAACAACACATTCGACGGGAAAAGGCCACGTCCAACGTCTGTACCGCTCAAGCTTTGTTGGCGAACATGGCCGCCATGTACGCCGTCTACCACGGCCCCGAGGGGATCCGCAACATTGCCGGCAAAGTCAACGCCCTGACCTCGATCCTGAAGCGGGTCGTCGAGGATGCCGGGTGTGTGATCACCAACCCCGGTGGTCACTTCTTTGACACCCTCTCCATCGACGTGAGCAAGATCGGAGGTGCCGACAAGGTTCACGCCGAGTCGGTCAACCGAGGGATCAACTTTAGGAAGATCGACGACAAGACCGTCGGTGTGACTCTGGATGAGAGCGTTGGGTTGCTCGATCTGACGGATATCGCCAATGTCTTTGTCGCCGTCTCGGGTGGCAAGGCTTTCACGGCCGATAGCTTGTCAAGCTTGGCAGCCGACAAGTTGTCGTTCTCGACCGAGACGCTGGGTCAGTCGATCGCCTCGGCGCCCAAGGAGCTCGTGAGGACTACCAAGTTCTTGCAACAGCCCGTCTTCAACACCCACCGTTCCGAGACCGAGATGTTGAGGTACCTCTACCAGCTGCAAGAAAAGGATTTCTCGCTGGTCCACGGGATGATCCCCCTTGGATCGTGCACAATGAAGCTCAACTCGACCTCGTCCATGACCCCACTCGCTTGGAAAGAGTTTGGAGGCGTCCACCCGTTCGCGCCCGTCGAGCAGAATGAGGGGTACGCTACGATCATCAAGGAACTCGAGGACGACCTCTCGCTCATCACCGGGTTTGACGCGACGAGCTTGCAGCCCAACTCGGGTGCGTCGGGAGAGTACGCCGGGTTGATGGTCATCAAGGCCTACTTGGAGTCGATCGGCGAGGGAAAGAGGGACGTATGTCTGATCCCTGTCAGCGCGCATGGGACCAACCCGGCCTCGGCGTTCATGTCCGGTATGAAGGTCGTTGCCGTCAAGACCCTCGCTGATGGATCGCTCGACCTGGCCGACATGCGCGCCAAGGCGGAAAAGCACAAGGACAGCTTGGCCGCGGCGATGATCACCTACCCGTCGACCTATGGTGTGTTCGAAGAGGGCGTCAGGGAAGCTTGTGATATCGTGCACCAGTACGGCGGACAGGTCTATCTCGACGGAGCCAACCTGAACGCCCAGGTCGGGTTGACCAACCCCGGTGCGGTCGGTGCCGACGTCTGTCACTTGAACCTGCACAAGACGTTTGGAATCCCCCACGGTGGTGGTGGACCCGGTATCGGACCCATCTGTGTACGAGGACACCTCGCACCGTTCCTCCCCGGACACCCGCTCATCGACTGCGGCGGGTCGCAAGCCATCGAAGCCGTCGCCGCTGCACCTTGGGGATCCGCCTCGATCACCACCATCTCTTGGGCTTATATCAAGATGCTCGGAGGGAAAGGGTTGACCGATACCGCCCGGTTGTCGCTATTGAACGCCAACTATATCGCCAAACGGCTCGAGGGGCATTACACTGTCAAGTACTCGAACAAGAACGGCAGGGTCGCTCACGAGTGTTTGATCGAGTTGGCCGACTTTGACAAGCAGGCCGGGCTGAAGGTCATGGACTTTGCCAAGCGTCTGCAGGATTATTCCTTCCATCGTAGGTCCTCATCGCTTCACCTTCCACATATCCTCGTGCTAATTTACAATCGTCCTCACTTCAGCGCCTACCGTCTCGTGGCCCATTTCCACGGGAATGCTCGTCGAGCCCACCGAGAGCGAGAGCAAGGAAGAGATCGATCGATTCTGCGATGCGATGATCAGCATCCGACGAGAAGCCGAGGAGGTCATCCAGGGCAAACAACCCAGGGACAACAACCTGTTGAAGAACGCTCCTCATCCGATCGCCGTGTTGACCGAGGACAAGTGGGACAAGCCGTATTCGAGGGAACAGGCCGTCTACCCTGTGCCCGAGCTCAAGAAGAAGAAGTTCTGGACGACCGTAACCAGAATCGACGATGGTGAGTCGAAGCGCGTTCTTACTTTCGACACACTCAGAGCCGATTTCTGACGTCGAATCGTCAAACTCATTAGCCTACGGTGATACCCACTTGATCTGCACGTGCGACTCGGTAGAGGAATACGCGGACAGCACCGAGGGTGACATGACCATCTCTGGCGGCATCCAAAGCAACACGTAGGGGCGTCAATCCAGATTTTTGCCATTCACCGAACTCAGGCGACCATCTCTGCCCTGTTGGCCATCCTTTCTCTCTTATTATAATCGACTGGGGGTCCTCAACACCCTCTTACGACTCTTTACGACCTGCTCAGAGGCTCAACGCCGAATAACGATCCTAGAAAAAAATTGCTCTGCCGCTTTGTTCACATATGTACCCGTCAATTCAGCGTAGAATATTATCACAATCATCTGCATGCTGTGTGCCTTAATAAAACAGTATGAATTTACCGAGAGCGTTTCATCGCCTTTATCGTGTTAGTGCTTGAGATAGTCGGCTGGCGAGAATCCGTACTACTTCAATCCAAACCGAGCTATTTCTTGCATATACCAACGTCATCAACAATTTTTGCAACCGGTTTCAAAGCCTTATATTCCCACGAAATCGAAACATTCTGCTCTTACATTCGCCCACTAGTGACGACAATCTTCCGCATACCAATCGAGCGGGCGAGACTCGATGGTAATATCAGGCATCGTGCTCTATATTCCGAGCTTCGTGATTGAGCTCGACCTCGGTCTTGTGGCCCTTAAACTTGCGGAGCGATATGCCGCTCTCGAATACTGCAAGGTATGGTACTACTTTCAGCCATCCGTCTCCGTCGATGCGATGAGCAGAAACCGCGCGATGAGAAGACCCACGTTCGTCTATCTCGGCGGGAGAACGCCTTGCTACCTCGGGCACGATGAAGTAAGCGAGGACGACGGTCGGAATACCCGTACCAGCATAGCTAAGATACAGTGTTTCTTGTCAGTCCCAACTTGCGTACGAACCCCAAGAATATGCCGGATGCTCCCGGCAGTCACTTACAAGAATCCCGCCTTTGCCTTCCATCCTTTGAAATCGCCACTGCCCTTGATCATAATAGGAGCGACGAAAGAGAACATAATGGCGACCAGGTTGGTGATTGCTAGACCGTACGAAGCGGAAATGGCACGGAGCCGCTGTGTAGGGACCTCGGCAACGTATGCGTATCCGATGGCTGAGGCACCGGTAGTCGAGAAGATTGCAAGACAAGCGAAAAAGATCTGGGTGCGGGTATGTGGAGGTAACAGCCAGAAAGTCAGTGAGAACAAAGCGGGAATTCACAAGATGATGACCGACTGACCAAGAGAGCTCCGAGGGCTGGTTTTTCATAGTCGAAGCATCCGACGATACCCAGACACAGCACCGAGACGACGGTGAGCGCATAACCAGTCAAAACTAAAGGTCTTCGTCCGAAGCCGTCCGAAAATGCTGCCGTAAGGAGGACCGAGATGAGTTGAACGCAAGCGAGGATAATCGTGACTTGAAACGGGTTCTTGTTCCCTGCAACTTGGACTGAAGGGAGCCGATGGTCTCATTCAGCCAAAAGGCGAGCACATCCGAATCGGACTGGACCATGACTCACAAAAGTAGGTCGAATAGGTGTTGAATAGCGTCAAGCCGACAAACTGCAAGGTGAGCGGCTCAGCCGTGTAAGTAGGCGCGGTCTCTTTGAGGTTCGTTCTTTCCCGTACCTGTTGCATCAACTTGGGCCAGAGAGAGATCAACATCCGGATGCCATTTCTGCCCTTGAACAGCTCGAATCGACCGATCGAAGCGGACGCTTCCGCGGCGAGGCGTTCCGCTTCCAGAGTAGCTTCCATGATGCCCTGAAACGCGTAGATGGGACAGCCCTCAGACGCGTTGTTTCGAGACCGGAGGAGCCAAGGGAGATTGCAGGAAGAAGGGCTCACTATCTGTTGTTTCACGTCGTAACCTTGTATATGACCATTGTTCTTGAACAAGATGGATTCGGCCTGCGCGACTTTACCTTTGGTGACAAGCCACCCTGGAGTTCAAAACGACAATGACAACAAAGATGAGCTCGATATGGACCTTCTCGCACGTCACCCGCGTCACGACAGGCTCCCGAATGGAATCGTCACTCACAAGGAGATTCAGGCAGGTACACGAAGATGAGCAATAGCACGCCGATCATACCCCACTGAGGCGAGCAGAGGCATTCCGCCCCATCAATGATAGCTTCAGTTCTCGAGGATTCCAGAGCGATAACAAGTAGGCAGTGCTCACCTGAGTCAGGATGGGCGTCTTGAAGTCCATAGGGCTGTGGGCGGCCATCTCTCTCAACACAACCGGAGCGATCATTTGACCCACTACGAACCAGCTATTTGTTGATTTTCGTATTTCATTTGCGCGATTTTCTCGTCAGTACCATCCACGGACCCGCCTCGATATTCGACTCGTCCTAGCTAGGACCCGAAGAGAGAACGCTTACAATGTATAAGCATTGATCAAAAACCCTCGCAATTGGTTGGGAGAATGTTCCCCGATATAGACAGGCAGGGTCGCTTGGATGCATCCGACGCCGATCCCGGCAAACAGTTTGGCGATGAGCCAGTGCCAGTAGGTCGAGGTCACGGTCTCTATGGCGATGCTGACCACGAGGACGATCCAGATGGCGTACATGGCTGGTTTTCTGCCGAACCGGTTGGTAATGAAAGGCAATAAGATCTGGCCGAGGAATTGCCCGGCCGATTGGATACCTGTGCGTAGCGTTTCAGCATTAAATGTGCGCGGATGGGGAGTAGTGAGTACCCATGCGACGATCGTCGTACTGACCTCCCCATGCGGAAACGTATTTGCCATCCAAGATCTTGGCATTCTTCCCAGCCATCATCTCGATGAAGCCTTTGTTACTGACTGTACCGATTTCAAGAATCAGAATTCAAGGACCCAATCGAGGATACGATAAGCGACAGATCCGAGTTCGGATGGACGGGGGAAACTTACCGATCGATCCGTTCAGGTTGACTGTATGACAAGGTGAGGAGCATGGCAGATTTGGAGAACGGACGTACTGATAGTAAGCACAAGTCGGAGAAAGTACGGGCGTAGCAAGAAAAACGCACTTTGATACCCTTCGAGAGACGCCGCGAATGCTGCCATCATGCAGATAGCACAGATCCGCTTGTAACGTTTGATCGCTTGCCAAGTGGATAGATCGTCCAGCGAGGACTTCATCTGGACAACGGGGCTTGGGATGGATTCTTTCTTAATGTCACCATCATAGTCAATGTTGTCGATATGGACGGCTTCGGGCTTGATGTCCTGGTCCAACTGGGGGAACTGAGTGGAAGCGGTGGAAGGCATGTTGGTGGGGAAATTGGTCTTGGTTGTATCCGGATGATTACTGCTAATAGTCGCTTGGCAAAGCAATGTGATTGCAATTTGTCTGTGCTGGTCCTTAGGCTGTCATGCCTTGAAATAGGCGTTGTATCGACACCAAACGGTCCCTTCCCCTTCTTATTCGATGTCGTATCATCGTTGTTATATCCCTTTGCATACAGTCAGCATCATGTCTGAGTTCGAGGTCCTTGAGTATAGGGCCGACCATACGCTGCGCCATGACTTTGAGCCGAGAAGTTCGATGGCACGGTCCGTCATCAGTCCCGGACTACGGAACAGGTCACGCGCACAGGGCATATCTATCCCATATCCTGCCGGACCCGCTGTGATGTTACGCCGGAAGGTTCGGGATTGGGCGCCGATCGTCTAACGATCTTGCATGAATGTGGTTTGAATCCTTGAAAGACGATACGACGACGATGTATATTACTCAAATCCTGTTCACGGGGTCTGTCCCGGGCCGGGGTCGACCATCGATCACAGCCTCACGACTATCCCGAGGGGTGATCAGCGGGGGTAGACCATAGTATCACTGAGGCTGTGGTCACGAGTCCCAGTTCCCCTTTTCTTAGCTCGGATTCAAGAATAGCTAATAGTTTCGCACTACTTCTTACGATGATGGCTGTTGAATTGCCTCCGGAGCATTCTCGGAGCCGCGCGCGCGCGCGTGCGCTGAAACGCAAGATGAGTGGCGCCCCGGCATGATCACCTGAAAATAGCAACGGGGTCCCCCGATGCATGCGGGGCCAAACTGAGGCGGTGGGGTGTATCATCATCCCGATCTCCCCGTTCCATCGAGGCACGTTAACCTTCTCTCGGTCCCGGTCCCGGTCCGAGCGCGACAAGTTCTACGTTTCGTTTATGACCAGGACGCGCAGGACGGGAACCAGGACTCTCGAGTTTCGTCGAGCTTCCCCCTTCACCTAGACTCTCTGGCATCATCAGACCGTTCGAGGACCTGAGCGAACTTCAACTATGCGCAGCCAGACCGAGGCTGTCCACCTTTTGAGCCGGTCGGCATCATCCGAGTTCAACCTGAACGGAGCATCTTTTCAGCAAGACGGCATAACGTCTCATCGAGGCGAGTAGCAAGTCGTCGTTATCCACGACTTTGTCCTTCGTGGTATTACCGAGATCTTGTGTGTTGTTGACTATTGATCGAGATCATGCTCGCAGGCTGGCAGTACGTAGCGTACTACGTCAACCAGAATGACAAGGAGATTAACAACAGCGATGATAACGATGGTCAGGTCGAAACCAAATCGAGACCGACCCGAAACGTCTGCCTGGCTCGACGAAAATTGGACGCAAGCTCATATGCCAAGTCGAGAAGGAGTGATAGGGACCAGACCCTCGGCGTCAGTGACGGCGAGTCGGAAAAGGCAATTTGGCAGACTATCGTATTCGACGATTACGAGCAGGTATTGAACGACGGACATAACGTCAGTAAATTGTGGCGTGGAGAGTCGTGGTCGTACCTGTAGAGACCAAAGGCTATGGGAGAACGATCAGAGCTGATCGAACGTGGTGTTTGCTTTCTCGGTTTCCCTCGTCTCCTCAAACAGACCATCTCCCTCGGCCTGTCCCATTCGGACGGCTCGATCCACCTTTCGTTCGACAATCACAATACCAGCTTGGTTTACCGTCGTTCGTGTTCCACCCTCGACCTGATCAGTCAACCTGACGAGGTACCCTACAGAGACGTTGTCGGAGGGTGGTCTAAGAAGAGTTTCCAGGAGGTACGGGAGGGGCTTGAAGGGCTCGATACAGCCGAGTTCGAGGTGAGCGGTCGAGGGATCTGGGGGGTGGAGTCACTATCTATCTAACGTGTGTGTGGTTCTTTTTCGCTTGGACCCGATCGATGTGCTTCGGGTCGTACATAAATACAGAGCGCAACGTATCCCAGATTCTTGAGCTTGCCAGCGAGTTCTGATTCGTCGGCTTCGCTCCTCCTCGAATTCCGAACCGGGATGGCCGGACTGGGCGATACGCGGATGTACGTCTATGGATCAAGAAGTGGCGATGATAGTAGCGGGACGTCTTCGTACGGCTGGGAAGCTAGAGGCGTAGTCTTGCAGGGAGTTGGCTGTAATGCGTACGTCCCTCATTCTCAGCCTCGTGAATCTAGGGTCGATTTGCACGAAGTGGAGCGGGTCACGGAGGCTTACTTTTGTCCGTCTCCGGGATGATGGTCACTTTTCAGCTATATCAACGGTCTGACCTTGCACCGGGGATCAGCTTCGATGCCTGCCAGCGTCCATTTGACGTGGACCTATCGCTCGTATATCCCTGTAACACTGAAAGACTCGCAACAACAAGCAGGACCGAACGGACCGGAGAACAATCACGACCTGTATTACGCGTGGAGTCCGTTCGAGGAGGATCGTCCTGGAGCGATGGGAGGCCCAGGGAGACGGTGGTTCAACGGGATGGGCGAGCTGATCGGCATGGCAGGGAAACCGGTGGTATCCGGTAGTGCGGATGCCCCTTCTTCTCCTGGGCTAGGACCCGTTATACCGACATCGCCAGGGATCTTGGCATACAAGACCTCGGCTGGCAACAAGGGTATTACCAATCAAGAGAGCCAGGCGGTGGACAGTCAGGGTGGAGTTCATGTGCTGAATAGGGAGGAGGTAGATGGCCTCGAGAGATGGTAAGAAGAAAAGAAGGGGGAGGGGGCATGAGCGAGCGAGCGACAGCGCTGACTTTCGAGATCTCTCATTTAAATGTGAGGTACAGGGTGTACTACACGCTTCCCGAAGCAAGTGACGGCATCTTCAATGGTCGTGTGTGGGAACGCCACCTTCTGCCGCACCCTAAGTACAGCCCGGCATCGGTGTTTCATCCTCGAGGCAAGATGTTTTGTGCCACGCACTACGACGTTCCCCATCTATACATTTTCCTTCCGAGAGAGCTCGATCTCGTATTGATCCGCCGGAGCTTACGAATCAAGCCCGGATGGCGGGGGGAGTGGGAAGAGGTGCTCAGATTGCCCGGGGCGAGAATGATGGAAGTCCTGGTCGACGTGAGTGCTGGCTGATATTTTCATGACACGTCACGCTATTTGTTCGCTTTTCGGTGTAGGAGGAACGCTTGAATCGATGGGACCACGTACTGAGCGTGTATATTGGCAAATATTTCCCTGAAGAAATGGAGTTTGACCGTCACAGGCGCATTGACGAGAATACCGGAGAAGAGTGCGACTATAGTGGTCAAAGAAGAGACAGTTGGATGTCAATCCTGGATATCACCCTTTGAGACGACTGTAGCGACTCTTATCAATGTTTCATGTCCGCAACGTCACAGGGTTCTTCGAGGTTATTACACAATCAACGAGAGGTGCTGATCACAAGGTGGAATCGAAGGCTGGAGTACAGGAAATTAAAGAACGAGGAATCTCACCAGCAGTTCATTTTAGTGTCCCTCTCACATCCTATAATTTCGCTTTCATCACGCTGTGAAGGGGCTGGACCTTGAGCCCCTGAGCAGAAAGGAGCGTTATCGGAAGGCTAGTTGACATCTCCAACAGTGTAGAGTTGTAGTGCATCGGGCTTCCATCGTTCCCCTCAGGCTAAAACTCAAGGGGACAAACTCGAACGAAGTCTTAGCTGCATGCTCGTGGCATTGTCGCGGCGATCGAATAACGGCCCATCGCGCGATGAAGGCGAAACCATTCGTAGGATATGAGCACGGGTCTACGATTCTATCGAGACACGCAAATGGCTGTATTTTTTCTAAGCTGTATTCAAGTATACAAGTATTACGTTGTGTATAGGATCACGCATCTTACGTGCGAGAGCGGTTTTCCACATTGTGTGATTTATTTCCCCTCGTGAGGTAATCACGTCGTCATGAGTCTCATTCGAAAACTAAACGTACAATTCTGCGATTTCACCGGATGTGTCCTTGGCGCCCGCCACGTTACCCAAGCCGTGATTGGCCGCTAGTGATTCTTGAGCTACACCATCCTGTAGTATTCGACTGTGTGCGTCTTGCATCCTTGATAAAGCTATCGTTCCCTCGGACAAAGATTCATTGATGGCGAGAACGCTCAAGATGAGCATTCTCGTTCTGAGCATTCTCGTTCCCCGTCGAGAAGCCATCAATATCTCTACCAGCAGACCCGTTAACCCAGACTTGTTCCCACAGCCGGGACCTAGGCAACGTCTGTCCGGAAGTGACGGCTCGGAATTTGTCGTCGGTCGAATCACATACCTCGGTAGCTCCGGAAGATCGAACAAGGTCAAAATTGGCCGGGCCGGTCGAGCTGAGCAATGACCAATTTTGCTATCAGTATCTGTAATTGATTTTATCAGGGAAAATATCGCAGGTGAGGTAGGGCTGGACCAGATTTTCGCAAACACAGAACACCACGCCTCCGAAAGGAAAGAGAGGATATAAGCTCCAATTTGATCCCGGCGTGTTACAAAAATAAATGTAATCAACTACAATGAAGCATGTAACATCACACCGAGATCTAGGGCGGCTGTCTTGCAAGCGGTATGAATTGTAGCTCGAAATACGTCAAATGCGAATGCAGAGGTCACCCCGGACCGGTCAAGCGCACGGTTTCAGAAACCGGGCTGTTAGCGCGCAGAACGCGGATGAAGTTCACTTTCGATCTGGAGTCGGCATCAGTGTTTGCGGGGTATGTATGCCCCGTATGAGAAATCCTGTCGTCCGGTTTGATCATGCACCGAGGACTGAGAAAGCTACCTTCTGTGATCACTGTGAAACATGCATATATGCGCAGAGACAGGTAATTTTTTCGGAACGGATCTTCCATTTGCCTTCTATCACCATCATCACCGTCTTCCTCGCCCTGACTCAAAGTCGAACAATGCGAACCTTCATTCCCCTTCTGGCGCTGCCTGTCACTCTGGCTGCTTCCATCGTCGGTCGCGCGGCAATCAGCTATGATGCTCAATCCGGGACCAAGAGCAGCCAGATCGACGCAGCTCCTGTTGGCATCAGGTAAGTCGGCACGATGGGTCTCCCACTAGATGATCCTGTCGGGACTTACGAGCGGTCGACTCCAGCTTCGAATTCTTTGCGTTTCCCGATTACGTGAACTCGGTCGGTGCCACGAAGACATGTTTGGCCAATCTGCAGAGTTATGCAGGATCGGCACCTCCAGTTAGGATCGGAGGTACCACTCAGTAAGGCGTCGGTGACACCTTAGATAAAGAGTGGACTACCGCTGAAATATATTCCATGGCCATGTCACGTTGAAAAGAGACAGAGCGACATGGAACGGTACTCAGACAAGTGCCGTCTCCTACAGCGTAGCGAGTCCCACAGATGTGTCGAATCCTATTGTTCTCCCGCACGTCTATTGTTCTCCCAGAACAATAGACCGCATGGAACAATAAAGCACATCCACTCTTCGCACCTTTCCTTTTGTTCTCGCTTAGCAATCTGCGACTCGCTTAGCAATCTGCGACCACTGTCGCAAGTTGCGACCACAACCGCAAGTTGCGACCGCAAACCGCAACTTGCGACCGCAAACCGCAGACCGCAAACCGCAAACCGCAGCACCTTGCCACCTACCAGAATAATATATATAGCAGACCATTCTGGTCTGATTTCATGATCCCCTCTTGTATATTTTATCCTCATGCAAACTATACAACGGTGATCAACTCGATATCCAACAGATTAAGAGTCGGCTGCTCTACCAACGGAGCTCAACGGGCCATCACCTTAGTTTACATCAACCAACCCTCTTCAACATCGACTTAGTTTCATCATGGCCGACAGTCTCGACCTCGACACTCTCAAGGTTACCAAGCGTACCTACCTTGAGGGTCCCGACAATTACGCGGAATGGTCCCGCTCGATTCAAAACACTTTGATCGATAAGGATCTGGACGACATTGTTGATGGAACTATTCCTCGACCTAATACCCTACCTATCACTACCTTGGCTGCCACCGCCGGCACGGACAACGCTCCAACTACTACCTCTACTACGGTAACTACTCCAGCTACAGCCGAGGAACTTGCGAAATGGATCAAGAAAGACAAGAAGGCCTTCGGAATCATTGACGGAAGCCTCAGTCAGCTTGTCCATCACAACCTCCCGTCTCACCTCTCAACCTGGCACGCTCTGGTCCAAAGGGACTCCGCTCACACCGATGAGTACAGAGCGACGCTTCCTTCTGCTTCTGAAAGATTACTTAAACATCTTCAGGAAACCTATTCGGCCGCAAGGGGATCCAGGCGGGCTGAACTTCTTGCGATCATCTGGCGATCCCAACTCGCGGAAGGAGAAGACCCGACTGTCCATACCGGAAAGCTCAAGTCGGCTTACTCCGCTATCACCGTCTCTGGCCGATCCCGGATGGACGACAAGGACTTTGCCTTTGCCATCCTCATGTCCCTTCCTTCCTCCTACGAAACCCTCGTTCAGACCTACTATCTCAAGGAGGACTTTCACTCACAGGACGTCATTGACGCCGTCCGAGCCGAGTACAGGAGAAGGATTGTTCAGGAAGAAGGAATTGAGACTACGGCTCTCATCGCTGCCCGTCAACAAGCACGGAACAACAACAACAACATCGGCGGCACCGGAAACAAGAAGAAGTTTATTCCTCGGTCTCCCTTTGACGAGAATGCCTTCTGCGAGTTCCATCAGAAGAATGGACACTCAACAGCAAACTGTTTCACCAAGCCCGCCAACTTCAGTACCGGCAACAACGCCAACAGGTACACAAACAACAGTGCCAACATCGCCGCACTTGTAAGCGACAGGAGTCAACATCATGGCATCAACGCCGGCTCTGCTTTCATGGCAAGCATCACCATCGATCACAATGCCCTTCTGGCCCACTCGTCTGCACTTGACATTGTTGTAGACTCTGGAGCTACCCATCACATGGTTCACGACAGGAACCTACTCACTGGAATCAAACAACTACCGATCCAGGCAAACATCACCATAGGCAACGGCGCCAACATCACCGCCAGAGAATGCGGTCAACTCAAACTACCAAACATCACACTATACGATGTTCTTCATGTACCCGAACTGGGACGGAACCTTCTGAGTGTTGGTGCCGCACAGAGCACCGACGGACACTCTTGGACCTTTGCAAAAGACAAAGCGATCCTCAACACTACTGAAGATGGACCCAGCAAACCGGTCATCACAGCAACACGACAAGATGGTTTGTTTGTCCTCGATCCGGCAAGCACTCCTATTCGACACAAGGCCGCACTCATCACGGCCACCAATAACGTCACAGAGGAGAACATCCTTTACCACTGGCACCGCAGACTTGGTCATCTCAATGTTCGCTCAGTGGTTCGGCTTGGCAAAGAAGGAAGACTCGACAAGACAGTGGACTGGGCCAAAGTTGGAAAAGATATCTACGGTTTCCAATGCTCAGCCTGCATCCAAGGCAAAGGATCTCGACTTCCCGCTCCTGCTTCCAACATCCGAGCCACCAAACCACTCCAGTCTATCCACGTCGATCTCTGGGGACCAGCTCGAACCCCTTCCATCGGAGGATCCCTCTACTTCCTTACTTGTTACGACGATCACACTCGGAAGGTCAATCTCAGCTTTCTCAAGAAGAAGTCTGAAACCCGGCAGGCATTGATCGACTATATCAACCTAGTTGAGAATCAATTGGACTGCACCGTCAAGACCATCCGATCGGATCAAGGAGGAGAATTCGAGTCACATGCTCTTCGTGACTACTTCAAAGCGAAGGGCATCGAGCATCACTTCGTTCCAACTGCCGCTCATGCTCAGAACGGTAGAGTTGAAAGGGCGCACCTTACCATTCTCAATCAGGTAAGGACACTCCTGATCGATAGCGGACTCGATGACAAGTTCTGGGCCGAAGCGGCAAACTACGCCATCTACACCAGGAACCGGGCTCCCACAGGATCTGACAAACATTATAAGGCCTGGCAGCCGACCTGCCGGGTCTCGGGGTAATAAGGTCGCGGGACTGGGGAAAGGTAACGGTAGGCATAGCGATGTAATAACGGATGTCTAACTACTACAAGGTACTAGTTAGACGTCTACGAGAACATCTCCTAAAAGGTCTCCGAGAGGGTCTCCGAGAGGGTCTCCGAACGAGACCCCGAGGCGACGCGCACCGTAGGTCGCGCGTCACGTGACGCCTATAATAAACATATCCCGGAGGATCTCTGGAGGCAACGTGAAGTCAACTCCCGGCATCTTCAACCTTTTGGCTGTCAGCTCTGGTTCCGTGACCACAACAACACCAACAAACTTCACCCTCGCTACAAAGAAGGGCAACTACTTTCTTACGTTGAGGGGACCGACAACTACAGGATTTGGGATCTACACACCGAAAAGGTCACCATCTCTCGTGATGTGGTCTTTGGTAAACAACCAAAGATTTCCACCAACACCAAATCACTGGAAACCAAAATCCAGTCCACACAGGTCGACATCGACATAGTCCCTGAACCAACATCAGACTCAGACTCTGAAACTGAAGAGGATCAATCGGCTGAAGACAATACCGATACTCTCAACTCACCCAATCAGCCTGATGGTGACACGACCATCCCAAGTGATCAGGCTACACAGGCTACACAGACCAAACAGAAGTCATCCGGCATTTGGAGCAAAGGATGGGATATTGCACCGTTACCGACACCGGAAAACCCAGTCCTGCCTGATGGCTCCCGGCGAGTCCGCAAACCACCTGCCAAATTTGGATACTCTGCAAACCTCGCTACCGCCGTCATCTGTGGCCATGCACTCATCTCCACGGCTATCCCTCAAACTTTTCAGGAAGCCCACCGATCTCCAGAATGGGACAAATGGCAGGAGGCTATCAAAGCCGAACTCGATAAGATGGACCAGTACAAGGTTTGGTCCGTCATTGATAGGCGAGAAGCTACATCCAAACCTCTTCGAGCCAAGTGGGTCTTCACTCGGAAGATCGACGGAGAGACTGGGAAGCCATCTGCCTACAAGGCTCGATGGGTAGCGAAAGGATTTCTGCAGAAGGAAGGAGTTGACTACAATGAACTCTATGCGGGAGTCGCTCACAAGGATACGATCCGGGTCTTCCTCGCTCTGGTCAACTACCTCGACATGGACTGCGACCAGGTCGACATCAAGGCCGCCTTCCTCAACGGAGAACTAGAGGAACTCGTCCATCTTGAACCTCCTGAGGGCAGCAACATCCCTGCCAACAAGGTTCTCCGACTTCAGAAATCACTTTACGGTCTTAAACAATCACCTCGCTGCTTCAATCAAGCTCTCGACAAGTTCCTTCGATCTCTCGGTCTCATTCCTTCTCCGGCCGACTCCTGTCTCTACATCCGATCAACCAAGGATACACTTCTCATCCTCTCCGTCCACGTTGATGACCAACTCATCGCCTGCAACAATCGCCAGGAACTGGACGACTTCAAGACCAAGCTCAACGACCGATTTGAGTGCTCTGACGGAGGAGCGGTCTCTTACTTTCTCGGGTTCAACGTCTTTCGAGACAGGCCCAACCGGAAACTTTACATCTCTCAAGAACACTACGTACAGGCGGTCCTGGAAAGGTTTGGCATGCTCGACTCCAAACCGGCAAAGACTCCCCTTCCTTCCGGCTTCCGATCTCTTCCCGCTACCGATGCTGAACATCAGGAAGCCGCTCACGAAGAATATCCAGCAATGGTCGGATCAATCATGTATGCGGCCACCATCACCAGACCCGACATCGCTCATGCTGCCGGAGTCTTAGCTCGGACCGTCAGCAAGTGGAACAAGCAACATGTCCATGCAGCTCGACATCTTCTTCGATACCTCCAAGGCACCATTGAGCTCTGCCTTACCTACGACGCCACCTCTGGCCAAAGGATCATCCTGGGCTACGCCGATGCCGAGTGGGGTGGATGCTTGGACACTCGCCGATCTACTACCGGATACCTCTTCCGTGCTTTTGGAGGACCGGTAGCCTGGAAATCCCGACGACAACCAACCACAGCTCTCTCAACCGCTGAAGCTGAATACATGGCTTCTGCTGATGCTACCCGACAGGCAGTCTGGCTCCGCACTCTTCTCGAATCTCTCGGTCACCCGGTCTCTGGTCCCCTCGCCATTCTCAACGACAACAATGCCGCCATTCAACTCTCCAAGAATCCTGTTGCTCATGATTGCACCAAGCACATCGACATGAGACACCACTATCTTAGGGAGAAGGTACTTGACAACACCGTTGAACTCTCCCATATCCCTACTCAAGATAACCTTGCCGACGCTCTCACCAAAGGTCTCGCCCATCACCAATTCCATCACCTTGTCACCGGGATGGGTCTCAGCGGAAAACCGACCTCTTTCGCAAAGGACGCTTGAGTGAGGGGGGGTGTCGAATCCTATTGTTCTCCCGCACGTCTATTGTTCTCCCAGAACAATAGACCGCATGGAACAATAAAGCACATCCACTCTTCGCACCTTTCCTTTTGTTCTCGCTTAGCAATCTGCGACTCGCTTAGCAATCTGCGACCACTGTCGCAAGTTGCGACCACAACCGCAAGTTGCGACCGCAAACCGCAACTTGCGACCGCAAACCGCAGACCGCAAACCGCAAACCGCAGCACCTTGCCACCTACCAGAATAATATATATAGCAGACCATTCTGGTCTGATTTCATGATCCCCTCTTGTATATTTTATCCTCATGCAAACTATACAACGGTGATCAACTCGATATCCAACAAGATGCGCCTGCGAGTCTGACATACGGTGAGAGCGGGGTCGGGTTTCTATACAATGCATCGTCTATCACTGACGGGCACACCAATCGAAGGGCCATCATTCTTCCACATCGCCAATACTATGCCGGGACGCGTCACCATTGGTGTACCTCGTCGGTTGAATGACCTGGCGGGATCGACCGCGGCGATCAGGTCGGCCAGGTCCAAGATTGACAATCCGCTTCAGTTTGAGCTGGGAAACGAACCTGACCGTGCGTCTTATTTGACTGTCGTCGCTTTTCTCATCTTTAAAGAAATCTAAATCATAATCTATCCACGCTCCCCAGTGTACATCTCGACCGATCCCATCGCAAGGGCCAACGGCAACGCATGGAGCCCGGCCATTGATCGCAACTCTCAACTCTTGTGGCAAAAATGCTCGCGCAAAATCTCTCAATTACGACACCCTTTGTCTCTGCCGGAGTCTTCCTCCAACCACCCAAATATGCGATCGCCGATCTCGCACCGGCGGAGAAGACTGCTGGACAGACTGGTCTAATTCAATCGTATGCGGATCACGCATACCCTCAGTCTGCATGCGGAAGTTCCACGACCAATCTCCAATCCCTTCAGAGCCATGCGAATATCGTCAACTTCGTGAAAGGATTCGCGCCCGAGATCGCTGCTGCCAGAGCGCAGGGCATAGATCATGTCTTTGGAGAAACAAACAGTGGTAAGTCGGTGACTGTCGAAATAACATTTTGTGATGTCTGTCGACTTATGATAACCCTTTCCCCCGTACGACAGCAACTTGTGGAGGTGGAGGAATTTCCCCAACGTGAGATGCGGAGGTATATGGTATCAATACTCGATATAACGTTCTCATCGCTATTATAATCTCGTTCTTAGTTTCGGGGCAGCTCTCTGGATCGTCGACTATGGTAACTCGGGTCCTGTGTTCGACATCGCCAGAGATACCTAGCGATACTCACTCGATACTTTCGGTTTTCCTCTTGCCATCGCTAGTGTTGCAATCGGTCAGGGCGGGCAGCAAGGTAAGGTGACTTCGGCGACGTCGGTCGCATGCGCCTAGGTTGATTGGGTTTCTCTCAGCGACTCTACTTCCACCAAGGCACAATCGGGAACTGTAAGAGTCATCATTGATGATGTCGAAACGTTACCGTGACCGTTCACTGATCACGATCTGGCATGACATGTCAGGCCAATACTGCTGTGAGTTTCGTAACCAGGACAAATTGCACCATGTCCTCACCGGATCTTTTTTCTCTCTTTGCATAGGGTGGGGCAGATACAGCATGGGTAACCCGTACTACGGTGCCGTACTTGCTACCCGAGCGTTAGCTGGCATCAGTCAAGTCACGCAGCTAGACGATGGCACCTCAGATTACGCGGCCTACGGTCTCTACGCTGGGACTACGCTGGCGAGAGTGCTTCTCATCAACACTCAGTACTACACGTCTGGAACTAGGCCTACCCAGGCTTTCACTTTGACCAATTTGCCTGGTTCTACGGGTAGCGGTATCAGACTGTGCGTCGATGAATTGAGTGTCACTCGAAAAATCACCCTGATATTTACGGGCTCGTCTCTCTCTTTATCAAACAGTACTGCGGCATCATCGACTGCTCGTGCCGATCAGGGAAGCCCGGCTACGGTGAGTTCACCGGCTCAGGAATCGCGATATTTCTCTGGTAAAAAGCTAAAGTGGGCGAAACAGGTCGGACGAGTAAGCTATCAAGACGGCACGTGCGCCGCATCAGGCAGTTTCCAGACGGAAGCTACGGCGATCAGCGGGGGTTCCGCTACCTTTACGGTGGCAGCTTCAGAGGCTCTGCTCGTCGAGATCTCGTGATCTGAATTCCAGAAGGAACGATCGACCACAACGCCTAGCGTTCAAATTCGAGGTGGATTCATAGTTCCCCTAATAATGTAATCTTCTCCGTTCCAACGAAAATCCTTTCAGTTCAACGAAAATTCAACCCAACAAATGTGATGAACCGATTCCAAGTATTCAGAGACAGTCTAAGTTCAAAAACATGTGCCAAATATCGGATCTGTCTATCGTATGCATACGATCTCGCGATCGCGACCAGGATTCACGTCGTCCTACGTTTGATACAAGCAATACTGCTCACCGACGGGCGGGGCCCACCTTTAGCGGACCTATCATCAACACTGGGGCATCCGAAACGCGACCATGCTTGATACCCTTAGTTGGGCAAGGTCAGACTCGAGCTCTTTATCCCAGGAACATCTCTGTGCAGCGATATCTCGATCTCATGCAGTCAGGCAAATTAGCAAACTGTACAGAAGCTCAGGAGCTCGATTTACATCACTGTCATTCGACAAAGCTGACAAAGAACATCCTTCGACATCGGCATAACATGAGACAGACTGCCCAGGCCAAGAGCAACGAGCATGAAACAGTCTGATGTCCGTTTCACTCCGGCGGAACGACCGGCTTGATCCGAGAGGCGCTCGGGGGCTGAACCCGTCGTCATCATCGCTTAAAGTTGTACCCGAGGGTGTCGCGTGTGATCGTTCTGCTTCTAGAGCGTTTCAAAACGCAGCCCAGGCCCGAAGCGAGGGGCAGCCCGGGGGTCTGAGGGGGGGCGAGGAAGCTCGGCGAACTCGAGAAACGAGGAGATGATGGGGGTGGAAGTCGGATCGAAAGGAGGTCTCAGCTAAAAACTTGAAAGGAGGGGGAAGGCGAAGTGGATCTGGTCAGCCAACACGGTGGAACGCATCACGATCAATTTTGATAAGGATTCGTTCTCGATAAGGAGGGCAACGTTCGCGAGCGGATGGCCGAGGACGTTGATGGTCGGGACAACAACTTCGATCGTACAAAGTTTCCCATCACCATGCAGCATGATAACCTTGAAATCTCATCTATTTACTCGTCCTCGTTCACAACGCCACAATCGCCTCTGCTGGATTTATCCGTCATCTGACCTAGAGTAGCGATTATGTTCAAACCTCTCGACTTCCTCTTCGTCGTCTTGCTGGCCTGCTTGACGTTGATCGTAAGTACCTGGAGTTCTCAAACCTGAGGGCCGAGCCAGACAGCTGACAGTCCTCCTCTGCAATACGCAGACCGCACAGTATAGTGCCGATTCGCCCGCTTGTGCTAAGTTCTGCAGTGACAAGCTTCCTGTAGCCGATGTGAATACCCTCGCCTCTTCCTGGGGAACTCTAACTAGACTGATCATGTTGCTGTATGCCCTGTATTGCGCCAATTCAGAGCAAGTGCGATGCTACGGATACGGCTTGTCGGTGTAGCGATTCGGACGTCATGAAAGAGGTCGTCGGGTGTTTCTTGTCGGAATGTTCGGTGAGTCCCGAAGTTGGAGATCTCGCACGAGCGTAAATACGAAATGGAACAACAGCGCTGACAACGTAAAACGGGACGCTGTTTTCCGTAACCGTATTACTATCGTATTATAGGACGCGGAGAGGACCAAAGTCAATACCGACTTCGTCTCCTACTGTTTATCGATAACCAACCCTCCCATCCCCTCGTCCGTCTCTCAACTCGCCCTTAGCACGGCGACGACCTCCGCACCTAAAGCCGCTGGAGCCGACCCTATCCAAACGTACACCAGCCTCCAAGATCAAGCGAACCCTAGCGAGACGTCGAGCGCGAACGCTGCGAACGCTGCCAAGGGGATGGTCATGTCGCCTAGGAACGTGGACATCTCGAGGACGGCGGTCGTGGCTACCGTCGCACTGGCGGCACTGGTGATGAGCGTCGGGTTGATGGGGTCTTGCATGTAGATGTGATTTGTCGATATCGGTGTCTCCAAGGGTTGTTTTTTTGGTTGGCATTTCATTATAGAATTGGCGTGCGTGCCATTTCTAGCTTCCAGTACTCACAATATAGCTCATCGCGCCGATCATATGGGGCTTTCAAATATAGACCCTCCGTGCCAAGAAGACACAGGCGATCTCATAGTCTGTCTCTGCCGTTGTGACACACCACAGATTGGCGAACGGATCGTTGATAGGCATGCTTGTGAGGACGTCACGCTTCACCACTGCAAAGAATTTGGGCCCAGGACCAGAATCTACAGAATAGAATGTGCTCCCTGTTAATCATGTCCGTGTGCATGCGGTGTACAGCTTGTTATTGTTCCGATTAGTCTCGTCCGAGCTCGGTCCCATACGAGATTCAGGTGGAAAGACAAGTTGGCACATGTGACTCAATGCTGTCCCTCCTGGATCCTCCCAGACGCCCTGATCTGGGTCATAGCCCTACATCTACCTTTAGCTTTCTCAACATATTCATGTTTAGCGGGGTCAACCTTCCCCCTGCAGAGAAGCATGAACGGCAATGTAGCGGTGGAATATCTGTGCGGATCTTTCCTCTTTCCGATCTGATAGATCTGTTGAATGTTGGCTACGTACATGGTTATTGGACGGTGATGCTATGATACAATCCACAGGAGTGGCCAAGGGTATCGCCACGTCTCTCTTCATCGCGTCGGGATCATTCCAGTTCGCCCGCTCGTGTCACGCTATGCTATACTTGTCGACACAACTGCCCCGGTCCATAAGGTCGCCCCGGAGCGCTCTGAACCTCCCACATCCCCGTCATCCGATCCCCATGCTGCGTCATCGTCCTCCGTCCCCTCTCTGGTGGCGAGATGATGACCACGCCCTGGTTCGGCGCTTCCGGAGGGGTCGGATGCAGGAACTCGTATGGCACGATCAACATCTCCCCCGTCGCCGTCACTCGGCATTGTGCGCCTGCGGCGGTGTTGGAATCGAGCACGCAGAGCTTGTCCTGATAAGCCCCTTTTCGATATGTTTGTTCGGCATAAGGGTTGTTGTGCAGGGTGTTGCCGATCTTGACCAAGATGTGGTCTAGACCGACGGCCCATTTCGGATCTACAAGGACGGCGGAAGCCGGTTAAAGACCTGGTCGATCATGCAAGTGGAACGATCCTCGACTCACCGATTCCTGGGACCGGTGGTGCACCATATGCGCCATATACTGGTGCACCACCGAAAGGAGTAGCTCCACCACCATACTGACCATACCCTGGACGGTCGAACGGTGTTGCGCCTCCCTGTTAGCGATCGTAAGAAGTCAGCAATCACACTTGGATACATAGAATCGATCTGTGCTCACCATAGCCGCAGCTGGTGTTCGGCCTCCCTATGATTAGGAAGATGTCAAAGTGTTAGAACAAGTTCGACAATCTGTCAATCGTCGCTACATACCATGAATGGCGTTTTACCACCCTAACATAGCCGAGTGGAATGTCAGCATCCGATTCTCAACAGGAGACGCGCTTAGAACTCGACTTACATCGAACGGCGTCTTTCCTCCCGCAAATGGCGTTGCTCCTCCGAACGGCGTCGCGGCGCCCTGGAAACATCGAGTTCGAAGCATGTCAGATCTCTACAAGCGCTGAACAAGCTATCACCTGTTCAATCGCTTACCATGGCGTAAGGATTGGAGGTCTGGCCTCCAGAATTGAACGGAGTCTTGCCGCCCATTGGCTAGATTTCCAGCGGATCAGATTGGCATCAGCGATCTCGGTCAAGCGATCGGCCAGGCGCGTAGAACTCACATTGAATGGTGTAGCGCCACCACCACCGTTGAAGGGATTCGGTGCCATGTAAGGATTAGAACCGTAGGGATTGGCGGTCTGAAGATGACGGAGAACAACGGTGAATACAAAGATAGGCAGCACAGGATTTCCACGACAACTCACAGCCATGTATGGGTTTGTTGACGGATCTACCATGGCCATATCGTCCTTTCGCCTCTCCCTCTCTAATTCGCTTGTCAGACCGGTCAAGGGGCTAGCACACCAAACACACGATAAGCGACGAACGACAGCGCTTTTACGATAGACCGCGACCTACTCCTTCTTCTTCAAGTGCTTGATGGGCACCGTCACCACCTTGTTGTTCGTCTTCAACTCGACCCTCGCCTTGTCACCCTGCGTATCCTTGATGATGCCCTGCAACCCCTTTTGCGTACCCTTGACAACGACAACGTGACTGTTGACGAGGTATCGCTGGTTTGCACCCTGATTGTTGCCAGCGTAAAACGGTACGGCCTGGTTCAGTCGAGGATCCTGTTTGGTAAGATCCGGCCCGCTCTTGGTCGTCGTCGTACGCTCGTCGATCGGTCCGAGGTTCTTGCTTCGGATCACAAAAACCCCGTTGTTCTCGTTGACATCCCGGCTGTGCATGAAGGCGAACAATCCCCGGTAGATGTGCAGGACGAGACCTTTACGGTACTCTCCGTCGATCTCCTTCATCTGGTCTCCGATTCGGAACTCGCGATCCTTGTGATCCATGCCGACGGTCCTCTTGGCCTCGGTCGCAGGTCGTTTCGTAATCTGATGCGGACGCATCGATCGGATCGACCCGTTCTGATCCAAAATCTTGAACCCGTCTCGCTCGGTCTGGAAGATGACTCCCACGGTCTGCGGGTCGATGGTGACCAGGTCGTGTAGCTCGAAGTTTCCCACTCGGTTGTTCAACGCCCCGATCGTCGCGGCCTCTCTCAAGTCTTTGCTAAACGCCTTGACCTCCTTCTGCGACAGGTCGGAGAAGAAGGTGACAATGTTCTCGTCGATATCGAGGACCATACCGGTGTCGTTGACGTTGACACCCTGCATCACCTTCACGTGATCTCCTACTCGGAAGATCTTGCGTACGCTCTTAGCGGCCATCTCGATGAGTTGATCCTCTGCATCGTCCAACTCTCGGGATGGGAAGCGGACCGTCACCGTCTCGGCCGTGACCGTCTCGACGACTCCCTTGAGCCCCTTCAACTCTCCCTCTGACGCCTCGACCTGATCACCCGGCCGAATGTTGCTCCCTGCGCTCTTCTTGGCAGCCCGGGCGATCGCATCCAGGTTGATCCGAGTCGTATCTTCGTTGTCGCCCTGGAACTTGCTGATCTCGTTCAACGTCGGGTTGATGTTCTCCGTCAAGATCGAAGCGATCGGGTATTCCTTTTCGAGAAGACCATTCATCGTGTACTGTTCACCCTGAAACAGATAATAATCGTTTCGTTTCGTCCAGCTGCCCCGACCATAGGTCTCGGTCACCGAATCCGGTCTGAACAAATCTGCGGGAGCTCGGCTGGTAAGCGCGTTAGCAGCCTTCCCAGCGCCCCGCTTCTTCCCCTGCTTGGTACGTTCCGGGTGGTAATCGATCCGCGGCACGAGCAAGACCTCGACAGCCTGTCCGTCGTTACCGATCTGATGGACCTGTGCGAGGTCTCCCGTATACTTTCCCCGCTTGACCCGGACCCACATGCCCTTTTTCGGCGTAATCTCCTTCTTCTTCATCGTCAACAGCGGGACCATATCCCGGTTCTCGATCAACTGGATAGTATTCTTTTGCTCCTCGTTCGACTTGCCCGCCTGCAGGTAGACGTTCGAGATCCCTTGCAGGGCCCTTGCGACGAAATCTCGACCATAGGCTTCGACAAAGACGTGTCCCGGCAGACTGTCCCGCTGGAACGCCGAAAAGATGCCATAGTCCTCTCCGTCCTCCATCTGAGCGGCGAACCCTTTCAAACAGATTGTCGTGATGATCGTCCTTTCCTGTCCAGGCTTACAGCGGACTTGCCATAGCTTAGGATCGTTCGATGTAGGCATATTAGCCTTTCGGTCCGAGAAATTGGCAGAACCATCGTATTCTCGGTGTTGGTTTCGGTAACGTTCACGCAATTCTCGAGCGATCTCGACGGCGTCCATTCCTCCCTTCTCAGCTTCTAACCGGTCAAAGGCTCGGTGTGCCCGTCCATCAAAGTCGCGCTCCGGGAGGTTCCCTTCGTCGGCCTCGATAAAGTCGGCGGCTGGTGGGGCAGGCGAACGTATCAGCGTCCTCGGCTGCATAGTTCCAGCAATGAGCTCGACTTACCAGCTCCACCGAAATCTTCCTCCTCATCTTCGTCTTCTTCTTCATCGTCCACCTCGGCTTCGATATCGATGAATCGGTTCATACGTCTCTTCTTGTGTTTCTACGTGGATTAAGCGAAGTGGGAAAATAAGAATATGCAAGCTGGTAGGCACTGTGTGGGTATGGCTCACTCGTTTCTTTCCTCTCGAATCTGGTGATCGTGAGTACCCAGCTTGAGCTTAGCACATCAGATCTTTTTACCTACAAGACATGTGACTCACCCTCTTCTTCGTCCTCCTCGTCATCTTCGTCCTCTTCATCCTCTTCATCTTCGTCATCCTCCTCATCTTCATCCTCGGGTTCCACAGCTCGTTTAGTTCGTGAAGGTTCCGGAGCACGCCTATCGTTCTCCTCGTCGTCCTCGTCTTCATCATCATCGTCGTCGTCATTGTTGGCTGCTGGTCGTTGTTGTCGAGGGGGCGAATCCTGCTCGGCCTCGTCGTCGTCCTATATCGCAACAAGCAGTACCAGATCAGCTCGTCGAACCTGCATGCACCTCGAAGTTATAGCAGTACAAGCAGACGCACAACGTCTTCCGGAGCTACACCTCCCGTCCGATCAGCCACCCGATCTTCCCTGCCAGCATCATTGATCGGCTCGTCATCCTCGTCATCGTCCGAATACCCTTGTTCAGCTTCGAGGTTCCGTAGTGCCGGTTGGGCTGGAGAGTCGAGACCGGCCGGAGTGGGTACGGCGTTCGAGGTGGTAGGGTAATCGTCCTCCTCGTCAGACGACATTTTGGTCAGGCGATCACGGCGAGTTGAATGGCTAGTACTACAATCTATTAGGTCAATCCGATCCTGGCCGTAGCTATATATCAAGGGGCGTAACTGCAGCTTGTACACCTACCTCACCGTGGTAGCGCTCTGGTAGCTGGTAGCTGCTGCTGCTTAGCCCCCGATCGCTCACTAGCAGCCGCGACAATGGGTGAAGCCTGAAAATACCCAACAACGCGTTTCAAGGAAAAGTACCACATCTCCTCCTGCTCGGGGTATATAGGTCATCGCAACCTCGATATATCGGTACAACCGCCTCTAGCCTCAATAACATTATTGAAAAACCCCTGAATTACGTCTGCAAACCCTCCGTAACGAATGCCACCTTGCACCTACCGTAGCTCAAGCAAACGTCGTCCACCCGGTCGCTTGATACCACCTCCCCTCCCTCTTCCCCGGACTCGCCGTCCCATCATTGCCTTCGCTCTCGACAACGATCGCTGGCAAACGATTCTGATTCCCATTCTCACCACTTTCCCCTGTCCGCGTATTGTCGTCTTCTGCTTGTTTGCCCTTGGTGCTCTTCCTTCGTCCTCCCGCTTCCTGTAAAGCTTGAGCGAGCGCGGCGAACCCCAATCCGTGTTTTTCCTTTTTCTCCTCTTCTTTGCCCTCCCCAGCTCGTTGCATGGGATCGTCAGCTTCAAACTCGGGGCTCCAAGCCGGATGAGTCCTGCTCCGTCCCAGTGCTCCTTCCTCCGTTCTGCTCTGGGATTGAGATTGAGACCCCGGCTGGGTCTGCGCGCCGGGTTTAGCCTTCCGATCGGGCACGGCGGGCGGTTTCCGTCGTTTGCCCGATAACCACGATCGACCCCCCGTACCGCACGCGCTGTTCGGAGCTTCGTATGACGCTGGAGACATGACCATCGACTCTCCTTGCCCCTGCCCCTGTCCCGCTCCGTTCAAGGTAGGTGTGGACCGCATGGAAACGGCATCGGCGTCTGACCAGCCAGATTCGCTCTGATGCGGCGAGAGCTCGGTCGAAGCGATCGACAAGCCCTTGCTCTTCTTCTTCGCTCGGTTGGGGACGGGAGGGGCGGCTGCGGCCACGACGTGAAGCGACAAGGTGGATGGGTTGGTATCCACTTTGAGCACGTTCAGGTGCGACTTGTGCAGCTTGGGCATGTCTTCCGCACTGCCAGAATCAGGTCAAGTATTAGCTTGTCCGCTATAGACTTTTCGGTCGGTCCAGTCGAGACTCACCTCTGGCTCCGACCGAGTTTCCGTAGCAGACTCTGTCCACGTTTCATCTTCGGCGCCTTCTCCTCCACCGGTGCCGGCGCATCGATCGACATCCCCTTGACGTTCTCAGGGACGATCATATGCCCGTGGTTCGCTTCCAAGCTCAAAGGCTCATTCTCGCCTGTCAACGGTATATGCCTCAAACCCGCAACGACCGTTCCCCTTCCCCCACCGTCACCCCAGTCCGCGTTGAGACATCGCTCGACGAGACGTTTGGTCGTCGGGTCGACCTCCCGGATGTGAGAGTGGGAGGTCAGAGAGAGGAGGACAAGTCGGATCTGAGGGTGTTTGTAAGGTTCGGATTTCAGTTGGGTATTGGTCAAGAGCGGGTGAAGTACCCGAAGGTAGGTATGACGGCACTATCGCGTTCGACGATCGATTATCAGCGACTCGAATCAGGAACAGAACCGACAATGAACTTACAGCCTCGCTCTCTTCCGGTAGATCTACCAGTTCCCGTAAGAAAACATCCACGAGCACCCGCAGATCGTTGGTATAAAAGTACTCTTGTGTACCCGCCGTCGTGAAAAGCAGGTAGAGGATCTTGAGCAACAACAACTGCACACAGAGGTCGTCCGGGGTGTTTTCTGCAAATGACCACACGCGCTTCATCTGTTAGCCTTGCGTAAAATCGTCAAAGCGATCCGGCCGGACAGGACTCACGACACCGATTCAACATGAAAATCACATTCTCGCCAAACGTCTTGCTGTTCCCCAACCGACTCATCAAGACGCCCAACACCCTATTCTTGCCCTTTGTCTCCTCGACCTCTTTTTCCCTCTGCCTCTCCTTCTCCTTTTCCGTCTGCTGCTCCAATGCCTCTTGGCCCGCATGATATTCTCCGGTGAACGCTGGTCCGTGCTCGCCGATCACGTGAAGAGGAGGATGTAAATTGGAATGCGCTCGGTGATGGTTCCTCGTCGTCGGTGCCATCGAGGGTGGCAAGTGCTCTGGTGGTGGGGATAACAAGGTCCGAGCGTCAGGCGCGGCAGGCGTGGGGGAAAGGAGACCGTGTGAGGGGTCTTCTGGCGGTTTGAGGCCTCCTTGTTTAGGAACGACCGATTGGGCTGAGGCGACCATGAACTGCTCGTTCAACGCGATCTAGCAGAAGCGAAACTCGAGCCTGTCAGCATGAAGCCGAACCTTTCTTGAAGTTGGCAAACGTACGATCAACCGGATCACGGCGTAATTCAACTCCTCGTCGAAATTCCGGGAAGTCTCCACGAGCTCGAAAAGCCTATCGATAAAGTCGTCGGTGAAGCCCTCTGCGAGACCGCGATAACGCCACGTAAGTCTCTCGCTCTCTCTCTTGTAACATGGGTCTCCTGGTCACTGACCTAGTTCTTCGGCACTGAGCTTTTGTACCCGGAGGACCTCGTACATCAGCTGAGTAGCCGGTAACCGTAATCTAGCTTCGATCGGGGGGTTCCCATCCGAATCCACCGAACGCTACAGAGCATCCCGATTCATTACATGTCAGCTCTTGTTCTTGCGAAAAATAAGTCGAAACGACTTAATTCGACCTACCTCGTCGATCTCCGCATCAAAGACGTCGCCCAAACCTCTCGAGAGCCGCTTCCACCGCCTATGACTCCGAAAGAGACTATGATGCTTGGATCCCCACAGTAAGAGGATGTTGTACAGGATGAAAAGGGTGTGAGGGTTGGTATTCTGTCGCAGGTCAAATGTCAAAGATACGAGCCAACCAAATTCAGAAGATCAGCTTGACGTTCCATCAGCATACGAGCTCCCGCCTAGCGAAGATTACGGAGAAGAGAGGAAGCGGTATAGCGTTAAGAGGTGGGAAGGAAAGACTGACCTCTTCAGCCTCGGCCAAGATGAGGTTGATCATCCGTTCCGAATGATACCGAAAGAGATCGCTCTTGAGCAACAAGTAATACGCATGGGAGGATTCTCCGGGGGATTGCATGTATTTGTCTGAGGTGCGCGGTTGGGGTGATGGTGATAGTTATAGTGATAAAGGGGTGGTTCAGGTGGTGGGTTGTACAGGAGTGTAACAATGGGAGTTGGGCAAGTCGGATAAGCATTCTCCACGGGAACGAGGATCAGACAGCAATCCGAGTGGAATGAGTGCTCACCGTGCGAGCTTGAAAAGAGGGAGATGACCATTCGTAACGTATTATCCAGTACATCCAACGAGATGGCCCCTGGGAGGGTGAGGATCTCTTCCAGCTCTGTACACCAGTATCACAAAGAAGACATGTCATAGCGTAAGTACTGAGTGCTGGTCACATAGCTTACAAAGCAGAAGGAATATATAGAGATGAGAGGAAGACCGGGACTCACCATACCAAAACTCGTCCACATCCGCCACGACGATCTCTATCGAGTCGAGGCTCATCCTGAAATACAGCAGCACTCCTAAGATCGGTTACTCATCCAAGATGGCGATCTCTTCCTGAATTATTTGTTGCGTCGTGGTGTATGTCGTTGCAATCGAGATCGAGAGTGAAGACGATGTCGAGCAGGTGATGAGGTGTGAGGTCCAGATGAGGCCTACGTGATAGGTTCGGATCGATATTCGGTCCTGTACAGTCAGAGTGCGAGGGAATCGAGATGGTGACAAGCGGAAACTCTACAGGGTATATGATCCTGAGCAGTTACTATAAACTGTGAAAGTGAGTATATAAGTGGTCCAAGGAGTACGAGGATGCAAGGATGGGATGACAACTAGTTGATCGTCATCGCCGGCGAGTGAACCACCACTACCACCAGCAGACGGGGGGGGGGGGGGGGGGGCGTCGCGCAACTAAACAAGGCGATCAGGCGATCCCCCGGATGCAAATCAGGGTAAATGAAACGGATATACTTCCGGTCGATCGGGCCGGGGTCTGCCGACGTCTACTGTAATTCTGTAAGTGAGTCGAGGTAGGATCGTCTTTAAGACGCTGGCTCGACGACTGGCCGATCCCCAAGACAGAAACAGATTGCCGGTTCTTTGATCGGTTTCTGATTTACTGAATATATAAGATGACGTGGGTACTTGGGCGTTGTCATTACCGTCGCGTCCAGCATCCTTCAAACTCCTAAATCTATATACTGAGATACGGAGCGGCGATGCCACAGCATTGTTCCTATAATGGCGACTGTTCGACCTCGGCAACTTCACACATCCAAGCGAAAAGCTCATGATCGAGACCGGATTGTATATCACACATGATCGCTACCAGCCCAATCGCTGAAAGGCTCGGCTGACAGTCACAAGTATTGACCCGTTTGCATGGCATCTCTTCAATGTATCCCTCGAACGCGCTTACAAGCTACAGTATAGCTGCTTCATACCTCTCGCTGTGCGGCCACAATGGGATATTCGATCTACCGACCATCCTGCAATGTACGTGGATCTCGTTTCAGACGACGGGGATGCCATGACGTTCAACCTCTGGCATCGCTTCTTGTTATCTGTCCACAGGAACCCTAGAAGCGCCAGGCCAAGCGAAGTCCCTCCCCTCTCAAGGTCAGCATTGACGAGGGTGTTCTAGAAGTACAAAGTCTCTGGGAACCTTCACCCCCGATCCTGTTCGTCAAGGTTCGACTGGGAAATGGGGTGGTTGTTCAGAAGTTGGTACTCGTGATCGGCTTGTGGCGAAATCTGCACCCGAGGTTGTGCTCTGATATTCTGGCTGTCCGGGTCATCGACATTAGCGACGTTTCGTCTATGACTGGTAGTAGAAACGATAAGGTAGGGGTGTATTTATGTGCGCTGAAAATGATACACGCTGGTGAATGTGAAAGGAGTTGAGGTTTCAGAAGACGATGAACGAGATGAAACCGCTCTCTCGGTTTAATCCTCGGCCACTTTTCGATTGACGCGACGTGACGCGACGCGTTGGGCCAATTTGGACTGTCCTTGCGTTGGATCGACCTCGCCTACTCACAACAATCTCGTGTGGAATCTTCATACATCTCATCGACTACACAGCTGTCGGACCATCGACGCTTCCCGATAGAGGACGAAGAGCAGAGGTCAAGATGGTCAACCCGAAAATGAGACAGATGATCGTCAAGGCAAGTCCCCTTCCCCCCTTCATACCGTTCGATCGTCGTACAACAAGCTAAGCTGAACCTGATGACGTGCAAATAACAGGTCTTCTCGACAAAATATTCCCTGACGCTACCCACGCAGTCGCTGTTGTTCATCGAAAAGATCTTGACAGAAGGAGAGGTCCCGCAGGAAGAATGGTCGGATGGGTTGGAGCTCTGGGCAAAGGAGTATCTTCGGGGAGAAGGTAGGTCGTCCGGGTTCAGGCATGTATAGAAGTGTGTGTCGTCATGTCGAGATGCTGAACGTGTGACTACCTTTCTCATCCCTTGATCACGACGTCATATTCGATCTACATACCCTCAGATCCCAACCCCCTGATCTCCCTCCCTTCCCTTCAAAAAGCCTACGACTCCCTCTCAGCCAAGACGTCCGCTTTGGAGGACGCGGACGACTTGCTCGGCGATGACCAGGATTTCCACATTGATATCGACATTGACATCGATCCGGAGGAAGTCACCGTGGACTCGCATTTCCGGGTCGTGGGCGCGTTCGAGATGCCTGGGTGGAGGTTTGATAATGTGAAAGGGACGTTTGGATTGTGAGTCTGCTCGTGCCGTCTTTCGGCGTTCTCTCTCTGTGTGCTTGTCCCCTGTCCCGGCTTCGGCTCCGATAGAGTCAGGCCGAGCATAGGTAGCTAGAAGGTGAAGCTGATATCGAGATGCTTTTCATTATGATCGTGTTTGCGTGGGACCAGACCGAACCATCGACCGGCTATCGGAGGACCTGCGATTTCACGGTCGATGTACCTCCGCGAGAGGTGGGCTTTGGTCAGGCAGGTGAGCAGAGCGTTTCTTTTATGCTTTCTCTGTCAAAATTGAAGACGACTGATAGTATCGGTACCGGTGACGACGCTCTGATCTAGATCGTTTTGAGAAACGAAAACTTCACACCACCCGCTGTAGGCGGACACGACCGGGCTAATTACCTCAAAGTGCGTAGAAAACCTGTTCTCTGCCATCATCACGCTTCGTCCTTCTCAATTGGCTGATCTGAGGTGACCCAACTTTGTCTCTCCATAGTTGACGTCGACGAGAAACCTGTTGGGAAGACAAGGACAGCTCTTCTTGCTCTTCGGCATGTTATCAAGAGATCCGGAGGGGAGGTTGTGCTTGGAAGATGGAGAGGGTACGGTCGTTCTTGATATGGAGGACGCAGTGAGTCCACTGACTGCGGTATGGATTACCGTGAGTAGGCGGAGATGCTAAATGCGGATGTTGTTTGTGCTGCGTGAAGGAACCGGGAGAAGGATTGTTCACGGAGAACTGCTTGGTACTGATTGAAGGCGAATATACGGCCGAGGAGACGATCAAGGTCTTGGCTATGGGACATCCACCGAGTGAGAGGCGGGATGCTGCTAGGTGAGTTCAGGTTGGAGGTTCGAAGCGAGTCTGGCTCAAGGTTGGAAGAGCAAGGTGGCTGATAGTCCGGGAGAATAGGGCGATCTTTGGACATGTGGACTTTTTGGGTGTCGGGGCGACCTCGCTGAAAGAAGAGGTCGGTCGAGATAACGAGCCTAGATATAGCACAATGCGCTGAGCCCTTTACTTGCCTCACAGGCCAAACTACAACGCATATCGCAAGCACACGAAGACCTCTCCATTGTTGTTCTCTCGGATGTATGGTTGGATCACCCCAAGACGATACCAGCGCTGAAGCGGATGTTCGAAGGGTACGGTCAGGCAGAATTTAGGCCGTACGCTTTTGTTTTGTGCGGGAACTTTTCGATGAAGGGGTGGATGGGCGCGGGTAGCATGAATGCCTATATCGGTAGGTCTTCCGCGCAGCTGACGACGTATTGGGCTTGTGGCTGACACCATTCCTTTATTCAGCCGGCTTCAAAGCGCTCGCCGAGGCCATCGCCGGGTTCCCGACACTATCGCAACATTCGCAATTCATCTTCATACCCGGTCCGACCGACCCATGGTCATCATCGACGCTTCCACGTCCGCCCATCCCCGACAGCTTTGTCGAACCCATCCGAGCCAAAGTTCCCAAAGCAACCTTCACCAGCAATCCGGCGAGGCTGAAATACTTTGACCAGGAGATCGTCATCTTCCGGGAAGATCTGATGGGGAGGATGTTGAGGAACATCGTCCAGATCAAGGACGGGACCGAGGGGGCCAATATGAAGCGATATGTAGGTGTTCAAGCTGTGTTCCAGTGTCAGCATCTGCTGATTTTCCGGTGGGCTTTCTCCAGCTTGTACAAACCATTCTCGACCAGACGCACCTCTCGCCGCTGCCTATACAAGTAAGGCCGACGATCTGGGAATGGGACCACGCTCTCCGGCTGTATCCCATGCCGACTACCGTAAGTGGCGTGAGGTCCTTCATTTCCAGCTCTTCCTGCTGATACCTCGGGTTATACCATAGGTGATACTCGCGGACAAGTACGAACGATACGATCTCACGTATGAAGGCTGTCACGTGTTCAATCCCGGAAGTTTCGTTGGCAATTCGTTCGAATGGAGTGTGTATTACCCGGCGACCGGGAAATCGGAGAGCAGGTGCGTTCGATTTCCCTTCGGACATCTGCGAGTACGAGCTCGACCCTGACGGTTCTCGTGGTCTTGCAGTGCATTACCGGAGGAGGAGTAGATTCTCTGGGCTCGACCGCCCTCGTATCAGGATCGCCCGCAGAACACAGTCTCGGGCAGGTCATGTACTGCTAATTAGGCCCTCTAGTTGTATCCATCATTCTGCATGCATCGAGCATTACCAGCATTACCAGGTATATAATACGTCACGGAAGTTTACCTATGCCGATTCCGCTTGACGACCGACCAGCCTTCCTCTTCGTCCTCGGTCGACTGTCCCGTCAAGGGCGTGACGAACCCCATCGAGACGTCGTCTTCGGCGCCACCACCTCGCTTGCGTTTCTTACCCAGGACGTGATCTAGAGCTTCGAGCCTGATCTGATCGTCGATCACATTCATCCCATCATCATTGTCGGGTGCCAATCCGCTGAACTGGTCTGTGACCTCTTGCATCCGTTTCTTATCTGTCCTCTCTTTCCGTGAGGTTGAGGCTGAGGACGAAGTTGAAGCGGGAAGCAAAGCTCGACAAACATCGCCCAAAGACAGCCGGGAGAGGTGTGGCCCGATAATCGGATCTTCGAGGGCTTCGGTGAGTCGACGGCGGGATCGTTTGAGGTCCGCACGGGTCGGGTTCGTCAAGGTCGAGGCAGGACGAGTGTGGGTGGGCGTAGACGAATTTGGCGCTATCTTCATGGGCGATATTGCAGCTGGAATCAGGACCGGAGCGGAGGAGAAGACGGGGTAGCCCCTCGATTCCAGGTCGTTCAAGATCCCCATTGCCTCCCTCTTCAACGCCTCGGGATCTTCATCCCGCCCGTCCGTCCCATCTTGTCCTCGTCCTCGTCGTTGTTGCTGTAGTTCTAGGCGAGATTGCTCCTCGATCCAGTCTTTCCAGTCGAACCAACTCTTCCCGTTCATATCCAACATGAATCTCTCCCTCTCGCCCTTTTCAGCTAACATCGGCGCTTTCCTGTCTTTGGCAGGTCGAAGGTCCGTCTTCATACCCATTCCCCAGCAGGGCCGGTTGGAGAGCTCGAGACCCAACGCTTCTATATCGTATAACAACGAAGAAGCTGCCGTGCGGTATGCTTTGGATAAGGTCGAAGGGGCGTTCCGTGGGGGTTGAGGGCGGAGGTTGAGGGGGACGAGGTGGGATTTGATAGCTATTATCCTGTCAGATTCGGGTATTTGAATTTATCAACAATCTGAAGGTGGCTCAAAGTCACTTTTGGGAAATTTTTGGTTCTGAAAAAAAGAGAGCTTACGGGTTTTGTTTGGCGGGGTAGATCCGCACGGCGTACATCCGTTGTCGAGAGATACGAGGTAAAGCCGAGTTGTGAAAATACCCTAGGTCGATAATCTATGAAAGCGAATGTAAACAGAGTTGAGGTCGAGGCGGATTTGAAAAGGAACGCAAATATGTCAGTGACACTTCGGATGGTGCTGCTCGCCTGATCCAAGGGTTGAAAATGCCGGGCGATTTGATCCAGCCTCAAATTCAGGCTCGATTCCACTTACCTTTCCAGGCCAATACCCTCGTACAGGCGAGAGATAGACCAGAACAGTCTCATCCACTTGCGGACGCCATCTTCGCCAAATTTCTTGCTCTTCTTGGTTCAATTCCAGGATAGAGGGAAGTGATACCAGTTCCCGTGGCTCCGCTTGCTCGGCACCTTGTTCATTCCTGGTCCCGGTCGATGATCCGACCTGTAAACCGCTCTCGAACAGCCCGACGAGATTTCTCCTCTCCACCGCTTCTTCGTGTAGCTTCAAACATTGTGCCTCATTGTTTGTGCTCATGCCCGAGCTGGCGCAGGCAATATTGCTTGACCCAGCATCTGTGCTTGTTCCTTCCGATGAGTACGCCCGGAACAGGACGTCCAGACGGTCCAGGTAGTCCGAGAGTAAGGCATCTAGGGCGGATTCGAGTGGAGGGTCTTGCAAGGCGGTATGGTGAGGTCGTGGAGTATCATTTTCCATCCCGAAGTGATGGAAGATTTAGGTGTGTAGGAGGAAGAATGTGCAAGTGACTCAAGTTGTGTAGTCTTTTGGGTTGAATGGTCCAAGAATGATGCTCTCTGAATGACCTGTTGTTGGTTCACGTCGAGTCCAAGGTCAGGATCGTTAGTCAGGGGGGGGGGGACAGTGTACTCGACCACCCCTTATATATCGAGCTATCGATCTATCGATTAGCTATTTTGCTACTAATTGACGATCCTACTACTGATACATACATTCTAAAGATCTGTTCAACTGACCTCGACCATGTCAGCAAAAGCCCCACCCAAGAACGCTCAACCGGCACCGGCCGACGTCCAGGCTCGGTATACAAAATACAAGAACGAGCTGACCGCGCTCGCACAGAAGATGGGAGAACTCGAACAGGAAGGGGAGGAACACGAGTGAGTGCGATGATTCAGGCTGTTCGAATTGATTCATCTCGTTCGGAGATGGAGATGGTGGAATCGCTCGGCCTCTGCGCGATGTGATCTCTCAGAGTACACCCAGCTGACCATTTCCCTCACGCCTTATTGCGGTTTTGTTTCATCGCGACACAAAGCCTGGTACTATCAACACTCACACCACTCTTAAAGACGGAACCGACGAGGAAATGTTTTCGACTGATAGGAGGCGTGCTGGTGGAGAGGACCGTGAGCGAGGTGGAGCCCGATTTGAAGGGGAACTTGATGGGGGTGAGTACACGGTCGAGTGTAGTCTGTGGGACGACTGGTCCGGCTGGTCGGTTGTTGGGTGGGGGATGAGAGCGGCCGGTGGAAGTTTCTGAGCAGATCTGGTGTGGTGTGGAGAGATACAACTAGAAGGACTCGATCAGCCCAGCACAAGAAGCATAATCCACGCTCCGCCCGTACCTCCTACGTCCGCTACATCTCTTACCCGCCCACCCCCTACCCACCACCCAGCTCCTATCCAACCCCCAAATCATATGCCCCTGAAATTCCCTCGCTGACACATCTTCCGCCAACCCTCTTATCTCCATATACACCACCCCACACGACAGATCCAGAACGCACTGGAACAACTCGTACAGACGTACAAGACGAAGGAAGACGAATTTCAGCGGTTCCAAAAGGATTTCAATATTCAGGTGAGTCGACGGCGATCTTCTTGCTGTTTTGCGCTCGTCCCTTGCCCCTTGGGTGTTCGACTTCGGTCATAGTCCTCGTTTCGCTTGACAGGCTCGGGATGGGCGGCCGTGATGGGAACGATCCGATCTCTGAAGACTTTATCATATCGCATTTCTTTTTCTCTCTTCTTTCTTTCCTGCAGGTCGTACAACAACGATGAGCTGGGTAAACTGGGCGTATGAGATTGAGAAGGAGCCGATCAAGATGGCTTGATCTTGTAACGAAAACGGAACTCAATTAACGAAGGAATTGCGGATATGGATCTACGTTTGATGATACGATACCTATCAGATCAGAGGGCGACCGGGTAGGGGTTCTCGATCTGAGCCGGGGGGGGAGGGACGACACTTTCGACTAATCGTTGAGGGAATGATGGTCGACGATCATTTGCGCCTGCCCAGGGCCAGCCTGAGGGTGTCGCGAGCGTCACGTTAGGGATGGAAGGCGCTTGTCAGACACGGCGGTTTCAGAGCAGGTCAGCGGTGACCGATCGATGATGCGAATAAGACAGATCGCGATGGTATCGTCGTGCATATACACGGTAGTCTCGCCGATAACCGCTGAGACGCACTCTACTATAGTGGTCTGCATGCCCGTGAATGCCACCTGGGATCATGAATCGTCTTAGACACGCCTTACTAGAGGATTCGATGGAGCAGCCATCTATGAGGGAGCTGGGCGTCCGGGCACTCATACCTACCTTTCGCATCGTAGTTTTCGTTCAAGTGAACGTCTATGATCCTTGCTTCATCGGATCGACCAGGTTCTTAACCCATGGCGGAGGCGTTCGAACGGCGTCTACCATCAGGACCTGTTCCGAATTACCGACTAGGTGTGGCTGCGGCTGTCACAATTTTCCGCTTAGAGTGAGTGTGTCCGGGCCATAATATCCGACTGTGGCGCAAAGACCCTAGAAACCCTTCCTCCTCTTGAACCCCATCTCCCGACCAACCTGACAGCAGTATGGACAGAAAACCAGTATCCAACCCTTCCGATCAAATGCAGATGCTGGTCGATTACCCCAATATCCCTATGCTGCATTGATCCGTAGCCTGATCTGCCGATTGACGTCAAGGACTTTTGCTTGAGTGACCCCGCCAAAAGCCAATCCCCCATACCGGACCAGGCAGTTTCAGCCGTGTGGCGTTGCGGGAGGCGCATTCCCTTCCCCATCTTCCATAGTTACAACTGATGCAGTCTATACGGGAAAGATATTATATATCCAACCTAGAAAACCAGACCAGCCTTCACTCGAGGATGACATCTACATATCCCCCCGTCCGAATCTCTCTCATTTTGGCGAGCACAATTCGACGCCTCAGCCCAAAATCGATGATCATATCCCTCAGGTAATCCTTGACGGGTATCGTGACCCTCATGTGCGGGATGTTTTCGCGGAAGCCCAAGACGCTCAGTGCTGGGAGACGAGGTCGATCGTCCGGGGCGAGTCCTTCTCGTTCCATCGCATCCGTGTAAGGCGGCTTGGTGAACAGGGTACATAGCGCTAGCATACCCGTCTCGTTGCCGGTTTCGGCCGAGAATGACCTCGCGTACGACAAGTCCAGAAACTGTCAGATCAAGGGAAGCTCATTCTAGGTCAGCTGACAGCGTCGTCCTCCAGGTTGAGGGTGCTAGCAGAAATTCACCTCGAGCGCGGTGAAAGAGGTCGAGATCCGCTTCAAGGCCTGTATCAACCCGTCCTCGGTCCTCGCTCCTACCCCGGCCAAACTCAGGTCCTTCAGCCTCAACCCTAAAAGCCCGTTCGCTTTCCCCGCCTGACCTCTCCCGCCCTGCTTCCGGGTCAAGAGTTCGACAATATCTTCCATCGCCAACCCGCATCCGGCAAACGATAACGAAGTCAAGTTGCTCAAATTGAGTGCATCGCCGCATATCTCGCTGAATCGCCTACGTGCCGTCGAAGGGAGTGGTACGAAGGAGAGGTCCAGCACGGGTAGTCCTTCCGCAGCGAATTCCGAGCCAGGGTTGTCCTCATCCTCCTCGGGCCCCGAATCATCCCAATCCTGTCCGTCTTCTTCGTCATCCGTCTTCCATCCGGTGTCCCGAGTGATAGATCTCGATGGCTCGAACAGCTCAAACATCCCATTCCACCCGCTACTCCCCGCAAACGCGGCATGAACCATCAGAGGTACCCTCAGCCGCTGCCGCAGCGTCATCTTGCCTTCATCCGTGGTGAGCCAGGAAGACTCTTTCACCCCGTTTGTAGAAAGATCATCCGGAAGGACAGGGTCGAGGTGATAAGCCAAGACCGTTAAGCAATGCGAGACCAGAGATCGAACGCCTTTCCCCGATGCACCCTCGTCTTCCGGCTGCGGTCTATCCTCTTCACCCGGCTTGGGTTCCGTCCAAAGCTGCAAGCCACTGGGCAAGATCGTCTCGTCCAGATTCAACCGCTTCTTCAAGACCCGTTCCGCCCAGAGAGAGTACACCTGGCTCCTCCTCTCCGCAGACCACTTGCGTCCATTTCCATAGTCAGAAAGATCTTGAGATGTGGAAGCTGGATTTGGCCGTGATGAGGTAGACGGGGCGAGATATTTCCAAGATTCAGGCGCTCGAGGTCCTGGGGTTCGCCGACGGCCTACGTTCGAGGAGCTCGATCCGGAGGCGGAAGGCGGGGCTGTAAGTAACTCGGAGGGGCTATAGCTATGCTGTCGTGCTCAGTGGCTGGAGCGTAGAAAGACGTCGGTTGGCAGATCCGACTCACAGGACGGTCCGATCGACTACCACCTGATTGACAGTCTCGTAATCCGCCTCGTCCTGCCTGATCGTCTCGTTCGCCTTGATCTGCCTTTGCAACAGGTTCCTCCTATGTCGACCTTGTTCCAGCCTAGTAGTCTCATAATATCAGCCCGGGACGTTGATCGATCATGATGGCAAGCGATACCATGGTAGACTCGCCTAAGCTTGCCTAGCAGATCGTTGACCCCGGTCGAGCTCGAAGATTCGCCATTCCGCCGTATAGGCTGTGATGTCGAGGCTACCGGTCTGCTACCACTTCCGAACCTGAACCGAGGAGTATCCATGACAAGATGACCAGGATGTACGAACGATCGTGCTCTATACAGACAGTTGCAGCTTTTGATGGTGAGGATGGCAACTACCACCATTCACAAGGTTGATCCCCTGTGCTCCTCCATCCAGCATATGCATGATGACGTAAGCATGAATCTGGGAAGGTTGCAGCTCAATCTTCAATCCCTCTCGTCTTTGATTCAGCCGATATCAAGTCCATATATGCAATGAGAAATCGTTCGTATTCATTCCCTTGGCATCATGATTCAAGCAGCACAGTCCTGATTACTTTTTCGTTTGATTCTACATCGGACCAATCACCCGAAAATCTTTCAACTAGACACACACACAAACCCAAACCACTTTCATCCACCTCTTCCCTGTCTTAGAGGTTGATGTGGTGACCGGCATCCTTTCGGGACTTGGTCATAGCTACGAGGCGGGACAGAGGGTTGTCAGCTCAAGTGCGCACGTTCAATGACAAAGTAGCGGACAACTGACCAGCAATGATGGCGCTACCAACACCCGATCCGTCCTCGGCGTGGTGGGTAACAATGTTCCTGTAATAATAAGACTAGTGAGCGCGATGCCACGAGAGCAGAACATCATCGCAGACCTCGATACCCACTTTCCCTTTTCGCCAAAGATGTCGACCAAAGCCTCGTGGATTCGGTCGGCAAATCCAGGGTATTTCTACCAGAACCCATGACTGATCAGGCCATTATCCTCGTGCTCGAACCCCTATCGAACCTACGTTGTACAGGGAACCATCGGCACCGACAGCACACCCTTCCTCGAGGTATCCCTTCTTGCTGACAATGGCGGCGATACCACAGGCACTCAATCGAGCCGCACGTCGACCGATCAACTTGGCCAAGTCTCGGAAAAAGACTCGTTCCTCCAAGGTGGTCTCGAGCCCGAAGAAGTAGGAAAAGACTCCGATGACGGTCAAGAGCTCGTCGGTGGGGTCGCTACCAAAATTTCAAAAAAGTCAGCAACAGATATCCCTAGCGCATGCTCCTGCCGCCTGACCCACCTCTCCATAAGCGACAAAAAGGCGGTGTCGACGGCGTAGGCCTTTTCGAGCTTGTAAGTGTTCTGACCCAAGAACATGTGACCCGATTCGATGAGCTCGGTCAAGACGAGTCGGAAGACTTCTCCGAGGTAGAGACCGGCGATCATCTTCTCAAAGGACTGCTCGCCGGGCTTGTTGGACGACTCGTCGATGATGATGTCGAACTTGGTTCGGGCTGCGAGGTGTTTCATAAGATCAGTCTCGGTGTTCTCGTTGAAGAACGTCTATACCGTCTTCGTCGTCGTCGTTACTCACGCAAGTGTTGGTGGTCGAACGAATCGAAGGCACCCCATTCACACTGTGATGCCAATCGTTTCTCAAGTTAGCCCTACATCTCTCGCTAAATCGAACTTTTGCGCGACCCCGGCCTGAACGCACGTTGATGGCCATGTCCTGCTCGGGAGCCAGACCCAACTCGTCCATCTTGGGAATGTTTCCGGCCTGCTCCATGTAAGCAGCGTTACATCCGGTACCAAAGATACAGGCAATCTTGGTGTTCGGGTCGACATAGTTGGAAGCGATCAGGGTACCGGTGGTGTCGTTGATCAAGGCGGTCATCTTGCATCGGACGTTCTGCGAAGGCAGGAAGAGCGGGGTTCGGTCACTTGAGCGGTCAAAACGGGTGCAGTCCGAGCAGGACGCACGAATTTCTTCAACGACTTCTCGAACATGGCTCCGACGTCGTGTCCCTCGACGTTAGGAGCTCCGAAACCCTTGGTCCACCTGATAAGCTCTGTAAAAGGCATGTTATGCAGGCTCAGTATTGGTTCTCCTGCAATACCGCTCATGGGTCAAGTGTCAACTCACCGCCGTGTTCAATTCGCTCTTGCCTGCAGATTCAACCGAGACATCGTACGTTCAGCCACCGCTTCGTGACGAAGTCACGCCTGTCCAGGTCAAAAGCATACTCACGAGCAAGGGTAAGAGAACTGCCGGGCATTACAACCGGGGTGTCAGTACCACAATTCCCCTCTCGAGAACAAGGCACTCTCGCTCACAGTGAAACCCAAGGGCAACTCTTCGTCCTTTTCGGTCCTCCCCAAGTTGTCGGTGATGAACGATCCCAGACACTCGGCACAGAAGTCGAACCTGCATAGAGCACAAAATCAACCCGACATATCAGCCGGCCTTGTCGAGATCTCCCATTTGTTGACCTATCTAGCGCGAAGGCCGCGAGATGTTGACTTACAACTTCTGCCCCTCGTCCTGCTTCTGCTCCTCGGTCAACCGGTACTTGGTCTGGGTGACCTCGAACCTCCCCTCTCCGTGCAGGGTGACCAGACAGACCCTCAAGTTGGTACCACCGAGATCGACGGCGAGGTATTCACCGGTCTCTTTGCCGCTGGGGTAGCCAAAGACGAAGGTCGGGACTGCGAGATGAGGGCAAATGCCAGGCAAGGAGACAGACGGGAGGTCCGTCAGTCTTGCTGCGAAGGATGGTGGAGATAGGGAGATAGAGACTGACTCATAGGTACGATCTCTCCGTCCTTCTGAAGACCCTTGTCCAGAGTCTCCTCGAAGGCGTGTACGATCATCCTCATCCTCTGGGGCGAGACTACGAGCATGACGCAGGCAAGCAAATAGAAATTCGCGAGGACGGACGAGCAGGAAATCAGCTCGAATTCTGCGAGTGTGATCCAGTGGGGGCTGGCTTACGGGTAAAGAGCGCCTCGTACTTCCTCAAGTGGTCGGCGATGGTTTCTACATTACAGGCACGCACGCAAGCGAAGCGGTGAACGTCGAACGAGATGACGGAGAAGAGAAGGTGAAAGAAACGCAATAACATTGAGTATCTCGTTCTTGTTGCGGAAGTAGCGGGAAGGATGGTTAGGCACTCACTCTTCTCGGCGTGAGGATAAGTGAGGTCGTCCTGAGGTCCACAGATGGAAGCAGAACGTTATCGATTAGCATCATATCACACCACCCGTACGATCTCCGCGACCTGTCCCCGGCTCCTTCCTTCCCCTCTCTGTGCTCTTCTGTCTCTTCCCCTCTCTGTGCTCTTCTGTCTCTTCTCCTCACACCCTCTCCTCTCCCACAACTCAACTTCTCTCGTTCCCCAGACCTAAACCAGCACGAAAACGGGAAAAACTCACATTCGTCCTCGTATGATAAGCAACCACCTGTCCACCGGGCGTAACAACACTCCCACTCCCCCTCCGTCCACTCGGACTGGGGATCACCCCGCTCATCCTCCTCCCTCCTACACTGGTAGCTCCTCCGATAGAGGCCTTGCGTCCGCCTTCGGTGGTGACGAGCGGGGAGCCTGCTACGTGTTCCCTTTGCATCGAAGGGGCGTGGTTATGGTGCATAGGGGTAAAGACGGGGGGAGTTTGCGAGGAGGATGAACGGGGGGAAGGGGGGTTGGTGTCTTTGGGCGAGGGGACGGACATGGTAGGTTGGTCCGAGGTGGTTGTGGTTGTTGGGCTGAGGTTTTTAGGTCGAAGTCAAGGTGCCCAAGTTCAGGCAAATTGGAAGGGATTGTCAAGAAAGAGGAGCATCAAAAGAGGTGTCAAAACTTTCAGTTGAGAGTGGTGGCTACGGGGGACTTTTGAGACGACTCACCTAGGAAATCTACGTATCCCGTCCGTTTTTCCGATTTCGCAAGCGAATCAAAGGAAAGTCGACCAGGATCGCGACGAGAGGAACAGGAGGACAAAAGGAATAAGGCAGCCATTCCCGAAAGTGTTCATATGGTGTGTGTGGAGGATAGAATGACCGCTTGATAAGTATCGTACGGCTGAGAATATGGGAAGACGGTAGCCCGCTCCACTGTATCGACCTCCGGACGATCATCCGCGTCCGAGGACGTTCGAACTTTCCCCGTCGAATGGGTGGTGCAGACGAAGGAAACCAGACTTACCTTTCACAAGAGAGGTTACCTGACTAGCTTGAGAAGTGTAAGGTAGAAATTGACGAGATGGGAACAGTCAGAAGGCTCCGAGGTTGTTATATATCCAAGAGCGACGAAGATGATGAGTATGCCCCCACCCGTTCTGGGTTGACGACGAGTCTCGGGTCAAGCAAGCACTTGGGCGAACCGGCGGCAATGGACAGGCACAACACCCACCCAAACCCACCCCGCGCCCCGGATTCATCGTCGACCTCGGGACACACACACATACCGTCGATATCGGAAAAGGGTACACAGATTAAACAGCTTGGTCTCGTGACCACTCATGACTCACCCCTCCTATTCAATGCTTGGATGAGCGAAAGGGAGTCCAGAGTAGGTCAGGTGAACATTCAGATTGATTCGACGTCTCTTCTGCCGTTGCCGCGCGTGAGAGCGGGCCGAAACCCGAAGTACTCCTAGTAGTAAGCGCAGATCTCATACGAAACAATCATCGCAAAGGGTTTCGATTCGATGGGCGTTTCCATCTCAGGTCTCACGAGCTCGATGGTATTCTCTTCACCTGCAGGATAACGCAAGCGTCCATTCGGTATAGATGAGATCGTCGTTCGTGCGCTTTTATTCTCGGTGCGCATGACTAACCAAGAGAACAGGGAAAAGCCGCCCGGCTTACAGTAACTCCGGATTGACGACGATCGCCATACCATTCGATCTTGTCTTGACCTTCAGAACCGAGATCCCCAAGATCCACTCGGAGCCGCTGATGAGAAGACCTTGGGATCCTCACGGCGAGGTTAGGATTTCATATCGGATCATACGTCGATGTGAACTAACAGATACCCCAGCTCGACCTCACAATGACAATGACAAGGACCCTTATCTTACCTCTGGCGGGTCGTCCCTCTGTATCAGTCTTTGTTAGTCTCTGTTATAAAGGTCCGTATCCTTCTATCACAGAGAAGTGTGTTGTAGTCTAGTCCTTATCCACTGCCTTGAATACTGGCTTATCCGTGGAATCGCGACTCATCACCCGACCAAGGTCTTCGCCTTCTTACATGGTGTTTCTCGTACTTTGCATCTCCAAGCGCATCGATCGCAATCGAATTGGCTTTCATATCATTACAATCAGGTATAATCGTTATCTACAACCTTTATTCGCGTTTTCTTGATTCACTTGCCGATTACTTTACGATCACCTGACATTACTGAGAATATCGACAAAAAATCCTCCCTCACATCCAATCTCTCTGATCTATCGTCCGGGCACTCTCCTCAATCCTTCTTCCCGCTTGCACAGTAAACGTTGTTGTATCGTCCCGATACTGTCTACTGTCCGGCACATTGCGGAAGAATGTGGATATGCATCGTCCTGAGTGCCAGTTCCGAGAGCTGGGTACGAGTGGTTCCTCAATCCGTACTACATGTCCTATCACGAGCTCTTGCTCCCCGAGCTGAGTGATCGGAAGAATTCGTTGTAAGCGTGTTCAATATCGAACAGCATCTGTACGTTCGCAAAACGACGTATCTCTCGATCAGCTTTTTCGCCCTGTACCATCACGGTTTGCCATCCACATCCACATCCGACTCGAGCACCCTGCGAGGGGGACTCACCTGCCGACTCTGTTCCTCGGTAATCTCCTCACTAGCCCTCAACCCGTTGAGCTCTATCAACCACCCCAAGATCTTTCCCCTCCCCTCCCATTCCCCACTACCCTTGAACCTGGAGTAACCGGCCATCAGGTCAGAGAGAAAGGGGTGGAGCTGGTCTTTGGCTCGGAGGTTTAGTTTTAGGGCGTCCATGAAGGTGATGAACGACTGGAGTTTGGGTATGGTAAGTTTGTCGAGGCCGGGAGTAGAAAGCGGGCGTAGGCAAACGGTATGAGTTTAGCATGAAGACAACAGACAGACATTAGAAGGCGAGGACGACGACCCACCTGAGTCGTCTCCGCAACCCATTTCCCGAGCTCTTCCCCTTCCCCCGCCCCGGCCTCTGCACTATGTTCCACCGTAGCCGGTACGCCCACTACCAACCGATGTAGAGCCGCCGGACAGTCCATCCTGTACCGTCGCATAAACCCTTCCAACCCGACAAGTTTTTCCCCATTAGGTTGGTGGTAAGGACGATCTAGCTGGTTCTGGAGGAGTTTGAGGAGTGATTTGTATTGCGCTAAGAGCTTTATACATGCTGGTGCGTAGCTGAAAGGCAATCCGGTTGAATTCGGTGCAGGTTTATCACTTGACAATCAGCTCAACTGGTAGCAAAGTCTCGGTTCAGACACGGCCCAACTTACTCTTTACTGCTAACGCTATCTCTCACATAAGCCCTCTCCAGGTATTCCAGACTGACGATCAACCCATAGAGGGTCGAAAAGTTCTCGATGCTCTCCCTCTCCGAGTTGGTCGTCCAGAGCCGTACTTCTTCGTCGAGGTTGATGGCCATGATCAAGGACACATACACAAATCCACTTGAGGGTATACAGGTTGAGTTGAGGTTGTTATCGGGGATCTTTGCCGAGGAGTTCAGAGGAGAGATAGTTGTCGAACGTCATCAGCCCGAGCTCAGATCTCTAGGTCTCTATCCGGATCCGCGTAAACCCTCGCAACTTCAGGTCAACCTACTCTGCAATCAACTACAATTATCGATAAGATCCCAAGTCCTTCCTACAGCCAGTCCAGCAGCCGAATATCAATAGAGTACTCTGGTAGTACGTTGGTAGTCTCAACGAGCCATATAGTCTTATCAGACACGAGATCAGACCAGTAATTCGCTCGTAACCCGGCCCTGAAAGAGCTTCAACTACAACTCCAAGTCCGATCACTATCAGATTTCATAGTCATATAGCCCAACACATTCCCGAGCAACAGAAGGACTCCTCAGAACTTAGAACACACATAGATCATATCAATCACCTATTACCGATACCATAAAAGCACTCCTAGGAGCGCATAGAGGAATGTCCCAAGATGAACCGCAGAACAACACGGGTGAGTAAGCGACTTATCTAACCCCTGTCCTGGTTTGCGTGCTGTTAAAATCGTACAAAAGTGGAGTTCTTATGACTGATACATTGAAACGCCCCGTCTCGGTTTGACTATAGTGAACCAACCCGCAGATCTAGACCCTCGGATAGATTTCTTAGCTGGAACTGTAGCAGGTAAGCTCAATTCCTGATCTGCTCTCAATACCGCCTGTCTGCTGATAATATGACTTCCTGATCCTGTCCTGCCTTTACAACAACAACTCATCGAATGGCTTCTTTTTCTTGAAATGTGTGGATCAATAGGAGCTGCCGGACTCTTAGCCGGCCAACCACTAGATACAGGTCCGTCCCATTTCCATTCCCATCCCTTACCCTTATCCTTATCTTTATCCTTGAACATCTTACCTGACCTCACGTCTTAACTTGATCCGCTTATCCATGACTTCTACATTCGGACTCTGATGATGGTGTGTTGTGGGAAATAACAGTAAAAGTACGGTTCCAATCTCCCCAGTATAAAGGTCGATATCCGTCAACATGGAGCGCTATCCGTGAGTCTAGCTGTCTTTGCCGTTGTGATAACCCACTCGAATGGAAGTGAAAGAGGGGAAGGACAATCAGGCTAATCACAATCGTTCCTGCCGGTCGTTTTGTGTGTCCTACAGGCGCTATCGTCAAGGAAGAATCGGTCAGTCCCGGCCATGTCAAGGTTATTGTCATCTTAGAAAGATCTTGAAGCTGATCGGCTTCCCATGGGTTCGGTTTTACAGCCAAGAGGATTGTTTAAAGGGGTGACATCGCCTATGGTAAGTAGAGCGACAGCACCGGAAAACAAGGGCACAATAGCTGATTTCGAAACGGTTAAATCTAGGCTGGGATCGCATTCGTCAGTCCCGTCCCCTTCTCGCTCTCATCCCTCAAAAGATCCGCAGGACTGACCTTCCTCTCTCCTTCCTGTTCGGATTGTAGATCAACGGCGTAATATTCACGTCCTACGGGTTCTTCATGCGGTTACCCCTGCCTTTACCTGGGTTAGGCCCGCCGGCATCAGCAAACGGTACATCAAATGGAGGGGAGGGTGAACCGAGTTTGCTCAGGATTGGGTTGGCGGGGGCTGGGAGCGGGTTTGTGGCATCGTGAGTTAGGTCTGTATGTACACGACTCAATTTGGGATTGCGAATGCTGACGTCAGACGAGATACGAAACACCATCTCGTCCGACAGCTTCTTATCGGCCCCTACAGAACTGATCAAGATCCGGCAACAATCCGCACCTACAAACGTCTCCCCTACAACGGTAGGCGTACTGCGCTCGATCGTACGGACAGAAGGGTTGAGGGGGTTGTATCGCGGATGGGGAGCGACGGCAGGGAGAGAGTTGGCTTATGGGCCTTATTTCATCACGGTCAGTAGCAAGTCGCTGGGTTCCAGTTTTTGATGACGATGGAGACTGATTCGCGAATTCCGGTCGACACAATCAGTATGAAGGTCTTTGCCGTTACTTTCGATCACGCAAGAAACCCGACTATGCCTCATCAAACACGCCGAATACTCCATACGCTTCCCATTTTACCGACCCACACGCGCACGGCCACCCACACTCTCGATCCTCCTCCCTTTCAGAACCACCACTAATGGCTTATACGACAGACGTAGCTACAGCCCATAAACATGCACATGGACACGGGCACGGTGGCGGGCACGACAACCTGATCCGAGAAGCCGAGGCGGAGATGAACGAGCTGAGTTGGGGCGAGTTGATGTTAGCGGGTGGGTTGGCGGGGATGGTCTCATGGACGGTGAGTCTGGCGCCCTCTTTGATACCAACCGAAAATCATGTGTCGGCTCGTCATACAATATAAAGCTGTCCCTTGGCTGACTGATACCGTTTTCTCGAATGCGATAACCGCAACCGACTCGCAGGCCACCTTCCCGTTGGATGTCCTCAAGACCCGTATCCAATCCGTACAACCTGATTCCACGGGCAAAGTCCCCGGTCGGATATCGATCATCACCGCCGCCAAGAGCGCTGTAAGAGCCGATGGGATCCGGGTGTTTTGGAGCGGATTAGCACCGACGCTCATCAGGTCAGTATTCCCCATCATTTCATCCTTGCGATCGCCTCGATGATCCGCGAGCAATCGAAAGAATGAAAGGATTGGTGGATGATCGGACGGTTTCAGCTGACTATGAGACATGGCTGCTTTGTTCTTCCATTCGACGTGAAACAGGGCCTTCCCAGCGAACTGCGTGGTGTTCCTGACGTTTGAAGCGATCGTCGCTGCGTGTCGATGAACAGAGTCGGGACACCCGAGGAACAGCAAACCAGCATAAAGGCTTTCATCATCATCCCAAATCCCGTCGATCATTATAGTGCGACACGGAGTACGACACTGCATTTATTACCCCTAGATGGAAATACATTCACTGCATAGGATTCGGGTGGCTGTAGCACATAGTCCATCATCATCATCATCAACTAGCAACCTTGGTCAATTGGTCATCTGACCCTTGACCCATCTCTCCAGTCGTACATACCCCTGGAGGCGATAACAAGCTTGACGTCTGTATATTGCAAAGTATTGATCAACAAAACAAGCGAGACAAGCGGTGCGGCCGTAGTTGAGGCGGTTCTGTACAGGCATCGATCCAACCGCGCCAGGTGTTTCTGCAGCAGATCCGTCATCTTGTATGGGGCAAGATGGCTTTGCACCATTGCCATCCTAAATCTTGATGCACTCATTGGAATTCCATCTGTCAAAGACTTGGTCTTTCTCCATTACGACGGGATGAAGGGGATATGTCTCGCCAAATCTATGGAAAATGTCACCAAAGCTATCATAAAGCACCAAATCTATAGAATTGATATCGACGATGCCGTCATTTCGATTGTTCTGACGTGTCCCGCGTGCACGTGACGTAGCAACCCTCAGAGGACCTCCCTTAAGGTTGTTTGGGATAAGTATATCGATCACTTACTTACCCTATACTATACAAGGCTATGCATAACAGAAGTACTCCCCCAAACTCCTATTAGATACTCACGACCATGTCCAAGAAATCAGCCAAATCGAAGAAAGAAGAAGCCCTAGCTTTCCTTGACGACCTCGACAAGCTAGGCGAGGAGGACTCGACCGAGACTTCTTCAGCTTCGTTGACGGCGGACCAAGGTCAAACTCAAGCTGGATCGTCTGAGGGTAAAGGGAAAGCCTCGATGGATATCCCTAGGAAGAGCGTGGATTCTTCTAGGTCTGCCGTCAATCCTGGTGCAGGGACGGGGACGGGTATGGTACCTCCTGCGAAAGGCAAAGGGAATAAGAAAGCTTTGACCGGGAATGCTAGCGCTGCTACGTCTAACCCGTCTACCACTACCTCGGCTGGTGGTCCCGGCTCATCATCGACCTCGACGGACAAGACTACCACCGGAACTACCAATGCCCACGAAGAAGACCCCGAAGCGGCCCTAGCTTACCTTCAAGCCCAGATCGACCAGAAGAACCGCCCCATCTCCCGCGTTCAGACACCTACTACCACCTCGACTCCTTCCATCGCACGTCCCGCCACCCCTCAGAACTCAGCGACGATCGGGTCGATCTTACCCGCTCCTACGACGACGAGGAAGTCCATCGAACAGACCCGTTCTCGAGCTGGAACCCCCTTGAACGAACCTACCTCGACCACCACCTCGTCTGACCCGAACACCACTACGACGAACTCTTCTTCAGGGGGAGGCTGGGGCTTCTGGTCCTCCGCCCTCCAAACAGCCAAATCCACAGCCACCTCCGCATACACCCAAGCTTCCCAAGTAGCCTCTGCCGCCCAGTCCGCCGCACTAGCTCAGGCGGAGAAGAGCGGGGTGAATTTGAACGTCAATGATTATGTCCCTGTAGGGGCGGATTTGAAAGGGTTGAAAGGGTTACAGGGGCTTAACCTTGAAGAGTTGAAGAAGGCTGGATCGGGGGGGTTGGAAGCGCTCAGGACTAGGGTTGGGGAGGGCGTCAAGGGGGTGGATTTGGAGAGGTTACGTGCGTTCTTTGCGGCTCGTATGGTCAGACCACTCCTTCAGCTGACATTCTTTGTGCCATGCTACATCACCCCACTCGATCTCGATGTGCTTATCACCCAATTCTGCTAACAACCCGTCATACGATGGACTCGACTATCACGATCGGGACATACCGCAGGCCAAGACATCCTCGCAGGGACCTCTCACGCGCTGACCGAACTGATCAACACGGTCGCCCCGCCCATCTCCGAGCACGAGGTCGTCCAAGTCTGGATGACTCACCGGATGAAGGGGTACGATGGGGTCGAGAGCGTCGTCTATCAGGGGGTTATGAAGGTGGGTCTCTTTCCTCCTCGATACGAACCATCTTTAATCCTCTCGATCAGACTTGGTTGCTATACAACCCATCGAGCTAATCGTGATTGTTATTACAACGCGCTGTGTGGGTAGATGATGGAACAAACCTCTTCCTCCGAACTCGAAGTCTTCTTCTTGCCTTCTCCCTCCACCTCCGGCCATGACCAATCGGAACGTTCCATCAACCCGCTTGAAGGTTGGGAAGCGGGTTGGGCCGCCGTAGAGAAGGACCTCGAGGGTCTCAAGATGCGTGCGGGGTCGGATGAGCGTAAAGGAGAACCGAACCGTGAGTAAGAGAGACATTGCAGGAGTTGCATAAACTTGGGAAGAGGAATCATTGGATTGACATATTGTTTGATGTGTGCTCTTCTATCGACGCTCTTTTGGTCGGTGCTAAATAATCTCGATACAACCGTGATATAATGACTCTTCATTATTTGTTCATTCGTTTCGTTTCGTCTCCCGCTTGATCTTCTATTCTCCGACGACGTAGCGGACCTGCCGGTGACGACAGTCCCTATCTACCTGCACCTCCAACCCGTCCTCGTCCCTCTCCCATTCGCCGAACCCCCTTCCTCGAAGGAAAAGGAGGGCGCGCCTTCGGTCCAGCCGAAACATCTGACGTTCATCGTCACTTTGCACGACGATGTGCACGGTCTCAAGCAGAGCACCGTCACTCAGTATTCGCCGGCGGATTGGATGGACGTCGAGTACGAGAGGAGCGATTGGGTGGAAGAGCGGTTGGTCGATGTGATCCGCGTCGGAGTGGAGATTGTGATCCAAGAGGTGAGTCGTTGTATGGATTGATCGGAAAGAGGTCGTCGTATGCTGATCTTAATTTTGACGTAATCAGTACGTTGCTGTTCGGATGGGTCTGAAGGCCAAATCAACGGCCGAGGCGTCCGAGCAAAAGCCGCCGAGCTCGACGACTGAGGACAAGGAGACGACCGAAGAAAAGGTGGCCAAAGAGGCCGGTGTGGGGACATGATATAGGCGCCGGATATCGTATTTCGTATGATGGCGCGTAAATGAAGCAGAGGCGGAATGTATTTTTATTCGTGTCGATCTTGAATGTCCCATATAAGGAAAATGTCGTAAATGTTGGCGTGAAGGTGTAGGGAATTGTCGCAACAGGAAAGTGGGATTGTTGGGATCGTTGTCGGATGATGACGCGGCTACGATAAAATGAACCTGAGCGGCTTGCCGTCCGGCGTGCACGGTTTGATGATGGTCTTGTCCTGAACCTTCATCTCGACGGGGACTCTGACCCAGCCATCCCGGCCGGCCGGATGAGGGTAGTACTTGCTCTCGGAGCCTTCGAGGTCGAGCAAGACCGATGAAGACGGAGCCAACATCGAATTTGGGCACGGGTTGTACGCCGGCGTCGTATCGTCACCCATCCTCCCGTTCGCAGCGTATCCGAGTGCCATTTGAAAGGTCACGTTCGAGTCGGACTGTCGGTGGAGCTTGGCCAAGCTGTTCATGAGCGCCAGGGAGATCATGCGAGTAGCAGGGATACATTGGAAGGCGTTGTGGCGATGTCGCGAGATGTCGATGAATTGGGGGAGGTGTGTAGGATCTGGGAAGCGGAGCGCACGGCGTTCGATTTTGGGGTAGACGCCTTGGGCATTGGGACGAGGTCCCCGGATGATCTCGGTGTTCCCATCGACCGGTTCAGAGACATGAGTTGTAGGAGAATCAGCCGATGCAGCTTCACCATCTCTCCTCCGCAAGACGCGTGTCGACTCCTGCTCATCTCGTTCCTCCGAGTTCTTCTTGATAAGTAGATCCTTCATCCCATTGACCTCGTCTCGTCCGGTCACATCGCCCTCGTCAACCTCCATTTCCATTGCAACCGACGACAAGGGTGTCGAACGGGAGCTAGAGGCCTGTGTGGGCGAATCGACGATCATCGCTGCCGATCCCTTTGGAGGGACAGCGATGTCCTGCGTGGGCACCATCGGGCCTTGAGTCGGTAAAGGATAATCTCCGTTCCTTCCTTCGAGTGAAGGGATGGTAAGAGTAGCGGTTTCAAGGACCGGTGAGACCTCCTTTGGTACTGGCTTCACAGGGATGGTCTCTGCAGACCTTCCTTCCGTTCCACCGCCGTTGACGGGCACAGCCTGTTCATGGGTCGCTGCGGTATCGACTGCCACCCTCTTGCGTTCGGCCTCGCCTCGGATCTGCGCTGCTGAACGCTCGATGATGGAGACGATTTGCGATTCAGCTGACCCGCCGAGGAGCTTGTCGACAAAAGCTTTCCTAGTTTTCGCATCCCATGATGGATCGTATACCGTGGCCCCACCCTCGTTGACCGGCTTTGCAGATTCCCTCTCCCTGTTCTTGCCTTTCCCAACGAGCGGTGCGGCACTCGCATCCGATACGCTCGATCGATCATGCTGCGTGCTATGATCTCCTTGCGGCCCGGTCCCGTTCGCATCCTGCTTGGTATTCAGGACTGAACTGGAGGACAAAGATGAGCCGCCAGCGTGTCCTTTCACAACGAGTCGAAGTCGAGGTACGTTTTTGAACTGGAGTTGCGGTTCAAGTCGAAGCCGGGGTTGAGATTGAGGTCGAGTCTGAATTTGAGTTGTAGTCTGAGATGTAGAGGGAGATTTGATGTGCGATGTGGATGGAGGTTTGATTTGGCAAGGAACGGGTTCCAGACGAGTGGCCTGCGACAGAGTGCTGGTCGCAACGTCGCTCGTGCTGACGGTCGCGAGATCGCTCCTGATATCCTGCTCGTCCTCGTCCATCTTTTGCGACGCCGTTCCGTTCGATGCTAATTCGAACTTCGTGCCCACGACCGCCTTGTCTACTTCGTCGTCGTCCCCTTCGTATCCAAACCTCCTCCTCTTGCTTCGTTCGAAATCCTCCTGATCGATCTCGACGACCCCGTCCGACTCTCCCGTCCAAGGTCCACCTGCGGTCCCTACGTTCGCGCTCGTTATCGACCTCTTTCTCGAGGGCCCCGGTTCGTCGACCTCGTCGTCAGAATCAACAATAATGATCGCTTGGTACATATCCCATCCCGATCCTTTCGTCGCGAGGTTCTTAGTAGCTGCGATGGGTGCGAGATGGGTAGAAGGATGAAGCGACTGACTTTGTTGATTTTGTGACGAAGTCGAGGTCGTCGGGGAATGCAGTTGTCGATCAGACCACGGGCGGTGTCGTCGAAGATGAGGCTGTCGTGGCGGCGCCGATGAAGGGAGTGACAGGGTCATCATCATATCCCTTATTTCCCCCTTGCGTTTCGTGTTGATCCTAGTTGTCTCGAGTGTGTGGTTGTTTCGGTTTCGAATGTTGAAATGTAGTGGAATGTACGAAACATCGACAACCGACCTCGGTCTCCGTCGAGCACCTCCCCGATATATATACCTCCTCGCGAGTGTCCCCCGTCTCCCCGCCCAGCATCGCACGACCCGCCGAACATGTTCGGTATGTGTCGGAGTCTCAGGTCTGCGGCGTTTCCAAGGTTCCCAAAGCGGTAATTCCGGCACGAGCCGAGCGGTATCGTCGATCTCCATGGTACCACGGGTCCACGGTCACGCCGTGCCGTTGTTTACAAAGTGGTCAAAGGACCCCTTTTGTTACCTGTTCATGCCCGTCCAGCACGGAGCAGAGCGCAGGACATGCAGAGATGGCCTGGGATGAGCCGGCAAGGGTGTGAAGAGCCTGTGCCATGTGCGATGTCTGAGAAATACCCAAGCGACATCAAGCGACCAAGGTTTCTTGCCGCTTGGATAGCGGTCCAATTAGTTGCCGAGATACCTGATCAACCAATCATGATGTCCGCTTTCATGTATGAGTCTTCTCAATTGGTACACCACCAGACCGGTGGATTCTCAAACCATCAGTCCACAAGCTGTCCTGTGTTTGAGAGTGCTAAAGACAAGCAAGACTTCACGACATCATTCCTGATGCACCCGCAGCTCGGTCCCTAACTCCCTTTCTATCTGCCTCCCCACGTTCATCAGGGCGGAGCACCAGCATTCAGCCAGCTACTACAACTCTACTAGAGCTACCATGTCATCACATGTGCCCCAGTTGCTTCGATTCGGGACGGTCGTCACTACAGACGATCCGTCGTGTTTCACCCGCCAACGGAATCGCTAACCTTAACGGTCCTTAGCGGATCACGTGAGTCGACCGTTAACGCCATGACGTCCGCGAAGCTCCGACCAGATCTGTTCCTAACTTGTCTAAGTGCTTCACTTGGTTGAACCCGATCTATACGACCACACTAACCGTGCAGTATTATACATTCCTCAACGAGACGTCGCCGTCAGAACGATTCACCGCTCACTTGCACGCAAATCACCGCTCACTTCCAAGCAAAGCGCGCTGAATTGGATTCGGGCGAACTCGTCCCGGAATTCCAGATCGTACGATTGAGAACCACCATCTCGGACCTTTACCGCTCGTGTCGCTTTTCAGGATGAGAGGATCCCTAGACTAGGAGATCTTGTTGCTTGATTGACTGAGAATCCGGATGGCATCGGGGTCGTAAACGCCGAGAAGCACAAGATCGACATGGGAACGAACAGAGACATTGTCGCCGATGGGTGCGCGATAGACAATGCCGTCTCTTCTGCATAGGGACAGGCTCTGTGTTTAAGGGTCATGCTCTTGGAGGTAAGATCCTTTGGCTCGATAAATCGAGACAAAATGCGGGGTGAGAAGTCTGGCTCTGGCTGGCGATGGTATCGCAGTCCAGAATCACCGCTAAGCGCGCTCGCGAGCTACAGAATTACGCTTCCTCCCTCCAGCGCGTGAACGAACTTACTTGTCGTGCATGCCGCGCATGTCGCAGTTGGATGTAGCCCATAATCATCATCTGCTGCATATGTTTGTCCTGTCTATCCTTCTCCTCGCGGGACGGTCAAAAGTGCGGACGGCAACCCTCATCAAAGCCTGGTCTGCCGTTTCGGAAGCAGGTCGATATAGCGATTCCAAGCGATTGGGCATCGTTGTACCACCGTTTCACGATCATCTTTCCCAGCTAAACATTGCGCAGAAATGGCATGTTCGGGTCGTTCGAAGCGCTTCTTTATATGGACTGGCACATCCTTGACTGACCTTGGTACAAACCAGACCTGATCAGATGAGGCGCAAAACATATAGCAATGTATAGGAGGGGTAGACTACTACATCACAGTGACTACACTCTGACAGAACGGGACTATTCTTTGGAAGGGTCTCAATTATATCCAGCTAGTCAGGTCTGTGTGGTGACGTGACCCAGCTGCTGGAACAGTTGATGTCGCAAATCGGGGTCGATGCCCGTCTTCCATGCTTTCGGCGGTATTGCGTATACATGAACCCTCGCGGATTTGAGACTCGGGCCGGATTTGGGTGACGGACTTCGACAAGCATTACCACTAGCGGTGTGGTGAGCTTTGAGCGCTTTCTGGAGAGACGGGCACTGCGTGTGACCATGTATTACTCCTATCTCGTAGCGACACCAGATAACGAACCTAGAAAGCCACCCGTCATATTGATAATCGGTTAGCCTTGGGGCACCAGACATAAACGCAGGTTCCATGATGGCCCATGGATCTTTCAGTCCCCAGAGTCGTATCAGCAAGTTCAGTAGGGCGATGTCTTCCTTTTCCATGCTGGAGCGCGATCGACTGTTCCTCCCAGTACACTCAAAGAGCGACCCGCCACAGGCATCGTCCTCGGACGCCTCGTCAGACGAAAGTTCGTTGTCTAGAGCGACTGCCGGAGGGAACATACCCTGAGGACCGAGATTAGCCGATTCGACCTGTGTACCGTCTACAACGAGGGAAGGGTTGAATGGTCCCATCCATGACTGCGAGATCTGATCATCCGGCAAGTAAGCGTTATATGGCCTTCCAATCTGTGCAGAGTTCGCACTCCCGGCTTCGCTATGTCCTGAATTCACAAACCCCGACATGAAAAAAGTGTTCGGATCCAGCTCGCTGAGATACTGGTCCAATTCCGTCATCCGACTTCCATCTCGCAAGGGATGCTGTGTATGGGCTTCGAGGGGTAGAAAGCCCATAGCCGGAGGTGTAGTATCAGCAAAGTAGCTTCCGCTGCCTTGCTCGGGATCCAACGGGCGTTCGACGACAGGGAGTTGTTGAGGTTCAAAGTGGTACCACTGCTTGTCGAAGGCGGGTTGTGAAGGTATCGATGGGTTGAAGGAAGAATATAAGCCCGCGGTCGGTAAGCTGTCTAAGGAGGGATCCTGGAAACCTGGCATCGGCCATGAACCATTGGCCATCAAATCATTTGTCTCATCGTAAAGAGCGAACACGGCGGGTTGCCGGTCTATTTGATGGTTGCTGTCCGGCACGACCATGTCTGTTGCGGATGTGTGGAATGTATGACCTGGACAGTGTTGTTCAAGTGACTTCCCATAAGTTCGGGACAAACTGCGATTCGAGTCGTCTTCGTCATCTTGGTTTCGGTAATCCATATTTGTAGGTAAGCAACAGTTGTGATATGAAAACGCTAGTATCGCAGTGCAAGTGAATGATACCAGAAGTTTCAGCTATATATCCAGGTAACAACTCGGTCTATCACCGACCAAGCTTCTCGATCACCTCCTTTGTGACTCGTGACGCCTTGTTTGAATGGTTTGTGATGGTCTCGTGATACACAGCCGAAAGGCACTGAACGTATGAAGAGCGATTCTTCTAGGAATACACTACAGTTCGGATCATCAACACCATAGATGAATGGAACGAAACTACGAATCGTCAGCCTCTGTGAAGTCTGTCTGTAGCCCGCTGTCTCAGTCGCACTCATAAGATTTTACAACATAGCCATGCTTATAGCAACCAATAATAGTGCTGTTACCCATATCGGGAATTGCAGATTACGGATGACACAGCCCATGTATACGAGAATTTGCGAACAGTTACTGTATATTCGATACAGCGTATGATGAGGAAAGGAGACAAGGTACATGATGTGGATGTTACGGGTAGAGGAAACGACACGACGAGAGAAAGAAGGAGGAAAAAGGTGGGCTGAAAAAGCCACGAGAATGATGTCGGCACTTTACTTCATTCGATATGTAAATTAGGAACTCGAGAGCCGATTGTCCATCATTTAAACATGATCGCAGCCGGGTTTCATAGGCCAAATCGCCGTTGACAAGCCCCTATGTGGTAGCTCGATGTGTGGCTTTCAAGCGACGAAATGGGTGACTAGTTTCCTAGAACCGTAGTATGTGTTGTGAGGCAGTGTGGGTGACGCTTTGTTGACCCTGAGTTGATAGTAGTAGTATGCCACGGAACCTTTTCAGATCGCGTTTCACCGCACCAGCTCGTTAGCGCGTTGTTTTCTCTTTTCATGATGAGAAGGCCAGGCATGAATGAAATATGCGCAGATACAATCTCAAACGGTAGAAATCGACGGCGAGCATGCCTGGGTGGAAATCAAATCGCGTCTTCGTACAATTTATGGCTCGGGATGGCCTAGACAGCGAAACAGTTCTGCGCGCAATTTAGGCTGGTCCTGCATGTTCCAGTCTTGAAGAGGTATAGCGCGAAGCTTAGCCGTTGCTTCTTCGATGTTGTTGATCCATTGAGTATGCGGCTTCCGATAGGACCGAGCGCTTGATCCCAGGAGCGCTAAAACTTGTCTGAAGTACGGACACTGTCCATCGCAATGCGTCAAACTTATCCAGTGACGGATCCAGGAGATGAAAGCGGCAATACTGGAAAGGTGTCGTTTATCTGCTAAGTTGGAGATCAGAGCATTTTGATTCGTAAAACCTTGAATCAATATGTCCCATTCGTCTTGTAGTTGCCAGTATTTGAGAAAGACCTCCATCAATTCGATATGCTCCTTGCCTAAAGACTCGGTCATGCGATATTCCCAAGCATCCGAGCTGCATTCGAAAAGCCGTCCTCCACAACTCTGTTTTTCGGGTATGTCAGCGTCCAAAAGGGCGCCGCCTAGTTTTGCGATTGACCGCTGGATGGCATCCCCAACTTTCGACTTAGCAGCCTTCGGAGGTCTGGTAACTGCGATGTATTATCGGTGAGTATACTGATGCAACGTATAAGTAGATTGTAACGGTGTCAAGATGAACGCACTTTTCTGTTCCGAAGGATGATTATTTAGCAATCGTGGTATGGGGACTTTTTCGTTTGGATGCGATGGCGAGGTGAGTTGTCCGGATAAAGTAGGCGAAAAAAGCGAGGCTGGAGAGGAGAACTGTGCAGGCCATGTTCCTGTCTCCTGATAGTGGCACGAGATATCCGCGATACCGTACGGCATCGACGGAGTAATACCGGTCATTGTGTATTGTGCTTGGCCATCAGGAAGTACAAACTCCATCCCGGGGACCATGTTATATTGCTGATAGTAACCACCTTCCAGCATACAAGGTCCCGTAGAAATCAGTCTGCGACAGCTCCAGACAGTCGATCTCACATCGATACGACTCACCCCCCATTGGCGCTTGAGCAAAGGTCTGACCTCCATGAAGTAATGGGTGTATGCGCGAAGCCGTTCCTATCAGGGGGGCCCCAGCCTGAGATGCGGAGGCCATGTGAGCACCCGGAACCGTCACAAGCGGCTGATTGTCGAAACCCAGACCGCTGCTCGGCACTTGCTGGCCAGTCTGTTCTGTACTATGCCGCCATTCCATGCATTGCATTTCACCAGCATATATCAGGCCAACAAAGGAGGGTTACCGATAATCTAAGCGAAACTCACTCGATGGTATGGCTGCTCCCTTCCTGTGTGTTAGCCCATGATACTGTATGGGCAGGCCGGTCATGTTGCAGCTGCTGGGAGACCAACGGTTGGTTGACCTGGGATGGGTAATGACCCACGGGCGCCCCATACGGGACTTCAGGGTTGGTGATGATACTGCCTTGCCACTGGTTCCAGCTGGAAGAAACGTTCTGGTTGATGGTTCACATCTCGTCTAGCTGTCAAACAATGTTTCTGACATAACTGTCTAGTCTGAAGACTTACTAAAGTGCCACCGTGATACAAACTTCCAGGCTGGGTGAGGGGCTGGTTGTATGCGGGATAGCCAGGTTCTGTTATCGCGTCGATTGAATCTGGTGGCACAAAGCCGATACTGGGCTGAGGTATTCCATCTATTGGCAGTGAATGATTGTAGCTTCCCGCCGGTGGATATGACCAATCTTTGGTCTTTCCCATCGTCGTGTGATCAGTTGTAGCTCCATTGTCGTAATCGAGTACTCCTTGATCTTTGGATGGAGTGCTGCAGCGTGGGTTGTACTGATCAGGCATGGGGGTGCGGAGAGTATCGAAGGATTGCGTGATTCTAAAAATAGACAGGCGCGCAACATCTCTTTCTGTTGGAATTCTTTATTCTTGAGATGTCTGGCACTATATATGCTCGAGATAGCTGTGGCGAATGTGCCATGCCTCGAACACGCAGAAGACGCCTCCCACATAACTTTCCTTTGTTTCGGAGTGACGCCATCACGCGCCACCATCGATTCTCGCGCCACATACCCGATGATCTGATGAGTAGCAAGCGGATGTTTCATGTCATGTGCCGCTGTAGGGCGGTACATTCAAGCAGAACAAAGGCCAGGCGGAAAGGGAAACTTGCCGTTGTGCGGCATGATCATGCTTGTGTCACTTAGGCAGTATCTACATAATCGAGCTTACCCAGGTCTTTCATTCGATTCGTACCTTTTATGGCATGAAGGCTTCATAGGATGATCGACATGAGAGCACTGGCATGGTAGCTATTGAAGTCCAGAAACTCTTTGGAAGTGGAAGTCCATTGCTAAGTCTGAGCATTTAAGTGGTACACACACAGTTGTGTTATAGACATATTAGCAACGAAATAAGCATTCTAAGATATGCAAGCGTTGACTGACTGCGTAAATGAGATCATTAGCACAGCTCAGCAAGAAGTTGATCGGATCATGGTTCTCGTCCGGTCATCAAGACAGGTACTTTTCCCTTTGTAGCGCTTGGGTAGCGTAAAGCTATCCCTCCACTGATCCTTTGGTATTCTGTAAAGCTGATCTCTGGCTTCATCGATGGATTTTACCCTTCTGTTCTTAGGTTCGTACTTTCAAAGTACTGTCTCAGTGCGGCAGAGAAGGGGCAACTCCCTCGTCTGTGCGTCATGCATATCTCGTACCGACACCAACGGATGAACGCAGCAACTTTAGGGTTGTGTTCCGCTGTTACCACATCAGACCACGGGCATGTCGAAATCCATTGTCTCGCGCGCGCCTATTGTTCCCCAACAATAGATCACGCGGAACAATAGCGGATCCACTCTTCACGCCTTTGTTCCCCTGTGTTTCATCTCGCTCGCTCGCTCGCTCGCTTTGTCATCTCTCGCCGAGCTCGCTCGCTTTGTCGCTTCTCGCTTCTCGCTTTCCGCTTTCCGCTTGTCGCTTTGTCGCTCGCTCGCTCGCTCGCTTCGCCGCCAACTCCTATTGTTCTGAACAATATATATACTGGCCCTTTTCAATCCCCTTTCGATAGATCACCTTGTAATTACATCTTCATGCAAACTATACAGCGGTGATCAACTCGATATCCAACAGATTAAGAGTCGGCTGCTCTACCAACGGAGCTCAACGGGCCATCACCTTAGTTTACATCAACCAACCCTCTTCAACATCGACTTAGTTTCATCATGGCCGACAGTCTCGACCTCGACACTCTCAAGGTTACCAAGCGGACCTACCTTGAGGGTCCCGACAATTACGCGGAATGGTCCCGCTCGATTCAAAACACTTTGATCGATAAGGATCTGGACGACATTGTTGATGGAACTATTCCTCGACCTAATACCCTACCTATCTCTACCTTGGCTGCCACCGCCGGCACGGACAATGCTCCAACTACTACCACTACTACGGTCACTACTCCAGCTACAGCCGAGGAACTTGCGAAATGGATCAAGAAAGACAAGAAGGCCTTCGGAATCATCGATGGAAGTCTCAGTCAGCTTGTCCATCACAACCTCCCGTCTCACCTCTCAACCTGGCTCGCTCTGGTCCAAAGGGACTCTGCTCACACCGATGAGTACAGAGCGACGCTTCCTTCTGCTTCTGAAAGATTACTTAAACATCTTCAGGAAACCTACTCGGCCGCAAGGGGATCTAGGCGGGCTGAACTTCTTGCAATTATCTGGCGATCCCAACTCGCGGAAGGAGAAGATCCGACTATCCATACCGGAAAACTCAAGTCGGCTTACTCCGCTATCACCGTATCTGGCCGATCCCGGATGGACGACAAGGACTTCGCGTTCGCCATCCTCATGTCCCTTCCTCCTTCCTACGAAACCCTCGTTCAGACCTATTATCTCAAGGAGGACTTTCACTCGCAGGACGTCATTGACGCCGTCCGAGCCGAGTACAGAAGAAGGATTGTTCAGGAAGAAGGAATTGAGACTACGGCTCTCATCGCTGCCCGTCAACAAGCACGGAACAACAACAACAACACCGGCGGCACCGGAAACAAGAAGAAGTTCATTCCTCGATCTCCCTTTGACGAGAATGCCTTCTGCGAGTTTCATCAGAAGAATGGACACTCAACAGCAGACTGTTTCACCAAGCCCGCCAACTTCAGTACCGGCAGCAACGCCAACAGGTACACAAACAACAGTGCCAACATCGCCGCACTCGTAAGCAACAGGAGTCAACATCATGGCATCAACGCCGGCTCTGCTTTCATGGCAAGCATCACCATCGATCACAATGCCCTTCTGGCCCACTCGTCTGCACTCGACATTGTCGTAGACTCTGGAGCTACTCATCACATGGTCCACGACAGGAACCTACTTACTGGAATCAAACAACTACCGATCCAGGCAAACATCACCATAGGCAACGGCGCCAACATCACCGCCAGAGAATGCGGTCAACTCAAACTACCAAACATCACACTACATGATGTTCTTCACGTACCCGAACTGGGACGGAACCTTCTGAGTGTTGGTGCCGCACAGAGCACTGATGGACACTCTTGGACCTTTGCAAAAGACAAAGCAATCCTCAACACTATTGAAGATGGACCCAGCAAGCCGGTCATCACTGCAACACGACAAGATGGTTTGTTTGTCCTCGATCCGGCAAGCACTCCTATTCGACACAAAGCCGCACTCATCACGGCCACTAATGCCGTCACAGAGGACAACATCCTTTACCACTGGCACCGGAGACTTGGTCACCTCAATGTTCGCTCGGTGGTTCAACTCGGCAAAGAAGGAAGACTCGACAAGACTGTGGATTGGGCTAAAGCCGGAAAAGATATTTACGGCTTCCAATGCTCAGCCTGCATCCAAGGCAAAGGATCTCGTCTTCCCGCTCCTGCTTCCAACATCCGAGCCAGCAAACCGCTCCAGTCTATCCACGTCGATCTCTGGGGACCAGCTCGAACCCCTTCCATCGGAGGATCCCTCTACTTCCTTACCTGTTACGACGATCACACTCGGAAGGTCAATCTCAGCTTTCTCAAGAAGAAGTCTGAGACCCGGCAGGCATTGATCGACTATATCAACCTAGTTGAGAATCAACTGGACTGCACGGTCAAGACCATCCGATCGGATCAAGGAGGAGAATTTGAGTCACATGCTCTCCGTGACTACCTCAAAGCGAAGGGCATCGAGCATCACTTTGTTCCAACTGCCGCTCATGCTCAGAACGGTAGAGTCGAAAGGGCGCACCTTACCATTCTCAATCAGGTAAGGACGCTCCTGATCGATAGCGGACTTGATGACAAGTTCTGGGCCGAAGCGGCAAACTACGCCATCTACACCAGGAACCGGGCTCCCACAGGATCCGACAAACATATCCCAGAGGATCTCTGGAGGCAACGTGAAGTCAACTCCCGGCACCTTCAACCCTTTGGCTGTCAGCTCTGGTTCCGTGATCACAACAACACCAACAAACTTCACCCTCGCTACAAAGAAGGGCAACTACTCTCTTACGTCGAGGGGACCGACAACTACAGGATCTGGGACCTACACACCGAAAAGGTCACCATCTCTCGTGATGTGGTCTTTGGTAAACAGCCAAAGATTTCCACCAGGACGGAAACACCAGGAACCAAGATCCAATCCACTCAGGTCGACATCGACATAGTCCCTGAACCAACATCAGACTCAGACTCTGAAACCGAAGAGGAACAATCGGCTGAAGACAATACCGATACTCTCAACTCACCCGATCAGCCTGATGATGACACGACCATCCCGAGTGATCAGGCTACACAGGCTACGCAGGCCAAACAGAAGTCATCCGGCATCTGGAGCAAAGGATGGGACATAGCACCGGTACCAGCACCGGAGAACCCAATCTTGCCTGATGGCTCCCGACGAGTCCGCAAACCACCTGCCAAATTTGGATACTCAGCAAACTTTGCTACTGCCGTCATCTGTGGCCATGCACTCATCTCCACGGCCATCCCTCAAACTTTTCAGGAAGCCCACCGATCTCCAGAATGGGACAAATGGCAGGAGGCTATCAAGGTCGAACTCGACAAGATGGATCAGTACAAGGTCTGGTCCGTCATCAATAGGCAAGAAGCTACATCCAAACCTCTTCGAGCCAAGTGGGTCTTCACCCGGAAGATCGATGGAGAGACCGGGAAGCCATCTGCCTACAAGGCTCGATGGGTAGCAAAAGGATTTCTGCAGAAGGAAGGAGTTGACTACAACGAACTATACGCGGGAGTCGCTCACAAGGATACCATCCGAGTCTTCCTCGCTCTGGTCAACTACCTCGACATGGACTGCGACCAGGTCGACATCAAGGCCGCTTTCCTCAATGGAGAACTAGAGGAACTCGTCCATCTCGAACCTCCTGAAGGCAGCAACATCCCTGCCAACAAGGTTCTCCGACTTCAGAAATCACTCTACGGTCTCAAACAATCACCTCGCTGCTTCAACCAGGCTCTTGACAAGTTCCTTCGATCTCTCGGTCTCAACCCTTCTCCGGCCGACTCCTGTCTCTACATCCGATCAACCAAGGATACCCTTCTCATCCTCTCTGTCCATGTTGATGATCAACTCATCGCCTGCAACAATCGCCAGGAACTGGACGACTTCAAGACCAAACTCAACGACCGATTTGAGTGCTCCGACGGAGGAGCGGTCTCTTACTTCCTCGGGTTCAATGTCTTCCGAGACAGGCCCAACCGGAAACTCTACATCTCTCAAGAACACTACGTACAGGCGGTCTTGGAAAGGTTCGGCATGCTTGACTCCAAACCGGCAAAAACTCCCCTTCCTTCCGGCTTCCGATCTCTTCCCGCTACCGACGCTGAACATCAGGAAGCCGCTCATGAGGAATATCCAGCAATGGTCGGATCAATCATGTATGCGGCCACCATCACCAGACCCGACATCGCTCATGCTGCCGGAGTCTTAGCTCGGACCGTCAGCAAGTGGAACAAGCAACACGTCCATGCTGCTCGCCACCTCCTCCGATACCTCCAAGGCACTATTGAACTCTGCCTCACTTACGACGCTACCTCTGGTCAAAGGATCATCCTGGGCTACGCCGATGCTGACTGGGGCGGATGTCTGGATACTCGCCGATCTACTACCGGATACCTCTTCCGTGCTTTTGGAGGACCGGTAGCGTGGAAATCCCGACGACAACCAACCACAGCTCTCTCTACTGCGGAAGCTGAATACATGGCTTCCGCCGATGCCACCCGACAGGCCGTCTGGCTCCGCACTCTTCTCGAATCTCTCGGTCACCCGGTCTCTGGTCCCCTCGCCATTCTCAACGACAACAATGCCGCCATTCAACTCTCCAAGAATCCTGTTGCTCATGATCGCACCAAGCACATCGACATGAGACACCACTATCTTAGGGAGAAGGTACTCGACAACACCGTTGAACTCTCCCACATCCCTACTCAGGATAACCTTGCCGACGCTCTCACCAAAGGTCTCGCCCATCACCAATATCATCACCTCATCACCGGGATGGGTCTTAGCGGCAAACCAAACACTCCATCAAAGGACGCTTGAGTGAGGGGGAGTGTCGAAATCCATTGTCTCGCGCGCGCCTATTGTTCCCCAACAATAGATCACGCGGAACAATAGCGGATCCACTCTTCACGCCTTTGTTCCCCTGTGTTTCATCTCGCTCGCTCGCTCGCTCGCTTTGTCATCTCTCGCCGAGCTCGCTCGCTTTGTCGCTTCTCGCTTCTCGCTTTCCGCTTTCCGCTTGTCGCTTTGTCGCTCGCTCGCTCGCTCGCTTCGCCGCCAACTCCTATTGTTCTGAACAATATATATACTGGCCCTTTTCAATCCCCTTTCGATAGATCACCTTGTAATTACATCTTCATGCAAACTATACAGCGGTGATCAACTCGATATCCAACAGGGCAGGGCACTCCCATTTTGCTGCGAGAAGTGTATTGGTCTGCAATGATGTCCCATTCGTTGCCGTTGCTGAGTCCGGAATGACTCAAGATCGAGTACAAGATCATCATAACACCAGGACTGGTGGACTTGTGGCTACTGTGGTTGCATTCAGTGAGTCTACCCCCGCGATCCTGCTTAATCCGGCCAAGCTATCTTTGTCTCAGAATCCTTGAAAACAACAGAGGCGGGCGAAATTGGCTGATTAGATTGCTATCGCATCTGGCATCTGGTCAAATGGCGACTTTGTGTCGACCTGTTGATTGTGCCACTCCTGTACAATGGATGTGGAAAGGTGTTTACGACCATACTAAGCAAGATCAATACCGATGGCGTCGTCAAACGGCAAATGCGCACATTGACAGGCCACTTTGGCTCTCAAGACGCCCCTCTGATTTGTAATACGTTTCTGCCGTATATCCGGGTGGAATTGATGTCAGTATAGATAGCCTGCATTACATGTTTGACCACGCGGAATCCAGTAGGGGTTGCGCTTGATTGAGTGATGGATATGTTCCTGGATTCTATAATAGTCTGTATCGCCACATCGTCATCTCGTGTTAATGAGTTCGGAAGGGGTAAGCCATCATGAATGACGACTCGTATATTTCCTATGTTTACTTCAAATTGTTACATTTCTTGATTCAATACCGATACATTATGCTATCTAAAATACTAATGTATCATTCGGAATGAAACCTATAACGCTTCTTGTGAGCAGCTATCTTGCCGTGGAGCTCCTTATCCCGCCAATCCTCTGGCCGCATCCTGTAGATGTTGACTGTTGCCAAATGAAGCCCAGAGTCAGGACTTGATCCCCTTGGTTTACTGCCAACCACCGCAGCCTTAGTGGGACCGCAGGCGCTCCGGGTCCTTGCCGAGAAATAGGAGCAACTCTTGACTCTGTGAATCTGTCCTATCCAGTAACGACACCAACCAATGAATAGGGCAATCTTGCGAGCCCCATCCGAGGACGCAGTCAATATGCCATATCGGTTGAAACCGTGTCTGCCAGTAAATGATGGCTCTATCAATTGCCAACTGTCCACGTCGCCCCACCAATCCAGAAAGATCTTGACCAATTCCTTGTGTTCTTGTGTCAGGATATTGTGCCCTGGAATGAGTGCCTCATTGTCCCAGTCACACTGGAAGACGTCGCCTCCACACGGTTCCATATTCGACACTGGGTCATTTCCTTCGTTGGTTCGTGCTCTCTGAAGGAGCGTCAGATTTGACTGGTCTTGGGTAGAGAAATCAAGCACGCTTTCGGGCACAGATGTTTCCTGCGAAACGTGCTTGGACGGCAACTCGAAATCATCTTTCCAGGCAACTTTCGGAATACCGTAAACCATCTCTCTAGCTATGTCGATAGTCAAAGTCCGATCTCGCGGTGTCCGCCCCCCTACGCCCCCCGCTGCATGCTCTCGGAAAAGACGACATCGTCCATCAGAATGTATCCAGTATAGCTTTTGTTGGCACCGGACCACAAATTTCGCGATGTGCCGACGATAAGGCTCCGAGGGAGATTTGAGCCAGATTTGGCCATTATCGAAGACGGCATTGTGGGAAAAGTTCTTGCTCATGACGTACCACTCGTTGTGTTTGTTCACCCCCGCCTGTCTCATCAGCGCTTGCAAAAGCCATGCATTTGGTCCAGTGAACTTGCGATTTTGAACACTGCACGTGAACAGGTTACCCTCGCACGGCTGTGTTCTTGGCAGGCATCTGGAACCGTCTAAATGGCATAACATACTATGATCAGCTTGGACATCGACTGCTGACCGCCGCATGCGTCACAAACTTACTCTTCGTCGATGTTGACGGCACGCGTGACTGGCCCCATGGGAACTGTACGAAGCCTGATAATGCTGATTGGTCCTTCGCTGCCGACGATGATGAGGTGAAAGCCTCGGAATGGGCATTTCCATCGAACTGAGGGTCTCCCATGATATTTGACGCTTTCGAATAAGGACAGTAGTTCATCAAGGTGTCTAGCGTGTTGATCGAGCGGTTGTCGACTATCACTGTGTGCGAAGGGATAGGTAAACTCGTACCATTGATCTCTGGATAGAAGATTGCAGAATTTGCTGATGATGACGGAAAGAAAGATTCATGCGAGGCTTCATACTGCCCAGCTCCCAGTAGCTGTCTTGCTGTTGTAAGACCCATACGACTGCCGAGACTGGGGAAGAGCATATGGCGTCGGTATCGGTCCGACTTCCGATTCGGGATGGACCCCAGGGTGGTTGTATCGACGTTGAGGTGGCTGAGCAGGAATCTCTTCGGTCGACCAGCCCTGATTCAGGGTTTCGGTATGGACGTCTTGTTGTGCGTGATCGGTTGACCAATCGCCATTGCTAATCGCGGATGTTTGACCGAAGTTCAGATCGCTTTGCATTGCCAAAGACGCTGGCCATTCACTTCCAAGGTGACCTATCGATTCGTCATTATAGTTCATGGTCGCCGCATGCATTTCGGACCGCCCGGCAGATGCATAATCGGGAAAGGCTTGGTAGAAGCTGTCTTGTCTGTTCATAGGGTCGTGTATACGTTGAAGGGACATGGAGAATGTAGAAAAACATAGATACAAAGATTTGGTACCATACTGATGTATACATTCCTGGTATATAAAAAACGCTACTGACTGAATCTACCTTCTCGGTCGTTTGTACCTCCTTTGTTCGGACGTGACGCCACTGTTTCATATCACGCGCTCACGACATGCTCGATTAACTACGTGAACAGTACAGCAAGGAACGCCGAATCACATCGGTGCCAGTATTGAGTGAATATGCATAGCTTATCATGTATGGTATACAGTTGCACAAGTACAAAAGGTAGCTTCGCAGATGGTACAAAAGCTCTGATTCGGTTGACTGACGCAACTGAATCAGAAGCCATCTGGCGGCATCTTGTAGTCTTGCGCTCGCGGCCCGATAGGTGGCGGACCCTTGAGCCATAGTTCCTCCTCTAGAATGACGAGCTTTTCATAAGTCGTATCAATGCAAGTCTCATTCCTAGGAGTTCTGATCGAAGTTCTAATATCGTGCGCTTGGCATATCTCTGCCAGGTACGGGCATCCTCCGTTGTGATGGACGTAAGAGATATGCTTCAAGCACCAAACGATAAAGTAGCTCAATAGCTTTTGGTTCTCGCTCGAATCCAGAATAGAGCTCAAGGCAGCAATAGAGCTACGTTGAGAGGAGCGATACTCCTTGTTGAATAGATGCCACTGTCTGTTTGGTTTCAGAGACATATCCAGTGTTCCCAGCAGCCAGTACAAAAGCTTGGCATGTTCCTCTTTCAAGGGAGCTATTTCCCGGTCCTTTGTGAAGTTGCAAGATAAGAGTTTCCCACCACATTGCTGCGAGACACCTGATTAGAACCGCCAGATCGATTCGTCATGCACAACGGCACTTACCTGTTCTGACACACTGGCCGTTTTGACGACCTTGGAAGTATCAGTTGCTTCTGAGGTCGTATTGGCTTGAATCACAGAGATATCAGTACTTTTAGTGTATCACTGATCGGCCTATCCATCCATCGAGAGACTCTAGCCACTCACTACTCATGTGTCCGTATGAGCGCTTTCCAGGATTTTTGGACAAGTCCCCCCAACGTTCATCGGACATCCGTTCGGAAAAGTGATCGGAAGACGTGCTGATAGTGTAGGCTGTATGAGCCTGATCACTCAGTAACTTCGATGTTTCAATCGAGAGGCGAGGACCGGCTCGATGTCCCCAAGTCAGGCTAGAAAGATTTAGGCTACGAATAGCTTCATAACATCGACCTAAATCGCGCTTGGCCTTGGTATTGTCCGTATAATTATGTATACGCAGTTGGGCTCTAATGTAAGGGCAGGAGTCTGTGTGGATCTCTTCCAGGATGAATTGACAACAGCGAAAAATGAAATTTGTCACGTTCACGGCGTCTGTTCGGCGATGCAGCAGGTTCTTGATCTTGAGAGCACTGTGATCGTGATATCGAGGGCTGAATATGGCCCACTTCTCTGCGGTATGAGGATTCAAGTCCAGTTGGCGCATGATCCACAAGAGTTGCTCCTGATATTCCGATTTCAGCGCGTCTGAGGGCTTTCCGCGCTTGCACGCGAACAAATCTCCTCCGCAACTCTGACAATTTCTTTTCAGCTCGACGGCATTGTGCTCGTACATCTTCGACGCTACGGATGTTATGTCTGTAGCTGGCGTGGTCTCCAAAGGTAGATAGGCTGAGGATGAATCTGAAGCTGCAGGGACCGCCGAATCGAAGCTCTGATCGATATACGGGGCAGCTTCGAACCCGGTCCCGATAGACCTCAATGGCGCTTGAGCCGCGGTATGTCGTGAAACACCAGTGTAGGAGGATGTCGTGATCTCCACAGTGCTGGTATCGGCATCAGGATTCCCCACACAGGCGGCCATGGAATCATTCTCCCCTGTAGCGGTAGCGGGAATCAGCGACGCAATTTCGTACGACTTGGGATTAAACGATTTATTAGCTGCAAAATCTTGACTACCTTGCGCGGCGGAAGATATAAAATCGTTGGGAATATGGCTAGCTGAGGTAGTATGGTCGGGTATACTAGGTTCTTGCTGAGTTCCCTCATCCTCGACCAGAGTTGTGAAATCGGCCCAGATATCTCTATCTTCTGAAGCGCTAGATTGCTGCGTTCTTTCAAGGCCCGCATCGCGCAAGTCTCTAGTTGGTAAATGCACGGTGATTCGCGAGGACTGCATGTTGATTTGGAGATGAATCGGCGTGAACGAACAGAAAGTTTGTGTCGGTGTTGTAAGGGATTTGCGAGATATATTAGGCTTCGCCCATCAAACCTAGGCGATGAACGACTGTGACACAGTACAATATATATTGGAGCCATATAAGGGACATGACCGTTCAGTACTCGTTAACGGTCCTCCTTTGTGTAAATGGGTTTTGATCGGAGTCAGGGTCATTCAGGGTCCTGCGTGAGTTCCACTTGGCAGCCCTGCCCACATATGCATAGCATGTCAGAATACGAGACCACGACCCGAGTACGTTTCTTGACCGGTACTTTGCGATGGACCAAGTTCAGATCACGTAAACAACGTATCTTCCCGCACGAATTTTTGCGATAGCTCAGAGCAAATTTCTCTTGACAGATCAAAGCTCTGTCTCTAGATCTGCGTCCAGAGATAAGTCTTTTCGATTGGAGAAGGTTATCTGTCGGAAATTCGACTTCGACCGTCCCCTTATACTCGGGTCTTCACATCTCATGCATGCATGACGAGCCATAACGATAACAATAGTCATAATAATAAAACTGTATCCACATGATGACCCTCGTTCCCTTCACAAATATTGTGCACCAATTGAAATCCTAATGAGTCGACTAGTTTCGAATCCTGCACAAGCAGAAGCATGTCGCAAGCTGAGCATTTTGACGATGTCTGATTTTTCGCTCCCGCTGAAGTCACGACGGGACCATCCGCTCGGATCGCTCGATAGCGTCGTTGAGCTAGATTTTCCCAATCGACTGTTCTATCGAGATGTGACCTAATTTGGCCTCTAGTTCCAGCCAAAGAACCAGCTCCACCAGTTCTGGGCCGCCTGCCGTTGTTGTTGTCCGTTTGGCTTCGAATGCTTGTGAGCGGGTTTCTTTCTGGGACCGGGCACGGTAGTTTGAGGGGTGGCGGCGATCTGCGTCGCGCTCCATGTATCCGACGCAGTGATACCGTCTGAAGAAGGCTCAACTTCTCCCATAGAAGTCTCGGTAGGCGCAGGCTGGTCGGTAGGACTCGCGGTAGGTTGCTCGGCAAGGGTCGTCTCGACAGTGAGTTCCGCGGCAGGGGTTTCTGTGGTGGCGGACTGGAGAGGAATGTCCATATTGGACTGCTCGACGGAAGTGGAATCTGCAACGGGCTGCTCGGCGGTGGACTGATCTACTGGAGTGTTGTCTGCAGCGGTCTGTCCAACCGAAGTCGTCTCCGTGGTAGCTTGAGCGTCGACGGTCTCGGTAGGGGTTTGTTCGATCTCAGTCGCCCCGACCTGGTCCTGAGTGGTGATAACGGTCGCGGTAGGCTCATCGAACGAGGCAGTCGAGCTGTATTCGCTAGTGGTGGCGGTGGCAGTAGCCGTGAGCTCGTCGACAGCGGTCTCATAGGACGCTTCCTGCGTAACGCTATCACTCGCGCTGGGCAGAAGGACGGAAGCGTCCTGCGAGACCTCAGCAGATGAGCTGGCGACTTGCACCGCAGCAACTTCGCTGCCAGCTGGGCGGGCCAGGATGAAGGAATCGATGACGCAAGTCACCAGATTGTCTCCGATGATGGACCGTACTCCGGATACGGTGGTCACAGTTGCGTCCTGGTAATTCCACGGGTTTTCGTTGCACCATCCATCGTAAGTACCCGTGGCAGTCTGATCATGCGTTCGAGAGATAGTCGATGTGTACATCAGCTTGGTGTCAGATCGTCTAAGATCTCGTAGGTGGTAGACGACTCACGATCCTGAGGTCTCTGAACTCGAGCGGACCAAAGTCCCAAGGCACGTCATATCTCTCGATTGCGAGGATCGCCTGATTGAACCGTTTATCCCCTTTGAATGGAACGACAAGATTAAGCACGAGTTGCGCAATAGATCACATCTTCGAATGCTCACCAAGAGGAAACTCTCCGTTGACTAGCTCTCCGGTCTTGCCATTCCCAACAGTCGTCAACCAATTGGCGCCATCTTCAGGCAGAGTCCAGTTGAAAGACAGGACAGTTCCGGCATCTACGCCGAAACCGCCTCCCCATGCCAGCGACGGGTTGGAGCAGCACCACCCCATTCCGAACCACCAACCGCCTGAGCGGCCGTCTAGGACAGGCTGGAAGACCCCGCTGTCGTCATCAGGTTGAAGTCCTGGCCACAGGAAGTAGGTTCCGGCGCGAGGGAGCGTGGGTGCCACCATCGAACCGGTAAAGCTAACGATCTTCTGATCGCCCCCAACCCCGTAGTTGACGAAGTTCCACGATTGGGAGATGGCGCCGGTGGCCGTGATAGACAATGCTAGTAAGACGGGGACGAGTCGCATGTTCGAAGGCCGGTTCTTTTGAGGTCACTATGACTATGAGATGACGGAGCGATGAGATGACTGAAGTAGTATGAAGCTCCTCTCAGAATATCGTTTGGTCGACTTGGAAGTCCGTCTCCTTTATACGTGTTGCGAGACGAGCCCGATCTCATCCGTCGCACCTGTTCGCCATCGGGAAAAGCATTTGGTTTTCTCTTGTACGGCCATCAGGTTCTTCATAAGCCCTGAATAGGCCTGTTGTACCTGTGACAACACCGGGCACCATGGTACTTGCACGTCTCTGTATAGTTCAAGCTGGTGACCGGATCCGTTAATGAGGATGCTTGTCGGTAGCTGAATCGAAACCTTAAGTAGGATTATTACTCCCGCTACGTGCGCTCGGTCACTAATTTATTAGTTTTCGAAGACGCTCGGCGCTTCTCGTGCGCCACAGATCGCCACATCTCGATAGAAGGGCCGATTCAGCTGGATCAGAAGGTTGCAATTTTGTTCTGCAAGGTACGGACCTGATCAGGGACCGTCATGTCAGCCACACGACTGAAAGAGGTGCTGATTCGAAGGTACCATCAATCGCAGCAACACAGAAACGATCGTATTATTGGAAACGCGTGGCGCGGGGAGAGCGATCTGGCATATCTGTACAATACTGGGGCCGCGCGCGTGTATGGATGACCTCTCTCCTGTGCCTTCATCCTACTACTGGTGGGACTTTCCTCGGTCGTAGGTTATGAAGCCACTGCCTTCAACGATACCTTCCGGAGTGCCCCTTCTCTTTCAGACATCGCCCGAAGTATATCTCAGCCTTCAACAGCCTTACAACAGTATTCTTCGGAGGGGGAAAGGCTCTAAGGGGCAGTAACAGTTTTGAATTGGTTCGCCTGTTTATGACAGTTCCCAGGGTCCACATCTATCGCATCAGGACAAATTGACAAGTTATGTCTCGGCCCCAATATGGCGCAGGACCCAGACTCAGAAATGACGAGCCTACCACGCGCTGTCGACGCGTACGCGTAGCTAGCTAGATATCTTTCCTCTTTGGGACTTCTCCTTGTATCTATGCTAGCTTTTGCCTCCATCATCATCATCTATCCCTTTCATGGCGACGCAAGCTGCGAACGGTAGGGGAGAACAGTAGAACGAGATAGCTCGAAAAACAAGACGAATCGGACCGGTTTCGATCGAGATAATCACCACCGTAGTTTTTCACCTAGGTGGGTGCCAGACCCTAGTACCCAGAACCAGCTCCAGTACCGATCCCAGACCCGACCCGACAGTATATGGTCCTTACCAGAGCCCAGGAAGCGGCCATAGAAAGAACCCTACGAGCCCTCTCCGAACTCCCATACTTTGAACCCAGTCCTTCGCCATCAGCACCGCCATCAATAGCCAAAGGACCCATCAAAAGTACGACAATGCTTGACCTCCCGAAATTCGACGGCAGCGAAGCCAAAGCAAAGTCGTTCCTGAACGACTTTGACATCGCTATGCTTGATAGAGGGGTAGAAGATGCCGACGATGCCAAGAAAGGACGGTACTTCGTTAGGTGTATGATCCCAGACTCGAGAGCGGAGCGTTGGATCGATCGTTTGAACGAGGCGACCAAGAGATCGTATACGGCCCTAGAGGCTAGCTTCAAGGAGACGTTCGTTGGGCAGGGAGGAATCAACGAGGTCGTGAGGATGGGTGCGTTACAAGACATGATGAAGACAAAGTTCAGGGACTCGGATGTCGGGAAAACCGATAGCAACGGGGTCCCTTTACACATCAAGTATTGCGAGGAGATGGCCAGGTTGGGTAACAAAGTCCCTACAAGCACCCACGACTCGACGAAGGTAGCCGCGGTATTCAATGGAGTAGGCGGAGGGCTAGGCAAGGTTCTTCGAGAAAGCCCTCACGACACCTTCGAAGAGGTCCTTTCGTCGATCAAAAACATCACCGAGTGGCAGATCAGGGACGTCCAGCACTGGGCCCTCATCGAATCGATGGCCTCGACCAACAGGAGAGCGCTACCCATCTCCCCGGCTCTGTCGACCGAGGAGCTACCTCCGATCTCGAGGGTCCCGTCGTACGGAGAGGCGAATCGAAAGAAGGACGTGTATGCGAGATCGGGAGATCAATTGGGTGCGGACGATCGCTACAGAGCCATCACGCCGGCCCACCAGGCCCGGATTGACGAATGGGAAGCCAGATACGGAGCGGGAGCGGAAGTTACAGCCGATAGTAACTTCCCGCTGACGCCGGGTACGGAGCCGGCTGGTAGCAAAGAATGTTACAAGTGCGGTACGAAGCTACCATCTGTCCACATAGCTCGCGAGTGCCCGAACAAATGGGTCAATACTCGAGAACAAAACTTCCGCTTCAAAGTCTCGGAAGTGAAGAGAACGCAGAGTAATCAGTACGGACGACAAGGCAACCAAAGATCCGGATACGGCCAGGGCTACGCCAACAATCAGGGGTACAACGCTTACAACAACGCTCCGTACAACAACTCAGGACCATACAACAACTACTATGCGTCGGGAGCGAATAGAGCGCCAATCGGGCAACAAACGGCAGTAGTTGGAGCGATGGACTGGGAGGAAGACGACGAAGAGGAGGAAGGGTTGAACTGGATGGCATTCCAGGGAAACGCCCGAGGACGCGGCCTCTGAGGGAGGGTCGAGTCCGGAAGCAAGCAGACCCTCGAAAGGAAGGCGGAAGATCGGGGGGAGAGGAAGGGGAAGGTATAGGATTATGCACGATGGGGGAAGTAGATCCGTCAGAGGAAAGCGACGAGACGGAGGAGGACGATGAAGAGGAGGACGAGGCCAACCGCGATAGAGCCGTAAGATTTTCCCTGCCAGCAGCGGGACGTACTATCTACTCGGTAAGGCAAGAAAGACCCGCCCAACCGATCGAAGGGGCGGGGCAAATAGAAGGAAGAGAAGGAGTCATAGACATCTACCCCGAAGGCACTGAAGTCAGCCCACCGTTCAGCGTACCGCATACGATCGAAAGCAATGGATACCGACTATCAGCAGGCCGACGAGGATATATGGACAGCATGGCTTTGGTCTCAGCGATGGATCTCAGCTTCTTCGGGAAACATCAAGCGGGATTAGGCACGTTGAGAGAATCAAACCGGATCCTCAGGATGGCTGACGGTTCAAAAAGAAAGTCGGCGGGTAGGGTCAAAGCTAACTTCATCCTCAACTACGAAGGAGGGCAGATAAAAGCGCCTTTCACGATGGAGGTAGTCGAGGCGAACGAGTCTTGGGATATTCTATTCGGTTTACCTCTACTGGTTCAGACGAAAGCGACAATCGACTTCGGAAATCGACTCCTCAAAATTACGGGTGGAGGTATCCAACGATCCTTCCCAGCGTACGAACCTGTCACGGAGGCGGCGGACGAAGCGGCCCTGTGTGCAGTAGGGTTCGAAGATCGAGGCGAAGACGAAGAAGGCCAACTACCGGAGAACATCGACACCGGATGCGAGGACCGAGCCGAGCAGATATTGGCTCAAATCAAAATCGGTTCCGATCTGGATGAAAATCAGAGGAGGAGGGTAGAAGACTTCGTGCGCACCCATCACCAAGCGTGGGCGCTTAGCCTGAAGGAGCTAGAGCCGGCGGATGTCGAACCCGCAAGGATACAAATCGACAGCTCTATTTCACTACCCAGAGAGCCGACACAAAGGATGTCTAGGAACGAAGCGGCAGCTGCATCAGCCTATGTCGATATACTTCTCGACGCAAAGCTGATCCGTCCCATAGACCCTTGGGATGTGAGATGCGTGTCGAACATCATCATGGTGCCGAAGAAGGTAGACCAACCGAGTGAGGAGTCCGTCACCTCTAGATTAGACGAAGCCCTCCTAGACCAAGTCAAAGAGGGACAAATCGGGACACCCCCGTGTACTGGGCTAGCATTACCAGTACCTGCCAGGATCCGGGACCTGATCCCGGGTCCACCCCTTGTGAGTTTCGCCGCTATGGATGTGAGCGAAAGTCCAGACGCTGCTGAGATAAACGGTTCAGGTCCATGCGAGCCGGAGAACAAAAAACAAGATCTCACGAAGCTGTACCGTATGGTGTTCAATTTCAAGCCGTTGAACCGAGCCGCGAAATGCGCCCCATACATGCCAGGCAACATGCAAGAATTGATCGCGAAGACAAGCGGAAAACGCTACATTTCCGTCGCAAATCAATTGGGAGCGTTCTACAGCTTCCCTTTGCATGAAGACTCGCAGCCCTGGACCTCGTTTTTCGTGCCGAGTCGCGGCCACTTTTGCCACACAAGAATGGCTCAAGGACTCGCTGGGAGTCCCGCGACCATGCAAACGGGAGCGGCGAAGGCCTACGCAGGGATCTTAGGGTCGACAGCCGAGATATGGATGGACGATCTTTTCACGAGTGCCAACGACTTCGACACCCATCTGCAACAGCTCAAAGACTTAGCCTCTCGCGCAATAGCCAATAAGCTGAGGTGGAGTCCGTCGAAAACTCAGTTATTCATGTCGGAAGCGAAAATCGGCGGGCAAATCGTGGATCACCGAGGCGTTAGGGCGGATCCGGAAAAGGTATCGGCGATAATGAACTTGCCGGCCCCAGTCACAGCCTTGCAAGCGTTGTCGTTCGTCAATCGAGCTGCGCATTTTCGAAGAAGCATTCCTGGGTTCTCTGCGATCGCGGCGCCAATCACAGATCTTACACGCAAGGTCTATTCCGGTACACGATCGGTGAAAGGAGCGTTGAAACGAGCTCTAGAGACAACGGACGTCAGGCCGCAGTGGGGAGAACGGGAGCAAGAGGCGTTCGAGAACCTGAAACGAGCGCTGAGCGACATGGTAATGACGGTAGCACCAAGGTATGACGGCAGACCTTTTCACATCGAGGTAGACGCTTGCGCCGAGGGTTTCGGAGCCCATCTATACCAAAAGGAGAAAGAATCGGACTCAGCCGGGGAAACCATCGAATTCGCATCGAGGAGAACATCCGAAAGAGAACAGAATTCGCACTCTTTCATCCTCGAGCTGAAGTGCGTAAAATGGGCTCTGGAACGCTTTCGACCACTTGTCCACGGGCAGAAGGTGGTGCTCCACACCGACTGCCAGGCCGTCAAGGACCTGCTAAATAACGAAAAACCGACGTTTCAGCGAGCCTCTTGGAAAGACTCAATCCTCAATTCGGGAGCGGACATCCAGTTTGTCCACAAGGCAGGCAAAGATAACGTCATCGCGGATTACCTCAGTCGCAACGCCATAGGATCGAGACCAAAAGACGACATCGAAGCCCGAAACGAATTCAAAGGGGTACCCAACGACATATGCGCAATCCAAATCGCGTGGATGGATGGAGAGTCGGAGGACGACGAAAAGCTTCGCAATCGCTTCAAAGGCGACGACCTATACCCCATCGTCTGTTTCCTTACCAAACTGATCAACAGCGACTCGGATATGGTTACAAAGAAAGCGGCTCTATTCTGGGTACGAAGTGGCAAGCTCATGACGAGAAACAAAGGCATGGGAAACGAGATGGAGGTATTGCCATCGAAAGAAGGCTTACTCATGGCCAACAAGGGACATGAGGAATGCGGACACTTCGGCAAAGAAATCACGATGCGCCACATTCAGCGTACTCATAGCTGGATGTCCATCAGGAAGGACATAGCGCAAGCGATCGAGGAATGCGAAATATGTCGAAAGTTTGGCCCCAGACTCCGCAATTCGCTACTTCGAGAAACGCTGCGCTACACACCTTTCGAACTGGTCGCAATGGATTACTTGTTCATGCCGAGGACCTCGATCGAAGGCTACAAAATCGCTTTGATCGCGGTGGATTCCTGTTCGAAGTTCATCTTCGCGTGGTGCTTCAACAAGGACCCCTCGTCCGAGACCTGCATCGTAGCGCTATCGGATATGGCGCAGAAATGGATGATGCCGAAGGAAATAGTCGTGGACAACCAGTTCATGACTCGAAAGATCAAAGCCTTTCTTGAAGGGAAAGCGAGCCTCACTCCAGCGGCGCCGTTTGCCCACGTACCTCTGGCCGAGAACGCGAATCATCTCGTGCTCGACAGATTGAGGCGAATCTGCAGGATCGGACCGGACCTGGGAGCGGAGCTCCTGACCGACGAAGAGGCGTTCGAGATATGGCCAAACCGCTTACAATTAGCGGTAGCGGCCCTGAATGATCGCAAATTGGATTCCTTAGGCGGGTACTCTCCGCGAGAGCTACTGTTCGGGCAAATGGATGAAAGGAGCATACCGGCTTTGGCGGGACCATTTGCGCAGAACGCCGACAACATGAGGCGAGAAGCCATGGCCGCGAGGGATACGGAAGCGATGAAACGACAAAAGCCGGATGCCAAACAGATCAGGCCTTTCTACATCGGTCAACTGGTCCAGGTCTATGATCCTCGAAAAGACGATACCCACGAGTCGATTCGTAAGCTGAAGACGAAATGGTCAGGCCCGTATCGCATCATCAATATCTCGAGGTCCAGCGCTTGGCTTTCGAGTCCGGACGGAGATCCAGCGGGAAGGGCCGGTTTCGACAGATTGAGACCGTGGAGAGGCGTAGTCAACATGCGAAGGGAAGAGGAAGACGGGTAGGGTACAAGAACGAGGGGAAGGGTTCAGGAGCGAAGGGAGGAGAAGTAGAATAATGAAAAGCATCACGACACCGAACCCGAGAAACAACATCAGGATGACCGGGCATCCAAGAAGCAAGCATACGACATTCATCCCGAGAAGAAAAGAATCGAGGCGACCGGGCGCCCAATCAACAACGACAAAGATACAATCCATTCAACCCGAGTAAAAACAGGGACGACCGGGCGTCCTAGCAACATCAACGCATCGAGACCGAAAACACATGTCAAAGAAAAGAGAAAAACAACAAAAAGAGCGGATATGAGCATCAACAAATCGTCTTCGGACCCATAGCGAGTTCGAGGCCCGCTACAGCACGGAAAAGAGGGGAGAGATGGTCGAGAGAGATGGGTGGGCATGTCGACGCGTACGCGTAGCTAGCTAGATATCTTTCCTCTTTGGGACTTCTCCTTGTATCTATGCTAGCTTTTGCCTCCATCATCATCATCTATCCCTTTCAGCGCGATTACGCGGTTGACGCGATACTCTCATGTGTATGGATGCTTCGGCTTGATCAGCCTGGCGGTATATGTTATCACTGTGATAATTAGGGAGCGCACGACTTTCTATTGTCCGCCGTCGAGATGACCCTTTTCGGATCGAAATCAGTCGATACAACACGATAAAAGATACGATGGCTTTACATTGCTTAGCAGAAAGTATGGCATCAAGTGATTGTTCTCGGAAGCGCGAAGGGGCGGCGTCGTTCATGTAGATAGATCGCTTGATTGCGATGGAGGGAACCATTCCGGTCTGCCTTGTTTCCAAGCACGATCTGGTAACTGGCGGATGTCTTGATAAAACCTACGCAAATCGATGCTTTGGCTGTTTCCTCTTTTGTAGCGTAGCCTGGCGACCATCTTTTCGAAGAATCTACACCCCCTCTCCTGATGCTCTTTCATGATAAGCAGCCTGATGGTGTTGATGTACTGGAAGACGAGATGTGCGTCCCGGTCGTGAAAGAATTCCTCTAGCTTTCCACCCTTGTAAACGATGTTTGGACTGAAAACCGCCCAGGGGTTCTTTTCAAGCCCACACAATCTCAGCAGGGAACGAAACAGGTCCATGAGATCCCCGTCGAGCGTTGCGCTGAGGGCACCCGACTGCACAGCATGCTCTGAGTGAACAGGATACTGACACTGCAAGAGATCGCCTCCGCACTTTTTCTGCTCCCGCTCCAACTCGACGTATGAGAGTTGGCTCGGGAAAGACGACTCGGGGGCTTCACGAACGGTAGTAAATGAAGCATGTATCAGCATCGGGCCGTAAAGCGTTTCTACCCAGGCTGGATGACGCACAGTCAAAGTCCTCGTCCGTGAAAGGCCGACTTGGACCGGATCCATCGTATCCCGTAATCGGCACGCTTATGGAATCCTCTGGCGAGTCTGCGCTGGGACTGTCACAGTCAAGTTTCCTCCTATGTTTACTTGTCGGAGGTAGTTCTCCCTTCAATAGGTACTTCCACTGTGGATCATCGATTTCGAGAATGGCTTGATAGCATTGACTGATGTTTCGGCGAGTGAGGGGATCGCTTGAAAAGCCGTTGGCTATCATGTTCTCCACCTCGCGACAGGAGCAGCGATGTTGTTTGTAACACGCATAGCAGCATAGCGCAATGAAAGACGCCACAGCCTGTTGATTGCTCAACCCGGCAACAATCATCTTGACGCCAGTTTTTTTGGTGAGATGATACTCTTTCCGGAAGATACCCCACTTGGATTTCTCATTATCGAATCCCAACTGTCGCATCAGCCAGACCAAAAGTTCCTGATGATCGTTGTCCAGTGCCCCGTTACTGTTACAGTCATCACACCACAGTATACCGCTTCCCCAGCTAGGGGGACTGTCAGCCGGAACCACCGTCTCAACGTGACACGTGGACACTTGTGTCGGATACGAGAAAGCTGACGGTATGACGATGTCGCTATGCTCGGGTCCTCCAACCGTCCACAATGTTGAGCCAGGAGCGTTCCAATTTGACGTTGAATCATCAGGCCTTCCTGTTGACGTGAAGGGTGAGGGGATGGCAAGTGAAGGCACCAAGTCAGGCAGGTCTGCTTCGCGGATGTTTCTTGATGAAGCAGCACCTTCAACCCTGACGATACCCGATTCCGATGCATTGTCAGCGCTTTCTTCGGGGAATTGCACGAAGGCCGCGAAGACATCCTCCTCGCCCGGAATTGCGGGCGCTTGAATAGAGGTCAAGGACTCCGGATGCACCATTTTTTTGGGAAGGCAATTCTGATGTTTAGCCGAGATTCAGCGTTGTGTCGGATGCGGCAAGTACTGAATGATCCCAAGTCCGACGAAAAACAGTTTATCTAGAAGCAAGAAAGCATCGGCAATGTGCTCTGATATATGTATTGCCTCAGTATTCCTGACTCCATGTATCTCGGAATCTAGATGCCTTGCCGTGGAGTGGTTCTCCTTTGATCGGAATCACATCATAGCTTGACGTGCTCAATCACGCACTTATGCCGCCATACCTTTCACCACTGTATATACGCTGAAAAGGAGTCAGAGGGACCGATCGCTTGCAGGTTTGACGTTGTAGTCTGCAAGAACCCATGAAGTCTATAACAAAGCAAATTTCTCGTATGCATCATGAGGATGTCATTACTAGATGTTTTTTTTTTTCTAAAGGGGATTGTGATGTGACAAGTATATATGTTGATATGAGCAATAAGAGTTGTTGTTGGAGAGGGGTGGCCACACGTCTTGTTGTTGTATAGATGAAACATGGGGGGAACAAAGAGGTGAAAAATGAATGTTCTATGTTTGGTGAGCTGTCTCAAGAACAATCGGATTTGACACTAACATCCTGTAAGGCCCGGGAGCGACCCCCGATGGGGACCCCCCTGGACAAGCTGACGGGACGCAGGAATGAGGCAAGGTACGGGTAGACATCTGAATGTAATAACGGATGTAGAGCTATTACAGAGGTACTAGTTCTACATAAAAACAACAACACCGAAAAGTACCCCCGGCGGGAGTTGCATACGGGAGTCGCGTACGGCGCGTCCGACGCGTCACGTAACCGCTATAACACATCCCCATCGTATACTGGATGCAGGTCCCCAATAAGACCACCGCAAGACGTACTACAACTTACATTTACATAGAATTAGAGATCATGAAGAGATTGTGGTTACAGGATTGGACTGAAATGGCAACTCTATGTATGAACTATCATCTTCAATTGCCTGAAACAGTGATGGGCGACCAATTGTCCAAGCGGATTCAGGAAGAGCTTTGACCGCCTTGAAACTGTCGACAAAGTCCACTGGTTTTTGGGTGAAGTTCCCATTGATGCCTTGCTGACTCAACTGCTCCATCAGATGTCTACAAAACCCCTGATCATGTGTTTGGCATATGACTCGACGACACTGGGTCATGTATTTCCGTAGTATCTGCTTGTTTGTATTACCGCCACACACCACCTTTCCAAAATTAGCTGAACCACCCCGAGGCATGTTGCGGTATTCCGGGGCAAAGACATTCCAGTCAGCCTCTTTTCCACCACTTTGCGCAGCATAGATGAATTGGAATAGTTCCAGATATATACCAGTCAAGAGCTGCACAGGGTATCGCCGTTCACATGTGCATGAGAGTAGCTTTCCTTCACATGATTTTCCTGCAAACCGTTGGTTATTGTCGGTGGCCTCAATAGCCTGAATGTAAGTGAGAGGAGGAGACTCAGGATGTGGCGTCTCCAACACAGCCATATCCTCCTGGCTAGAATCTTGATTCCCAGTGGATTGGCAGGCAGAGTTTCCTGTTTCCTCACGGTAGCTCAAGTCGATTGAGCTGTCAAATGGAAAGATGGTGTAGGGAAAACTGAACGCTATGTTCGATGTTGACAGTTCTGAGGCGCTTAAGGGGGCATTTCCAATGTGTATGCTGGGTTGCACACCACTAGGATAAACTTCCAGCTGGCCTATATCCCACTCAGCTAGTGTGTCGAGTACCTCGATGAGCAAGTCACTCAAGTCTTTCTCCCAACTCTGGGTGGGATAGTGGAGTTGTTGTCGGAAGACCGTATTCATTTTCTTCTTATCGTTAGCAACTTCACATAATCCTTGCCTGTGAATCAACATGTTGTAGCTTCTGAAGCAATTTATGTATTTCCAACAGGAATCAAGTTGGTCTTCCCGGACATTTGGCCATTTGCTGCGAAATAGCTTCACGTCGCCCGACCTCAGTCCGTAGATACTCCAGTCAAGAGGTTTGCCAGTCAACAGGTTACAGAGCCTGTTGCACGCAGCGATCTCGACTTGCGTGAAGCACCGGGTGTCTTCGAATCGATGCGGACATGCCCCAAATATCCCTGAGCATGTGGCTCGCTTTCTCTTGGTCGAGACGCGCCTATCAGTTTGACTGACAGCATCATTTGGTGGGGCCATAGGTCTGGGATTTGTGGAACACGGAGTTGTCTCTACAGGTTGAGACAGCCATGAGGCACTGTCGGGCATCCTCCAAAAATGTGTTGACAGTAGAACAGAGTCATCCGCTTGTACAGAGGAACCATTTCCAGTGGCTATTATTACAGGCCGATCCAAACTGTAAGGGGCATTGACATCAAGATCGCCAGTATATGTAACGGTATCATATCCAGGTACCGTTGTATGGATGCTGGCAATAGGCTGCATGTGATACGGATCAAGCTGTCCCGATAGGTCATCAACGGGGGTCGCGAAGTTCCCATGAGGAAAAAGGAAATCGTCATCGAGGTAGCCGCTGGCGCTTGGAGGAAGGTGGTGCGTAGTTGATGGCTGAGTAGTGTCGAAAACGGTGAAACCATTGACAGGAAATCCAGTATTTCCATACAACCTGGACTGGTCGTGTGCAAACTCGTAGGTGGTGTCAAATACTTCTTGCATAGGACAATGAGACGAGGCTGAACTATTGCCACACTCTCTCATCCCGCCGGCAAGGTCCGCAATGTGTTGTGAGCTGATGCCGGATACCGTCTGGTGGCTGTTATCCGACATCTCCCTTAGAAGATCCGCGATATATGGAGGTGTGCCTAGAGCCTCTTCGAGGTGGAATTGGCCGTGCTCTGAGTGGGATTGTGTTGAAGTCATCGCTTTTGTTTGCGGTCAGATAAGGGCGAAGTGAACACGCGTGGATTTGGCTTGATCTGACGTTCCGATTAGACGTATGGTCTCGCTTGATTTCGGTGTATATATCCGTACACCCAAATGGGGCATTGCTATGCATGCAGAATCTGGCCTTTAAGGCTAGACCATAAAGGAAGACACAGGTTCCCCGATGTAGATCAGTTGATCCGCTTGCTCGGGCAGGACGAGACAGGAACCTTCTGCGTACTGCGTAATGCCGAAACAACGTGAAACAGCCGTTTGCGGTGGCGCAAACTAGCGCGCGCGTGTCACGTGACGTATCAGTGGGGTTTCATAATCCAGGCCGGTATTGTATGTTTGTGGAGGCAGAGATTTTGAGAGTTTGAGTCTATCAGGTTTCGTGCCGAACATAGCAAGATGAAGATTTAGATCTCGAACTGTGCTCCAGACGATTTGAATGATATGTGCAAATGTGGCTTTGGAGCTCGAATTCCGAGCTCGATGCCGTAACGATCCATTCAGAGTGCGCAGCCTACCCTCCACATCCATCGACGTCAACCACACGAAGCAAACTCTGCTTGGTACATCATCGGAGCATATTCCATCATGGGCCGGTTCAATCGCCGTCGCCAGCGTTTTCGCTCGATCGTTAGCTTTGTTTGATACCGCGGGTCCGAGAGGTTGAATTTGTCACCCAGCAGCTCGTCATTGATTTAGGCGCTACTGTAACAAAACGCAATCGGCCGGAAATTGGAATCGCGACTATATAGGTTGCCAGTGATCCTTCGCTTCGACGTTTCTTGATTTGTACGCCATATTCTCTATCCAATCACCTCTGTCACAACTTCGACACTTGAACATGCTTTTATCCGACTTTAACGACGATTGGTATGTCGTGCGCGAAAGGCCAACACCGGACAACGGTGGGAAGCCCGCGGGACCGTTTCGCCTGCCTCGCGACGAGATGATCGGCGAGACGAGGAGCCCGAAGGTGCCCGCCGCTCACAATAACGGATACTATCCAGGAGGGACCTATCGGTACACCAAGACCTTCGACGCTCTCAGCTCTTGGAAGGGACGACAGGTCATCGTTCAATTCGAGAGCATCTATCACCGTAGCAAGGTCTTTTTGAACGGTGCGCTCATCGGAGGCAGGCCATCGGGCTACATTACCGTTCACGTCGACCTTGCTCCTTATCTTAAATACGACCAGGAGAATATCATGGAGGTAGTCGCCGACAACTTCGCTCAGCCCAATTCTCGCTGGTACACCGGTAGCGGAATTTATCGACCCGTTCACCTGCTCATCGGCGGGTCCATTTCGATCAAACCGTTCGGTCTTCAAATACACACCAAATCCCTGAACGGGTCGAACGCTCTGATCGGTATGACAATCAAGACTAAATCGTTGTCCGCCGAACCGGTCGATGCGATCGTGGAGGTCGAGTTCCACCTCGTCCAAGGGGATGTCGCCGGCCCTTTGGCCAGCTCGACTACGTTTCGAGCCAGACTTGGCAGTGAAGCGAAGATCGATCAGAACTTTGAGATCGACAACGTCGCTCCCTGGTCTTGCAATTCGCCCTCGCTCTACCAAGTCACAGTCCGGCTCAAGACCCTTCAGGGAGAGCTTCTGGATACGGCCGTCGACAGGATCGGTATCCGCACTGTCGAGTTGACGCCGGAACGCGGGCTCTGCATCAATGGCGAAAGGGTTTTGCTCAGAGGCGCCTGCGTACATCACGACAACGGGATACTTGGAGCTGTGACATTACCCGAGGCAGAGGATCGTCGGGTACAAATCCTCCAGGAGGCAGGTTTCAATGCTATCCGAAGCGCTCACAACTCTGTCAGCATCGCTACGCTCAACGCGTGCGACAAATACGGGATGCTGATGATGGACGAGCACACTGATGTCTGGTTCGTGAGCAAGGGTGCTTACGATTACCACCTCGAGTTTGAAGAATGGTGGGAGCGAGACCTGGAAGCCATGGTAGACAAGGATTATAATCACCCGTCCGTCATCATGTACTCGATCGGTAACGAGATCATGGACTCGGCTACCCCTTGGGGAATCAAGCATGCCAAGATCATGGCGGATGCGTGCAAAGCTCTCGACCCTTATCGGTACACTACGATGGGCATCAATGGGATCCTGAACATGATGTTCCCCGCCGATAAGAAGAAGCCGATCAACGATATCTCAATCTTGGACAATGTCAGCGACAAGATTCCAGGAGCGATGATGATCAAGTTTCTCAACTTGGTTGTGGGCGCGCTGACGGGGCTGATGGCGCATCTTTCAACATTCAATGCCGTCGACCGCAAGACCAAAGACGTCTTCGAGACGCTCGACGTCGCGGGCTACAACTACCTGGTCGAGCGATATGAGATGGATATGAAAAGGTATCCCAAGCGGATGATCGTCGGAAGCGAGACCGGCGCTATGGCGGGTGTGACGACCTGGCCCTTGGTCGAGAAAAGTCCCCAACTCCTCGGTGATTTTGTATGGACGGGCTGGGATTACTTGGGAGAAGCCAGTATCGCTGGGGCGCGGTACGATCGGTTGCCATCCATGGGCCATCCTTTCCCGGCTCATACGGCCGGAGAACCCTTCGTCGACATCACCGGCTATATACAGCCTCAGTGTGAGCACAGCAAGACGGCATGGCACTTACGCAAGGGAAGGCCTTATTTGGCAGTTCGACCGCTCCCGCTCCCGGACCGTCCTCTTGCTGCTAATATCTGGCGACCGACCGATGCCGTTCGTAGCTGGAGTTGGGACCATTGCGAGGGGAAGCGCAGCGAGGTCGTCGTCTACTCGGACTCCCACAAGGTCAGCTTGGTTCTGAACGGTAAAGTCATCGGGACGCAGCCGGCAGGACAGGCGCATCAACACATATGTCGATTCAAGACTCGATATGCTCCCGGAGTTCTTGAAGCCATCGCCTATGACGACCAGGGCAGGGAGACGGGAAGGGATCGGATGCAGAGTGCGGACACCTCTAGCCTTGCTGTTCGACTAAGCCCGGAAAAGCTCGAGCTGAAGGCCGACGGGGATGACCTACTCTACATCCGGGTAGCCTTGGTCGATACCGCCGGCGAGGTTCGGCCCATGCAGAAAGCGAACATCAGCGTGAGCGTATCGGGACCCGCCACTTTGTTGGGATTCGGTAACGCAGACCCTTTTAACCCTCGTGGCTACCACGAGGGAACACGATACTTATCAGGGTAGAGCGCTGATCATACTGCGATCGACGAAAGAGGCCGGCACAGTCACCGTGACTGCCAAGGCTCGCAACCTGTCCGACGCTGTTGTAACGTTCACTGCTCGCAGATGACCTGATTGTACCTTATATGTAGATCATGGACGTTGACTATATTCTTAGGCGTGAGGATATCGCTCTTATGCATTTATATGATTCCATCGTAAGAAGGAAATGATATGATGATCGTATCTTGCAGTTTCGATGCGATTCCAACACGGAAATGCCTTCTAAACATAGGTAAGGCGATCGGCATGACCATCGGTCCTGTGGTTCGTACTCCAACTCGTAAGGCTAGGTTCGACAGAGCATGAATCGATCGAGGTACAAGAGCCTTCATAAGAACAGTCTATCGATCTGGGTCTGAAGGTATTCGGTCTCTGATCCAGTGCGGAGCAGGACGCAGATGTGCAGACTATCTTATCTCAATTGGACTACTGTAGCTGTTTTCGAGTCCGGCGAGATTTCTTCGGAAACGGTGTTACCGCACAAGGATATCTGCAGTAAGCGGTAGGACGTCTTTATACGGGTCTTGGCTGCGCGCCCCATGGTTCGGTGAAAAATTCAGAATTTTATTCATAGATCTCAAGGAATACTGATACAACTGGTACGGGATTTCGATTATTGATCGTCTTCAGAGACCGGCCCAATGCTGTTGCCGGCCTCGATCTGGATTGAGCTCTTGTCGACTCATGCGAAGGCCTGGCCACGAGAGTCCTCAAAGTGCGAGATCTCCCGATCTTTGTCGTCGAGCTCCATCTTGTCCGGAACCGAAAGCTTTTCTTCTTCCAGGCCCAGCTCCTTTTGCTTTTCGGCCACCAGGTTAGAGCTATCGTAGGACTTGAACTTCCTGGCGGGGAGACCCGCCTCGTACATCTATCAAGCTCGAAAGATAGGTCAGCTGTCTTACCTCCGCTTGAATACTGGATTTGGTCTCACTTGTTCGATTTCGAAGATCGACCTTCCAGCAGTCTCGGGCACCAGCAAGTAGACGAACATGAACCTGTTGAAGAATGCGATAAGCCTCCAGACCTGCTGAACGGAGTGCAAGAGCTGATGCTTACGCTACTAAGCAGAATGCACTAAAGATATAGCAAATCTTCGGACCCAAATTTCCGTAGCCAGGGTTCTGGATGTACGGAGCCACAAAGGTGATGAGGACCGAAATAGCGAACTGAGAGGCGCCACCGAGAGCCATAGTCTTTTCAGCAACCGGCCTGCGGAGAAACGGATTGTGAGACGCGACCATTCGCATTGTCAGTATGAGGAATAAGAAGCAAGAATGATCACGACCGACCTTGCGGGTATTTCCGCCGAGATAAGCCACACAACGGAGCCCCAACCGCCGGAGAATCCCTTGTTACGGAAAGGAGCGTCTAAAGTCAGATGGCGCTTACTCGACCGCTTCTTATCTCAATGAGCTTACCAAGGACCAGAAAAAGATCGAGGCCTTTGATGGTATCGCGATGTCAATTGCTTGTGGCGGAGTGAAGCACGGAGACCCTAGACTCACGATGACCAGGTTCGCCAAGGCTCCAGTAGGTTGCACTACGGTTCCTCCGACCGCTGCCACAACAATCAACCCGCCGAACATCAGGCAAGAGCCTCCCAACAGCAAAGCTCTCCGACCGATCAGATCCGGCAAGAACAAGCACACAAATGCGATTCCCATGCCCCACTGATTAATTGTACGCGACATCAATCGCGATCAGTACAGGGCGCGGCCAGGGAGGCTTAGGTTCCGACTCACGATACCGAAGCCGATCAGAACCAAGTACACGTTCGAGATACCCATCCCGAGGAAAGTAACGACGAGGTAATATGTCATAAAGCTCGCGCCTTGCGCTTGCCTAGCGAAAAGAGTTGAGGTCAGAACGCGCGCCATATGCCGCATATAAATTCGGCTTACTGTAAACATTGATAACCTATGACAGTCAAGGTGCGTTTGAGGTTTCCCTTCCTGAACAGGTCAATCCAGGATCCTTCGCCGCCCGAGCTACTCTGAGCGTCGAAGGAGGCTTTTATCTCAATCGATTCCTTCATATGTTGCTCGTGAGAGTCGGCCGTCTTGGGTCGCAAGGAATCCAAGACAGCTGTCGCTTCGTCGAGTCGCCCTTTGGTAGCAAGCCATCGGGGACTCTCAGGGCAGATGAACTGAGTGCGGAATAGCTGTTAGTTTATCGACACCGATCTATGGGAAGTTCTGGATCACACGCACAGGGACGGTTGCTAAGAGAAACAACGGAAGTATAGCCTGTAACATGATGGGAAGCAAGTAGTTGATCATACTCATTTCGTCAATGATGATGTAGATGACGATCTGCATTGTCATAGGTTACCCAGATTGTCAGTTGTTGTGACAACGGCCCTCAGGTGCAGGTCGACTTGCCGATCCAAGGAGAACTCCAAAAGCCTAGAGGACCGTCAGAATCAAATGGCAAACTTCGGAATCAAACGAGATGAAAAGATTCACCTGAAACATTGAGTATAAAGCGACAAAGCCACCCCTCGCCGCAGGAGGGGCGCATTCCGACATGTAGAGTGGGACGACCGTAATACTATGTCCAGAAAATCATCGTCAACGTACTCATCAGGACTCAACATGGTGTGGACCACTATGTGACTCACGCCGTACCCAAGCTAGCATTGATGATCATCTTTCCGATCACACACCTATGCAGACCGATTGAGGCAGTTAGTGTTTCATTTCAAGACCGGCTCGCACTTGCGCCGAGAACTGACGTCCAATAGCTGTGAGGGATTACTGAGAGAGCTTGGATCAGAGTGCCGATGATGCCGACTCCCGCAACGACACCCAGGATGGTACGCTTCCGACCGAAAGTTTCATTGAAGTAGGAAGCGACCTGAAGTGTGTTTGAAAGTGAAAAATTGTCCCGTCATGATTTTGTTCCGACCGTGCTCACCAAGCATCCCAGGACGAGACCGACAGCTCCGAGCCCAGTACCGACACTGGTCTGATTCGTGGAAAGGATACGTGTAGTATCCCCGGTCGGGAGGGGCACTTCTTTTTCGCCGTAGACTTGGTTGAAATGGACTGATCCAAGGATACTACCCCACCAGGTAAAGTCGTATCCGAAGCCAACGCCCGCCACAGCGCTGAAAGACTACGAGTTGTCCTGAAAATGAGCGAAACGCCAGCAGCGCCCCTGGCAATTCCGAAATGAATTTCACTCACGCAAACGAGGATGCATCGCTTCGTCTAAGGTAAGGGAGTCGATAGCCAACCGAAGAAGAGTGATGGATCAGGTCAGCATCGGGTTCGGTTGCCGGTCACGAAGCGGATTGAGAGATACGAACCACGTCGGCGCCGATGACACTGAACTTCGCCTTGATTGTCTGCATATTAGCGGATTGAGAAGATCTGCGGCTGTATGTCTGGTCGATAGGTGACGGCAGTACCAATGCATTGGATGCGAGATGTTTCGCCACCTTTATATACACAGTGCATAGGTAGACCGTTACATGCCCCCAGGATTAGGCGTTTGACGCGCGATTTGACCCCGTGTGGCTCCAGATTCGTGCCCCCGTGTCGAGATCAATTTCGTCATGCGAGTCGACAAATTGATTTCCGTTTTGCAGTGATACGCAGTGATCGACGACCGGAATGATCAGCGTTCCATCGATTGATCAGGGCGCTCGACCAAGTTGGCCATCTGCAATGAACCGAGAAAGTTCCGGGAATTGTTCCGGCAGAGCGCGAGTCCATCGCCCCTCCGCGGCCAACACGCTCCATGACGTATATGGTAGTAGATATCTAGAAGAGTGTGTTCCGAGACTACGGCTCAAGATCTAAGGAACTGATCCCGACGCATCATTGGAACCGCCTGACGGAGTTGACTCCACAAGGTATTGCTCAGAGTCTGCCGTATCCCAATCACGTAACTGAAACTGCTCCTTTCTGCTCAGTCACTGGAGAGGTCTACGACCAAGAAATCGGACTTGATGTTGAACTCACTATGCTTTCGAAATGAGTGATACCTGGCATATTATAATCGGAATGACCCGATTGAAAGTGCGATGCCGCGATGGGCGAAACGCCATGTCTTTTCTTCGCCAGTAAACTTTCCGCTCGATCTACGAGTCGTCCGAAAAACCGGGATACCGAAGTAAAGGACAGCTCCGTGTCGAGGTTTGGGTGCCGAAATGCATACTGTAGCCGATGCAATGAGGATAAGATGGTCCGGCAATCTTTCCGCTCAACGTCGAACAGCTGGATGGCATGCCTTAAGCCTTGTGACCCGCCAGCGAGACGGCAGACACGCCGACGCACCTTGAAAAGACACAAGCCGATGTCTGACACGTTTGTCACTCCTGCATCGAACCAGAGATGAAGTAACTCGGCGTCTGCGGCAGCGCTGATGTTATCGGCGACGTTGGAGGCCGCGGCGAGAAATCGCGTCCTGGCTGACGGGGAGTCTCCTGACTTTCGCAGAGCATACCATCTCACGACGGAATGTGCCAGGCTGAACATGATGGCAGCGATGTAACGGGAAGTAGGTGGAAGGTTCTGGGCCGAGAACCAAAATTTCTCTTGGGATACGAGGAGGTCGTCCGCCTTCTGCAGTAATTGAACGGCACTTGCGTCGCTCTGATCTTCCTCAGTGGCGGCATATAAGAAGTCCGTGATCGGAACGAGACTGTTCATGGCTGTCAGCGAGTGTTTTCAATTGGTCCATTGGGTTGTGGAGCGGTTGGCTGCTCACTTCAGGTTTAAGGCCAATTGACAATCCGACGGTATATGAATGGAAGGCTCGTATTCCAACCATCCTAGGGATTCCGCATGATAGTCAGATTGGATCGCTCGAGGCAGTCGAAAAACGTGGCTGAGATCGTCCCAAAACCACAAGGATAGATTAGCGAGGATTAGCAAGTATGGAATGATGAGTGCTGAGACGGAGACCGTTACCTGAATCTGATCATCAAGAGAGATATGCCTCAATTTCAGTGAAGTGCCTGACAAGAACCTTCAGCGCATCAGTGATACTTACGATCGGTCAAAACCTGATGAACGTATATGAAAGCAGCGGTCAGATAAGATCTGCGATTGGAAGATATCGGGAAAAGACGAATGACGCACATACGACACCTGTCTTTGGCGAAATCGACATCAGCCTTCGGATGCATGGACGGAGCTCGCTAGATCACGTACACAACCAAGTCCGTTGAAGATTCTGTGGTGATCGTGTGGACGTTCAGCGCGTCGTAACTCCAGGGGTTTACAAAGATACCCCGCCGAAGACTTACGAGTAACCCCCTTGGATCGGAGAACTTGTCAGTAAACTTCTGAGAAAAGCAATTGTGTAGTCCCAACCCCTGAGCCATGCGGACGGCGATGCCTGTTTTCGTCCAACTAGACTTGTCCCCAGGCGTCCTCCAGTAAATAGCCAGGAGTAAAGCTTGGATTAGGTGGATGTCCGATTCGCCAGCAAAGACGGCCCGAGACAGGATGATATCGAGATGGTCGAAGCATCTGCTGGCGATGTCGGGGGACCGGAAACGAGCCGTTACGCCCAAGATGGCGGTCAATAAAGGTTTGGATCGTTCGCGAACCTGGTCGAGATGATGCACTATACGGCAATACAGTCAGTTAGTGGACCTGCTTTCCTCGACATGTTAAGCGGGAATAGACTTACATATCGGATCTAACAAGAGGATCACAGGGTTCAACCTTTCATAATACCTACATGGCAAGATGACCCCATCGTCAACACCAAACACCGATTCAGCAATAATCAGAGCTCGATCTGCACTTTCACTTACTGTTCGAAAAGGCATTCCGCCTGCATGTAAGATAGCAAACCCAAATCAATCGGATCCTGCATTGCACCGGTTGTTCTCGGCCGATGCCTCAGGGTCACTGGGGCAGTATCTCGGTCAGGAGAAGACGAGCCGTCCGAATCTGGAGATCCTTGTGCTTTATTGTCGCCCAGAAGAGATGAAGGGCTGGAAGAGGTGTCTGTTGCGATCTCGGGCTCGAGCAGACTTTCTAGATCCGTCACAGGCTTTTCTACCGGGTTCTCGAGGCGAGAACTTGAAGCTTGTAGCCGCCGGGAAAAGCCCGTAGTATCAGAAGGGAGCGGACGACGGTGGTCCTGGTGGATTGTATCAGTCTTCTGCGATGGTCCGGCAAGAGCCTCGAGAGCGAGATCAGGTATAGTGGATGCTGAGAACATGACCGGCAGTTCTGCCATCTCACCGTCGAAAGACGTAAATGGTGCTTGAAGAGATCCCTGCCAATCCCTGAACGGTTCTGGGATGGTCTCCAACTCGCCGGTCAAGCCAAAAATGTCCGGGTCCAGCCCGATGGACTGGTTGTGTGAAGCTGGAACGGGCCGCTTGCTAGTCGACCCTTCGTTTTCGGTCTCGTCCGATGATCTCTTCTTTCCGACATGATCGTGAGCAGAGGAATTGTCGACCTGCGCCGTTGTCGTTGATGAGGTAGGAGTCGGCTTGATCGTTTTCGTTGTTTTCGTTCTTCTGTGAATAACAAAACAAGGTAATGGAAGGTAAGACCATTAATCACACTCATCAGTAAATGACGGCATCCAACGCGTATGACATACGCTGGATATTGTCGTGGTCTCCCCGTCTTCTTCGGGGCGAATCTGCACGGAAGACCAAGACGGGCACATCGCTTGCAGCTAGCTGCTGCTTCGTCCGTTGTAAGCTGTGCACCCTTCTGGGAGCAAGGGATCTTTTTTCAAGACGCGATTGAGGCAGCATGAGTACGACGCCAGGTGATGGTGCAAGTCATTTCGAGAGATACACGGACTCACCTTGACAGACTTGCAATTCTGACATTCATCTTGTAGAGCACGTTTAGTAGGAGCTTCTTCCATGATGACGGATCGCCCGGGCAATAGGACCAATGATCAAGGGCGATTGTTCCTCCGATCTGCGTGCCGCTCCTCGATCGTTTCTGAACCGTTGCAGCGGAACAAGCCTCAGGATTGGCGCGATCGACCGTATTTTTCTCCGTTTGGTTTGGACGAGTACTTGCGCTTGTGTCTTATGAAGGCATGAGCTTGATTCTATCGACAAACATTTGTAGTATCATAGCAACGTAGTAATGCTAGATGATGATCATTACATTCGGTACTACTGATTGCCTGAACCTCGGCGATGTCCACGTCATCACGTGACGGATATAGTAGACAGACGGTCACGTGATCATCGGGTTCGTCTAGTTGAGTGGCAAATCAGTCGTATCAAGATTTGGGCAACAGCATTGAAGCTGGAGAACCTTCGTACCATTGATCTATCCTATTCTGACTTGCCAATGAACCCCACAAGTTCAGCTCGTTCAGAAATTGAAGACCTTGTTCTTCTCCATCGGGCTGGGCCGATCACGCGGTCATGTCGTAGTATGGACTAAGTGGTTGTAACAACACATCATGATCCAGAACGATAGCTTTTCTCTCTTTGGGACATTACCAAGAGTCGAATGCTTGGAAAGTACTCTAACAGTAACTATCTTGGGGCGTCCTTCTCAATGCTTGAGCTAGCTGGGGAAACGAGTTTCAACCGACCGCGCTGATTCGAGGTAGACTCGTTTCGTCGCGCTGAAAGCACTCTAATGGCGATGTCGTCGTAGTCTGTCGCCTCGTGGTCTTCAACTAGCTCCAATATGTATCCTATGGGTCACCGCCGTCTGGCATGTGTTCCGAAGTTGGTCACTATCACCGATTCTAAGTATTGCAATCTGTATGCCTCGCTGCTCGGGCAGGCCAAGTTGGTGCGATGAGGAAATGCATATGGGTACCATCAAATTTCACCTCGTCGAAGTTCAGTATCTCCATTTTTTTAGGCGCGCCTCCCAAGCGCATAAAGAGATACGGCAGATTAAGGTAGACCGCAGCATTGCTCATGATACCTAGGACTGTCTTTGATTCTATCCTAATGACAAACCCGTTGAACTACGTACATTGGATTAAGCGTTACAAATGACAGAAAGACCCTCACATGATATGGTTGAGAAGCTCCAACGTGAGAGCCAAATCTTACGCATATTTTTCAGGACTACCGGCGGATGGGCCGTCCGGTATTTCCACGAACTGTCTCGCAAATTCAGACGCGACGACATTTGGCCCGTCTCCATTATGATCGACGCTGAGATCGCGTAGCAGGGCCTTGACCGTATCGAAGGTCGAATAGAAATGGTCCAGGCGAGTTCCATTGACGCTGTCATGATGCACATGACGGACGTCGATGCGTCTCCTAACTGCAGGACAGTTGCCTTGTCCGTGGACTTCCAGATTGTAAACCCGGAATGCGGAGAAATACTTCTGGCAGATTTCTAACTGGGATCGTGTGAAAACTATAGGGTCGGATCCTGGGTCACGATCAGCTATGATGAAAGCCAACTTGCGCCAATAATCTTGATTCAGGCTGTAGATATCCCAGTCCAGTTCCGCTCTACCCGTCAGTCTCTCGTAAATCCAATTGGTCATTGCTAACTGTTCCGCGGTAATTTCAGGTACCGTCGAGTTTACGCATGATCCTATCTTTCCTTGACAAATCCGAAGCGGATCATGCTCGAAGAAACGATCGAGATGGCGAGTTTTGGCATAGGCATTCTCCAAGATCTCCATTTCGTGGCCTACCTCGAGTTTGTAGATCTTGTAGGGGGCTAAGCATTCTGCACTCGCTATCGCCGTCTCACACTGATTGTGCGTGTAGTAGTGAAGGCACGAACGAAAAGCCCTGAGAAACTGCCCGCAAACCAATCGATCTTGGGCGAGAGGCATGAACGACTTGAACTGCTGTCCCTTGTCGATCAGATCGTGGAAGCCGTTGGCGACATAAATGTTCCATCCAAGGGCATCTCCACTGGCTTCCTCCCAGATACGACATGCTCTTTGCACCAACTCTGGTCGAGGACGTCTGTCGACATGTTTGCAGCAAGCAATCACATCGCTGTTGCAGGTGACCGTGGCAGAAAATTCCCCGGATGGATGACTGCTGGCGGTCAAGTCCGACGTATGGCTGAACGAGGCGTTCAAGGAATTATTCAATGACCAATCGGAGACACTTTGCGATGTCAGCGCCGTCCGTTCAGGTTCACGTGACATGATCGACTTCGGCACATCGATCGAAGTCACCGTAAATCTCCCCGTTTCTTCATTCCTTGGCTTGGGCATAATCTCGACGGTCTTTCGACGCTTCCGTTGATGCGTCTCCTCCGTAGATATATGCCAGTGGGTGGCGCTTGATACAGTGTCTGTCACTTGATAAATCATCGAGTAAGAGCTCTATAATCTCTCTACTGACAGAACTGGCTTACTAGCAGAGCCAATCAGGTCATGTTGAACAGACGACGCGATTTTATGTCCCGTAAGATCATATTTCATAGAGTCAGAGAGGTCCGCAGGGTGTGTGTAGTCTGAGCTCGGATATTCGCTGAGTGAAACACGTTTGTTTTCCCTATCCATGCTGCGTTGAAAGCTTGAGAAGATGTTTTGTGTCTTGAGCTCGATATGTGACTATCACGACCTCGTTCGGAATGCGGTTACACGAACAGTCTTGTTGACCTGTCACTTATATTTGAGGCATTCAGTTTTACGATCGCTAGCGGATAATCAGTTTTGCTTATTGATATATATCCTTTGTTGGCTTTGTACTCAGCTGCTGCTTGTCTTGCCGAGGTGTGAGCGGAGGCTTAAGATATCGCAACTGTACTGCAGATAAGCCCGACCTTCTTGCGGTTAGCTTAGGCTCAAGCAGAAACTATCCGTTCTACCTATCAAACGTATCTGAGAGGCCCACCAAGAACCCTGTTCATCATCTGCTGACCTGATACGGGTTTCTAAAGCATCAAAGGAGGTTCAGAGATGGATCACATCCTTGAAATCACTGAGTACCCTGGTTCAGCTTGTGAAGGGCTTGAGAAGTGGGACGATGAAGCTGATACTTCGCCAGAAGCTAGCGTCGCGGCATCAAAGTTTCACCTTGCTCGTGGCGCGCGCTACTGTATCGTGGCGCTGATAGTCAGTGGCTTGCTGTCGAGAGATAGTGTGGGCGACACCCTGGGAAACGTAGGAGATAGACCATGCTCGATCTCTAACATAAGCACCAGCTACATAGCATATCTGTCAGTCCCCCCGGCCCCAACCGGCTGCTCGTATAGAAGGGTCCAGGACAGCAAGTCGTCCACTGATATTGACAAAATAGGATCAGCGAATGAACCCTATTTACAACATTATGATGTAACATCTGTAGTAGTCTGTTTCATATCCTCGAGAAGCATTCTGATCACTGGCATCATCTAGTATTCCCTGCCATCATACGATTCAGTTCTGCCAATTCGACGAGTCCGGTCTCTCCATCCGTACTCAGACAGTCAGACAGTAGTTTATACCCATCGTCCAACAGGGTTGCAACTTCACTTATGAGATCTCCTTTTGTACACCTGAAACTGGGATAGTATTTAGGCTTCAGCTGTGCACAAGGTCGACAAGATCCGCCGCCGTGTAGCTTATCGTTGTACGCCCTGAACGCTGCTACATATCTAAAAAGTACGCTTCGATCCTTCTCTGTGCTGTTTTTCATGATCTGGCTCAGAGGACGACCGGCACCGGTGACCTGGATACTTTTGAGGTGATAGAGTTTCAGCTCGAAAGTCAGGGTCTCCCCCTGGTTAACGTCGAAAGAACGCTCGACAATCCACATTGCGAGCCCCAACTCTGATGGTCGGAAATCGCGATCCCGCGTACTACTCAAGGGACATACCCCAACTTCTGCTGGACATTTCGTGTCCCCCGCCTGCCTAAAACATCCCGTCCTCGGTACACAAATGACTTCTGAAATATAAGCAAAAGCAGATCCGACATTTCCATCCGTCTTCTCTGTTTGAAGACTTTTGTCACGAAGAACACCTCCCATTTCCGGCTCAGTTCCCTCGCTCGAGCTTCCTTGTTGGGATATGAGCGAAGAACGTGCAGATGGAAGGTTTGTACCGGCGAGCAATGAACTGCGAGTGGTTTCAATGAAGGAAGAAGATGGGAATGCATTGTTTCCGTCGGTTAGTGACGGGTTCAGATGACTAGGCGTCGCTCTCCTCTCTGTTTTTCGCCTCGAGAACTTCCGAGATTTCCACCGATCCCTCGATGCAAATCTCTCGAGAGTCGACCCAATAGGGTTTTTGTCTGTCGCCTGGTTGGCAAGCCTTCTTTTTCGTGGCTTGGTGACTGTTTCTTCCATAAGAAGCTCTGGCGAGATCGCGGTCATCAATCTGATATCGGCTTGTTCTTTACCGTTACCCCTTTGCGGATTGAGGTCCCCCTGATGAGCTATCATATCGGTATAACCGGGATAGTGGTTGAATGCCACGTTTTCCGGATCAATACCAATAGGATGTGTCGGTTTCTCACAGTACCAGGGCTGCAGAAAATCGCACCCAGTGGCGAGTGTCATACTTGGATAGTAGATATCCATCCCGAGTGATATTGAACCGGAAGAGTCCACGCCCACAAAATTGGCGGTCGTGCCATGACTATTTGTGAGATTGGAATGGGCACCGAGTTGGATAGCGAGGTCTCTTGAGGTATGGTATGATACTGGCCACTCTGTGTCATTATACTGTCATAATTTGAGCTGCGATCAGCTGACAATCAGGTCCATAAACGGACGAAACTCACCCCCCCTTGGCTATCAGTCTTGGATCCTGCTTCCGATGGGTCAAAAAGGCGATCGGAAAACGACATGATCAGAAGGCAATGTGATGTTTGGGCTAAGCGAAAGGGGATGGTCCGGATGGCAGAGATGTTAGCTGGACTGTAAACGAAGATCTTCCAGTATTAGAATTTCACCCTTTATATTCTTCGTAGCTCTGTATAAGCTGAGATAAAGATGTACATCCTTTGTTTGCTTCTCGGTGGGTCAAGGTCATCGTTCGGCCCAGACTTTCCCAGATCGACAGAATACTATGGCATCGATATCTTGAAGTTCAAAGACGGAACATGGCTGGTGTTTGAAATCTTTCCGCCACAGTTAGGGTCTCGCTGTGGTGTTGAATTGCCAGGGTAGATACTCGATCACGACGTAGCGTAGCGCACATCATATGACGTAACAACACAGCTATCGAGATGTTGGACAAAGGAGGCTGCCTACGCTCCTATAGAAAGCTAGGCTATCTAATGCCATTTGACCTCTTGATCATACTGATTGACGTAGAGTCGGTCTCGTGTCATACAAGGCGTGCGAGGGTACCATAGCATCGTAAAGGAGTAGAGAGCATGTCATCCATATTCGTACATCAGGCAGGCGGTGCCAAGCAGTTTAGACAATCGCAATTCGATTGTTGGGTATGACGTGATGTGCTAAATACGAGACAAAGGAGTGATCGAAATCCCCTGCCTGTCCTATCCATTCATGGAATAACTACGTATACATAACATCCTGATGACAGTCTTGTCCGGTAAACTCGAGGCAAGAATCTCCCTATCAATCAATTTGGGAAACAACCAAGTCCCGCCTTCACGATGAATACGTCAAGTATCGAATACTCAGACGAAAGGGCTGCTGAACTCTTGCTGAATTTGTCTCGGGGCCTTTCAAGGGAAGATCCCAGCGGCAGTCATTCTCGCGCCATCAGCCAAGGTACTTTCCAGACATTCCAGACTCAACTTCCAGCCAGTACCGCTGGAACAGCTCCGACAATCAATTCGAGTGCCCTCCCGAACAATGCTTCATCCCCTTCCACGCAAGATGGAGTCTCCGCCTCTATGGCTGCTTCACCTGGTTTGTGTGGGGCGAGCATGGCATACTGTTACGAGAACAAAAGATATATCGGCGGGAACGAGCAGCTTGCTGAGCGGTACCTCCGCGCGGCTGAGAGCTCGCTATTTGCGGCGACTGGATTGCCACTCGACTGGAGCATCTTCCAACGTGATCTCTTCACAATGTTTATCGGCCAGCCTGTGAATAAGGGATATGTTCCCCACAACCGCCAGAAGCGAGTCGTGAGAACCTTCATGTCAACGTTCCTCGGCGTGTGTTTCCATCAATGCCATGCAGGTTGCGCAACGGCGCAGTCAGTACAGCTAGCGGTCTTGCAGGCCAACATGAGAATGCCAATCCGCCGTAGCGAGGCCGAACTCGCGGAGGCATATCAGGCGATTGCTGAATTTGGATATATGAAGGGACCTGTTCCGGCTGCGACCTCGGAGCTTCCGATATGTTTAGGCGAACTCGGGTCATGCCCTCGTCAGCTATACGGAACAGTCCAATTCACCGACAGTCAGCTTGACCTGGTCCAGTGGCTATTGTGTCGACTGACGGGTGCGTCTTCAGATGCACCTGCACCTGTTCTCACTTCGGCTTTACACAACATCGCCAGAACGTCCTGGACACAGAACCCTGGGACAAACGATCTTTGCAAATTTGGCAAGGAGAATCCATACCTTGCAACGCGACTACACGATTTCCTGTTGTGTGCCCGAAACCTCAGCTGGGAGATCCATCAAGGCGTCTGTCCAGGTACGATGTCTGCCGAAGGCCGCAATCAACACTCTGTCGACTATGTTGACCACCCAACCACTCTACTGGAAACCCGATACCAGACAGCTCTCCAGATTCTTGCTCGCGATGAATCGGATGGGAATCCGAAGATAGATTGGAAAAAAGTTCCCTCACTGCGTGCGATCTCCTCAACGTAGTTTAAGCAGAATGAGGAGCCTTCAATCTTCGATTGTTGCGAAAGTTTTCCCCAAAAATCGCTGTCTGTTCAAAACCTCCCCCTTTCGCGCCTCAATCGTTCGTTTTTATACGACTCCATTGCCAATGTGCCTGTCCATAGAGATTATGTGTTTATTGGTAGGCTTGTATCGATATTCATCTAGTCTGTGTTTCATTACTCATGTAGTCTTTGTCTGTCGACTATTTGTTTGATATCGGCAAGTGCTTCGATGCGCTGACCATTTGAACAAAGCTAGTGAGAATTTGCCACTCTTGCTCGCACAGCCGGATCTCAAACAAGTGATTGAGAGCTGATATAAACGTTAGTATGGAGATCTGAAGCGTCTATTAATAATGCTAACGGCGCTTTTGGGCAGAACGGAATGAGAGTCATGATCTGTCAGCAGCCTGAACTTTGACATTCTACCTTCAACAGCGCCCCAAGCAAAATACGCGCGTTATTGTCTGAGCTGCCCAACACTGACAGCCAACCTGCATTCCGCAGCCTGCAGGTAAGTGTCTCGATAGCAGAAGCAGAAACAGTCGGATGCGGTTGGGAACGTTTATAAAGATGTATAGCGAAGTTCTGTGGGGAGATAAGCCTGAGAACCGCCTTCAGACACATATTGACGTCCTCCTTTGTACTATGCATCATACTAGTTTGTTAATATAAAGGTAACCGTCATTGTAAGCAACAATCAAAATGAAAGAAAAGATGCCCAAGTTGCGTTTGGTGAGCGTAAGAACATGCAGGCTACATCCGCCCTGGGACGGTTCGAACCTCATTGTTATATCGTTCAGTGTCCCTCTAACCTTTAGAGCTCTTAAGAACGTATCTCTAGCTCTCGGAACAGCAAAGTTCTGAGCTGGAACGGTTGTAGGTGCTTTGCTCATACCCTTGTTGCTAATGCTGCCGAGGCAAAGGTATTACGAGCAACAAGGTCAACTGGCTACCAGGAACACCTTGAGAACTCGACTTCGCAAAGTTCCTGCATGTTCAATACTTTGAACTCTCTACTGGTTTCCCCCTAATTACAAGGATGTGTCTTCTTGCATACTGATACCGAGCATGGGTAGCATATTCTGAATTCTCCTATAGGTTTTTGTCATGAGCCCAGCTGTGTCCTGTGCGTCCCTGATGGATCCGCGAATGGAGAATCCAACGGGAAGTACCTGCTTGTACTTCTTGCATAATCCATTATGATGTATTCTCAGGTTGTGTAGCTGCATCAGAGCCATGTAGCGGTGTAGTAATTTGGCGATCCCGTTCGTGGGTAAATTTGCTGCTGATATGGGTAAACTCAATCTGGAGAGACCCTGAAATTCAAATCCCAGTATCTGATCGACCAATGCTTTTCCTCTGAGTGACTTATGGAAGACAGCTTGACAGATCCACAAGGCAAGTGCCAACTCCTCTGAAGTGAATGGCCGATATAGTTCTCGGTTGTGGAGGTTGCATCTGCCAAATTCACCATCGCACTTGTCCACGCGCAGAGACATCTGGTAAGTAGATGGCACTACGAATGAGAGCACTGACGTTGACGGCAATGGCACTGTGACACCATCTCTATCAGCCTCAGACAACTTTGGCGAAATTAGGAAAAATGGACTTGCCGGATTCTGCTTCGGCAAAAGTTGACGCAGCAGCATGCGCAATGGAAAGGGGAAGTGATTCGGAACTCAAGGGGTATCCATTCTCAGGCTCTTGGACGAAATCATCGGTTGGCATAGGGCCCTGCATCGGGTATGATATGGCCAGATTCTCATCAGGCTGGATCTCGCATCGTCCTTCCGTATGAGTCTGATCAGACATAGTTTCATTTTGTGATGGCGGCTCGTTGACCCAATCTTCTCCGAAATTGCATACATATGCAAAGAAATCGTCTGCACCTGAAACTGCAGCTCTTGTGGTGGTCGATGGGACGAAATCAATGGAGGCTATAGTAGGGCTTGCCATCGCACGGTGTTACACCAATGGTCGTCCAGAAATGCAAAAGTGATATGGGCAGCCCGAGGCCAATGTTGAGGATGGATAAGGAGAAGCATCAAAGGGAACTCGGGTCAAGCCTTTATGACAACGCACACTCAAGCAGTGCCGTAATTCTCGACAGCAGTAGAATGGATGCTCCTTTCAGCTTTGGTAACGTGCCTGAGGCTTGGAATCACGTAGGCAGCTAATCCACACTCATTGCCGGACATGAAGGTGGCTATGACTGAGACCGAGGCATCAACTTGACATGGCACGTTTTATTGAAATTCCTTTTATCGCCTGCAAGCACGTCATCGTTCTATCATGGAAATGCAATCGTTGAGAACCCTGCACATAGCGACAAGGCCAGATACATCTATGACGAACTGGATACATCACATAATACATGATAGAAAAGCGATTCCTCAGGCGTTTCATTGTGAACATCATCGCCATGTCGCCCCTCATTCTACCTCAACGCGATCGATAATCTGTCTAGCAATTTTGTACAGTTCATTCAGCTTCTTGTCGTGTCCAGATTGCGCATCCACGGGAGTAGAGTTATCGTTAAGCCCACCATAACCTACAGGGAGACTCTTGAGTCCCGGACATTTGCCACAATTGTGTGTTGCTAGATTGATAACACGAGCGCATGCAACAAAACGCCTGAGATCTCTTGCTTTTGTGATTGAAAGGCCTGTCCTTGTTCCTGCATGTGCGATTCGTTTGGCGGTGATTTGGTCGAAAGTGTACAAACCCCAGAGGGAGATTACTTTTACATCTTTGTTGCAGAGAAGCACTCTGATCTCGTCCAAGAGGAATATATGTTTGGCAGAGAGGTCCGGGATCCCCTCAGGCTTGTAAGGGCAAGATCCAAACGCGCCCTTACATCCAGGTAGCTGTGGATCGAACCAACAGTAAAACCCGCTGATGCTAGCATAGGCCTTTTTAAGGTCGTTTAAAGGTGCTCCTGAGGCTGGATATGGAACCCTTCTGATCTTTCCTCTGTTCTCCATCTCTGTGCTGCAGTTGCGATGGACGCAGTGTGAGAGGACCGTGCGGTAAGTGTTCATGTAAATCATAAGAAGTTCTCGATCTGCATCTCTTATGACGGATTCCTTTATAATATGTCCATGGAAAACCTCCAGTAATTTCTCCGTCAAGATACTCCAACTCAGCGTCTGCCCCGTTGCTACTCGCCAGATGATTACAGCCGCTTGCTGGTAACGCGCTTCCATAGCTGTCCTCCCCTCCTGTTCCCTACACTCGGCCAAGCTACCGCTGCACTTTCCAAGGATAAAAAGTTCCAGTGACCCGTTTTTCGATGTAGGGTCAGTCTCAGGACGAGATCCAGTGATTTCAGAGGGGGCCGAAGTCAACAAGTTGCCAAGGCTAGTCAAACATGAGGTTCTCAAAGCTGAACGATTGATATGAGAGGTCGTGGTCATTCCAGATGACGTCTCAACCGTGGTTGTTGCGAGTTGGCGATCTCTGGCTGACAATTGTAACAGCCACCGAGCGACTTCTTCATCGGGAATAGTACCAGGTTGAGATGCGGTGTCGGCGAAGTCGTCATTCATCTTGTCTTTGTGCGATGTTTTGTGGTGGCAATCAAAAGCCGAACCTGGGGGGTTGCCTCCCGAAGCTAGTGGGACCGAAGTCATATAAATGATTGCAGCCATCTCGTTTCCTAATGATAATGAGTAAAGCGAGCTCCTTTGTTGACTCCAGCAGTCTCAATGACGCAAGATTGAGAAGGCTCATTTCATCACATGACTAGGCATGAAAGCCGAAAGGCAAGCTCGATGTCACAACCATGGCGTCGTGTCGATGGTGTTCGGCAACCAACATAGAAAGGGATCAAGTGACATGCAGTACGTCTCCGCCTTATTCAGACCACTGATCAGGCAGGTGTCGAGAGCCGTCAGTCGCGCCTCTTTCTGCCTTACCGACAATGAAGGAGAAAGCGCATCACAATGATAGAGCCATAGATAGATATTATTAGGGGGAAAGACTAACAGTCTACACGGGGCTAGGTCTAGGGGTAATGGTGTAATAACGGATGAAGTATATACATACAATAAGCCTATTATAATAAGCACCTATGGGAGATGTAAAAGTAGACCCCTGTGGGGATGTCGAGAGGTGTCTCCGAAGGGACCTCCGAGGGGGTCTCCCGCGGGAGTAGCGACGCGTCACGTGACGGCTATAACAGGATCCCCCCCCTAGGTCATCGCCCCGATGACCAACTCCGAAAAAGAAAACGACCGAAACCCCCGAAGGAGTGTAACAAGAACCCGCCCGAGATGGGCTCTACCCTCAACAAAGAGATGTCGAGGCGAAGGGGGGGTGACTCCCGAAAGGAAACGCTCGGGCTGAGCAACCGTAAAACCCCGAAGGGAAGAGAAAAGAATCCACGCACTGGAGGGGAGGTATCGTAACCCCGAACGACCCGTAGAAGACGTAGCCGACCCGATCCCAAGAGACGTAGGAAACACCCGGACTGGGCACCGTAAAAGACTCGGACTGAGCCACCGTAAAAGAATCCCGGACTGGGTGCCATACCGACGTGTAGTCGGGTGAGGGGGATTGTGATTCCCATGAAGAAACGCTCGGACTGAGCAGCCGTAAAGAAAACACCTCGGACTGAGGGACCATGAAATGAATGTAATAAACCCGGCCTGGGTACCATAAAACAAGAGAAGGAAAGAGACACCGGCGCGCCTAGTTGGGGGTCCACAGTGGGACATCATCGTACGCCGAGAGATCGTACGCAGCCCCGGCTGACGCCGCGGAATAGGAAGGTTGGAGGGTGGCGCCAGCTACCTGCATAGAATGCCTCTGCTTGGCGGCTTTGATCCAGGCTGGGGCCGATTCGGGAGGTGCCCGGGGATTCGGGCACTGGTTCGCGAAATGTCCCATCTGGTAGCACTTGAAGCAGGGGACGGCGGGATTAGGTTGCCGGGCGGCCGAAAGATCCATAGGACCACCTTGGTCCACGGGAGGAGGAGGAAGAGAAGAAGAAACCGGGGGAGGTCCCGGGGCAAAAGGAAAAGGAGCTGCCGTCTCGGCAGGCTGAAAGGTGGGTGCGCGGGGAGTTTCCCGGCGAGGTCGTTCAGCGGGGATGGCGGGTCGATCGTATCGGGCGGCCAAGTTCTGGATGTCCAAGAGGGACATCTCCGTGTACCCATCATGGGCACGAACCGACAGCTCAACATCCGACCGGAGTCCATGACGAAAGACTCCCCGGAGAGCGGCGTTGTTCCATCCCGGCATAAGACCCACAAGGGAGTTGAACCTCGCGGTGTACTCGCCGACCGAGGTGTTCCCTTGCCGCAACCCTAAGAGTTCCCCTTCCGCGAGGTACTCTCGGGATGCTAACCCAAAAGAAGTAAGAAAGAGAGTCCGGAAGACATCCCAGGTGCACTGTTGTGCAGCCTCCGGGGACGTATACGACCGGGCCCATAAAGCAGCGCGACCCTGAAGGTGGGTCGACGCGAAAATGATCTTGATCCGATCCAGAGAGTAAACCGCTGGAGCGGTCTCGAAGTGCATCTCGCACTGATGAATGAAGGTGGTGGCCTTCTCCCGTTTGTCCGGGGTATCGGTCCCATCGAAGGGTCCCGGCGGGGCGAGCCGAAAGGGGTTCGATCCCTGACCGCCGACAGGCTGCTGCTGGCTCTGAGCGAAGAGCGTCATGGCCTGCGCCATCTGTCGGAGTGCCTCCTCCATGGGAGAAGGTGCGGGGGGAGGAACCGGAGGAGAATGAATGTGGCCGTCGTCGGACATGATAAAAGGAGTGTCGAAAGGAGGGTGAAAAAGGACGTGAAGAAAGGAAGAGACGAGGGAAGAAGAATTCGCTAGCCGGGGTAGAAGAGGATGATCCGTTATTCTATTAGGGGGAAAGACTAACAGTCTACACGGGGCTAGGTCTAGGGGTAATGGTGTAATAACGGATGAAGTATATACATACAATAAGCCTATTATAATAAGCACCTATGGGAGATGTAAAAGTAGACCCCTGTGGGGATGTCGAGAGGTGTCTCCGAAGGGACCTCCGAGGGGGTCTCCCGCGGGAGTAGCGACGCGTCACGTGACGGCTATAACAGATATACAATCATTGATGATTCTGAGACATTCCAAGCTCTGCTGAATTTTTGGTTCTTTCTTCTTGTTCTCATCTTTGAGCAGGGTGTTCTCTGCCTTAAGAGCACCAATATCTTCTCCATGCTGGATGACATTGGTGACGATGCGATGGAGGGAATCGACCTTGTTCCATTGAGACTTGATTTTGCCCCATTGCTTTTCGAGCTTGATAAGCAGTTTGTCGGCCATGATGATGCAGGGCAGCCGATGACAACCATCTGAGGGCTTGATTGTACAGTTTGATCACTTCTACCCTTCGGCTGCGCGACCTAGAACAAGTTCTATCGCTTCTCAGATAGCCGCGGTAGCGAGATACTCTTGGATAGTGTCGTTTGTGATGTACCCTAAAATGAAGCCGGTGTGTCAGCTTCACAAAGTCTGGCTTTCTACTGCTGGATGCTGACCACTCATGGAGATGCGTCTCCATTTGGATACTACCACAATTCTTGTGAGATAGCTAGAGGGTTTCAGGTAGATGGCGCATGTCCAATTTGACGTGAACGCAAAAGAATCACGGGGTTCTTGCGCCCAGGCGGTTTCGACGTTTCCAATCACGGTTGTTTGCTCATCCTGGCGCTGTTCACAAGATGTCATGTCCGCACAGCGGTAGCCACGCTCTCCTAAGCACAATCAGGCCTTCGTCCTACCATGAGTCTGCAACATCGGTGTATTTAGCCTGAGCGTAGACCTGGCTTTAGCGATCCTCTTCAACATGTCCGTCGGTGGCGGGTAGAGGGTCTGCCGATGCTTTAAGGATTTGCGTCGATCACCTTCTTACAGTCCTTCATCAGAGCCCAATTGCACTGCATCCCCCTTTTCAAGCACATTTCGCATGCCGGCAGTCCTGCGCAACCCCCTCTTTTGCTGTCAATACCACCTAGACACCTAGGACTCGGTTTGCCGGCCTCTTTCTTCAGAGCTTCCCAAAGTTTCGGATCCATCTTCCTATCCTTAACCCCGATCAATGTAGAAAGTAAGCGCGCGCGTGTGAGGATTACTGGGATTACTCCTCAGGATTACAGGTGGATGATGCTTAGTCAGCATCACCTAAGTTGGGACCTCACCCCGGTGATGAAAATCTCGGACAACTAGATCATCAATATACATCACTTGACTGTTAGATCTCAAGCAATATCTTGAGTTCTAACAGGTCAGTACCTTTGTATTGGTTAATAACACATGCCATTGATAAAGCAATATCTTGAGTTCTAACAATCAATCGGTTCAAATGAGCACCAATATCAGATTCCTACCTATCCTTCACGTCGATCAATCGGTCCGGACGAGCACCGATACCAGACTCGCAAACTGATCGGCTGGTACCCAAGAATCATGTAGGAACAATGTAGTCAGACATCCACCAGGCCGCCCATGCATTTCCGCCGTAATCATGCAACTGACCACTGATCATTTTTGGATCTCTGTCTGCCCTTTCCTGTGCGGTCATCAAATTGTCTTTCGAGCTGTCCCCATCGTCATCGCTCATCTCCATCACCAACATGGCTAGTTCTTCTTCTTCAGGCGTAATGTTATATGCTGTTTGAGGATCAACATATTGAAGCATCAACAAACCAAGTCGAAAAGTCTCAGAGTACGATCTCGGCTTGAATGGGACAGGTTCTCGGCCTCGTACTTGAATCGATCGCGATCAGAGCCAACCTTCCTTCAATACCCTCGAATTGCCTCGCAATGGCAGGAAAATAATCGTTTCTTTCAAGCTGGACATCACTCAACCGCCAATTGCACGACCTGATTTAAGCTCCACGGTCCATAAGGGCATTCAGGCCGATGTCATCAGGTCTGTGCTCGAAGTTCCGTCCGGTGGAAAGTCCTCATGATGCTGTCGGACTATACCGACGGCCTTTGATCTACGCAGAGAGCGACACGCCGGACAAGCCATGCCCATCAAGTGCGGTGAATACAGGAACGCGTACTGACAACGCAATGGTAGGATCGAGCACGTTGTATGATCATTTCGATATATTCGCATGTCGTTATATATCATTTCGCCGGGGGCGTACACGACCTTCGTCTCCCTTGCATTATCATTGACTCGGTAGCGCGCGAATGCTATTTCTTGCCTCATTCTTCGTCTTCGTTCTCGCCGTTTTTCCCCTTCTTCCTACATTGCGTCTGCTCCTTCGGAATAGCGCTTCAAAAACCGTTGACTCGATCAGAAGACCTGTCCAGGAGGTGGAAAGTAGACCGGCGATAAGATCAGCCATCGATTCTCGTTAACACGCCCTCTCAAACGACCTCAGACGCCATCGCCCATCACTCAACCCTCCCCATAAGCACAACCCCCCGCATCAACCACAACCACAACCACGACCGCAAACCGCGCAGCAAAACGCAAGAACAAGTAACGTATAACCCTCAGACCGAATAAACGTTTTCGTCCCCACCAAAAGACGCCCCCCCAAAAGGGAGACGTTTGGATATCAGACTCATTAAATCAGTGTATATTGTTGTTTTTAGGTCGCATCATAGGGTTGTATTGTTATTCCTTTTCGCTTGTTTTTGCGTTTTGTGCTTGTGCGGTCTGTGTTGCGGTCTTGATCTTGATTTCGGTTTGAGGCGCGGCGATCGACGGATTCGGAGGAGGATGTACGGGAAAGATAGCCGACAGGTCGCAGCGGAGCAAGGAAGAGACACATCCCGAAGAAAAAAAAGACGAGGCATCGACACCCGGACTAACCTTTCTTCTCACCGGACGATCAACTCCCCCTCAACCCCCCGCCTATCCAACCCCAACTTGTCCAACAACCCCAAATACGCTCCCTCTCCCTCTCCTCCCCGCCTGCCCACCCTCTTCTTGTAGTACGAAAGGATCTTGGCTCGTTGGTGGACGAGTTCTCGGAGACGTTTCTTGTTATGGACGTCCCGAGGATTAGCGGCAAGGTGCGTGTTGAGCAGGTGGATACGATGAGTGAGGATAGCGGAGGTTACTGTTGGGTGGCCGGTGTTCATCCTGGGCGCTACAGGCTCCTTGTCCGCCTTCCCACTAGCTCCGTCACCGTTGCCATTATTGTCGTTGTTGGCATTAAGATCTCCCCCGAAGACCTCGACGATCCTCCTCACACTCTCCTTCCTGACCCCCTTCGCATCGGCATTCCTCAAATCAAGTACCCTCATAGTCTGTTCACTCATCTTAGCCTCCATAGCGACCGCCTCCTCATAAGCGCGTCTCTCTGCGGGAGAAGGGGTCTTGCCGAGCTTGGCAGCTTGGGCGGCTGGGAGGGAAGAGAGGAGGGTCTCTGGGAGGTGTTTGAAGAGGAAGGTTTGGTCCGCGTTCAAGTTGAGGTTCGAGGTCGAGGTAGAGTCCGAGGTGGATTCCGAGGTGGAAGAGAGCGAGCCGGTATAAACAGCCGGCTGGACCGGAGCGGGAAAACCGCTATTCTCCACGGTGTACTGCGAAGGATATTGAGGAGGCTGGGAGAACCAGATCGATTGCCGGTCGAGTACCACCTTCTTCAACAAGCTCCGTTCATATTTCCCTCCAACTTCCTCCTTCGCAGTGTTGTTGTTGTTGGCATTGCTGCCAGACTGTTGACGAGCGAAAAAACCACCCGTCCTAACCTCCGGCTTCAGGTCCCCCAAGATCGGATCTACCAACCCTTGGACGTCTTGCCTTGACCGCTCGGTACGGAGGGCGAGGTTCTTTTGTTTCTTCTGACGTGCGACGATCTTGCGTTTGGATTCCAGCGGGGTAGAGGATGTGTGGAATGATGCACGAGAAGACGATGATGCAGAGGTGGAGGATGATGATGAAGCGGTGCAATTGAGAAGAGAGGGAATAACGGCTGTAACATCAGAAATATCAGGAGATGCAGCGTGTCAACTGGACCGTTTCCGACATGCTCGTTCTCGCATTCAGTCGGGGCCACTTACCTGTCCGTAAAGACAGCCTGCTTGTTGATCCTATCAGAGTCGAGTGGGACATGGTTGCAGTGATTTGGAGAGGTACTTATTAGGTCGAGTGGGAGTAGAGTGAAGATAGTAAACGTGCCTTTTCAAGTTGGGACTTGGTCGATTTTTTTCGTTCTTAAGTTGATTTCCTGCGCTTTCTCACGCGTCTGAGCTCGCGCCAGTGACCTGGTCGAGGGTTCAAAGGGATCGACCTCGATACAAACAACGTCGTTGTTGATGGTGAGATCGACCACCCCAATAACTTCACAGCAGCATAGTGAATCACATAGGATCATTCTTTGGATCACTAGCTATAAAATCCCGAAACTCCGGTGGATCCACGTCGAACGGCGGACGAGATGATCATACCTAAACAAGAATCGTCATCATCATCAACACCCTCATCAACAACCACCTCTTCTGCGTCAAAAGCAAAAGCATCATCAGCTCCTGGTAAAAAGGCGACATCACAGGCCAGTCCACTCAAATTGAAAAAGGGTAGCAAGATGGCAGTACGTAGACCTTGACCGCCTTGTCACTTCTATGTGGGCAAACGCAAGACCGATATTGACAGTAGTGATCACAAACACCTGCTACTACTTCATACCACATCTCTCCACTCGCCATACCTATCCCATAGTCAACGGCCACCTCACCAACAACCACCTCATCTACCTCCTCATCAACCTCACCAAAGATGCCCCCTCCGAACCTCCAATCAATCGACAGCTCATTCCAACTAGCAGAATACCTCGCCTTGCTGATCAAGCGGGATCCGAGGGATGTAGAGGGGATCGTGGATTTGCCTGCGAGCGGATCGGGTGCGAGTGCCAATGAAGCGAACGCGGGTGCGAGTGTGAGTGCGAGTCAAGCTAGCCCGGAAAAGGCGAAAACCACACACCAGGACAAGGGCAAGGACGGACAAGGAAAAGTACAAGGAGCTGGAGTTGGAGTTGGATCGAGAGGTGCGGATGGGGTTGGGAGTCCGAACGGGAGTGGGAGTTCAAGTGGGAGGAAGAAAGAAGTGGATCTCGTGAGTTTCCTCTTCTCGGCTCTCCCAACTTTACTTTCAGGAATACGATCTCGGCGTCCTCGTTCTTGCTCCCATCTTGGGGTGTTCCGCATCGTCGCGTTCCGGGATCTGCCGGTCCCAACCCACTCTTGACTGCTACTTCGGAGCGGAAAGCTCGAAGCGTGTCCGTACGGTCCCTTACCAGCCCCGAGCCGGTGGATGGGCAGAAGTGCAGATCGAAAACGTGAACGTAGGATGGGGTCTGACATCCAGATCGATGTGAGGGTTGGAGCTCAGGGCGGAGATCGTCGTAGATCGAGATGCGATGCGAGACCGAGCTACAGTTCGACGATCGACGACGTGTGGCAGGATGACGATAACGATTGAGTCCGAGATATAGAAAGCTGATATCAACACGCTTCCTCATTCTTTTCTTGCTCTCTCTGTTGGGTCGGCGGGAAATTGCAGTGGGTGTACGAACATCTTCGGTAAGCCCCCCAATTCCCCGAATCCCTATATGCTTTCCACACACTACTCTTCTCTTCACTCACACCCACACATACGTTGCTTCGACTCTGCAGCCGCCTACCACAAGACCTGACCCCGCTCCTAACCTCCCTCCTGCCCGTCTGTTCGAGAGAAACGTGCCCGGAAATGAAAGCTGCCGAGTGGGTTTACTTGTGCGTTGCACATCCTGTATTGGGGCCCGGAGGGAGTTCTGGTGGGGGTGTGAATGGGGGGATGAGCAGTGAGGTGAGTCTTGGCCTCTTCGGGATGGTACTTGCGTTCTGGAGAGACGTGGCTGAGGTGTTCGAATCCTTGGTGTGCCGGGTTGGTAGGGTTGTTCGGCGATCGATTATATTCTGCATACGTAAGTGTCGCCTCCGACACCAAGTATTTTCTACTCGTCAGCGGAACTATGAACAAGATTGGAAAAAGGCAGAAAAGCTGAGTTATGATATGCGTTGCGTGGAAAAACAGGGTGGACCAGCATACGGCGCTTTGGAATTCGGCCCAGGCGTTCCCTTCTCGGTGAGCGCCTCTTCCCTTCCGTTCCTCGCTCGAACAGCAGGCGCATAGCTGACCACACCTTGCACAAAACCACGTGTAGACTCTCTATCAAAGCCGGCTCTGAACGGTATTTCGGTCAACAAGCTCGACGGATCTCCAGGGTCTTTGGGCACGCTTGGTTCCACCACCGAGAGGTTTTCGAGGAGTGCGAGGTGAGCCCCTGGCGATTCTGATCTTTTCTTTTTGGCGTTTCTTCTCTTTTTGCTGACGACAACGAGTTGTTTGGCTACGTGGCCTTTCTTGGTGCGGGTCGCTTTAGGCTGAGAACGCGCTGTACGCACGGTTCTTAGCGCTGATCAGGCGGTACGGATTGATGGCCGAGGAACTGCTCGTCATCCCCTGGGACAAGCCCGGGTCCAGCGAGAGCAAGAACAGCGACGGTCAAGATGGCGGGAAGACCGACGCCGCTTCTGCTAGTGCTGGTACTGCTGGCGCAGGGGTGGGTTTGAAGAGGTCGGCCTCGGTCAAGGTCGCCGCCGGATCCGGATCTGCAGCGGGGAAGAAGGGCGAGAATGACGAAGAGGAGGAAGATGCCGATGTGGAAGATGGCTCGGAAGGAGAGTTTAGGCGCGATCAATTCGGACCCTCAACGGCTGTCAAAAAGCCCGCTGGATCTTCCGTTACAGGAAAGTCGAGCAGAGGGCGCGGAGGTTCAGACAACAAGGCGGTCAGGGGGAGGAGAAAGTTGTTCCAAGTGGACATCCCAAAGGAAGAAGACGAGGACGACATCATGGACGAGCTCGAAGCGCTCGAGCACGTTCAGAATCACGGGGACGACGACGATCCCGTCAACGCCGAGATCGATCGGTTTACGATCATCGCCAACAAGGAATTGTTGGAACCGAGGGCGGAGCCGGGGACCGAGGTCAACAAGTCGAACAGGAGCAGGAACAGGAACGGGAACAACAATATCGAAAAGCTCAGGAGGATGCGTGAAGCCAACGCCTCTTCGAGCGTTGGAGGCAAGTTGAACGGCTTGGGGATGGGTGTGGAAAAGTTCCCCACGCCCACGCTGAGAGACCCGTTAGCTGGGGATCCTAGTCGAGGAGTCTCTGTCCCCTTGCATGATGTCAGTCTGAACGACGACGATGACAAGGTGGACCACGCGGAGGGTGGGAGCGATAGCGATGATAGTGGTGGATCCGGGGGATCTGATCCGGAAGAAGCTGTCACGGGCGCTGCGGTGGATTCGGACGAGGAGGATGAGAAGATGGTGGAGGATGTCGGGAGCGGGTTATAAGCCGAGGTGTTTGACGAGGGAGTACCCCATCTTTTCACGCTCCTGTTCCTTTTTCGCTTTTCTCGGATGTGTTGACGACCGCTACGAATGTATGGATGATCACGACGACTTGATATTCTATGTGTGTATCTGTCTAGACTGGATGCTGGCCTGTGCAGCATATCGACAACGTCATTATCAAGACCGAAGTTGCCACTTCTGACGACTTGCACGTTGACATTCTTGACGCAGTTCGACGGACACATTGGTGGACCTTCTTCCCCCCTTCTCAAGCAAAGCTGTGGCTTCCCGCTACACCCCTACCCCTCCTCTTCCCGCGGTCACCTTCAAAGATCGGCACGCCAAGGATCTGGCCGTCTTCAAGGCATCCGAAACTATTGAGGCACACATGACGGTGATGAGTGGTTATATCACCTACTTCTCAAAGCACCGCGCCAAGATTATTGAGGAGTAAGTTTAAATCTTTAAGCAAGAGCCTAAATTTTGTATGCTTATGCCGTTCTGGCTGCCATAGTATATTGAAGGTGCAAGCTCCACCTTGTGCTGCACCCCACCCGTTCGATAAGGCCTTTATCAGCCACCCCTGGCAGATATTGAGGGCTCACCTGTCTTCAGATTGTGTACCAGAGACATCTTCTCCCGTCACCCTAAGCTGAGCGGGTGGATCGTTCCTGAGGGTGTAACCACTAACCCCTAAGCGTCAATGTATCCGTTGTTGTTCATGAGTCGGAATTGTGTTGTTATGGGGCGCCATAAGCGTCAAATGCAAAATTGTATGCTACCACGTTTACGCGTATCAAGACTCGATTGCGCGTATCTAGACTCAATTTCGCCTTTACAACACTTAACTACGCCTTTCACTTCTCGCCTTTACGAGCCCAGTCTAGGTCACCCTACAATCGACTCGATCAGTCTCGGCTGTACTATAAAGGGACCATGTAGTCACGTATACGCGACCATGTCCTTTCACATCCCAATCATGAGTTGCAATTCACTCGAATCAGCTTACAATGGAGTCCACTGGTCATATTGTTCTAGTTTCTGCCCACGTTGCCCAAATATTCGTGCCGATACGGCTTTACCTCGATCAGGAGCTCAATCAACGGGATCCCCTGCTCCTACCAACCCTGCTTAACGCTCTAGACGACCTCGCACACTTTCTACGAATCGTTGTCAAGCACCGTATCCCTCATCAAGCTTACCGCGAGCACATTCTTGCCGTCATTGGATTCCAAGATCGTCTCTGTGCTTATCAAAGATCTTTGACTGATGCTCCAGCCATCGTCGCTCCCAACTTGACAAGGTCACTAGAGGGCGGCCGCCCTACCGTCTCAATCCCCGCAGAACAACTCGTACTGTATACCAACCTTGGCTTCCACGACAAAGACATCGCTCGACTACTTGGCACCTCGAGAAGCACGATCACTAGGCGAAGGAAGGAATTGGGCTTGCAGAAGCGTCGGGAGAAACACTTGGTACCCCAAGATCGTCTTGAAGCTGTAAGTGCAAGAGCGTTCGAGACCGAACAAGACTTTTCAAGACACGACAAGACTTGAATAGACTTGAAAAGACATCTAAAGACTGTTAAAAGCATGTCTTAGGCTAAAGTACTTTCGTTATTGTTGACATAAGCTGATTTGACTTGAATTTGTTCTACAAAGCTTGTCGGCAATATCCTAACAACTGTCGACTCCAACAATACCGGAGAACGTCTTGTTATGGGTCTCCTCACGGCACAAGGAGTCAAAGTTACCCGACGACAGTTGAGAGATGTCATGCAGACGTATGACCCACAAGGGAACATGCTGAGGCGAGCGCAGGTCCTGCACAGACGCGACTACGATGTCCCCTTCATCAATTCTCTATGGCACATGGACGGCCAGCATAAACTCATCAACTGGAAGTTCGTCATTCATGGCTGCGTAGACGGCAAATCCCGACTTATCGTCTATATGCAAGCTTCCAACAACAATCGTTCTGATACGGTTGATGCGAGCTTTCTGCGTGCTACTCATGAGTGGGGATGGCCGTCAAGAGTTAGAGCAGACTATGGGGGGGAAAATCTCGGGGTTCGGGACCTGATGAACCAAGTAAGAGGTCAGTCTGGCTCATCGAGTCTTGTTTACACTTTTTTACACTCAACGAGACGTATATTCACTCATTGTGACTTCGATCCGTCCAATCGCACTTGTTAACAGGATCGAATCGTGGTTCGTTTATGCAAGGCCCTTCGACCCGCAACGTGCGGATTGAGAGGCAGTGGAGACAAGTTGGAGAGTCTGTCACCCAGAAGTTCACAAGGGCGTTCATGGAGTTGGAGTCGCAAGACGATCTGGATCGGAACAACGCGGTAGACATTTACTGTCTTCACTATGTGTTCATGCCGTACCTGAACTTCGTGCTAGGACACTATGTTGACGCATGGAACCATCACGGTATGTCGAATCCTGGGTTAAGAGGGCTTGGTCCTGTCCAGATGTGGTATCGAGGTGAGTGATCATTTGATTAGTCTTGATAAGTCGAAACGTGACTGAACTGGTCCATATTGGACTTTGAAAGGCTTGCTTGGCGCGACTAGCAACGGATACGACTTGGACTTGTTTCCCGAGACTCGACACAACATCGATGGCACACAGTTTGACAACAACGCCCCAGGCGAACACGCAAGGGATAATCAAGGATGGGTCAACGCTTTACGTATGGAGGCAACGGCTCCAGTGCAGGACCAGCTGCGTCAACCTCGTCATCGCGATCCATTTGTTATCGTCCCTCGCTACATGGACCACGTCCCCGACGTCTTGGTCACAGAGGAATTCAAACAGGAACTCGTCAATCACTATCCTGTACAAGCGTTCGATAATCTCTGCCAAGCTGTGGCTCATTATCTGGCTGTACGCGAGTACGTTTACAACACCTTGCAAGATCTTGACTTGCGTGGAACTCTTGAGCCGTAGAGATGCTATGTCAAGCACGCGTGAGAAACCACAAGCCTCCTCTGCATCCGCTGAGCCTCGCTTACGCCTTGTTGCTCTTGTTTCAAGTGGTCAACCATCCTTTCGACTGGCTTAAACCCTCCTTTGGCCTATTGTTGTCGACAAACAACAACAAACAACAATAAAATTCCTCGTACGACTGCTTGGCTGGTAGGCAGGGCGAGATTTGCTATATCTCTCGCCCTATTTTGATCGTTTGTAACTTCTTCGAGTTCTTCTATCAAATTCATTCCTTTCAAACATATTGTCATCGCTCAACTCCCGTAAACCTACTACTCTAAACTCATCGTTACTACCCCCTCCAATCAACATGTCTGAATCTTCCGACCGAATCTCCAAGAGCCCCGAATTCCCGGGACATGACGCCTCGAATGAGGTGCTTGCGAAGTGGAAGGAGGACCTCGACGCTCATGGTGAGTCTCTTTGAGTTTTGTTTAGTCTTTTTCCAGCTCTTCCTCGCTCTACGACGCCTGGAAAAGAGTCTTTTAGTCTGATTCGATACTGTTTCTGTATTGTAGACCGCCGTGAAGAACGTCGAGGAGCTCTCCGGCCCCGGGGAGACAAGAACGAGTTGGGCCTGCCCAAACCTCCTCCCGCCGGCTCGAGCTCGAGTTCCGGCACCAAGAAGACCGGACCCGGGCCGAACAAGGGTTCGAAGCAGCCGGGGAAGAGAACGGTTGCGAAGAAGCAGCTGGCGAGGGGTCCGGGAGGGAAGTTTTTGCCCAAGGCCGTGGGGGATAAGGGGAAGGGGAAAGAGTTGGGGCAGGAGGTGAAGGGGCCGGACGACATGGACGTTGATGTCCCGGCGGATGACGAGGAGGTGGAGGAGGAGGAGGAGGAGGAGGTCCAGGCCGAGCCCGTAAGTCTATTTGAGTCAAGTAAAGTCCTTTCTAGTCGAACGTAGACTCTTTTAGTCGACAGTAAACTCACCCAACGTCCTTTGGGGTTTCACAGACAACGACGTTGACGATGAGTGAGCTCCGAGAGCTCATCCGAGCGGGGGCTGAGAAGGTGTTGGAGGGCGAGAGGAAGCAGAGGGAGAAGGAGGAGAAGGCGGAGAAGGAGAAGGAGGAGAAGGAGAAGTTGGAGTCGGACGAGGCGATCGCGAAGGCGAGGGAGGAGATGGTATGTTCTTACATGTTTCCTTTATACTGTTTACTTGTCAATCTGATTGCGAGTGCGTTGTTGATCTTCTCGACTATAGGAGGAGGCCGCGAAGGCCACGAAGACGACCGTGGTAAGTATTCAGGCCTAGTCACGCTCAAATACACCAACTACGCCCACTTACACTCGACTCTGCTTGACTCTTACTTACCTCTGATTGTTTGCGTTCACAGGACAAGAAAGCGGTTTCCCCCGAGGTGACGGCCTCGACTTCGGGGGACAAGGAGAAGGCCAAGGATGGCGTGGTGCAGATTGCTGGATGTGTAAGTAGCCCTTCGCCTACAACTACCAATCTGTATTACTGACTCATAGCTTCTTTGTTTGTCGCTTCTTTAGACGGTCTCTAAAGATGGCAAAACCATCATCGACGGCGAAGGCAAAGGCCTTACGACGTACAAGTGGGAGAAAGTCCAAGTAAGTTGGGCTTGTTTAGACTTGATAACGCTCGATTAGACGAACAAAGACTAATTGAGCTCTTTCAACTATCAGGTGTGCCGACACATGCTGAAGAAGCATGCCACGTCTCTCGTCGAGTGCCTTGGGGAGAACCGATGCGAGCAATGCCGCAAAGGGGGTCGGGACCTCAAGAGCAACAAGGAGACCCAGCACTTCGACGATCAGTACTCGAGGTGCATCTTCGGCGACGATAAGGGCTGCTTGTGCTGCAAGTGGAAAGGGAGGAACGCCGATTGCCGCGGCGCCAACAAAGCCGGTGCTCTTGCACCTCTTGCTGAGCACGAGAAGAACACCGCCGCCGCCGCCGCCCTTGCTGCCAGGGCCTCTACCCCGCCTCGCTTTCCCGTCTTTGGTGGCATCAGATCGCCGACTCGCCCTCTCGCTCCTCCCGCCGCCGCCACCCTAGCGTTCGAGCAGACTACGCATGATGTGGCCAAAAAAGTCCAAGCGGCCGGTGCGTGGTTGGAGAAGGTTCAGCAGGAGTGGGCGGACCTCGGGAAGTCTGACGAAGGCCAGGAGGACTGGAACGGTCTCGCCGAGAAGTTCCCAAAGGCTTCGGCGCTCCTTGCTGAGGCCAACGAGATCATCACCCATCTCGACGGTGCCGCTTTGACCGGACTGGGGCGCGAGCTCGAGCAGGGCGTTACCAAGGTCAAGGCTGAACGGGAGACAGCTTTGCCGGCCACTCCCACCAGGACTCGAGCAGGATGGGCTTCGAGGCCTTTCGGTACGGGATTTGGGGCTCCTTTGTCGTGATTCTTTCTTCTTTCGATATGTAAATGTAAATGTATCTAGGACAGTCTCGTATCGCGCTGTTTGTATCTATTTATGCGAAGAATACCTCGAATAAGCCTTGCACCAAGCGATCAAACTCTTCTCCGTGTTACAAAGACTTATCGCGCCCAATTCAGCAACAAAAAGACTAAATTTGTGTTAACAAGTCGCGTCAAGTGTAACAGAGTCTAACACGCAGGTGACAGAAAGACTTACATCAGTATGAGCACCTATTGAAGCTTGGCCGGCAGCCTTTTCCTTCGTTGCCCTTTGCCCACTGCTTGTTGTTGCTCCAAAGCCTTTGCAGCACGTGTCCTTGCGGCTGCTGAGCTCTCGGGAAGATCTGCAGAGTTCATTGCCTCGTGCTTCCTCTTGCGTCCGCCTCCGGACCTTTGCTGCAAGGTAGAAGTGGCAGCAGCAGCAGTCGAGGTGGAAGGGTCAAGTTCCTTTGACGCTGTAGAAGATACAGTCTCTTCAGCAGGACAGGCGGTGTTGTCCACGTTTGCTACGGAAGATCATATTGAAGCAAGATCAGTAACCCCGATCTCAACCGAACAAATACTGTTTGGAATCTTGTCTAGTCCTAATAACCCCGCACAAAGCTTACCTGGACCAATCTCATGCGAAACATTTCCTGGAGTCGAGATATAGCGGTGATAAGCGTTATTAAGCATTGTTGAGCCTTATCGAGCACAACTTCCACTCACCTGGTTCCATTGAAGTCCTCTGATTGCCATCCTGGGTTGCTTTGACTGCGCCCTGTGCGTCCATGTCGAGGTACTGGAACGGGAAGTTGGGGTCCAGCTCATCAAGGAAATGGTCGCTAGTCTGGCTATGCTCGTCGACCTGCGGGAGTCCCATGCTCTCCAGCAATTGCTGATCTCCAGCCGAGCGTTCAAACGAGAACGATTCGGTGCCGTCGAAGGGGCCTGCGCCCGAACCTGACTCAGTCTGGTCGTAAGAAGACTCGGCTCGTCCAGTTGAGGTTGGGTTACTGCTATCGACCCCACCTAACGAGTTGGCCAAGTCAAGGTGAGACCTAAGCCGTTGTTTCTGATTTGACAGCCATCGTGCGCCAAACGCTGGATGTTGGGCGACTTTCGAGAGGAGTTTTCCCAAAGCAGGAGCAGACTGCTCATCATCTGAATCGATCACGTTCACGATAGAGATTCCTGAGGAGGATACAGAGGTAGCCCTTTGCTTCCCCTTACCCTTCCACTTCTGTTTTGGCCGGGGACGGGGACGAGTGTAAGATGGGCTAGTCGGCTCAAGCTTGAGACCAGGTTCGGCTTTGACCTTTCCGTTGAGAGCCAAGTTGGACTTTTTTCGACTTGTTTTGGCCTTGTTGTCCTCTTCCCCCTCTTCCTGCTCACGAAAGGGCACACAATTGCGCTGATGGACAGGTAGCTGTGTCGAAGGGTATTTACGCCTACACCCTGAGCAAGGCCTCAACGCATTGCGATGATCGGAGTCGTCGCTGTCTAAATCCTCTTCCCACATGTCGCCTTCCTGCTTATGAGCGGCTGTGATCTGGTATCTCCAACCGGGAGAGTCGTTTGCAGGGAACTCCCACCCTTCCTCGATGATGTACATTGACGAAGAGTTGTGATACATCTTCTGTAAATCCTTAAGCGTGAATTCATAGGCCCGTCCAAGCGTCTCGGGGTGGAAACGAGTCGTGCCCTGACCCAGTTTGGCCCATAAAAAGGGTTTGATAAGGAAGCGAGACCCATGTTTGGCCCTAAACTTGTCCAACACAGTCTTCGCAATGTCGGTAGGGTTCATGTTGGGTGTCAGGTCGATTAACTGACTGTACCCAGTCGTCTCTGTGGCCTCGGCAAACATAGCGCCGGCCTTCGGCTTTGCCTTGTTCCATAACATGACCTCCCTGCGAAGGATAGACCCACAGCCAATATAGGTAACCTGGAATCAACAAGAACTACTTGTCAGTACGAACAAAACTCAGTCCAACTTCACAAGCACGTCTCGGGTTCAACTAAGTTCAAAAAAGTGTTAACAAGACCTCGCAAGTCTTGTTTAGTCGTAAAACCGGCTGACTTACCCGATTGTAAGTCTTGCCAATGAGGTAAGGCTTAGCTTGGGCTACCGTAGCCTTTTTCTGAAGGCCCCGAGCCGTAGCCATCTGGAAACTTCCATTCCGGAACCGTTGAGTAGAGCCAGTAGCTGATCCGCTAGGGGGATTGGGCGGGGGGAAGGTTGTGATCATTTGACTCAGGTGAGGGTATCCTGTATGTTGTCGTTCAATCGCAACAGCGCTCTGCGAGGGCCTGAGACCGGCATTGTTTGAAGCCGATTGATCGACCTGGTCTATAGGGGTAATGGGAGCATAAGGAGCCCTAGGTTGTTCCGTAGAAGCTCTAGGTTGCTCAATCGAAGTCATGGCGGGTCGACCAGGCATGGGAGGAAGAGGAGCTACGATTTGCTGGACCCACTGATCGACTAGCTGACGATCTCCTCCAAGTCGCTTTGAAGGAGTCGAGTCAAGTCGGCGTCGGAGATGTTGTGGGTGGACATGGTTTCCAAGGGGACGTAAAGGCCTAAGTGAGGTGTTTAATATGGTATTTGGGGGGGCAATTAGAGATAGAGCAGCTATGCGAGACTTGATATAGCTTGGTCGTGAAAGTCGAGCATGAACAAAGCTTCATCTAGTCTAATCAAGTGTAAACTAGTCGTAACTGGTCATTCCGAGTCTTCGTGATACTGACCGTGGCTCATCGGATGCAAATAAGGGTCACCGGAGCCTAGTGAGGCGAAAAGTAGGCGAAAAGTAAACAATCAACGCAAACAAGCGACCATACGCGCGTCGAAACCATTAACAAGCGAAAGTATAGGCGAGTGACGCTTCCGGCGGGCCATATGTTGTTCCTTCTTGTTTACAAAGTCCAAAGTGACGAATCTGGGCGGAAAAGTCGAATCATCCATCGATCCATCATCATCATCTACCTTGGGGAGATTGCATGACCCATAAGATCTCCATGGCCTTGTAGCCTAGAAGATCATAGTATGTGATAGGTCGCCACACCTCTGAGGATGTCCTCGTCAAAAAAGCAGAAAGGACCGCCGCTTTTCCCCGCCGCACCGAGCTCTCCCAAAGCTCTGCGGTCGATCGGGATGACGGGTTATCGAGCGTTCGACCAGGATGATATGGATCTTAGGGAGACCAAGCAGGAGAGAAAGGAGTTTGATGAGGAGATGAGAAACGGCTTGATGACGCACTGGGAGGAGACAGAAGCTGCGGGGCAGGTCACGAGAGCTGGGGAATCGACGGGAAGGGAAGAGGAGTTGGAGATCGTCGACCTGATCGAATCGTCCGATAGCCCTAGTCTACGGATCGTCGAAGCTCCTCCCAAGCACCTACAACTACAGCAACAGATGAAGAAACAGAATACGGAACCGGCTTTGAACAGTCAACCTCAGCTTCAAGCACTGCCAGGTCGATCCCGCACCCTTCCGGACTTATCGACCACGACCGCTCTTGGCATCAAACCTACCCTCACCCCTACACCCATCCTGGACCCAGACGACCCCTTCTCAAGATCAAACCTCTTCCACCCACACCCTCAACGTCCAGGAGGCAAACCTAGCGCAGCTATGCTCAAACTCCTCGAAGACCATGCCAAGTTCGAGAAGAAGGAGCTCAAGAACAAGATGCGTGGGAGCCGGAGTAAAGTCTTTGAAGGGTGTGTGGTTGGGGTCGTTATGAGTCAGAAGGCGTTCAATAGTTTGAGGGATAAGTGGAATTTGGTTAGTCGAGTGCCTAGTAGATTCTTCTGAAATTCGGTTCGATATCTATATCTCGATCTGATCGCTTCTTCACTTCAATCGCCGCGCCCTCTCCCTAAATAGCTACTCCTACACGGCGGAACCCCAGTAATCCGCTACACCCCCCAAGTCACACACATAGTCTCCGACCCAGACGTGGACGAACCCGCCTTCCTGAAATTCCTCGGAGTTGCCAACCGGGAAGAATTAGCAGAAGAGGTTAGAGATAGGGGGGTTAGTTATGAGTGGGTTTCTACTTGTATACGGGTGAGTAGAAACCATGTTTGCGAACTCGGATGTGATGATCGGTTCCGCCGTGTGAAGGCAAGATATGTTAGAGCTAGGCGGGCTTACAGACGATCCTACCGCACGTGAACTTCGGTCCTCGGTCCTCTTAGACAAGGGTCCTTCAGCCTCTCGAACCGTACTTCCTGAAGAAGAAACCCAGACCGTTTGGAAGAGGATCTACGGAGACGAGCTTCGGCTTCGGACCTGGGTTTGGGAATGGATCTATGGCTTTGGGTGTGGGTGTTGCGGGACTAGGGCCTGGCACCATGGGGCTTGCCGGGAAGAAGAGGGAGTTGAGCGCCGTTGAAGCGATCAGGGTTGGGAAACGGACGAGAACGTAAGCTTGCTGTGATGCCGATTCGCATATCGCTCCAGTGAGAAACAACGCTGACACTCGTGCACACGCATTCCCTCGGTACGGTTGGACGCAGTACGAGAGAGATCACACCGACTGATTCGGACACCCAAGCTTCTCGATCTCTTCAGCGGATGGAACAGTTCATCCCGGTCCAGCCTGAATCGATCGCGAGTATGACGGGAAACAAGGAAGAAGATGATCAGTATAAGCGGAGGTTTGGGTTGGAACCCGGCGTCCCGGCGGACCCGTTGGATGAGATCATTATGGGCGTGAAGATGGGGACTGTGGATATCGATGATGGTGACGAGGTATGTCTGCGAGGGACCTCCAAGACATTCTGATAGGATGACCGATTCCAATTGATGTGAATTTGCTTTAGGAACCGCTTCGACCGGCTCTAGCTCCAGCAAAGCTTACGAAAAAGACGTCGACGGGTCGGACTGGCGACGAAGATGACGGGACAGACGACGAGGATCCGAAGCATGTTGCCGCGAAAGGGCAGGCTCTGCGGGCGGCCGCTAGACGACAAGCTCACAAGCTACGGGCAGAGACAACAGACGGACCGCATAAGGCTCAGCAAGATCATGATGGCAAGACCGGGAGAGATGGGCCGAACGAAGATATCGCGTTGGCTCTTGAGGAACTCGCCAAGCTCTATCGCGATGCTGTGCACAAGAACAAGTTTTCTAGAGAATCATACCAGAAAGTAACGAACATCGTGCGGAGTAAGTCCCGAGTCGATAAGACGAGTCGGTGAGGCGGTTTTGATCTAGGTTTGAATAGACGTCCCGTACCGCATCGAGTCGGGGAAACAAGCTCAGGAGATTAAGGGTATCGGCGCGCAGATGGCGGAGAGGGCGAGTTTTCTGGTCACTTGTGCTTTTGCGCGCTGACTAACCATCGTTCTTGCCGCAGATTCAAGAATACATTGATCATGGCCGCACGATGAGGGCTGTATTTGAGGATACGCCCGAGACTCGCGCAATCGCGGCCTTTGGCAAGATTTACGGGGTCGGGCCGGCCCTAGCTCATAGTCTAGTAGCACGAGGAGCGAGAACGTAAGTCGTAGCCGGACCTCTTGTGCTGACACAAAGCTTACCTGGTTGAGACAGGCTGGACGATTTACGAAACAATCCCGACAAATACGGGTTGACCGGTGGCCACAGGTTCGGCTTGGAGTTTTACGACGATCTGAATGAGAGAATCCCACGAGATGAGGTCACTGCACTCTTCGAAAGTATCAAGCGAACAGCCCTGAAAATCGAGCCCAGGTTGCAAATCGACCCCATGGGCTCTTATCGACGAGGAGAAGAAACATCGGGTGATCTGGACATTCTGATCTCGCGTGATCCGAGCGATGGTGGTTCTCATTCTGGTCAGTCCATTGTAGAGGCTTTCGTACTTTGGCACTGATGCTATTTGGTCTCTTCCTAGGCGTAATTTTGAAACTCGTCAAAGAGCTCGTTGCGCAAGGTATCATCTGTCACACCGTGAGTAGCGCCTGGTATCGCTCGACCCCCTTGACGCCGACTCTCTATCATTCGTAACGAAACAGGTTAGCACGCCCAGCGATTGGGCAGCACTCGAATGCAAATGGATGGGTACCGGTCGTCTGACTGCCACTTCGAAGTTGAGAAGAATCGACATCCTCGCTACCCCGCACGAGCAGTATGGGGCCGCTCTGATCTATTTTACGGGAAATGATCGATTCAACCGGTCTTTGAGGTATTACGCCAATCGCCAAGGTTATTCCCTGAACCAGCGAGGTCTATATAAGGGAGTCCTGAGAGATGCGAATAGGGTCAAGCAAACGGAAGGCACTCTTGTCGCTAGCAAGACAGAGCAGGATATTTTCGACGTCCTACGGATACGTTGGAGACCCCCTCACCTTCGTCGACCTTGATGTTTCCTGCAAGATGAGTCAATGTATCCGGACCCGCTGCAATTGCCGACCCTGCAGCTCCAACATCATCAAGACGTACCGATGACAATACCACTGGCAATACTACGCTTTACTCTTACGACCTATAACGAAATCTTGTCGAGGATTACGATAACGAGAAAGATTGTCCTCAAACGGATGTAAGCCTCGGCAACGACCTTGACAAACAACGACATGCACGCTGCCCCTCATTTGTGGAGTATCGTCTCCATCAGGCGTCGGAACAGCCCTTGAACCTCTTCACGGATATCGTTTATGCGCATAGGGTATCGATGATACAGAGAGTTACAGACCGTCGAACCGACTCGATCGCCGTCATATCTATGGCCATGGGAAATCCCAATCGACGATACTCATGACCAATCTCGAGGTGCTGGAGAACGCGTGCGATGTTGACATCGCCTCGACGATCAAAGGAATGAGCGAGAAGCTTGGCAACGTGCCCAGAGTGGCGCAATGAGAGAAGCAGAGGAGACGCATTGTATAACGCAATATCAATCAAGCCCCTGAATGATGCCATTCAGAGTCATACAAAACCCAGTCCCTGCGTCGCCCGACTCTGGAGCCTCGACTCGAGAGCGACTCAGATCCACAAAGGAACTCATGTCGATTGGCGACTAGGCGCAGTCGCGCAGGACATATAAGTAGCTGCTGTCCCGCAAACTAGTCATTCAGTCCCTTCGCGTGACATTTTTGCTACAGACTTAGATCATCGACACCAAGGTAGCGGAAAAGGACAAAAGGAAACAAGATGGCCCAAGAAGAAGAACAAACTCTTATACCTTACGAGGCTGCTAGCTCCCTGCGGTGTCTATCCAAGGGATGTACCTCACGTTCGGGATCCAAGTGCGAATCCGAGTCGGATCCCGGCTGGCCATGCGTTTTCAGCGTGCTATCGCCATCGCAAACCCAAACACTACTGGATCCTACACCTCAAGGTGTTTCGAACGAGTCAACGTCCCAGCAGTCTTTGGACCCAGCTACACTGACAACGGACCCCCCTGGTCAGTCGAGCCTCATCGCTTCAACAGAGGACAACATCGAAACACCTCCTGGTCAATGCAAAGAGAGTTTCGATCGATGTCTGGAGAAAAGGGCGGTACCAGACCCGATTGAGGCCAAGTACTTTCAGGCGGCCCGCTGGTGTTATTTGACAGCGACAAAAACTGAGCTCGATTGGAAGGCGTTCCGAGGGATGAAGGGTGCTAAGCAACTATTCGACAAGATAAAACTTGAGAACGGCCTTGAACCGCGTGACAGAACAGTTATGAGGGCGTACTGGGTCAAATGGAAGTCATGGTTCATTTTCCATTGCCACAAGTGCTGCTCCACCGCTCTATGGGCGGTTGATTACAAACAACCCAACGAAGACAGCGGTCTACAAGCGCTAGTAGAGGCATATGCAAAGATAAAACGTCTAGAGGCGCACTTCATCCCACAGAGTCGCTCCGCTCTGGAATTAGAAGGCTCAGACAGTGACAAAGAAGATACGACTTTCATCCTGAATTCAGTATCATCATTCTCAGAAATGGCTCAGAACACGGATTTGGCTGACAGCCAGCGGGAAATCCCCACAATGAATTGCTTAAATAGCTTGGCAACGTGTCAACACAATTGGGTTTCAATTGGGCCTGAATACTTCAAAGCAGCAGAATACTTTTACAGGTTGGTAAATAAGGAGAAGGAAGAAATGGACTGGGATTTCATCTGCAGCGATCTCACGAAATATCGAAGCTGCACTACCATATCCGTGAACCGGACCAGTGACATAAAAATGTATTCTGTTGCTACATTCATGGCATGGGTAAGACATGAGATCAAGACGGTCCACCAAGGCTGTCCAACTCTGAAATGGGCACAAAAACGCAAAGGCGCCAAAGTGCTCAAAAAGCCCGCGGCGGAATCGAGTCTGGCAGAGGCGTACCAAAAAGTCAGGGGTTTATACGAGGACTGCACCAAATATATCGATTTGCCCCATAAGCCCCTAAAGCCTTCAGGCTCCCAATAGCTCGACTCTCTTACCTGCTTTGCCTCAGGAAATGTAGACTCATCAAGCGCAAACGATATAGCTCACGCGCTCGTGTATGAGTATATAGAAGTCTTGTATCCTTGAAGCATCAATCGTAGGGATATGTGTTGCCGATCTTTTACGAAAGTCTCTTTGATCATGTGATGTAAGATCTGGTGTGCAGTGCAATGCTCATCGGATCATATCGAAATCTGCAAGATCTGCAAGGCTTTGATCCTGAGATGTGCTGGGCTGGCTCCTCGCGTCTTTTCTGCTGATGCAGTCTGAAGCTTGTAAGGTGAAAGGATCGTGTCAAAGTCCTCTTCATATGGATGTATCAGTAATATACTCATTATTGGAGTTACATGTAGGAACATAATGTCACTCTCTTTTCAAAGACTACTCTCAAGACTGGAGTGATTCCAGGGGGCAGGGGGGGGGGAGGTAAGGGACCGTCTCGAAATTGAAAGCCTCACTCGAGGCTGAGACGATTGGGTTTCAGACGTGTATATGAGTTCTCTATTCATGAGCATCAATTATATCAACGTGATACAGTCCGCCGTTTCCCAAGAGCCTCTTCCAACACTTATTCCGAGATCTAGTCCTCAGTGCGAAGCCCACCGCATCACATTAAAGTCTCTCAAGTTCTCAAGTCCTCGAGATCTTGAGGTGAGCTAAAGCGCCTTTTCGTGTCTGCTTCGCTTGTGCGATTCAATGGGATAGAAACGTAGCAAAGTAGAGAACTCTTCAGATGTGTGTATGAGTAAACTAGAACTCAAAGAACCATTATACTAGGGCCGCCTCGATCCCCCTCCACAAGTTTGACAGCACTACGATAATCGATGTTGAAGCCTGTGTGTTACGACGCCTTCACTGACGACACGCAACGATGCCTTGTACGAAAACATGATCGAATATCGTTCCGGGCAATAAGGATGCGTTTCCACGCCATCGTTTGGGACCGATCTCTTGTGAGCTATCTTTCGCAACAAACAAAAATGATGCTATCCAATCTACTTATATAACCCCTGTCTGGGGCGTTGACCCCGCTCATCGATGCCGTACATTCACTCCAACCTATATGCAGTTAGTTTTGAGAAGAGCGGTGGGGGTATTCCATACGTTCAGCGCGTTGATCATCACTAGCTATCAGGAGCCCTCAAGCCGTTAAATTCACTCGCCTTCGGGCACTGGACCGAAAGATCGGTTGATGAACCGATGAGGACCGTCATGACCGCCGTCACGTCATTCGACCTGTAGGACATGGGAACAAAGGAAGAGGCGAGGACGTTAACGTAGGACGCAGAGTGATACAGCGACAAAGCCAGAGGAGAGGCGTCGTTTATTGTGGGATTAATCAACCCCCTAGACGAGGTCATAACTCAGACATATGCGACGCGTACTTTCGTCGTTGCTAGAACTCCACCTTCGTGCTCAGGGGTGCTGCGAGATCGACAAAGGAAGACATCCCCATTGTCAGCATATGATCACATATATCAGCGGCTGACGTCCTGTCCATCGTTCAATCGGTCCTCTTGACAACGAACAACCATCCTCATCGCAAGACCAAAATCTCGCCACAAAGTGAAAGAACGAAACAGTAAAACGAAATGACGGAACAACAAAACCTCTCTAGAACCGACCCAACCGTTAGTCACCTCATGTGCCTCTCCCGAGGCTGTAGTCGCGAGACCCCTTGCGGGTCATCAGACTGGCAATGTGTGCACTCTCAAGCGGGACCCTCAATCGATAGTCTCCAAAGCATCTCGAATGGCTCATCTGAAGAACATTCCCTCATTCCGGCTACTGTCAGGACAGATACTGCCAGTCAGGGCAGCCTTGAAATGACGATGGTGAATGATGAGGTGGAAGAGTGCGGTCACAGTCTAGACAAGTGTCGGGATAAGAGATGGGAAGCAAACCCTTCCGAAATCAAATATCGGCAGGCTGCGCAATGGTGTCATATGGCAGCTACTGGGACCGAATTCCGATGGAGTGCGCTCAGCACTTCCGCTGAGGAGCTGTTCGGACGCATGTCCCTCAAACACCTGAAGCTCAGAAGAAACGATCGAGCATTGATGAACGCTTTCTGGGTCAAGTGGAGGGCTACATTCTTTTACGGTTATCATCAGTGCTGCGAGACTGCTCGCTATGCAGTGGGTGAGAAGTATCCACGTCCAGCCGACAACAACCAAGAAAAGCTCGAGGAGGCCTACGCGAACATGGGGCATTTCCATCAGCGCTTCTCTCAAGGGTTCATCATGCCATCCCTTGGCTTGGACGCGAGTGACACCATCTCAAGCACGAAAGGATCAGCTCACAGCACCAATTCGACGCAAGAACAGCATGAGACTCCACCAGGAGAATGCTCCGTCAGTTCAAAGGTGTGTTGCGAAGAACCGACTGGTTCTTCAGTACAACCTGAATATTCCGAAGCAGCGGAGTACTTTTACAAGCTAGCAAATGATGGCAAGGAACTCGATTGGGGGTTTTTCTCCTGCGATCTTGCTAAGCAATTCAATAAAAAACGTGTGGTCTGGACTTTTATGGCAGCATTCCGGTATCAAGTCAAGCTTGTTCACAACGACTGCACTACGATCAAATGGGTCCAGCGACTTGAAGGTGCCAAAGCAGTTCGGCGTTCCAGGGCAAAGACTGATCTGGCAGAGGCCTACATCGCGATTAAACATTTGCTACCTACTGCAGAAGGAACGGAATCTGCTGTATCACCACAAAACTCTCCACTGCATCCGACTGACGAGACTATGTGATGTTTGTAAGTATCAATCTCCTGGAAACTCTGTATTGCCTGCGAAGAGGACAAACGCCGCAGCTACACGGAACTCATCGCGATCGGTATATTGATGTATAGATAGCTTCTATCTTGTGCGTTCATAGAATGTGTGATTTGAGCGCTTGATCTTGGTATCGCCTATCGATCAAAGGAAAGATTAGGGAGAAGCTTGACGAGTAGCGGGCCCAGACTGGCGCAACGAGAGAATCAGAGTCAGAGATTATGTAAGGCGCGATTTCAATTAACCCCTTGGATGATGATCATATTGATTCAAAGCTATGCAGCACGTTATCCCTGCCTCGTCAGGACCTATCCTCGACCAGTTCATAAGCACCTCAGAGTACAAAGGTAGACACATCGCGATCATCAGCTTGTGTCAGCCTCACAAGATATATAAAAGATGTTCCGCTGACTGTCGAATCGTCACCTAAGCCTTCTCTTTCCTTGTGCTTCGTTCCATCTTTGTTCCATAATCAGATCCATTGAGTTAAGGTGAAAACTCAGGTTGAAACAACAATGACTGAACAGCAACTTGGCAATGGCGATACCGCTAGCGTCTTACTGTGCTTGTCTCGAGGCTGTACTTCTAAGGGAGGATCCAGGTGCGACTCAAGTAGACACCCAGACTGGTCATGCGCTTTCAGCTTACAATGGTCAGCAGAGAACCAGACGGAGGAGCCCAGCTTCGAGACCGTGCCCGACGGACACACGCAGCGGCGATCCTCAATTGAACTCCCTCTCACGTCGCAAAATCCGATGCAGTCCAGTGCAATTACGAACTGGAGTGACGAGGCTCGAGGACTATGTGCTGGGAGCCTCGATCAGTGTCTTGATCCTGAGGGAAAGGGAATCCGTATGGGTGACAAACACATGCTTGCCGCTCAGTGGTTTTACCGGGCAGCGACGGGGAAAGAGCTGAGTTGGGAGGTGATGAATCGCAGCGCTACAGATATTTTCAGATGGCATGACTCCTTCACTCAAGTCGAAGGATTGATGTGGGAAAATAGTGGGCCTATAAAGAGGTACATGATCAGATGGGCGTCATCGCTGTACAATAGGATTCACAGCCGTTGCGCAACCGCTCAATGGGCAGCCTCAAATCGAAATCCACAGCCGCGCAACAAATACGGTGGTGAGGATGAGCTGGAAGCGGCATACGAAGAGATCAAACACCTGGAATTTAGATTTGAGACGCCCATTGTCTGGCTCTCGGAATATTCAGCTGATTCAACTGCCGAATCCATTGCGACGAAACGTGAGCATACTTCGAACCTACACGCCATCTCATCGATATCGAACGTGGATTCGGAATCACGGAACAGTATGCCCTGCAGCGCCGTGATTGGTGATCAGGCCGGAGAGGGTCAAATCGACAACGACCCCATGCTTCAGCCATGCGGGATCTGGTCATGCAACCTGACCAGTGCCTCGATAAACCCCAGGTATTCGCTCGCAGCTGAGTATTTCTGCGAGGCTGCCCGCCCACAGAAACTAGCAGAAGACGAATGGAGTCTCCTATCCTGGGACATCAAAGAGTATTTCACGCGAAATCGCCATGCTGACTTCCTGAAGAAAGTGCCAGTGTCGCGCAGGGACGAAGTCGGGGCGTTTATGGTGGAAGTACGATACCAAGTCAAGATGGCTCATTCGGCTTGCGCCGCTTACAGACGGGCTCAAGCCCAGACGTCTGCCAAAACGATACAAAGGCCCAGGAAGCCAGACATCGCAAAGGCCTACTCTCTGATCCACGATCTGCTCCCAGTGCAAAACATACCGGATGGCAACAAAGTCTCTGAGACAAGTTCTTCAGAATATTGAGTCTGCCCGACTAGCTTCTCATCTGTCTCGCTTGTACAGTTTGTAGCTTGTAAGGTGAAATGAAGCAAAGTCCTCTTCAGCTGGTTGTATAAGTACCGCACCAATCAGAACTATATGTCGTAAATGCGATCATGGCGCTCTTTTGCCATAGACTATCTCCATTTCAGCAGTGATTCCAAGTGGTGGGAAAATCAAGGGTCATTTTCAACTGAAGGCTCACTGGGAGCTGAGATGATAGATTTCGGGGAAACTCTATATCATAAAGAGCCATCAACTGACGAAACATATGTCTGAGCCAAGCAATCCCATCAGCCAGATACTCTCGGACAGAAGCATGAGTCACAAGGACCACAACATCTGTCGGGATGGTCTCTACAGCTTGATTATCTGGTAGGCCCAAGACGTAGTCTACAAGGGGGCCAGAGGCCGCCTGACACGTAGTCTTCAGATCGTTGCACCCCACCTTGACATCCTTTTACTCATGAAACCTCTCTTTACGGGGAACGCTGGGGCCTTCGTTTCTACATGAAGCTTAAGAACCTCTCCTGTTTCTGACTGAACCCAGTCCCGGTAAGGAAAAAGGCGGTCGATAAACCGACCGGAACATGCGCCACGCCTGTACAATGCCTTCGTTCGAATCCTGCACCCCGGAACCTTCGACGGGTACAGATAGCAATTTGCGATCTCTCTCTCTGATCGGTTCAACAGCTTCTGTCTTGGGCGGTTCTCCTAAACAAGAGTCCGACGATGTTCTAAGCGCTCAGTCCACGACCGGATCGCAGCAAATACCTTCAGACCTCGAATGTCTCTTCCGCGAGAGTCACGTCTACAAACGGCTTGCAGCCGATCCCGAAGGACGACCGATACCTACCCCTGAATTGACCGTGAAGGCGGAGATCATTCAAGCGCTTCGAAGCGGGACTTCCATCAAGTATGAGGAAAACCAACCTTGTAACGCGTGGGGACAATATGATGGCAGTCTGGTTGTGGACGGCGTGACACGATACTACGTGAATGAAAAGGATGTGCAATCAGTTGGTTCATAGTATTAAGTCACACACCGGATACACACTAAGATAGACCATAACCTCTGATTAGGCAGGAAATAAGCCTTCTCAAGGGAGCTCGGCAGTCGCCGGGAAGATGTATCTGGGAGTCTATCCGGGCGAACCGGATGTGTAAAGCCGGAGAAAGTGCACCGCGATAACCTTGTATAAGATGTCGGTGACATGATTTGTCCATTCCACGACCGATACCTGAATGACATGGCAGCAAGGTTTGTGTACCTGGACGGATTTCAAGCATTTCGATGCTGACATTATGTCTTTTGAGGCAGAAATGATCCCCATCCGGACACTTGGACATTAGAGAGCTACAGGAGGGCTGGGTGTAACGGAAAGCGCTGCCTGCTCCTGGGATTTCATCATCCTGAACGATCATCAGCTGATCTCGACTTCCTTTGTGTGATTATCTCCCTTGACTAAAGGCTACACTTGCTCAATCGGTATATAGTACTGTAGCTAGTCAAATATCTCTCTCCTCACACGATATGCAGGGCACGTCTTTTGCTCGATTCGCACGAAGAACAACACTACTTCGCCCCATGGCACCTCTTTCGCTGTCGACGCTATCTCTCCATTTGAGTTCCGCCGCCTCGGACGCAACGACTACGACTACGTCGACATGCCTCTCTTCGGATATAACGCAGCTTTCCGCAGACAATGATCCCTCTTTGTGCTTTTCCACGAGTACCCTTCTTGGCGGCCCGCCTATTGACATATCCCCGACAGATCCGGTCCAGGCGATACTCGCACACAAAGCTAAAGCAACGCCTGTGATCCAGATTGACCCCACACTACCCATCATCCCGGCAACAACCGAACGTCCGAAGCTCCCTAAGGCAGTCGAAGAAATCTTTGAAGGAGGGTTTGACTTCACAATCACCAAGCAGACAACCGGATCCACAGAACCGCCGGTGACCGCAACAACAGAGGAGTTTTGTCAAGCTGTCGCGGCAGCGGATGACATCAAGGTCGAGAACTCAGAGAAAACGTATCTTGCCCGGTCTGCGGGCATGGTGGTAGTGCTAGTGGCTTTCACCGGTTCCATGACGTGGATCGTTGACTATTGTCAGCGGTCAAATGAAAAGAAGATCGTGAGCACACTTGGCTAACGTGGTTGACTGGTATTTGCAAGCTGAGAGCTTCCGCTACTAATCCTGTCTCACAGCAATAGAACAAAGTTGCGTTTGGGTTGTGTTGTATCATTAGATAACCGGAAATGGTGTCACGTCGCTAAACATGGTCTCGACCTCGATTGCATCCTTTGCCTACTGTATTATCGATTAAGTGGAAAAACCACCATATAACTGAGATGTTTCTTTAATGCGAACGACCATTTACACCATCGTGTCATATCAAAGAAAACGTTGCATCTACCGTTTGCTGAATCCCAGTGACCACTGCAGCTCGTGTTCCGCTGAGCCTCATCGGTCCAGCTTCCCGATCACGCCTTATGTATTGTATGTGCTATCACGCCTTGAGCATGGTGACAAAGGACGCGCTTAACACTAGCGCGTCGTTTCAGGCTGAAACGCCACATAAGCGCCACGTTTTGCGTTCTCTGGCAAGGGCTTCAAGGGAATCGGTCACGATCGCGATCGTCATCTGACAAGCTCAGGACCTCCTTTATCAAGATATCAGGTGATATCGGCGAGCAGGGTGGTCATAGTTGGCTCACGATTGGTATATAACCCTTGGAGGCGAGAGCCGCGACAGGATGCAAAGGAGAAATTGCAGTCCGGCATCAAGCGCTGCAATTCAGATCGTTTCGCTCTTTCCTGATCAAACTCATAGAATCCCTTCATACGATGACTTCGACTTTATCAGTCCCACAACTAGCAACTTTAGAGACTGAGACTCGCTCTCTTTCTCCCGGTACAACAACGAATCCGTCGCTGAACAAGCCAGACTTTACTGCTTCTATCGGGCCTGATGGCTCGGTAACAGACGCTTCGACGCTCGTGGATAGAGCTTTGTCCAGCAAAAGAGGAGAAATGATCCAGGTGTCCCCGACTACATCGGGCATACCGCGAGAAATGCGGGAGGACCTGTACAAGGCGAAGGAGATATCCTGGAACGGAAAGCCCGTGACCCGAGAGGTTGTCGAGAGGATGATCGAAGATGATCCTGAGTACAAGTGGGAGAAGCAAGTTTCGGCTGGACAGAAGTTTCACGAAAATCTCAAAGACCTCGGGGAAGGTTTCCTGCGCCTTACGTTTGGCGTGGTTGGCGGCTACGCACTCTGGCGTAGCTACAAGCGGAACCAAAGAGAGAATGCACCGGGTAAGTCCGGGTCTAGAGGTTGTTTAGTTTGAATTGAATGCATGACTAAGCCCAATCATATCGCAGACCATGCAGATCGGGATCTAGAAAGGGGGATAGAGATGCGCCCACTTTCGAGCAGCTCTGGAACATCCTGAGCGGTCATCATGGAGACTATGTGCGACAGAAGTGGCATTGGCAGCGTAGCAGATGAACTGAGATTGGATGTTCACTTCCGCAAGCACACCTGGAGACAGTCTGAGCTTCGGGCTTGTACTTTTGCATTGTCGAATTGATTGTTTCTAGTCCTATTCGGTAACTTTGCTGTCTGTGGGAGCTCATGGACTCCGCTTTAGTGAGAGACCTCAGCCTGTGCAATTGAGCGCGTTCTTTTACTCCGGATGGCCTAAGACTTTGGACCTGTAGCTACGTCCGAAAGGGTTACATGTGTCTTGATAACTACCTATCTTTACAGTATGCTAATCGATCATCTGTGTCTTTCGTATTATAGCAGATATGATGCGGACCTGGCCTGGTTGATGCGAAATCGTTTTTCCCTTGCCTCGTCGCGATTTATTATGCTTTGACCGTAGCGAGCCCTCGATGTCGTTGCTGCGAAAGCTCGAATTTGATAAAAGCGACGAAAAAGCTTTCTTACTTACCATACGGAAAGAAGAACTATGAGAAGTTGACCTTCGCCCTACAAAAAGATAGACAATCGGGATATGTTAAAGCGCTATGGCTCTGATCTGTTCATGCGAGGCAAGACGGCATCTTAGAGCGCCGGCTGGAACGTGGGTGGCTAGCTTCTCGCAAGATTAGGAGGATGTACATTCCTTTGTCATAGAAGACATCCAGCGACGGAGAAGCTGAGAATCTCACTGACAGGGTCAGTATATCTCACAGGTGGGTCCATGGATGGAGCGGATCTCCTGTCGACAGCCCCTTGAACAGTACTGCCTGGATATTTCATCTTCAAGGATCATTCTCGTCACGATGCCGTCGACCTTATCAGTTGCCGGAATCGCAATGCAAAGTGAAACAGTCTGTGGAGTCCCTGACTCTACCGCTCAGCTTTCGGCCGTATCCTCAGGAGTCTCGATCGACAGGGATACTACGGACGCAGACCCCCTTCGCAGTGCGATTGATGAAATTTTCACCACTAAATCAATATAGCATCGAATCCGTTTACGGCGAAAGATGCGGAGGGATTTCCCTCTCAATCGTGCTGCTACAAGTTATGTGTCTCATACGCATCACGTAGCGAAGGGGAATGAGGATACTGTATACACAAGGGTAGAAGATTTTTGCGTACTGACCATGATGAATCGAGGTCACCTGGCGGTCGAGTGCAAGCTAGATGTGCGAATCTGTCATGTGATCATATGCGACAAAGGAACAGCTGTCTGTAACGATATGTGGCGGTGAAATCCTCAAGTCTCGCCATATTTCGCAACGTCAGGGTTCTCAGGTGTTCCTTTCTTCTGTAAGCGTGCTATACTATACTCAAGACACAGCTATATAGATCGCCGAATCGTGTTGCCACCAATCCCAGCTTTCCTTGCCAAGTGACTATCGAAATACATCTCTTTATCGATTCTACGCTCAATCAACCAAGCTAACGAGATGAACAGCATTGCTTCTCTTTCTCTCCCCTCTTCAAATGTTGGTTTATCAGCCAGCTACCCCGCTTCCGTAATCTCTGTTCCTTATAGCGGAAAGATGGTCACTTCCAGTGATGGCACAAGTTCGTTGGATGCACGGTCGATCGTTGTCGACGTCATTAGGAAATCAAATCTTGAGACTCCAGCAAATCGCCAACCATCGTACGAGGAACTGGTACGCATGCTCGAAGAGGCTACCAAGAACCCGCCGGGAAGAACAGCCTGGGAGGAGATCGTTTGGTTCGTCATCGAAGTGTTGGGCACATGTATTCTGGTAGGCGGTGTCCAGTGGTGTTGCTCAGGTTGCGACGTATCCGCCATCGAGGCTGCTTGTGCTGGGGCAGGAACCAGACTGCGCATCCTGCTCTATGCCCCCTTGCAAGAACCCGAGCTCCCGCAGGGATCCGTACCACCGAAGTCGACATTGGAGCCTCCAGTCCCTATCAGGGTCAACCTTGACACGTGGACCATGATCAGGCGGTACCTCGAAAGTATGTCACCGGTCGAAGGAGAGTCAAACCAGCCCCGGATGTTCATGGGTTCCATGGCCGGGAACTCGGTTACGGCTGTATGCTATCAGACGCAACGACCCGACGGGACTTGGCGACGTCGCGACTTCACTGTACAAACACGGGGACCACTCATTCCCCCCGTTACGCTGCCATCTGATCTGGAGGATGATGGCACTGAAGCTGACTCCGGCATAGACAGCGGCCGGTCTGTCGATTTTTCTAGCGCGTACGGCGATAACGACCATGATAGTGATGGAGGGGATCTATAATTTTGTGTCAAGCCATAACGAGAGTGATGTCGTTTTCCTGTATAGACGCCTTTTAGTATATCGATAATATATTTATCCTGCCAGTCACTGGTCCTGAGCGCATGAAGAAAGCTTCTCCAACAGCCGCGCCTTTGGCATTTGTTGTGAAACTGATATGGATTGCGTTACTGGGCGGCTCTGACAGCGCCATACACTTTTGTACGTCCCGAAAATCTGCAGGTTACAGGCTGGGCCCCCAGGATGGGACTGTAAAGGAGAGATTTCAAAGAATACTGTATATATACATATCGATTTGAGTGGCTGGGTCCCGTCGATGTTTGTTTTTGTTGCTACATGCTCCCTCAGCAGCATGATTGGGCCTAAGGAATGAAACAAGCAGTACAGGGCCAGCTTGATCGCGGCATGGCTTATAGGTCTCCAGAGCTTGCCAAAAGGGGAAAATAGTATGCTATCAAGCCAACAAAGATAAGAGCGTGTACGTCAAACAGGCTTTGTTGATTGCGATCAAGATGGCTGAACTATACTGACCATGTTCTCTATGACATCGTTTCTATCGTTTTTACTACTACAGGGTCAACACGATCAAGTGTTTGGAAAACCGGGACATATGCAAACATTCCCATGGCTCATCAGCATCCAATTCTGAGTTTGAGCCCGAAGATCACTATTGCATATTACTCTGTCATTGAATAGATATTAATTGGTCACTCGTGAAGTTGCTCTCCCTCTCGGATGACCTGTTCTTGCACGACCTGTTTTGACCTGGCGATCGCGATTGCAGCAGGAACAAAACAGAATTCCAAGATTGGGGCGAACTCTTTGAGACCCTAATCCATCATCGCACCATCTCTGATTACGCATGTCGGGTCCGCTGCACCGCTGAAAATGAGATTTTCTTAAGACATGGTTCAATTCAAGCCAAAGAACCTGCCTTGATGAGAACAGCCTCCCAACCATGTTCCCTCGTGCTGATGATCCAGAGCTTGACCCCTGTGTACACAGTAAATTAGGTCAACCCACCGCTACAGTACCATCTTGGTGCCATCTCGCACGACTTCCAGCAGCATTCAGGATACCCCAGTTTATGGCAAGATGATATGCCTGCAAGAGGTCTTCTATGGCGAAGACAGGTTCTCCATCCTGCAGATCAAGGCCCTCTTAGCACCTTTTGGCTCTTTGGATGTGATAGCAATGAGGAAAACTCATTCTTCTCAAAGCTTTTGCCAGCGCTTCATGAGCCTTGCGGGCAGGCTTCTCTTGCAAGGTATAGGTCTGTTCACCAGTGGTGGGCACCAACCCAATACGTGTCGGCTCAAGGGCGGTTGCCTCCAGCTGGCCCGACTTGCAGGGAGCGTGTGAGGCAGGGAAGAGCTCTTGAAAACGTCAAAGGATGGGATAGCACCCAATCATAGTGGCCAGCCTGTCCGTTGTGTGTTATGGCAAGTTACGAAGGGCTAGGCACTTGTTCCGAGCCTTGACGTCTACAAGGGCCATTTGTATGTCCATCACCTTTCTCTGGTACCCAGCTAGGGGCGATAACAACAACCTCAATTGCATATCATAGTCACCATCAGAGTCAAAGTGGGACTTACCTTCCCAATCCAACTTGCTCTTCACGGTCCTTCCCATCAATCCGACATCTGGTACGAATAGAATCTGTCATTGTCAAGTCAAATCTGTTGTGACTCTCTAGGATATGTGAATTCTGGCTGGGCAGTCACCAGTATCGTCATCCAGAACTAACTTGACCATACATACATTCAGCCATGAATTCCCGACATCAGTCAGCGTTAAGCTCTGGTCCATCGAGACCGACGGGGAACTGCTAACGCACCCGACAGCCCGAGTCTAATCTCAAAACAAGCCGGTTAAGACACGGTAAAGGGATCTGCTACCTCCTTAGACAACACTATGATGGCCATGGCGAAATCACCTGATCCGCTGTCGTGTTTACCATGTCGCATCGAGAAAAGCATGACAAATATTGAAGAAGGAAATTCAAGCTGGAACATTGCGCTGCAACTCCCTGCTTTACTGCGAAACTGGCATGTGGCAAATGGTAAAGACTGAAGAAAGCGAGTCCCATGTTGACGGCAGGTCCTGATGGTAGCGCGACTCTGTTCACTATAGTTAATATTGACCGATACCACTCAAATATCGCTTCAGTCAGCACAACGTTGAAATATTGCGGAAGTTCTCGCTCGAGCCTGAAGCTGTGACGAGTATTTGACAGGGTACGCCACCTCAAAGTGACTGTGCGAACTGTTAAATTCTTGAGGTGCTACCGGCGTCAATCACTCGGAAGCCTACGGAAGCTGTCAAATGGTCGGCCGTCAGGTCATCTACGCGGAGTTACAGGACGCCAAGTCTTCTGTCTTCCCTGGGTGTTCCGGACCATTAGATAGATCAACGTGGGTAGACGATAGGAAACGGGAAGAACAACTTCAAACAAACCGGATCGCAAGTCGCCATCTCTTGTCCCCTCGCTTCACGACGGCCTACCGGGCAAGGAAGTTGATGTGCGCCTGACAAACCAGAGGAACCGGGAGTTGAGAGACGCTGTCTCGCACAAGGGCCTGCGAGGGAACACCGGTCTTTTGGCAAAGGCGGCCACCCATCCATCGCCTTACCCATGTTTTACAAAGAGTAAGGGACCATCGGCTGGGCGTCACGTTCTTCCTCACATCATGCTCAACCTATGAAATCTTGCGGGCTCCTTAAGGCATTCCGCAATCATGATGAATGCGCTCTTCGTTGCAGGGAATTTATACCAACGGGGTTGTCATCATTCTGGCCAGCGCAAGCTTCCTTCTTCAACGATATTAATCCCGGCTGATACAGTATGTCATCATGAAGTTCCTTGGATGTAGTTACCGAAGCATGTTTTCTGACCCGTACCATGGGCGTGTATCGTCTCCGGCTTCGTAATAGCTTCCGTTCTCAATCGCGTTCCAACACAAGGGTTGCAAGTGCAAGCCATCAGTCAGCCGCGGTCCGCCTCCCCTTCATCCGTCAATAACGGGTGGAGAGGATATCCTGACGGCCGACGCTTTGTTTCATCGTTGACTAGTAGCATCACCTAGCGCAACCATCGCTGCACGTGGCGTGCCTGACTATGTCCATGCAACAGCAACCGCTCGCATACGGATTGGCAGCCTTTGTGAAACAACAGCCTTTCCTTTCCTGTCATACGATGGTCACGACACTTCCTGCCGTTGAATTTGTGCTGTCATGTCGCCATCAACATCCTTTGTACTGATCTGTCGACATCGTCCGGGTTACCAGACACTGAGGGGATAACAGCGCTACTGCTGAGTATAAGTATCTGAGGAAAACCTGACAACTGCGAATGGGCCTCTGCTTGTGCACGGGGCTGAAGACACGAAGACAGCGATACTGCAATTATTTTCACAGACATGGCTCCTATTTCTCTCCTCAGCGCCTTCCCCAGCTGTCAGCTAGGAACGTCTCGTTCGCTCCGACCGACTACCGCCACGTCCGATTTCTCGCTATCCTTCACCGGCTCTCCAGCTCCTTCATTCATACCGACAGATGACGGCGCAGCGTCGTCTTCCGCTACCAGTGCCGCTTGGATCCCTGAAGTCATTGACCAAATCTTGACCAGCAGGGGCGACATTGTCGAGGTCAAGCATACACCTACTGTTACCGATGCGGTTGGCCCAGTACCGACCGTCTCGCAGATCATCCAAGCTAGTCAAATGTTTATACGAGAAGATGGCACGAAGCTCAGGCAGGAGGAAGTGAAGAGACTTGTGAAAGAGCATACGGATAGCGGACACAAGATTCACGTTCACCATGCTGCCATTCCAGGCGCGAAATACGTCGAGTACTTAATGATATTCGTGGTCGGGTCTGCTGTCGGAGCAGTGATTCTCGCGTGCATCGATGAATGTAGGTCGAGCGGTAAGTCCGGCAACCTGTTATATCCTGTCGAATCCAGTTTTTCCGACCTTTGATCCTTGATCTAGCTCGAGACAAGAAGGACAAGAAGGAAGATTAGCCTGTGATCTGCGATTTTTTACGTCTATTGTTATATGTAAAGATCCAATCGTCAGTCTCGTGCAGTCCGGTTTGACGGATTCATACGCAAGAGCTTCCCGATCAATCTGTGCTGCTTTTGTCTCATGACTTAGTCCGAACCGATGAAGCGTTAGATCTTGCCGTCGGAAGTGTCCCTATTACAGCTTTGCCAATTGCACATACTAATACCCAAGCTGAAACCTATAATAGTACTCATACTGACAAACATGAGAAGCCTTGATCCGCGCCCGAACCTACTCTACCGAGGTCGGGATGATTCAGCAGGACGGCGAGGGGCAGGACGAGGAAGAAAGACTGGTGGAGATTCTCTTCAATCAGGCGCGTCAGCTGGGAACACAAGTGCAGAAGCTGCTCACCAGTCGTCCTCAGACTAACACGGCTAGACTGATATGCGTTGCTAGGAGGGACGGAAAAATGAGTATGCAACTGGAATTATCCTCGCTGCGGTTGTTGAATGCAATTGGCAAGGGCCTTAATAAAGGAAAGAGCTTGGGACCGAGGGAGGGGATAGGGTTAACAGGACTCTGTATACGACCGGAGCGTGCTACAACATGGGATTACTGGAGGTCTGTGTTCGTGACGTGTTCCGTCTATCGCTGAGCCCGCCTGGCCCCTCGTTGTGCGCTGGCACTGAAACATCCGTCGAGCACTTTACTGATAAAGCTACGTCTTCACGATCGCCCGGATCCAACAGCATCAGAATCTACTGCCGTGTCCTTCCAATCGTCAACAACGCCAATCTGATAGCTTGAACTCGACATCCTATGGACTTTGTACATTATTCGTCATCATCATCGCTGCTATCATCGTCATCGTCGTCATCATCCAATCCCAGATTGCCACGGTTCCGACTCCATTCCTGTGCAGCCTGGAAGAATTTGAAGCTCGCCGGATTGGCCTCTTTCTCGTCGTCGGCAAAGACCATGTCCCAGTCTGCAGATAAGGGCGAGAGCAATGAGTAATGCGGAAGCTGATCATTATGGGTTCGGTAACTCACATTCTTCGAGCCCACTGCCATCTTCGGCTTGTCGCCACTTCTTCATAACCTTGGGCATCATCTCTTGCACCTTTTGCACATCTTCCGCCGAGCCCTGCTCTTCCTCGAACGACTTCCAGGCTTCCAGCAGTACCACTCGCTGCAAGCCAAACCACGGGGAAGTCAGCTCAGACCGTCACACCCGAAGTGAGCTGAAAACATCGCCGACTCACGTTCTCCTTCTCGCCACGCTCCTTGAGCGCCTTGTAGCCTCGCTCGAAAACGGCTCGGGCCTTTTCGGGATCGCCAGTATCGCCTTCAATCTCTGCCTCGACCTGGGCAGCCTCGGCCTCGCCCTCGTCGTCCTCCTCGGTTCCTCCAATCTTGCTGGCCTCCATGAGGGCGTACGAGATGAAGACCTACGCGGTAGGCGTTAGCTAGAGTATATGAGGGCCTAGGCAGTGCGTGTTGGCTTACCTTGACATGAGCGGTCCTCTCCAAGAGCCTCTCGTACAATATCCTCGTTCGCTCTCGTTCACCCTGACCAGCCTCAAAGTCAATGAAAGCCTGCAAAGACGCATGACGGTCAGCCCGAGATCCGATGTTACGGAGTTTGCGCGCTCCACTCACCTTCCAGACCAATTCGGGCATGTCGAGAGCCTGTTGTACGGCCAGCTCAAAGATACCTCGAGCACGATCGACGTCACCGAGTTCCTTTTCGAGCTCGGTCCACCTGATCCAGGCTTGTCCGAGTGATGGGTCGTACTACAATCGCCGACCGCATGGTACTCGTCAGCATTGGTATATCAAATACCGCTCCGCCCGATGACTCACCTCAAGGAACTTCTGGTAGAGCGTCCTACATCGGTCAAACTCTCTCAGATGAAGCTCCATCTCGATATACTCGACGAAAAGTTTCGGTTTAGGGCACATGCCGATAGCGGCGCCGAAGATCTTGCGTGCGGTAGTGACATCGAGTCTTCGGACTTCGAAGGTGGCGTAAGCAGCCCAGAGCTGTTCAGATCGCATGATTTAGTTTCGCGCTCGAACTTAAGCAGAGAACCGATAATGCTCACTTTAGCAAACGTGAACTGCTTATGGGGGACAAGCTTGACGGCCGCCTTGTAGACGTCTCGAGCCCGCTCATAGTCCTCGGTATCGATCTCCTCGAAAGCGGCGTATTGCAACCAGACTGTAGAAGCGCACAAGGCATGAGCGAGGGATTCTTCACAAGAAATTCGACAGGCTGATAATTACGGTACTGTCAAGCGGAGGGACAAGAATGTGCAGATAATCACTGGTGTCAGTTCAGGAACATGTTGACACTTGGAGTACTACTCACGATATACCGTCTCCAAAACCTGAAAACATCGAAGTCAACATATAAGCTACTGGTTCCGGTGAGGCCCCTTCCCAACCTCGTCCCGACCTACCTCTTCTCACTCGACGGCGGCACATTAGCCACAGCCCGCTCATAAGTCTCCCTTACCCTTCCCGGCCCGCTCCCCTCTCCATCCTCGCTCTCGTCCCGTTCGCTCCTGTAAGCGTCCTCTTCCAGACGTGCCAGAGAAAACCAGGCGTCGTAGTTTGTCGGATCGTGAGCGAGTTCCTCTTCGTACTGTATTCGACGTTTGCCGAGGACGGTGAGTTCTACGCCGGACCGGTCGCCGTCTGTCGGGAAAGTGAAGGGAAGGTATCAGCATTTCCATCCTGCAAGGTGATTTCAGATAAATGTCGACGTTGCAGCACTCACGTTGTTTCTCAAATCGAGTATAAGATGTGTAAACTAGAAACCAAACGTCGATGTGAGCTTTCCGGACCCGACCAGTCTCCCCAAGTCAGGTACCACTCACGATTGGCAGACTTTGTCCTCGGCAACCTAGCCAGGGCGTACTACCCGCCGCGAAACGAGATGCCAGAGATGAATGTCAACACCACGTCACACGCAAAGTGATTCTTTCTAAACCCGGAATGCCCCGAGAGACTAATGCCCCGAGAGACTAACCTTGTAAATCGTCCTCGCCCTCTCAAACTCCTTCAACCTCGTCTCCATCCTCGCAAACGCCCCAAAGACCCCCTGAGCCTTATCCACCTCTTCCTCCCCATCCCCAAAAAACTCTAGGGCCGTCTGGAAGACTTCCCTGGCCTTGTCTATTTCTCCGCGATCTTCCTCAAACTTGGACCAGGTGACCCAGTTCTTCGGAGTAGGGCGGCAGGCGATCCAGCGTTCGTACAAGGCGGAAGCGCGGGTGAGTTCCGAGTAGCGTTCTTCGAGCTTGATGTAGGCTTGCCAGGCCTGTCGTGTGGATGATCGGAATTCAGATCAGATCGAAAACGCGTCGTATCGAGTGGGAAGAAGATAGAGTCAGTCGTATGTTGTAAGAAGAGGTTTAATTGAAAAGATTCTGGATAAGAGTTACGGGACGGAGACCACACTGACCTTGTCATCAGGCTCCCAAGTCATCCACCGTTCAAACACTTGTCGGGCGCCCGGGACGTTGAGGAGGAGTTCTTCCAGGTAGACGTATTTGTACCAGATCTGCGCGGGGGTTTGTCGGTTTCGCACGAGAGAGGAAGAAAGAGAGGGAAGATGAAAGAGAGGAGAGGAAAGAGAAAGGAAGAAAGCGAGCAAATGGAAGAGGGAAGAGGAAAGAGAGAGGAAGAAAGCGAGCAAGTGAAAGAGGGAAGAGGAAAGAGAGAAGAGGAGAAAAGAGGGAAGAGAGAAGAAAGAGAGAACAGATATGAGGTTAGCGAAAGTCGAGGTTGACGTTGAAAGCAGTGGGAATGAAGAAGAACGAGCGACTCACCGTATCCACCCTCGGCAAGAGCGTGACCGCCCGATCATACACATTCCTCGCATGGTTCACATTCCTCGCCTTCAGTTCCGTCTCCGCATACCTCAACCACAATTCCACCGCCCTCGCATCCACATCCAAAGCTCTTTCGAAAACCGATCTAGCCCTTTCGAATTCGTTCTGCCCAGCTTCCCATTGAGCGTATTTCATCCATTCCCTCAAGGCCGACCGGGAATATCGGATACGTTCTTCGAATTCTTTACGTTTACGTCCTTGGTATTCGGAGAGTTCTTCTAGGTCGGTGATGTTTTGACCGGGGGCGCGGAAAGAGGGTTCTTGACGTTCTTGGGCTTCGCGGAGGAGTTGTTCGGCGGTGATCTAGCGAGGTTCGACAGAAAGAGCGAAGTGTGTGTGTGTGGGGGTGGAGTTAGCGAAGTTACTCGAGAGGAGTGAGGACAGAGAAGCTTCTTGTGAGAGGAGACTTACTTGGATCTTGGCCGGGGCCTGTATAACACAAAATAACACCAATCGTCAGTCTTCGACTACTTCATGCACGACCTGTCGACCGTGCCCCGGACTGACCCTGTTCTTGACCATCGGGGCCCTGCTGGACCGTTGATCGGAGGCCATTCTTGACGTAGCTGCTTCTAACCTGATCTTACTGTAGCTATGGCCTGGGTTTGCTCGATGTACGATGTATAAGATGGTCGATGTATAGGTGATCGAATGACCTCGAGGTCACCTCCTCGCGATCCTCCTTAAGTCGCGGGGCCATGCTAGAAATCGTGAATTACGCGTGAGAAAGCGGAAAAGGTCGTCGCCCAAACTTTTCGAGGACGAGTATATAATCTGGTTCTCGAGGATCGAACATCCCTTTTCCCTTTTCCGCCTTCTGCTTTTACTCTTTCATATTCGATACATTTCACTACCTTCTACGTTTAGTCCTCGGACGACCGAAGACGACTAGGATGACCAGACCGTGACGACGGACGACCACCCCTACGACGACGATCATGTAATCCGCCTACCAACTGAAGAACAGCAACCAGATCGACCTCGACCTAGCCGATAAAGACGTACTTTCGCCGACAATAACACACACACACACACACACGTCGAATATAAGTCTTTGTTCGCTAGGACCCGATCCGATCTCGGTCTAGTTCTTGGTCGGCAGGCGTCGGGTCGTCTTCAACGGGGATGGTCGTTCGTCGTCTGTTCGTCTATGTCTACGTCTGGCTCTCCCTCTCGTTCTCCTCTCTTCTTCTCTTCTTCGCTTCTCTTCCTCTCTTCGCTTCTCTTCCTCTTCCTCTGTTCACTCTCCCCGCTCTCTCTCTCTCCCCGCTCTCTCCCTTCTTCTCTCATCTTCATCGTCCATCCGGACCACCCCCCAAAAAAACACAAACACAACGGCCATCGCTATTCACGGCGCACATCTACCTCATCCTCTGTCGATGATCCAGTGATGCATTGCGGATCGGGGAAACGATGGCCAGAACGAAACACCCCCTTAATGGGGTACTACTTGCGCACCCGCTCATCCGGTATTCTTCCTTACTAGTCGAACACTACGATGAGGGTTTGGTTGGCGGAACTCCTTGTGACGATCCTTCATCGTCGATGACGGTGGGGACGGGGTGGGAGCTCGGCCGGTGCGTGGGAGGTACATTTACATCACGATTGATTTTTGCGACTTTTTTTTCGTTTTACGGCCTTGGGCGAGGGCTTGGGTTGTAATCTCGTCGGAGGGTTGGGATGTAGTTTCCATAAAATTACAATTTTGCATGTCGGCATTATCGGGTCTCTAGTACCTCGTCTCGCTTTCGTTCGTCCCGTGGGTCTGGTGATTTCGCTGGATCTATGCTCCGTTCGATCGTTCTGATTGTCATCTGTTGCCCGCTTGACCTCGATGTTCCGAGACAGAGTATGTGAGGTCATTGGCTGTTTCGGTGCTCGAAAGTTTATCCAGGTCGGCCGGTTTCGATCCTTGGACTTGCGACTTGGTTCGTATTGCCCAGGGCGAATTTCAAACCAGAAAAAGCACACCCAGTGCTATTGACCGACCGCGCCATCATACGACTAGCTGAATAGGCACGTCTTATCGTGGCCTGATCTCATCTGACATCAGCGCATCTCACCTGTTTTTCCTGATCGTCGACACGGCGGACAAGCGCAGGGTCCTGATCTCCGATGACTGGTAATCTAGTGAATATCGCTCCAGACCGGTCTGGTCTGGGGCTGACCCTGCGAGCGATAATGTTTGAGATCCGGGATCATAGCTGGATGAGCTAGGTATTCCGACCAGACCACATCCTTGCATAGCTAGATATCGAGGTTGAAGGTGATCGTCATGTGTGCCTTGAAAGTCGAATAGTATTGACCTTGGGTACGCGATCGTAAGAAGGTTACCATTGCAGAGCGTATGATCTTGCAACCTTGGCGCTGTCTCAGACTATGGGGTTACCGGTCGTCTCGACACGCGAGCATCATCCAAACGATCAGACGCGATGGCCCTAGTCGCCACTACTCGTACAAGCCAACGAGAAGGTACGATCACTGTATCACGAAGCACTGTGGAGTATATCTTTCGTCTGTTGCATACACGTTGGAACGTGCGGGGTAGAGCGAAGTGGCATTGACATTAACGAGAATCGAGCTATCATACAGGTCCGTTTCACGTTGAAATGTACCTGACGCACTGGCGCGCAAACCTAACTGAAACGTTGAGCAGGTGGCGATGACGATGACGATGACGCGAGAGCAAACAGCACATGCACAATCGTCGACCAGGATCAAGACAGTGGCTGTCGAAACGACATGATACCCGGCACGGCATCATGGCCAGTCCAACTGCGAGAGTACTGTGGTCTTGTGTATCTTGCCGCGCCGTTCCAGCCTTTGAGACTATTCTCTTGGGCGCGAGCGCGTGCGGGGGATGGTACTTGGTTTGTATTACGGGTTCTAATCGCAAGGATAAGCAGGATCTCTGAGACAACCGATGTTTACCTACAGCCAAGCATGGCGGCCACTCCATATGCTCTGTGGTTGCAACCCGCTCTTCGTCGGCTCTTGCTCACACGAGGGGGGTCACCTGATCCACGTTGAAGAACCCTTTGCCTCCTTTGTGCAAATACAATTAATCGAGGTCAAAGGGACTCGGAAGAACAGACTCTCCCTCTATAAGCTTGTATGGTCTACCGGCTATATAAGGCTGTCAGTCCATGTCTCGCCTCCAGCAATCCGGTCTGAAGACGGCCATAGCTCGACGGGTATTTGTTTTGCATAGGCGATCCGCCTCATATTCCTTGACACCAAAGCGATGACCGAGCCATCGTTCTCAATCAACACCGAATGGTCTAATAATCATACAGTGGACGATCAACCCATCACATTTCGCAGGCAAGAGATCCCAGAAAACGTGTACAATTTGGCTATCGACACTGACCAGCAGTACGGTAGCAGCATCGACAACACCTATCACTCATCTAGGCCCGAGTCTTTCATGACGACACCAGAGGAGCCCGTGTATACTCATCCTGTGACGAGCAGGGAATCTAGATCCTGGACTCGTGAATATTTCGGCACTGCTCCTCCTGAGCAAAGATATTCTTCCCCTGAAGCTGTCAATCCCACCCTCCAGTACGACCCTTCCCTTTCGCAAGGGATTTTTGGCAACACTATGAGAAACCATTGGCAAGCACTTGCTCACGATCAGACGGGGCCTGCCAGTAGCATCTATACTGCCATGCCTCCAGAAGACGTTCAATCATATCTAGCCAGTACCGCCAATGATACTATCCGTACTAGTGCTCTTTCTCGCCAAGTATACCCCATAGCAACGGGCGCTGGGCATCATCAGTTGCAGCAGATAGAAGGCTTACCGCTATCAGCACAGCACTGGCCACCCACTTCCAGTGTCCATCTCGATGCGGCTATGTGGCACCCCGCGCCCACTGAAAGACCCCTCTCACCACAACCCGCCTCTTGCCAATCCTCGCGCCTCATTCAGCCGAGCATACAAGCTCTGGGTAAGAGGAAACGGGTCGAACGTTCAGGGGTGATTAAAGAAGGCACATACCGCTTTCACGATGACACTCCTGTGGATTTTGATCACAACGGATATCATGGAATGTCCCCAGCCAGCGATGTGGGTACCACCAGGACAGCATCTTTCTCAGGCATGTCCACCTACCAGAACAGGATGGGTCTGGGTTACCAAGAGGGCGCATCGTTAAACAAGGTCATTGACTCTGATACTGGAGGGAGCCAGGCCATCAATCGGTCTTTGGAGTGCAATGGAAAGATCGGCTTTTGTGATCTGCAGCATCATTGGGTCGTGCGGCCTTTCGAGAAAAATGAGTTGCTCGTGGCGGACTTCCTGAGCCAGGTATTGAGTAGCCAACCACTAGGTTGGCATATATACTGGATAACCCCTACAGCTTTTGCCCCGGACTGGTGGCCAAGAATTGATCGTCTCTCCAATATTGTGCATTCAGAACGGCAACAGCTGTATCAATTTCTTTCCTGCTTCCGGACACACAATCTTGACATACATCAGCATGGCACTTGTGCCATTGCAAGGGATGAGATCGAAGTTGCAAAGGGCCGCCATAAATCTTTCAAGAAAAATGCGCTGTTGCATACTTTTCAGAATGAGACTGAACAGGATTTGACAGATTTAGCAAAGACGGCTGAACTGATCTTGAATAAACATGGAATAGCTTGGAAGACCTCTGGTATTGCAAGCGACTTTCCAACCGCTCATCCAGCCCGGTACCCCCTGACACAATCAGATTTCCAGTCATCTTTGTCTGGTATCAGCAGTGTCCAGACTTCAGGGATGGCTCGAGACTGCTCTAGCATACTGCCATCGTCATTAGGTCATGGATTGATTTCCTACTCTACTGAGAAGATGACTTTTGACGTATACGGTGAGATTCCCTGTCATGTTCAGAATACCTGGCCCGCTCACATTAATTTACTTACATCCTTGTCAATAACTGCCTTATGTATCTTGTCGGACCAGGCTCGAATCAAGTCAATAATATTGCAGTCAAAAAGCGACCAAGGATTGCATTGGCCGCTCCCCTTGAGTATACCCAGCTTGCTCCTAGCAAACCGATCATGGGAAAACAGTGTGGAGGGGAACTTTTGGCATGTTCCTACAGGCGGCAAGAACCTGTGCAGCTCTTGACCGGTAAACATCTGGAACTATTTAAGCTAATCTACGCAGGACAGACTGTTGGAAAAGAAATTGACTGGAATGTTTTTGCACCAGAATTCAGAGGTATGGGCAAAGGCGGATCAAGAAGTCTTGGCCATCTGGTGCAAGGTGAGGGACACAAAGGTATCCTGCTCAGATTCATGACCAACTGCCGGCAGATCATTTGCCAGACACATCATCACCTAGGGACATGTCCGATTCTCCAAGACCAGTTACAGAAGAGAGGTCTTAGAAACATCCGGTTAAAGATGACAGGCTTGGAGGACAGCTTTCAGGCTATCAGAAACCTAGCAAAAGACGTGTGGACAGGTGGTCGTCCAGCACTATTTGAAGCGATTGAAGCATCTGTTACTGAAGGATAACTGTTATTGTAATGTTGTTGTTATATCAAATGTTCTTCACGGCGAAGTGCATACATAGGCACTCCAACCGGTGTGCGCCAATATTCGGCTGTACTTTGGATCTTCTCGCTTTGTCTCCGTCATTGCATGAAAGCTTCTAATGGTGGTATACTGTACAATGTTGTTTATAGTATATTTGAAGACACCAAGATCCCCGAATCTCATGCTTGACCATTGTAGCAGATGAATCCCAATTGGTCCTGCTGTCATCCGCACAAAATTAGTTAAGGAACAGGCTGGAAATCCAGGTCTGAGGAAGGAATGCTCACGTCAATCGAGAATGGGTAGGTTTGGGAATATATATTGATGAGAATGGAGTCAAGACCTATTTTCATGCCTTGTATCACATGTTTTTGTACTAATAACGGAACCAATGGGTTGAGATCTAAGTACAAGGTGTTCGTCATCATCTAAGCATTTTCAATCGACGCTGCATCAGAGTAACCGGCTATGTGCTGGTCATTCGAGTCAGGATGCTTGTATCGCGCCCAGATGATACCATGTAGGGGGTTGAAACTGATCTCGAGAACCTTGAAACCCTTCTGGCTAAGTACACACCTGACTGCCTGAGCAGTCAAATGCTTCGTTGTTTCATAGCTTTCGTTCATGGCGTTCTGAATGCTCCTCATCTTGTCTGGTAACAGTCCTGTATGAACTTGGACCCCGAAATACAAATCGAAATACGTCCCCAGGACGACTTCCCTCAATGTTGTCACCTTGATTGGGAAGCGTTGTCCCCCCACGATTCCAGGCAGGAACATGAAGCTATTGTAAACGATGCTGGGACCTTTAGAAGACTTGGCCCTCACGATCTGACAGACCAAAGCCCAGAGTGCACAAATGACAGTTCCGTTTGGAGAACTTTCGTAGGCTCGATCTGGGCTATACCGGACACCAGCAACAGGCCACGCAAAGATATCGTCTGTAGAGGCTGGCCCCAGAGGCAAGGTGTCTTCTACGCTAGCTCCAACAGTTGGGGTGGACGCAATGTTCGAACCTTGAGTCGCAGTTCGAGCTTCCCGATCAGAAGCAGGTGTCGAAGAAGATGAACGATCTGGTAGGCGCATTTTATTGTCCCCGGATGTACTGGTAACGATCGAGCTCAGTTGACTGCTGGCAGTCGAGGCAGTGCAACCAGTTTGGCTGTTGAGATCTAATTGCATGACTGAGAAGAGATCGAAAGGCGGTTGCGCTGAAAGATCGACAGAAGCTATAGCAAGGTTCTTAGCCGGAAAGGTCTAGCATACTGTGTGGATATATACCCTCAATCCCTAAAAGCGGTCGCATTGCTAGCATGTTGCTGAGCTGAATGCCCATGAAAGGATTGCCGAGGGTCGTCAAGCTTCTTCGCCGGCCCAAAGGGGCAATCCTGACAAGAATACCGTTCCCCGGAGGTGTCCTTGGCAGGCGTATCGTCGAACGCTGGAGAATGGTGCTCTTGAACAGGGCGTGTGCCTCTTCTGCGATCGATTCGAATCGCGTCCTCCCAGCATGCAAGTATCCCCAAAATTAGACAAGAATAATTGCAATTGGCGTTTCGTGTGTTTATATAAGTTCACCGCGAGCAGATCATTACAATCAAGCATCTATCTCAAACCAGAGGTCGTCTACAAAGCGAACCGAACGCGCGGGATCTGAAACGCGCACAAATTCTCTCCCGCTCCTGTGAGATCACTTTTCATCACAATTACGTTATTCGTCAAGTCCGCTGACCGCTCGCTGTGCGAGCTTGTAGCTTGTAGAGTTGCAGGTCGGCTCACAATTGCGTTTCTACTCGACTCGACACCCGTGCTTACCACGGTCCGCCCTGTTTTGTTAAGCAAGACGTCGTACATCATCGAAGAGCAAGAGCAAGCACTAGTAAGCTTGACGCTTCCTTCAGTCTCTGTACTGCTCGATCCAACAATCTAGCCTAACCTGACTATGTCTCTCCACCTTCAACCAATCAACAGAAAGTTCTGCCGTTCCGAGAAGCTCGACAGATACCCTGGCCATCCATCTCGACCTCAAACTTAGTAATCTATCCAGGAATATGAGCGAGTCTATGCCCCGAGATAAGCTAGGCAATTCATAGCAGCATCACACGATAAAATATCTAGACCTAGGGATACATTTTCCGCGATCGAGGCTAGAGGAATGGGTTCATAACGAGCTGGAATCTCGTTCGCTTCACGCCCTGATCGAACTCCTCCACGCATAACTGGCGACGTAGAGATGATCATCCCCAGGTATCTTGTACGTGGCCCAGACTTCGTGATTACCACCATCACCAACCACCTGGATGACATCATAGCCACAACCGGCTATATCGGAGCTGATATCGGAAAGAGCCTGATTGATGTAGGCATTGCTCTGGCAGTTGCCGTCAACCGATAAGACAGCTCTTCGCCTCGTCTCGAGGGCCTCGTGTATCGCTTGATAGTATGGCAGGCGCATCATTTGGGCGGAATCCTGAAATTCGATCAAATCGAGGGGGTAGTTCTTGTTCGGGAGACGAAAATATGTTTCAAACATATAGAGGCTATTCAAAATGTATACCCTGATTTCGGTTTTTCTACCGGAATCATCCTGAGTAATCAGCCTGCCTTCTTGGGATTTGAAACAGCCCTCCTCATAGCCTTGTTTGCATCGAGCCACCAGAGCCTTGATTCCCGTTGTCAAATTCGAAACCTCCTTGAGAGCCGGAGTCCCTGCCCCTTCCCAAAAGGTTACGGCGGAGGCTGGCTGCAACAAGATTTCGTGCAGTTGGGCTGGCCTTTCATTGGCGACTGTTATGACCGATCCTCCAATCGTTGTATCGATTTCAGAGGTGGTATCTCTGTAAAGAGACTCCAACCCGATCTGGGTGTTGGTCTCGCTGGTACTCCCGTGCGGCCTATCCAGCGGGTCTGGTTTTGGATACATCCTTGCCGCGCTCATAGGATATCCGGAAAGTACATAGACCTCTTGATCGCTGGTGACTTGATATGAGCTACCAGGAATGGTCGTTTGGGCGGGAGCGTTGAAGGTAGAAGCAGTTGACATCGGGTGAGACGTGTTTTCGGTATGCAAGGGAGACATCAATATTAGGTCACGTTGTGACAGCGTTCAGTTGGTTTACTCTCGCAAAGCGTATATAGTCATTTACAATTTGAGCTTCTCGGCACCAGCACGTATGTTGATGCCATATCATCGAAAGGAAAGCTCAGGAGGTTATCGGTCACTGTTTTGGATGTATGGCAGACTATGACTCCTTTGTCATGTTCACGTCACTCGGCGTGTAAGGATTGAGAGCTTGACGTTCGATGAAGTTTGCCGATGACAAGCGGGATTGTCTGTATCGTCACGCGGGTACGACAGACCACTGCGACTCTCTGTCCATCGAGTGCGTCCGGATTTGCGATTAAATCAGAGTTCCGGCTAGCAGCCAGTCCTCTGAATCTGACAACATGGCCGCCTCTTGCGAACTCGACTTGGAGTGTGCAATCAACTTCCCGGCGCTAGCGTTGACCCCTAACGCAAAGCATAGCAGCCAGATGAACCAACGTAGATGAGCAGAAGGAAGTACGGCATCTGCGATAGAGAAGAACGATCTTATACTACAATAAGCCCAGCCGAGCCAAAAACCAAGCAACACGGGATCTAGCCGAAAACCTTGTTTTAAAAACGCGGTCGATTACGACCGACGATCCGATCCGGGACCTTGGTTGCCTTCGTCCAGTACTTGATCGACATCCTCCTGCGAAAGTCAAGTTCTAAGAACGTCAGCATGCGCGCTTGACCATTACTACTTGACAGGGCGGGGGTTCGAGGGTTGCTACAGTACTCACATCCTCAGCCTCTCGCTTGTACTCGGCGAGTTCCTCCTTCATCCTCGCGCTCTCGGTCTTGCTGTTTGAACTAGGACCGTCTTGTAATCGGTGCATGGCCATCATGCCCAGGACGGCTTTTCGGACTGTTCGACTCCCTTATCAGAAAAGAGCTCACACGGGGTCATAGCAAGAAGACCGCGGGGGCTCACAAGTCTTCTTGGCATCGAAGGCCTTCTTGACATTGGGCAATAGGTCTGTGGTACCTCCACGAGGGGTAGAAACGCCCGGATCCTTGTTATCACCACCGACGACTCGGAGCCAGTCATCTGCAAGGATCTCGGCCGAGGTAGGTCGGTTGGTAGGGTCGACGGTGAGGCATCGCTTGACGAAGGCCTTGGCTTGTGCCGAGACGCCCTCCCAGTACTCCGACTAACAGGCGGTATATCACGTGATGAGCTCAGGCCGAGTGATACGTATGACTTAAGCGGGACTTACAGGCTCGAACCGGTAATCACCCCGGATGATCGCCTGCATCTCCTCGTATTGGGTCTCCCGGTCAAACGGTGTGTATCCGCAGAGCAAAAAGTAGCTGTAGTACGGAAACTCTCGGGCTGTCAGCCTGCCTCACGGTATACGACCAAGTCGATCCGGAACTTACGCGATTACACCAATAGCCCAGACGTCTACCTTGAACCCGTGCCCGCTCTTCCTGAAGATCTCGGGCGCCATGTACTGCGAACGAGGATTGGCTTACGATCAGGTTGCGAAGATCCCATAGTATCCTAATGAGCCGTTCAGGACTTACTCCTGGCGTACCACACGTCGTGGTCAGGACGTTGAACTTGTTATCGTCCATGATCCTAGACAACTACCCCGACCACAAAATAACCCTCGCGACCACAATCAGCGATCTCACCTCTTCTCACGCGATCCTCGCATACCACATGAAGGTTTCAGTATGGAACTTACCCCGAAATCGGCTACGCAGAGCTCGGCATCGTCGGCCTTGCTCCGGAACAACAAGTTCTCGGGCTTAAGGTCCCGATGTACGATCCCTTCATCGTGAAGGTATTTGACGGCGCTGGTGATGGTCCTCACGATCTCTGCTGCGTCACTGCATATAGGAACACCATATTGGTGAACAAGGAACAGATTCGATCAGCTGGTAGCTCATGATGAACGAGCGGTGGGGCTAACGACGTGGTTTGAACACGTACCGCTCGTAATAGTTCCCCTTGCTGCAAATCCGGTCAAAGAGCTCTCCACCGGTACACAGATCAAAGACGAGGTAGAGGTTATGAGCGGTCTCAAAGTGGTCGACGAGACGGCAGATGTTAGGGTGGCCAGCGGAGACTCGTTTGAGGACGGCGATCTCGTTTCGGACCTGCCCGACAGGGTCCGTCGAGTAGGTTGTGGTAGGATGGTATAGCAGGGTATTGTTTTGGTAGAGGAAGTATGGTGTAGATAGGTTTGTCAAGCAGTCAAGCGATTGAATGGGATGAGGCCATATTCATGGTGTTGTAGCTAGATAGGACGTTCGGGTACTGACCATGTGTTCTCTCCCTGCCATCAATTTCTTGTTGATCACCTTGCACGCAAAGTACTCCCCGGTCTGCGACGTGTACCATCACCCGCCGAGATGAGGTTAGACCTTGCACATGAAGTAAGCAAGAGAGTGGCGGACTGACGGTAATGTGGACGGCTTCTTTGACGACGGCACTGAAAGACGAACCAAGGGAGTTCAGCGTTTCCGGAGCGAGGTCTCGGAGATCGTGCAGAACGGGATGACAGCTCACTAGGTACCACTATATAACCACCAAGTTATGAACAGTCAGCTTAGCGATACTCAGGAATGTATAAAGTAGCGGGGACTCAACTCACCTTCCCAACGTCCGACCGGTCTTGTACTACGAGCGAAAAGGTATTTACGCAGCATGAGCCGACGGCTTTGGCTGGCTGGATACAACTTCGAGTGCTCACCTGGCAGGGGACGGTCACGGGTGCGGGCATGTTGACTGACACAAGAAGATTTGATTGGCAAGAGTGATGATCGAGTGGAGCACAAGGAATATAAGTGACGGTTCGTATATGAGTATATGGTGACGGTTGGTCGTGGTCAAAGGAGAAGCTGCTTCAGCTCAACGAGCCGGAGTCGGTGTTCCCCCGCCGACATCTCTAGGAACAATTGATATTATTTTCTTTGTGTTTTGGCTGACACGTGACGGGGATATAGTACAGTGGTAGTACGCTTCATTTGCAGGTAAATCACCTAATATTGAAGAAGTCTTGGGTTCGATCCCCAATATCTCCATTTCTTTTTGACTTTTTGGCAACCTCGCCGATCACGTCGACCGGACCGCATCCTCATGCTTCGGGATTCAGGCCGGACCCTCGTACAAGCACAACAGCTCGAGATGATCGATTGTTCAGGTCGACATCGTCGTTCCCATCGGTACATATGTAAGAGGAGCATTCCCTTTACACTAGCATCACCCCCTCCTATCTTCTTGAACAGCCACAGTCCTCCATATCATCGAAATCAATCACCGAACAAGAACAACCGACACCATGCCACCGGTCACCCGTAATCAGAGCATCACGAGCATCATCGACTTGACCTCGGACGACATCGCACCCCCATCCCCACCTCGACCTACAGTGGCCAATCATTCTATGGCTCCTAGACGGAGGATGCGGGATGGCAGTACGTCTACTTCTACTACGACCGTGACGACGGGGAGTTCGGGGAGTGGAAGTCGGGGTGGGAGTCGGGGTGTTGGGATCGGTCCGAGTTCGAGTGCGGGTAGGAGGAGGAACGGGAATGCACTCAAGAAGAATGAGGTTGTGGATGAAGCGAACGATTACGGTGATATCAACGGGAACGGTCCTTCGACCATCAACGGGACCAGACCGAACGCATCTACCTCTAAACCGTCCAGACCGAGTTTGAGGAGAAAGAGGTCTAGCTCGGAATCGAGCATCGTCGCTCTCGAAGCTCCTCCTGAGGGGATGGTCGGATTGGCGGGGAAGAGGCGGAAGGTCAACGGCAACGTCAACGGACAGGTCAACGGACAGGCTGATAGGCCTGATAGGAAGGTCAACGGCAAGGTCAACGGGAAGGGCAAAGCACGGGCTACGAGTGCGGATCTGGATATGGACGGGGTCGAGAGGGGGATTGATGTTGATGTGGATGTGGATCTGAGCTTGGACGAGGACGACCTTGAGATTGGAGGAGGGAAGAGGAGGGTCAGGCGGGCAGGGTATGGCGGAATCGAGATTGCAGATGACGAAGAAACGGGACATGCGGAGGGCGATGAGGACGATGTTGGTGACGGGCATGGTGGGATCAATGGAATTCCCGAAGAGAGCCTCTTGGCTAGTTTCCGTGAGTACACCTCGGCTTGGGCCTGCCTCGTCTCTCAATAATAATAACAAGACATGGAGCGGAACTGATGAAAACGATATCGAAATGGATTTCGTAGAATGCCCGATCTGCCTAGCACCGCCTATTCAAGCCGTCTTGACCCCCTGTGGACACGTCAGTAAGTACCTCAAACCCTTAACGCCCCCATACATCTCAAACCGCTGACCACCTCCTACAACTCCGTAGCCTGCGGCGCCTGCCTATTCTCAACCCTAAAAACGCAAGCTATCCGAGAAAGACGTCCCCCGAACCCTACCGGCCAGCTCCCCACTTCGGGACCTGGGATGAAGAAACCCCGAGGAAAGGCGGATCAGGAAGCTTGGTTCAGGAGGTTCGGGGCTGATCCGAAGACGGGGAGGATCAGGGGGAAGATCTTGACTGGGTCGTGTCCGGTGAGTTTCAGCTTGAGAGGTCTTTAGAGAGAGATTCTTAAAAAGCAGGGCAAGGAAGCTGATCTTGATCCCCATATCGATCTCGATCTGGGTTGTCCTTTCGATATGGTTGATACAGGTCTGTCGACACGATATCGAAGGGGGACTCGGACAACCCGGGGAAGGAGGGTGTATATACCTCGAGATATGTACCGTCTCTTCGGTCTTATAACCGGCTTACTTTCACGGAATTCCGGTTCACGAGCATGCATGATGGACGACGAATTGGACGACGACACGGACGAATGGACGACGACATGGATGGATGGAGCTTCTTTCGACTGGCTGTATTTGTGGTGTAGACTGGTGGGAGTGGGTTGTGATTTAGTTGTAAAGCGTTTGAACGACATATACCTCCTTGGGACATAACTTTTGCATCCGACGAATCGAGATTGAGGGATCGATCGATGACGCAAGTGATCAAGTGACACTTCGCGAAATTAGGTCATATCAAGTTCCGATATGAAGTGGTATATTCGTCGTATCACCCTCGTATGACCGTCGTATCGACAATCGATCTCATATTCCGCTGAAACGAGCATGATACGAGCGGACATGAAATAGCAGCATGTCCGTAAGGCATATCATGCTCATATGACGACCGTTTCCGTACCTCTATTCGACTATCGATATGACAACATGGCCTAGGTTGACTTCATTGACCCCAGCCCAGGCGACAGACGCAACGTCCTTGCACCCTAGACCCTTTGCTTCTTCACGTCCAATGTTGTAACCCACAACCTCTACGTATCTAACTCAAGATGTAGCAAATCACCCCATGCATAATGACGATATATCATCCACCTCAAGCACCTCTCGACTTGCTCTGCTTGCTGCCAGCCCGGAGCTCCCTGCGATCTGTTTACCCTCATTGAATCATCGAAAGCACAACCTCACTGTTCTGCCGGCGACATGGCTCCGCTTCGAGAATGTCGTTGCCGCCAATGTTCAAAGTGGGAGCTAGGTTTCCGGGCCATAACCTATGCCTCCTGGCGTCGACACAATCAAGCTGTTGCGCACCAGCAATTCGGCCTTGCACCAGGCGAACCGGCCCCATTTCAGGCCGTTGTCTTCAATCAGCAGGATAATCTACCAGACCTTGCTGCGAGGAGTCTATCGCCCGTCAATATCGACTGGGACGATGAGTACGAAGACGGATTTCAAGACCAGTTTCAAGGGGATTCGGGCTCGGACGATGGGATGGTAGGCTTGGAGGATGGATTGGAGAGCGGTGAAGGATTGTTTGACGAGCCCGGACTGGAGAATGAAGACGTCGAGGATCCTTTTCAGGAGGCGGCCGAGGAAGAAGATCAGGAATATGTCGACGGGCATCCGGTCATTCGTGTGCAGAGCTTACTACAGCATCACGACCTTACCCCCGCTACTCGTCAGGCATACACAACAATTGCGTTCGCTAAGATGACCGGTACCCCCGACAGACAGGCCGACAAGATGCTCGAACAACTCACGGCTACAGCTCAGATTGCCGTAGAAGGCCTTGATAGGGGAGCAGCGACAGCTGCCAACGCGGACCTCCTGGATTTCCTTGATGCGGACAACGCCACGAACAACTGGCGCACAGCTATGGCCCGGCTCGGCGTGTCAGGGGATAACTACATCCAACGTCAAATCTGCTGCCCCGAATGCTGGTGGTTGACACCGCTTGATCAGCTCTCGACTTTAGAAACCCCGGTCTGCGGCGCACCTCTGAGTGATGGGCATGTCTGCGAGGCTCGTATATACTCGGCGATCAATACAACTAGGACGCCTTACAAAATCGTTCCCTACGTACCTCTGTCGACCTGGCTAGCACTGTTCATGCAAGACGCCGAGTTCGTGAGCAATCTCCAGCACTGGCGAGACGAAGCAATGGGAGATCTTCAGTCAGAAGTCCTCGATCCCGCTGAGCCTGTGGTGCCACGAGAGGCCATGATGCGAGGCGTCTCGGACGGATCAGCTTGGCGGTCGTTCCCGGCGAATGTCATCCGCGAGGTAGACGCAGACTATACGGTTAGAGATGAACCGATTGAGGGCGCAGAGGATGCCCCCTTCCGGCATACCTTCCTGCACTATGGACTGAATATCATCCTGAACGTCGATTGGTAAGTAGCCTAGAGGCTAGAGGACGTTTCATACTACATGGGGCTGATCAGACTCCCTGTCTTAGGTTCCGAGTGAAAGGCATGCCTGGATACTCAGTCGGGGCGGTCTACGCAGCTGTGGCGAATTTGCCTCGGCACATGATGTTCAGGAAGAAATGGACGGCTCTTCTCTGTGTCATTCCCGGACCTGAAGAGCCCTCCTTAACGTTCTTCAACCGTATACTCCAGCCGATTGTGGACGACTTCACTCGCTGTGAAAACGGCGTTTATGTGCCTACCCATTCCTGCGGCCGCACTCGATACGCAAAGAAGGACGACTTGGAGCTAGTCTGCACACGCCTTTTGTTCACCGCTTGCGACTTGCCTGCCACGAAAAAGGTCATAGGAGCTGTAAGTCATGCTCATGGACGTCACCCCTGCCACCACTGTGGGGTCACCTTGGTAGACGTCAACACGGCCGCTGCATACGACTGGCGTCGGTTGCCCCCAAAAGAAGCGGACAGCGCGGAGCTATTGAGGCAAGCCTTCCTTCACAAAGACGCTCGTACTGGCGGGGAAGCCAAGGCCATCGAAGACGAATATGGGGTTCGTTACTCGGTATTGAACGGCCTCACAGGCATGAGCCACTCGAAGTCAGCTCCAGTCGACCCCCTCCACAACCTCTATCTCGGACTCGTCAAATCCTTTGTGAACTTACTCTGCGACAACGATCTTTTCGAGGGAGAACTGGACGGGACCCCCCGAATCGAGCTCTTTGCTGGAGTTTTCAACCGCGCTCGCTACCCTGGTCACCTCGGTCGGCTGCCGTCCAAGGTCACGAGACAGGTTCTAGCTGGGCGAGCCGCAGGTCTGAAAGCCGACCAGTGGAAACGTATCGCGCAACTGTTGGTCCATGCGCTGTCGGTCTCCTGGAGAAAAGAGGGAACCGACGAGATCGATGACGAGGACCTCGACCCACCGATCGAAGAAGCAGGCCCTCTCAAGAATCGACGACAGGGGACCCCTGTCGTCGATAGTCAGCCCGCAGGAGCACGGGGCCGGAGACGCAAGCCAGCTCGAAGGTCTCGTGAGGGCGAGGAAGATGTCCCGTTTCGCCGAAATCGGTCGCTCTGGTTCGCTGCAGCCGTATCACTCTGCGCAGGCATACGTATCCTCGACTCTCACTTTATCAGCCTATCCGATGCCGAAGACGCCGTAGAAGATCTGGCTATCTGCTCACGGACCATATTACGACTAGGTGGCCGCCTAACCATAAACTGGCACAATGCTATGCACTACGCCGAGTGAGTTACGTCCTGGACTGGTCTCCCTGCGTGTCTCCTGGCCTCATCACGGCGGCTAACGACATAACGATTGGTCGGGATAGACACATCAAGCTCTATGGACCTATTTCCAGCTTTTCGTGCTGGGCCTTCGAGAGGAACAACGGGACCCTGGCTCGGGTCAATCACAATACGAAAGAGCGCGACATCCCTTCGACAATAATACGAGCCTGGATTCGAGAAGCCTGCTTGGGGACCGTGCTGCACAACCCATCGCCCACAGCGACCGCAACAGAATTAGCCGCAATCGAGGCTCTCATCGCTGACCCAGAATTAGCTAGGGGAACGGTCATGCTCAACGAAATCATGAAGGCCGCCCTCCGTGCTCGACTGCCGGCTCCACTCAAGACCTCTCCTGTGAATCTGGACCAGTACGAGCACTCGCATCAAGCGTTACTGCGCTATGTCAACGAACATCATCCCGATTATCAATTCGTAGGCAACCTGGCCATGGTCGATCGACGGCCGTACCTACCAGTCCGATCCGAGAGGTATTTGATATATACACACGTGATCTATCATGGATTCAAGTGAGTGCGGCAACACGTGTAGGCGAAGGCCGCAAATGTCAAAGCTGACCGCAAGTGTCAGGTTCTGTTCGGCTCTATACAATCGCAGCGTCAGGGACCAGTGGGCACTGGCATCAATGACGCCGGACTCTCGGGATCTGGTCCGGATCCGCCTCTTTTTGACTGCAACGTTGGTCGTTAGAGGCAAACCCCCACTCAATCTTGAGTTAGTCCTGGTCGACACCTACCAGACTGCGGACCGAGGACATTATCCTTGGTCGCACAGGAATATCGACCTTGGCTACAAGGCCTATCTGCAAGACCCCGAACCTGAACCCCGTTTCCTGCCGATCGCATCGTTACAGGCTTCGGTGATCACAGCAAAGGCCACCAATCAAGTCGACGGACCGATCCTGGTCGCAATGTCATGTGACAGAGATGGCGGAGAACCCGAGTTCTGGCTACAGTCTGACGGACCTCAACAGGATGCAGTCGGCATCGCCGAGAATGACATTTAACTGGAGAACCGCTCCAGCGACCCGGAATCTAGAACATACAAAGTAGGTTGGAGAGTTGACATGCTACCGATATATCGGGGAAGTTTGAGAACAGGAGCGCGAGTGGAGAGGAATCATGTGGACATCAGGGCGTGCTCAATCATTACCGCCGCCGTCGTGAAAGGGATCATCAGGATTATATTGCCTGTAAGTTGTCTCGTTCTGGTCGTAATTGATGTACTGGTTCATCTGGGAGTATCCCTGGGTATTGTTGTTGTTGTTGTTGTTGTTGTTGAAGGAGAGCGCTTGATTGCTGACGTTGTTTCTGAACGTCGACAGTGGCTGAAAGGACGAGGACGAAGATGCTCGAGGAGTGTGTTGGGGATCTTGACCGGCGAGCTGCTGCATGTGCCATTGTTGGAACTGATGCATGAGCTGAGGATTGATAGACATCGGCATCGTTTGAAGTGAGTCAGCAACCGGCTGCTGGAAACGTGGAGGGGCTCGACTTTGACCGGGCTGGCGGGATTGTTGCTGATTGATTTGCGCTTGTCCTTGCGTAGAATAATCGCCGGGCCGAGGCAGCTGCTCGGAGTCCATACGACGAGGCGGTACCGTGTTTGACATTGCGTTCCACGACGCACTGTCTGCGAGGAGTCCATCGAGGTTTTGGTGCGGGCCGCCGGCGGGGGTCATGCTCAGACTCTCGGTGTCGGTATCACCCTGCGTCTCAGGGCTGAACGGGTAGTCACTCGTCATCGAATCGGAACCATGACCAGGAAGCGGCCTAGCTCTTTTCACGGTTGGACGAGCGGACTGGGCGGCTCGGCCTCGGTGAGCCGTGCTGCTCATCGATCGTGTGGCATCGCTGTCTGTGGGCTGAGTTGACTCCGATCGGTTGCGCTTGATAGTCTTTTTCTCCTTGCGAGCTTTCTGAATCATCCAGGGGTGCTTCTGATACCATTCCGTGAGTTTGACATCGGCAAAGGAGGTGGGAATATCTACAGGAACGATTTTGGTGACGATGTCCTCGTTGGCTGGGTCATTCAAGTAGGCTTCGGTGAACATCCAACGTTGGGGTGCCTGGTGGAGCCATGCGTAGCTGGGAACCGGATACATTTGAACAACGCTGGCTTCTTTGCCCTCCGGTAGGGCATCGAAACTCGGTCCTGAGGGAGGCTTGCCGCCTTGACGACCTCCAAAAGCAGCCAACTTCGTGTTCCAGATCGTCTTGTGGATCTTCATAAACTATCCAGCAACACAAAGGATATCGTAAGCACGCAGGCCTATGATAATTCGGGAACGGCGACTCACCGCTTCACTCAGCACGGTGCTGGTGTCGGGCTCATACCATTTGACTTTGCCGGAGGAGTTGTCGGGGTACAAAGGTGGAATCCAGTAGATGCATTCGAGGCCCTCGTACTCCTCGCCGCTGTATGCGGTATGAGGTCGACGTGAGTTCAAACGCGAGTTGGCCTGGTAAGCAGGAGCATGTCCAAGACGGTCAGCTCAACGCGCTTCTCTTCGTCCTCTCTCAGTGACTTACAGAGGTGAGCTTGCTCCGAATCGAGGCTTGGAACTTCGAATTTTGGGCTGCATAAGCCTTGTCGTTTTTCGATATCTCTAGCTTCAATTCATCTAAATCCTTCTTCTTTGCAGCATACTCCGGATCATCCTGCTCCAACGCCGCTTCCCTCTCAGCTACTTCTGTCAACGCCGCTCTCCGTGGGCCGGCATCGCCATTGGCCCCCCACTCTTTGATCGCATGCTTCTTGTAAGCCGCTTGGTTCTGTCGGAATTGACTGGTGATGGCTGACATGTACAAGTCTTCTGCGTCTTTCACCGCCAGGATGGATTCTCGATTGGTGTCAAAGGGAAGGGATAGCGAATCACGTTGGTCGGTAACGGCCTGAATGACCTTCAAGGTCTGCGCATGATTGTAAGTGGAGCTTTGAGGTTGAAGGTAGTTCCATCGGATCTGGTCGGCGGGCACGGCATCCCCGTTGAGGCCTTCGGTTGGCTTGCCGCTACCATAGAGGGCCTGGATTGCGCTCTTCACTAGCCTCGAGATATCCCGCTTCTGGGTATCCGTTGCAACAAATCCTCCCGCTGAAACCACCTCGCCCTCCGACCCCCTCTCCTTCAACGCATCAATTTCCCGTCGCAACTCTTGCATCTCCTGGTCCTTGTGCTCATCTCTCTCGGCTTGTTCCTTCTTGTAGTTCTCGAAGGCATCGGCGAGACCTTGCACCTGGGCTTGTAACGATGTGAGTTGAGCCTGTGTGTTACTCTGCGATTGGAGGGAGCTGATTTGATTGTTCTGCGCTTGTTGTGCGGCTGCCCGTTGACGCTGACCGTGGGATGGTGCAAAGGCACTTGAAGACGAGGAGGAGGTGGTACGCGAAAGGGGAGTAGGTGTATGTTGGCCCGGGGAATTCACAGGAGGTAAGTCTCTATCGGCCATTCCGATTCTTCGTGCCGTTGTTCGAACATTCGTGACTGATACGGGGATGTTTGACGATCATCAGCACATAAGGGCATGCAAGAGTACCATTCAAAGGACCCCACCTGCTCCAGCTGCTCGTTGATCATCGGTTCTGGTAAGTGTCTGCCTTGCGGGTGTTTGACCGGGACCTGACAGGGCTTCTGTCATCCGCCTGTGACTAGCTTGTACTCGTTGGTTGGGAGACACCGTCTCATTTCTAGGTATGGCTTCGTTCGAGAGTGGTGAAGGACGGTAGTTTGTCGAGGTAAAGGAGGGGGTTGCCTGGCCGGACATTATTACTCTCGCATCGATATCGCAGCCGGTTCCGGCTGTCGACCTGAAACCTGTAGTACGGATGTATTCTATGCAGTAGCCAAGCCTATTATGATCCGAACCTGGTCGAGCCGGCAGCCGGGGGACGATTTGTTACGGTCGAATATCTGTCAAATCTGATGTTGTTATCATTCCTGTATTGATGTCGTTTCGGATGTAGAGGAGGCTCGTATAGTAATCGTATCACGTGATCTAAATGACGCGTATGGGACGCGTCGCGTGAGACGATAATGATACGCGATCTTTAACACGTCATATGGGATATATCATATTCGATGTGATACGAGGGTCATATTCGGCCGATACGACTCGTATACCAATCAAACATCGTGAGCGATATGCACCGTATTTCCGGAGTGCAAGTGAGCAAGTGATAGTGTGATCATCTGCTCGACGACATCTTCGTTACCATCGACACCCAGCACCCAGACATTCAGATAGACAAGCAGCAAACATGATCCTCACCGACGCTTTCTGGCCAGTCTTTGCGTTGAGCTCTTGGTTCTCGGGCCAGCAGCAGCATCAGCATGACGAATCGCTTGCCAACGGAGGTCATCATCATCACCACCACGGTCATCATGGTCATCATGGTCATGTTCAGCCTTTTCCCGGGCATACGCTTTACAAGCTGAACGATGTGAGTCGATATATATGGGAAATGAAGGTATCGCCATAGATGCATATGGGACACTGATAGAGGTTGTATTCACGGTCGGGACTCAGGGCAATTATATTCCTAGTCCTGCTTGGGGGACGGGTACCGTGAGTACCGATCTTACTCTCCCCGAACCTCTTCTCGCTCTTTCAATACTTTTCTGACGGGATTCGATATCTGTGTCACCCTCGCTCTCACAACTATGACCGCATCGCCTACCCAAAACCATGACGACCATATATACGGCAACAACGCAGGCAACAGCCAGAGAAGGAAACGCAACCCTCCTCGTAGCCCAAGCCCTCGAAGCAGGATGGAGGCATATCGACTGTTCCTTGATCTACAGGAACCAGAATGGAACGGGCGAAGCTCTAACAGCGAGCGGGGTTCCACGGGGGGAACTTTATATCACCTCGAAATACGACTCGTTGACCAACCAATCCGTTCATGAGGAACTCGGCTTGACGCTCGCTCAATTGCAATTGGACTACCTCGACCTGTACTTGATTCATTTCCCCCGGGCGGCAGTCAATGGAGGTGGCCTGAAGAAGGTTTGGCGGGAGATGGAAGAGGTGAAGAAGATGGGGTTGGTCAGGAGTATAGGGGTTAGTAATTATGATAGTGTGGAGCTTTTGGAGGAGGTTTTGGAGGTGGCGGAGGTCTTCCCGTAAGTGTTGTATCTGTAAGGGGCGAGAACGGGTAATCGAGGCGAGAGTTTGGGGCTCATCGAGGTGTCTTTCGACGTGTTCAGGGCTATCAACCAAATCAAGTGAGTAATGTATTTCCTCTAGGTTTCCGAAGAGAACGACCCGCATTGTAGGCTTCGGCGGCTGACCCGCTCTTCTACTCTGTATTAGCTACTCGGTGTACAACGCGGTCGACAAGGCTCCGGTGGTCGCTCTGGGGACTCAGCATGGGATCCTTACCTCGGCTTATGGAGAACTTCGAGTGAGCACCCGTTCTTCCCTACCTACTTTTGAGGCTCGCAGACAGCTCGATAGTTTCGTCCTCTCTCGTCGTCTTACTGACCGTCCTCGTTGTTCTGCAAAATCTTGTTGTCGTCGCAGCCGATCACCTCCTCGCCCAACGGCCCGGCTGATATCATCGGCAAACAGATCACAGACCGATTGTCCAAGGATTACGGGAAAGAAGTGACCTATGCGCAGATGATCTTTAGTTGGTTGAAGAGTACGGGCGTTGTCGCTGTTACGTGAGTCGTCACTTCTATCCACTCGAGAATTACAGCGTGGACCGAAAGAGCTAATTCGAGCATATTATGCATTGCTGCGCACAGGACGACCTCGAACAAGGAGAGATTGAAGGAACAGGTGGTACCCTTCGGAAAGGATTTCCCTCTGGTCACGGCGGCCGAGGCGAGGGCTTTCGAGGCTAGCGGATGGGGGTACAAGGATTGATCGAGGAGGAAGGTGATACAAGTACATATGAGCGAGGGAAATGTATGTACAACAATGCAACCACATGGGTGGCGGGCTTGTTGTAGGATCGAAGTCATGCGAGATGATCGGTCTCGGCTCGGGCGACTAGGTCGTCGACACGTCCCTGAATGCCTTCGACAGATGAGATCGTACCAAGGAGTACTTTCCGTTTGGGTATCCAGCGCTTCTTTTCCACATAGTCGAGCCATTTTATCACAGGACGATTGTATGTCGCTCGACGGGGGTTCCTTCTCTGACGCCTCGCCATCGCTAGGTGCGATACTGCGATCCACGATGACCGTTTTGGGATAGGCGCTCTTCTGGGCATGGTCGCACTCCAAGATCGAGGGAAGGGTACACCGATCACTAGCTGCTCCAAAAAGAGAAAAGGAGGGGCAAGTAGTGACAACAGACACGGGAGGTGCAGATGGCGCGAGTTCAGAGACCATAGTGGGTGGATGAGTAACCACACGATTCAGTAGATGGATTGCCGGGAGGTCGAGTAATCGGAGAACACGTTCTTTACGGTACAAGGCGAGGAATGACCTTGAAAAAGATTTTGAATTCGATACGATCACACGGGCTGAGCAGCCGATTGTCGATCGGGACCTGCGGCTTCGCGAAACTTCATTATAATCTCGGCAACGACGCGGGTGGCCTTCTCTCTGACCGCTTTAAGCTGGAATCGATGCATCTTGCCTTGATCACGAAGCGCTTCAGCAACAGTGTAGGAAGTAAGCGCTTGTTGAGCTGAATCTGCCATTTCGTGAATGTTCTCGCTGATGTCTGAGATCTGAAGCAAAAGAGAAGTCTGTCAGATCAGAAGTGAGACAACGTCGATTCCGAGAACGAAGGGTTTTAAAGGCCTTGGAACATATTGTCCTGTGTCCAATCTCAATCCATCGGATGCTAGGACGACCTTGGTCATTCGAGGGCAAGGTTGAAAGGAGCGTTCGTAAGGACCCATGTATAGCATCGCTGCGTTAGCTGACGGATAGAATGTCATACACGTGGTACTGTTAGCTGTGATGGCCTGCTTTCGGCGCGCTGCGAACTACGACCATCAAATCAGCGGGTAGATTAAGGAGTACCTTGGTAACGTCTTGACTTCTTCATCTATGGATTCGCGAAAGATGAAATACAATGGTTCTCTAAAAGACTGATCCAGCATCCCTTTGTCAATCTGCCGGTTCTGCCCAGAAGCAGGCCAGACGCTTTGGTATACTCTGAGTTTCCTGCCAGACCCAATAGAAATACCACAACTGACCATCGCTCAGATTCCTTAGCTCGAGCTTTTCCAGACTGTACTCGTGGTTGAATTGCTTCAAACGTTTCTTATGGCGCTCCCACTGTTCGGGCGTTGATCGTTCGACCCTCTTGATCATGGGTCGCTCTTGAGACGTGTTGCTCTCCGTCTGGAATCCCTGGCTATGGACTGATCTGTAGATACGGAAGGTGAAATAGACAGACCCGAGGGTGAAGAAGACTTCTCAAAGATCGATTGCAGTTTCTAGAAAGCATGAGTTGTTCTCATCTCCGTCTGTCGGGAACGACGGGACGCTGAGGATATCGCGTACGATTTTCTGGATCTCGGCGGGCCATAGCTCTTGACAATCCTTGTCCTCACCGCTAGTCTCGACCGATGTAGGGCTGACGGATTGACCCGCTCCAGAGGGCGTAGTCTTGACCTCGACAAGTTTGGCGTCATGCGAGCCTGGCCAAGTTTGGCAGAGACCTGAAAATCTGAGGGATGAGATCCCGGTAAGGGGGGAAGCGGTAGCGCTGTAATCAGGTAAAATGGTGGGCCCGAGGTTGGATGCCGAGTATGCCAAACATGATGCTTTGTCGATCCCTAACATGATGATCAGGGATTGCCGACGCTGGCTGTGGAGGGGTGTGTGAGGGGATATCGGTACAAAAACGAGTGTGGCGTTATATATGGCTGCGAAGCAGGACGACTTGATAGGGGGATTATCACACGCTATAGGAATGCTTCTCCAGGGGTAAGGCAACAAAGGAAGACAGAAAGTTGGCGAGGTGACACGTATACGACAGCACAAGGAGGATCCTCTGGCGATGGGATTCATGAGCGATTGACAGGGCATGCGGATACGAGGAGTTTTTGCGCAATCACTGGTTTCATACAGCAGTTATGATCGTTCTATCTTTGTGATTTGCCTTCTCCAACTGTCTCAGGCTCTCAGATCAGTCTCCAGTGATCTTGCTATATGAAATCATCAAGCTGACATGGTGAAACATGAAACACCATCTGATTACGGAACCATTTTAGCTTGCACATCAAAATTGTCGCCATCGATGGGTTCTGCGGAACCCCATATGACCATTAGTAAAGCAAGGGAATATCTCAACCCGTTTTCAGATCTCGAACTGCTCATACTTAACGATATTATACATAGTGGTGCTACAGGGATACTGGTACAACAAGCGGACAGAGTAGGAGTAAGTATCACTGAGAAGACTCGTCACCGCAAGCTGTCGTAAAAGCTAGACGTCTACTGTTGCAGCAGGATCGTCTCCGCTTGTGTCCGAACCTGGAGGCGTTAGCACAAGGAGTTCTGAGAGATCGGCGTCAGAGCTCGCTCCAGAATGACTCCTCTCTGGTAACTCGTGGTTGTCCAATGAGTCATGTGCAACAGGCGAAGTCGGGGTGTGCACAAGGTTTGCAGCGACGTGGTAAGTCTTGCGAACCCACTCCCCTTTGACAAAGTGTGAGACGGCGAGCCATTCACGTTCCTTGCATACTTCCAACTCCACGTGCGGAGTCAAAGATTCTGCATCGCCTGGTTTAAGCTTCTTAATGACATTCATCAAGGAGTCCCATGTTTCGCGGTCGATTCTGATGGTCGGGCGAAGCTGGTCTCGGTTTGACTTGCGAAGGGGGCAGCTCTCCGGTCCAGGTGACAATCAGGCTTCGACCGGTCAGCGTTGAATAGGCATAGCCCACCGCGAAGACGCAAGCTTCTGCGGCAATTAGATACCAACCGAGATCGCCCCACTTCATCCCCTTGGGAATGGTCTTGGGAATCTTGTCCAGCGTTTCGAGCAGCTGTTTGTGCGAGAGCGAAGGTTCCTGCTCTCGACCGGGATCCGGTTGTTGGGCTGGACTTTCGGTCGTTGTGACAGTGATGATGTCGGTGTTGAGACTGGCTTCTGGTACAGACATGGCAGCACAGATGGTGCAAGGGACACTATTGATCTTGTCCCGCATCTCTTCGATTGAAAGACGCGGAGGGACCGACTTCCAAATGTCAGAAACGAATGAATTCAGGGCGCTACCGAGAGTACTGATATCGCTCATATCGTTGTTCACGCAAGGGGGTTTGTGTTCTGTGATGACTGAGAAGGTATGACATAGATGAGGGGGTCAAGGTGGAACGGCCGCAATCTCGGGAATGGTCTGGACTATATAGCTTTCCCCCCGGCCGATGCTACAGGAGTGGGATGAAAGGAAGACGCGAGAACGCCAGCTTGCACGCCACATGATGAGATGCCCTACGATCTCGTGATCGTTCAGCTGACCAGGCTTCAGCTTAGCAGGTGATCAGAGTGACATCCTTCGTTTTTGGGGAAAGCTGTCATTTGGCCATTCGTCACTGAGGCCGATTGCCATGCCATATACAGCAACCTTTCGGCCTAGAAAAGATGGCGCAGCCTTCACATACGCCTCTTTGGGCGACTAAGCAGACCAGCGATGTTTCATAATAACTATTCTGTAGCTGATTCCCCGTGTTATATATGCATGGGGAGCCTGATATGTGATCAGAGATAGGGGGCGACCTAGAGTCATCTGCAGGTGTAATGGTCCAGGCCACAACAGTGGTTCCTCAGGGGTGAGAGAACAAAGGATGATCAGAATCAGGCAGACGGCTAGTGCAGGATGACGTCTAGCTCTGATGAATGTGGGTCGACAGTCGAAGTGCATTCCACGTTCCCTGTTCCCACAGCATTGTTCACGCACGTTTATCTGTGCAACTTGGGTCTGAATGATCGTCCTATCTCACAGATATACCGGGCGGTTTGGGTCAACTTGGAATTTCGCGATATCATACCGTTCACTGCCGCGCGATATCATACCAGAGCTTTTCACTGCGCAACATGAAATACCACGAGAGATGGCAAGGGCGAGAAGTCCAACCAAGCGAGTTTCATGGTCTCCTAGAAGTCCAACCAAGCGTGTCAAAGGTTGACTAGAAGTCTAACCAAGCGAGATCATCACAAAGTAAACATCACACAAGTCAAGTTGCAACAGCAAGATGACATGATCCCCCAAGGTACACCCTTAACTGACTGACCATGACTAGTCTGAGAAGGGTTTGGGATGTGGTACCCTGTCATATGACTGTCTGATAAGTATCATGCTCGAAATTGCGCTTAAAAAGGGTGATTTAAGCTGTAATTTGCTGGTATCTGATGTTGCTCAGACAGAAGCTGCGGTATGATACCGCGCGGCACCCCAAAATACAGTGGTAAGATAGCTCGCGGCGAGTTGACACTTTCGGCGCAGTATACACAGATCAGTCTCAAGCGATCTTCCTGTGTTGAACTTTCACAGCAAGATGATAAATAGCCATCTGGCAAGGCAACCGGTTCAGCTTCCACATCAGACCTGTCGCCTGAAATGGGTGCACGCAACTTTACTGCATCTGGAGTAAGCCTACAGTAGGGAATGCCTCGAATAGATGCCTAATTGCAGATCGTTTGACTGTGCCAGTTGTCTAGAAGGGGACACTGCATGAACAATAGTACAACAGGTGATCAATCGGTCAGAATTGGAGCTGGGTGATACAAATTCAGATTTAACCGTGCATGCTACTGTTTGAAATACGAGTCATGATCACAATTCTACGGTGTCCTTAGCCTCGCTGTCCTGATCCGAGCTGATCTCGTGCACGGAGCGGTACCCTCGGTCAACTCGACCTTCCGGAAGCTAAACGTCTGCTTGCTCATCAAGATTTCCTTCCCTCCCTTCCGATGGCGGAGGGGTAATCATCGTCTCATGCGTCTCACTATCCGAAGATCGGTCTAAAGGGTTGCCACCGAAACGATTCTCCTGATGCGAGTTTTGATCAGCCAACGCCTGACATACTTGGCTTAACAGAGCGGAGATGTCATTGGACTCGTGACTTTCAGCGAAAGGAATCTGTCTGATCTGGTAGCCGATCATCTTGCCATTGTAAAAAGTTTCTGCTTTCAGGGCGACACCATTGGAGGTCGATATGGCACTGAAATAGGTCGTTCCCGGTCTTCTAGACTCAACAAGACACAATGAAGTCTGGCCAGCAACGAGTGTTTCGTCTACTGTAGTAGTTCCAGTGGAATGCCGTCGTTTCGTCGGTATCGAGGCTTCTGCACTGGAGTCGCTCACACCTGACTTTGCGCCCCCATTTTCGTCCTCCGAGGACCAGTCTGGTTCCGAGCTGGAGGGGTCGACGTCGTATCGATTCTTATCCTTTTCGTTCTTAAGCTCACGAAGGCGGGCCTCAAGCTTACGCCGACGGCATTTTCGAACATACTGCCTGTAGTATGGACGACCAATCCAACAGATCGTCCCAGCTATGATACCGACAAGAATCAACACGGAACCGGAACATTCTAGTGGTTTCCATTCGATGTCTCGGCTCTTGATGTCGCAACGAGGTAATTGTGCCGCTGTCCATTTCAACCATTCCAGATCCGAGGCTCCTTCTAGATATCTTTTGATCTGATCGATGATCTTCTGCATCCCCAGATGTGGAGCAGCTGGTTCTTCGGCCGATCCCTCTTCTTCAGAACAGGTGGTCGAAACAATGATCGAGTGGGGCCAATCGCTCCGGGCGGTATGACATCGAGAGTGATCGTCGATGCCACAGGTCGCCGTCAAGACACACGACAGGTCCAACACATCGGAGTTACCCCTAGACGAAGCGGGGCAAGTGGCCAGGTTCGGGTTTATGCACGAATTGTCAATACTTTGCACGGATAACTGTGTCATAGTCAGGAAAAATTGGAGGGACCGGAGAATGGGTCCAAGATAGCAAGTTGATTGAGTGCTTGGTATGATCGCTTAGTCAACTGACAAATATCAAATCGCCAACCTGATGAGTATATATACTCATAGAATAGACGCCGGCCTGATCTCGTGACCTGCACAGTCGTGAAAGGAAGTCGTAATCGATCACGCAAGATTTCGTTTCAGCCCCTGCTTCTTCATTCTATCACGCGACTTTCGAGTAGCGCAATCTCATTTTGGCTGGCTGAACAACGCGAGCGATCTTCATACCTTCTCTGTATTGTGGTTCATGCCTCATTGTAGCCAGCAGTCAGAGAATGCTGGGTAGAACAAAGGATCGCATGCATGGTTCTCAGGCTTACTTGCCTGCGACACTTCGATATACAGCAATATAAACGATCTCAACTGCATCTGATCGTTTTGATCTTTCCCTCACTTCAACAACTATCACTTTTAATGACTGGCCATCTCTAAGCTGTACTCAACACAGAGATCTCTCAGAAATCCCAGAATGTTATCGGACTACAACAAGAGTATCAGCAGCAGTCATAGTGTCAAAGCTTCATTGGCTTCTGGTCCCTCGAATGGTGTTGTCGGGCAAATGCTCCGGCAGTACCTGGGCAAGGGTTCAGACGTTTCAGAAGGAAACTGCACAGTCCAACCCGAACCCTCATCCGGGTCGGATCAAGCGAGTTTCGACCTTGACACCTACATCAGTCCTGGACGCCCTCTGACCAATCGTGTGCAAGCGGTATCCTCAGCTGGGTTCGATCCTCACTTCAAACGGCCTAGACCTGTATCATCTATAGGACAGCCAGGTAAAGCGCCGTTCAAGCTCTTCCTGTTTGTTGCCTTCAACTGACTACTTTGCTATGCTTACAGAACATGAGTGGGAAAGCCCAAACTCAGAACTTCAATCGTACGCAGTACCTGCAGCAGCGAGGCAATTTCAGTACGGAGACACGTTATCTCAGTCACTGTCGGCAGCAACATCGGTCGTGACATTTGAGGTGCCCTCCACCTTTTACATGGAACTGCAGATCACCAAGTGTCTTGGTGATTTTGGCAAGTGCAAGTTCCACGACCAGAAATTGATTCGGCCATTCACCTCAGCAGAGTTAGCATTAGCCAAATGGATCTGTCAGGCTGTCTCCACGTGCTCTCTCGAAAGAAAGTCGCTCAGAGAGCAAATTCTTGAAATCGACCGAGATCGCTTCAAGTCATCAAGAACCCTCTTAGCAGATACCCATATGCTTACTAGCACTGTCAAGGAACGTTTGATTTTTTACAGATACATTTTGCAAATGCAAATGCACAATCAGAAGATACACAGGGACGGCTTGTGTATGGTTTATCAGCAGACATGCCCCAAGAATTTTACCAATCACTGCCTTAGCGGATACATGCCGGCACATCTGAACAAGGCCTTTCAAGAAGCAGAAGACTTGTTACGAAAATATCATATACAGATGAGGGAGCATAGCTAGGGTTCGTTTTTTTGTGTAAGCATGCCCCTTGTAGTCCTCCAACGATGGAAAATGCGGGACTTTGGAGCGTATTGAGAAAAGACGATGACTCAAACAGAGACGGACACATAATCACAATCATATGCACTAAGTCCTCACATCGGCAATAAAGTATGCATATGTAAAAACGATCGACTTATCTGAAATTCTTCTCACTTGCTCAACCCTCCAGATTGAACGATCCCTCATATGCTCTCCGTTCCAAGATTCGTACTGATGCAGAGGGTTCGCTCCCGTGTCGCACTCCCTCCAGAACTTCGGCATCTCCCCGAGTGAGACTTCAAGTCTGATTGAGTCCCTTCTCTGCCGTAAACCAGGAGGGTCTTACCATCGATCGTAAAGTCGGTCTTCCTGAGATCATCCTCGGGGTCCGTAGTTTCATGATCCTTTTCAACGGGAAACGTGTCGACCCCAGAGGGATTAGGAGGGGGGGGGGCGGTCTGAATGGATTCACTACCATCCGACTGTCAAAGGCCAGGCTGATCTAGAGAGATGGTATAGGGCGCAGACGCATTCCTGATGATATAGTTTATGTCCCTCGAAGCATCAGATTACCCAAGGTCCGGAGTGCAGGCAAGGGGTCAGTCTATGGTAATGATGTGTGACCGCACCGATACGACACTCGGAATGAGTCGAGCCTCATGATTCCGTCGCAACATATCATCCGTCGCCGAGTCGTATTCAGAATGGATATCAAGGATTCGTCCCGTCGAGTGCAATTTCTCAAGGTGGCGGGACCGGCTTGGCGGAGGATCTAGATGTTCGTGTTGTAGCTATGTGAGTGCGGACGTTACGATCACGATCGGAGTTGAGACAATGTGGATACGGTGCTAAGTTTATACTATGTTATCCTGTGTGATCCATGCCATTGATACCCGCAGTTTTAGCAGGAGCTAAAGCGTAGCTCGATGACGCGCCCGAAAAAAAGGAAGTCTGTATATGAAACGCGCGGAAGCAAAATAGAGGTTGACGCAAACTCTAATCCTCTAGACCTCGCAATGGAGTCCTCGAATGACCATGACCGAAAGTCATAGACAGTTCGACTGAGATGTGAGTGTTTCCCATGAAGCCTATCACGGACTGTCGACGTGGCAGCAGTGGCCCAGGTCACCCATATCCCGGGCAGTATATATCGCCCGTCAAGGTCAAAGGCAAGTCGACACTCGGGAAACCCACGAATGGGAGTGAGAGGTAGCCTTCTTCCGCATGCGTGCTTAGACTCCAATCGATAAATCTCAAGATTCGTGAGGCAGGACAATCGAGTGACTATGTATCGATTTCGTTAATCTGTGGCATCACAACCCCCTTGATACCGGCTTCGGATGTAGTGGAGGTTGGAACAGTAACGAACCAGCAAAGCGATCCATCACCAGCCTGAGGGTGATCAGCCGAGAGCTTGTACAGCTGAGTTCTTTGAAGAACCTCGACTCCGGGTGGCGCCTCGTCAACGCTGAACTGTTTCGCGCATATATCCTCTTTGGCAAGAGCGTCGATGACATCTTGCGACCTCACGACTTCCGTCTCGTTCTCCTGTATCGACGTCCAGACCTGCTGCCACAGTCGGGGCATTAGCGTCGACAAAGCCGCTTGACAATGTTTTAGCCGCAACAAGTCGTGGTTGGTACGCCTAGATTGGCCGATCAAGCGATCGATGCGACGCTTCAGCATCAGACACTCTGCGACCAGCCCTACTATGGCGGTAAGACCGAGACAGTTCCCTGGAAGAGGGTTCCATTCGACTTTCGATTCCTTACGTGAAGATCGATCGTGAGGAGGCATCATCGAGATAATCACGTGCGTCGGGCATGAACCAGCGGTTGATTGAGTGGGCCAGAGAGATACAGTGTCGATGGAGTGGGATGGAGAAAGCGATGCGACGGTTTCAAGCGGTTCCATAGTCTGGATAGAGCAGGATGCGGAGGTAACATGAGACGAGAAGAGGGAACGCTGGTAAAGCAGGTCGACGTTGTTTGGACAGCGGTGAGATCGAAGTTCATGAGCGTGGGCTTTTGCGCTATGACTAGATTTGGTATGTGAAGGGTTGGTTGTACCCACGTTGGCCTGCATAGATATCGGCGTCCCCTTGCCTTTATAGTTCACCATCGTAAGGTCGATGACATGCTCCTATGAAAGGAAGGTACTGGTCACACGAGGCCAATCTCGCGTGCTCTTTCGCAAACACCGCCCGCACATCATGGCTGACCACTATCGCAGAGAATTGAGCTTATCTTGCGTTTTCCTGCTGTATTTCGTTGTGGAGCAGCACCTCACATACGATCACGCGGGACACATATCTACCCACGTGGACATGTCGTCGAGGAAAAGTCAGTATCACCAAACATCGGCGAGAATGCGGCCACACGGACGGATTGTCGCTGCAAATCATATGAAGGCAACCATAGGTATGGTCTCCGATTGAGAGGCAGTTATTAAGTTGCGAATACCTGCCAGCTCGACGTGTGCAGGCAGCGACTATCACACGCCCACAACACAGAACCAGGAATGCTGTCAACAACGATCGTTGCCTCCTGGTAAACTCGTCAGCTGAAGTATGTACACTGACAGAGCGATCCCAGCCATACTGTGAGTTATGATCGTCTATCATCAGGGAATCTTTACAGCGGAACGAGACGTACATGACAAGTGATCATGAGGCTGCCTATGAATCTCTGTTAGGAGCTGATTTGTTTCACTGGACCTGATGGTACAAAATGCCTTCTCTAACTGTTCCGCTGGCTCTTAGAGAAGATCCTACGCACATCCAGAGATTTCGTTCCAATCTTGGTAAGAACATCGTATCGCCTATCCGAACTGGTAGGCTTGTCTTCTACGAGCACAAACTCGCATCCACATTCAGCAAAAAGGTTTTCCGCGTGAATTCTGGTATCTTTCCCTAGTGACCGTCTTTCTACCTCAGCAAGGAAGGCGATTTTCCAGCGGTACCAGCGGCAGAGACAATCAATTTCAGAGTAGAGTTGTCCCAGGAAACCCAAAACACCCGATATCAAGAGCACCCCATTCCTCTTTCGTATCGCCTGCCGCATCGCCTCGGAATGGTCAGATTCCGGTCCTCCCCAGCTTCCATCGGGACGTCCTCCTGGTGCACAACCGGTCGCGCCGCTCGCAAATTTGCGACCTGAACCGCATGTACATTCCCATCCCTGCTGACTCGAAACGATTTGAGCAGAAATTTGCTCTAGTAACGAGTTTCCAGTTCCGGTAACATCTTCTGAGTGACTTGTATCGCGGGAGTGAAACCACAATGAATCATCTTCCGTGGATGTCCCCTTCGACTGGGTGATTCCGTCGACAAGGGGAACCGGGAAGGAGACTGGAGGCGGGGAACATATGGAAGAAGCATCCAACAAGTTCAAGGTGTTCAGGGAAATCGACATTGCGTTCGTGTAGGTAGTGAGTACTCGATTCGTGTTTGCGGTGAAGCAGCGAGAGTCGGGCTGAGATACTCGATTGATCGCGTGGCAGCCTTGTCATGATTGGCGCACTCTCAACGTGAGTATTTATGCTCACAAGTAAGCCGTTACCAGAGACCCCTTGAGGAATAAAGGAGTGTTCGAGAGAAACGACCAGCTTACTTCTTGGCGCTGCAAGCACAAGAGGCGCCATGATCGCGTGATATTGGCGACATGAATGGATTGCATGCCCAACCCCAGCTCCAGGTCCGCCACTTACAAGAGCCGAATACTCTATTCGACCAGAACATGATCAATGTTCCTCTCAAAGCAGTACACATTATGCATGCGGTTAGGTACATCTCATCGTTTTAGGAGGCAGGACAAGGTACACTCCCGATCTCTCGGTCGTCATCGGTGTTGAATCATAATCCGGCACAGTGTACCTAGATACTATGAATCACGGCAGCTTCTTCTTTGAACCTCATGTCTGATGTGAAGACATCGTTACCAACCAGTCGAGTTTGGGCTAGTTTGAGGATGATTGAAGGCTCTGATTCCATCATTGTTCTCCGTGGAAAGAGGGACAGTGACAAGACAGTTTGGTCCCTCGCCGTGTTCCGCCGCGCCTTGGGGGTTTGTACAAATCCAAAGTCTGTACAGCATGGTACCCTGTGGAATTTCGTTTCCAGTAGGGTTCTCGGTGTTGACCACTTGAACCGCTTTCACCTCATGCTTTTCGAAAGCATCGATGACAGCTTGGACCTGTACAGGTCCATCCCTCTCCTGGATCTCGGTCCAGGCCTGCCTGCAGACGATCGTGACTCTCTTGCTCAGAGCTGCCTTAACTGCTTGCAATTCTGCCTGGTTTCGTCTCAGCTCCTCCCGGAGTGCATCATTGTTGAGGGCAACGGCGACAATGCGTTGTGTCAAGGCGGTCAAGGCTGCTACCTGGCCTTCTAGCTGCACCCATCGAAGAATGAGGTACGATATTGTTGGATATCGAGTTGATCACCGCTGTATAGTTTGCATGAGGATAAAATATACAAGAGGGGATCATGAAATCAGACCAGAATGGTCTGCTATATATATTATTCTGGTAGGTGGCAAGGTGCTGCGGTTTGCGGTTTGCGGTCTGCGGTTTGCGGTCGCAAGTTGCGGTTTGCGGTCGCAACTTGCGGTTGTGGTCGCAACTTGCGACAGTGGTCGCAGATTGCTAAGCGAGTCGCAGATTGCTAAGCGAGAACAAAAGGAAAGGTGCGAAGAGTGGATGTGCTTTATTGTTCCATGCGGTCTATTGTTCTGGGAGAACAATAGACGTGCGGGAGAACAATAGGATTTGACACTCCCCCTCACTCAAGCGTCCTTTGCGAAAGAGGTTGGTTTTCCGCTGAGACCCATCCCGGTGACAAGGTGATGGAATTGGTGATGGGCGAGACCTTTGGTGAGAGCATCGGCAAGGTTATCCTGAGTAGGGATATGGGAGAGTTCAACGGTGTTGTCGAGCACTTTCTCCCTGAGATAGTGGTGTCGCATGTCGATGTGTTTGGTGCGATCATGAGCGACAGGATTCTTGGAGAGTTGAATGGCGGCATTGTTGTCATTGAGAATGGCGAGGGGACCAGAGACCGGGTGACCGAGAGATTCAAGAAGAGTGCGGAGCCAGACTGCCTGTCGGGTGGCATCGGCGGAAGCCATGTATTCAGCTTCCGCAGTAGAGAGAGCTGTGGTTGGTTGCCGTCGGGATTTCCAGGCTACCGGTCCTCCGAAAGCACGGAAGAGGTATCCGGTAGTAGATCGGCGAGTATCCAGGCATCCACCCCAGTCAGCATCGGCGTAGCCCAGGATGATCCTTTGACCAGAGGTAGCATCGTAGGTGAGGCAGAGTTCAATGGTGCCTTGGAGGTATCGAAGAAGGTGTCGAGCAGCATGGACATGTTGCTTGTTCCACTTGCTGACAGTCCGAGCTAAGACTCCGGCAGCATGAGCGATGTCGGGTCTGGTGATGGTGGCCGCATACATGATTGATCCAACCATTGCTGGATATTCCTCATGAGCGGCTTCCTGATGTTCAGCATCGGTAGCGGGAAGAGATCGGAAGCCGGAAGGAAGGGGAGTCTTTGCCGGTTTGGAGTCGAGCATGCCAAACCTTTCCAGGACAGCCTGTACGTAGTGTTCTTGAGAGATGTAGAGTTTCCGGTTGGGCCTGTCTCGGAAGACGTTGAACCCGAGAAAGTAAGAGACCGCTCCTCCGTCAGAGCACTCAAATCGGTCGTTGAGTTTGGTCTTGAAGTCGTCCAGTTCCTGGCGATTATTGCAGGCGATGAGTTGGTCATCAACGTGGACGGAGAGGATGAGAAGGGTATCCTTGGTTGATCGGATGTAGAGACAGGAGTCGGCCGGAGAAGGGTTGAGGCCAAGAGATCGAAGGAACTTGTCAAGAGCCTGATTGAAGCAGCGAGGTGATTGTTTGAGACCGTAAAGTGATTTCTGAAGCCGGAGAACCTTGTTGGCAGGGATGTTGCTGCCCTCAGGAGGTTCGAGATGGACGAGTTCCTCTAGTTCTCCGTTGAGGAAGGCGGCCTTGATGTCGACCTGGTCGCAGTCCATGTCGAGGTAGTTGACCAGAGCGAGGAAGACTCGGATGGTATCCTTGTGAGCAACTCCCGCGTAGAGTTCATTGTAGTCAACTCCTTCCTTCTGCAGAAATCCTTTCGCTACCCATCGAGCCTTGTAGGCGGATGGCTTCCCAGTCTCTCCGTCGATCTTCCGGGTGAAGACCCACTTGGCTCGAAGAGGTTTAGATGTAGCTTCTTGCCTATCGATGACAGACCAGACCTTGTACTGATCCATCTTGTCGAGTTCGGCCTTGATAGCCTCCTGCCATTTGTCCCATTCTGGAGATCGGTGGGCTTCCTGAAAAGTTTGAGGGATGGCCGTGGAGATGAGTGCATGGCCACAGATGACGGCGGTAGCAAGGTTTGCAGAGTAACCAAATTTGGCAGGTGGTTTCCGGACTCGTCGGGAGCCATCAGGCAGGACTGGGTTTTCCGGTGTTGGTAACGGTGCAATATCCCATCCTTTGCTCCAAATGCCGGATGACTTGTGTTTGGCCTGTGTAGCCTGTGTAGCCTGATCACTTGGGATGGTCGTGTCATCACCAGGCTGATCAGGTGAGTCGAGAGTATCGGTATTGTCTTCAGCCGATTGATCCTCTTCAGTTTCAGAGTCTGAGTCTGATGTTGGTTCAGGGACTATGTCGATGTCGACCCGAGTGGACTGGATTTTGGTTTCCAGTGATTTGGTGTTGGTGGAAATCTTTGGTTGTTTACCAAAGACCACATCACGAGAGATGGCGACCTTTTCGGTGTGTAGATCCCAAATCCTGTAGTTGTCGGTCCCCTCGACGTAAGAGAGTAGTTGCCCTTCTTTGTAGCGAGGGTGAAGTTTGTTGGTGTTGTTATGGTCACGGAACCAGAGCTGACAGCCAAAGGGTTGAAGGTGCCGGGAGTTGACTTCACGTTGCCTCCAGAGATCCTCCGGGATATGCTTGTCAGATCCTGTGGGAGCCCGGTTCCTTGTGTAGATGGCGTAGTTTGCCGCTTCGGCCCAGAACTTGTCGTCGAGTCCACTATCGATTAGGAGCGTTCTTACCTGATTGAGAATGGTAAGGTGCGCCCTCTCAACTCTACCGTTCTGAGCATGAGCGGCAGTTGGAACGAAGTGATGCTCGATGCCCTTTGCTTTGAGGTAGTCACGAAGAGCATGTGACTCAAACTCTCCTCCTTGATCCGATCGGATGGTCTTGACCGTGCAGTCCAATTGATTTTCAACTAGGTTGATATAGTCGATCAATGCCTGTCGGGTCTCAGACTTCTTCTTGAGAAAGCTGAGGTTGACCTTCCGAGTGTGATCGTCGTAACAGGTAAGGAAGTAGAGGGATCCTCCAATGGAAGGGATTCGAGCTGGTCCCCAGAGATCGACATGGATAGACTGGAGTGGTTTGCTGGCTCGGATGTTGGAAGCAGGAGCGGGAAGTCGAGATCCTTTGCCTTGATTGCAGGCTGAGCATTGGAAACCGTAGATATCTTTTCCAACTTTGGCCCAGTCCACTGTCTTGTCGAGTCTTCCTTCTTTGCCGAGCTGAACCACTGAGCGAACATTGAGATGACCAAGTCTGCGGTGCCAGTGGTAAAGGATGTTGTCCTCTGTGACGTTAATGGTGGCCGTGATGAGTGCGGCCTTGTGTCGAATAGGAGTGCTTGCCGGATCGAGGACAAACAAACCATCTTGTCGTGTTGCTGTGATGACCGGTTTGCTGGGTCCATCTTCAGTAGTGTTGAGGATTGCTTTGTCTTTTGCAAAGGTCCAAGAGTGTCCGTCGGTGCTCTGTGCGGCACCAACACTCAGAAGGTTCCGTCCCAGTTCGGGTACGTGAAGAACATCATGTAGTGTGATGTTTGGTAGTTTGAGTTGTCCGCATTCTCTGGCGGTGATGTTGGCGCCGTTGCCTATGGTGATGTTTGCCTGGATTGGTAGTTGTTTGATTCCAGTGAGTAGGTTCCTGTCGTGGACCATGTGATGAGTGGCTCCAGAGTCTACGACAATGTCGAGTGCAGACGAGTGGGCCAGAAGGGCATTGTGATCGATGGTGATGCTTGCCATGAAAGCAGAGCCGGCGTTGATGCCATGATGTTGACTCCTGTTGCTTACGAGTGCGGCGATGTTGGCACTATTGTTAGTGTACCTGTTGGCGTTGTTGCCGGTACTGAAGTTGGCGGGCTTGGTGAAACAGTTTGCTGTTGAGTGTCCATTCTTCTGATGGAACTCGCAGAAGGCATTCTCGTCAAAGGGAGATCGAGGAATGAACTTCTTCTTGTTTCCGGTGCCGCCGATGTTGTTGTTGTTGTTGTTCCGTCCTTGTTGACGGGCAGCGATGAGTGCCGTAGTCTCAATTCCTTCTTCCTGAACAATCCTTCTCCTGTACTCAGCTCGGACGGCGTCGATGACGTCCTGCGAGTGAAAGTCCTCCTTGAGATAATAGGTCTGAACGAGGGTTTCGTAGGAAGAAGGAAGCGACATGAGGATGGCAAAGGCAAAGTCCTTGTCGTCCATCCGGGATCGGCCAGAAACGGTGATAGCGGAGTAGGCCGACTTGAGTTTTCCGGTATGGACAGTCGGATCTTCTCCTTCCGCGAGTTGGGATCGCCAGATGATCGCAAGAAGTTCAGCCCGCCTGGATCCCCTTGCGGCCGAGTAGGTTTCCTGAAGATGTTTAAGTAATCTTTCAGAAGCAGAAGGAAGCGTTGCTCTGTACTCATCGGTGTGAGCGGAGTCCCTTTGGACCAGAGCGTGCCAGGTTGAGAGGTGAGACGGGAGGTTGTGATGGACAAGCTGACTGAGGCTTCCGTCGATGATTCCGAAGGCCTTCTTGTCTTTCTTGATCCATTTCGCAAGTTCCTCCGCTGTAGCTGGAGTAGTGACCGTAGTGGTGGTAGTAGTT